GGCAGCAGCCTGGGAGAAAACAAGACCCCCTTGGCACGTGGCCACCGGCGGCAGGGCACAGCGCCGCAGGGGACGCGCAGCGAGGGGAACACGCCCCGGCCGCAGCGGAGCAGGCCACCGTCGTACAGCCAGCGGGTTGTCGACGAGATCGACGCCAGGATCGCTGCGATCGAGAGGGAGGAAGAGGAAAAGGCCGAGCGGCAGCGGGCGAGGCGGGCCAGCCTGGACAGGCAATGCAGAGACGGCGGGGGAAGCCTGAAGCAGAGAACGGAGTCAATGGAGCACAGCCGCACCCCGCACGCAGTGGCCCCTCTGGGCAAGGCTGCGCAGGCGGCGCTGTCGGTGGAGGTGGTGGTTGGGCGGGGCGGCCAGGTGGAGCTAGCAGCACGCCCGCCGGCAGGAGGCGGCAGCGCGAGTGAGCTCAGCTGTAGCCCGAGCCCGAGCAGCGATGGCAGCACGCACGCGCGGCAGTTCGAGGCATGGAACGAGGTGTCCATCCAAGGGGGCGCCGTCCCAGATTTGGTGCTCGGGGAGCGCCGCACAGCAGCCGCGCAGGCGGGGGCAGGGGCGGCGGGAGCAGAGGGACCGCAAGCAGGGGAGGCAACGACGAGGGGGGGCAGCGCAGTGCGGCCACAAGGCACGCCGGAGGGGATAGCGGAGAAGGGCGGGTGGACTGAGGGAGGCGGTTTGGAGGAGGAGGAGGAGCAGGCCGATGCGGGGGAGTCGAAGAGCAGCGGACAGCGGGCGGACGGCGCCGAATTGGATGGCGAGGGGGAAACTGAGGCTGACGGGGAGGCACCGGACGTAATGGTGGGCCCCACGCTGCGCGAGCGGCGGCAGCGCGCGCTGGCAGGGCTGCAGCGGCGGTACGAGGCGGTAATCCAGGGGCTGATTGCGGCGCGGCGCGCGGAGCCGGAGACGCCGCTGCTGGGGAGCGAGGCGCTGCTGCACTTCAACACGCTCATGTATACCATGCGGCTGCTCATTGGCGAGGCCGAGAAAATGGAGAAGGCCATCCGCGAAGGGCGCCAGGTGAGGGAGCCCGTACCTGGTCTTGCAGCCCACTTGAGCGGTCTGCGTTTCCGGAATAACAGAACCAGTTGCGTGGAAAGGCTGCTGTGAGTTGATTGCACTTATGTGTAACGCTATACTCTCAGCACGGCAGTCCTGCTGTGCTGCTGAGAAGCATCCTTCAACCTGCAGTGCCTGTTTCAAAAGAGCATGCCTAATCGGCCCTTCTCTGTCTCTGCCGCAGATGTCGCGCCCGATCCGGCTGGGCACCATCGCGCAGCTGCCGTACGACGTGGCGGTGAAGCGCGAGGCCGCGTACGACCAGGACCCGGTGACGCAGCTGCTGGGGCCGGGGCCCACGCCGTCCGCACTGTGGCGGCACCGCATCAACGAAGAGGCAGACGAGGGAAAGGACGATTAGACTGCTCAGCAAGATAGACATGCGCGCGCTCGCCAGAGACATGCCCAGTATAAGAAGCTCCGCATGCAAGGTAGTCATTATAGTCAAACGGCTGCTCTAGCCGAGCCATGAGCTCGTAGGTAAGAGATCACCACGCAGATTGCTACCCAGCGTCGCAGCTCTCTGTGGCTGTTGGTATCTTTCTGCAGCTTTACCGGTCCTGGTGCTGGTCAAAAGACCTGGAGTAGTACATACTTTTGATATAAAAACTTGGCCGTCACAGAGACAGTCATTTGCGATATGCTAACATGGAATTTGTGATATAGATACCGAGGCCGACGGAGAAACACCAAGTGATCGAAGAAGGTAAAGCGTCCTCTTTTGCCCAACTTGACGTCTCAGTATTGATGTTTGATTCACAATGACGCATAGTGCCTACGCCAATTGATGCTGCGGCATCCACATGAAGCCGTACAGAACCAAAGCTCTCTTGCACGATTGTCGGCGTCAGTTGCAGCCACAGCTTGCAGGTGAGCCACAGCCAGTATGAAGCGGCGGCTCATATGATGGAGTACTGCACATGAAACGAAACGTTTGACGTACGTGACGGTGCAGTAAGTAAGTTATAGCTTAACTCTGGTTGTACGTTATATATTGCATGCACATGATATGACATTGGCGGGCCAGTTGCCATACCAGTTGCGTGTGACGAAGGCCGATATTCAAGCCTGAGCGACTGAAAATTGCGCATCGTGAATTAGGCTTGTGATTAATGAAGCTTAGCTTACGTCGCAATGATCGAGGGAACCGTCGAGCCGGACAATACGTGCCATGCAGACTATAGCTGCAATAAATATTGATAAATTTTGATCAAACGTACGGGAACTTACACGAGCCCAGTGTCCCGGGCCCATATACGGGACCGATACGCATGTGCAGCATGCTATAACGCAGAGCTCAAGTCATGCAAACCATGAATCATTGATTTGTGTGCATGACCGTCAGAAGATATATATCCACGGATCATGCACGCGTGTGATACTTATTATCAATGCTAGAAGCATCGACACCATATCATTTGCATATATATTGCGATTGATAAAATCACGTTGATCCCGGAGTCCAAAAATAATTAATGAAGTCGTAAAGGCACGCGTCCATTACCGGTCACATGCATCGATCGTTTAATCTCATGTTTAAGGTGGCAAACATAGCGGCATGCAAGCGACTGCAGCTTAGACGAAATGGCTGGAGTTGCCTCTCAGTCGGTCGTGGATGCGCTATGCGAGGCCATCATTCATTCATCATTCATCATTCTTTTCCTCTTTAAGTCACAGTCCGGTCTCTCAGAAGCCTGCTAAACTCAGCGCATGGCCATTGGTCTTGGGTCGGACGGCTGGCCAATCCCCGCTGATGCGCGCTGGACTTTCCACGACGTGCACGTACTTTCCCTGGTGCCTCGATCAAAACGCTAGTTTCACTCAGGCGTAATGACGCGGCTGCTCAGGCAGTTGCTGGATGCTAATCGGATGCCTTGAGCAACACAGCGAACGGCTATCGTCACCCTGGCAGGGCAGGTAACCTGCCAGTGCATCGATGACCGATGACCTGGTTAGCGTGAGTAACCTGATGATAAGCAGTGAGTTTCCATTGCGCTCGCCGTATAGGGCCGTACTTTGGCGTACACGACATGCCCAAACTCAACTTGAGGCTAAGTTCGTCAAACAACACAGCCCCTCTTCCTTTTCTCTCTCGGGTATGGCAGCCCTCAAATAGGGGAGTGGTGCCGCGACACATGCGCACTGCGTCCCTTGTGCGCGTTGTGTCTCACCCCCGGTCGGCATCCTCTTGCCGTGCCGCAAAGTTGTTGAAGATCGCCTCCAGCGTCGTTTGGCCAACACTGTACTCGGCGATGCCCACAGCCGCCCTGCACCCACCACCACGACGTGCCACGTCACGGGCTTGCACAAGAAGAACGCTTTCGCAAGGTTGACCCACACAATAATGCTCAGGGCGCAAGTAGCGGATGGTTGAAGTGAACGACACCATAAGCTCTGATTCTGGAGACGCAAGGGTCACGGCATCTGGCTGGCTCACCGCTGCGCCTCCATTGCGGCGAAGACCTGCGCCAATGAGCGGCCCCCTTCCCGCGGTAGCTGCAAACAGGCAGGAGCACGAGGGTGAGCAGAAGGACCAAGCTCACGGGGCTCTTCCGGCAAACGTGATCAGCTGGCGCCAAATCCGTATCCCGTCACCCATTTGCAGCATTCAAGAACCCTAAAATTCCTGCGAAGAAGGCATAACGTAGCAGGCTGCCTAGTCTGCTCAGCATGCAAACAAATCCACGCGGGATCCGCGGGACTTCCCATGGTCACCATGTCCGTGCAGATGCAAACACTGGATGTAGAGCAACTCGGCATGCGTGTCGTCAAGCGGCCTGATAATCAGGAGACTCCTGCTGACGAACTCGGTTAGCCTTCTGAGCAGCCTTCAAGTCCTTCTCTTCCCTTCGCCTCAGTGGTCGTCGACCAGCAGGGCCCCGGACGCCGACCTGATAGCGGAACGTGGCGGCGGTGTGTTCCAGGAGCGCGGCTCCCGGGAAGGTGGCGCGCACGAACGCGTCGATGGCGCTGCTCTGCTCCGCCACGAGCCACCACTCGCAGAACGTCTGCACGCTGAGCCAGCCTGCACGCATGGCGGCCCACACCACACGCTTCACGGCACGGCCCGCTGCAGTGTTCAGCACGCAACTTACAAAGCAGAGACTTGACACTGGATATACTTAGTAGCCGCGCCGAAATTTGGCACAGCAAACGACCCTGCCAGCGACAACGCTGAAAGCGGGGGAGAATGTCAGGCAGGCCAAGAGTACAAGGGCAAGGCAGTAGTAAGGCCGCGGGCCTGACCGTCGTGCGCGAGCTGTTCCTGCACGCTGCTGGTCATGCTCGCGTCGTGCTCGCCCGGGTTCTGCTGCGCCGCCCCCGCGTCGCCCCCCAGCAGCAGCGCCGCGCGGTCCTCGTCGCCCAGCGCGCACGCTGCCGCCACCACCGCCTCCGCCGGCAGCGCAGCCGCGAGGTCCAGCCCCGCGCGCAAAGCGTCCACGTCGCTGGCCTGCCGCACCAAAACAGCAACGGGGGGATCAGGTGGCGCGGGCATCATTGTCGTCGTTGCATCAGCTCCTCACAGATCTGCTATCACAAGCTCTTACAGGCAAAGCATCAGCCACTTGCACACATCACTAGCCAGCCAGCACGGGCGGTGTGAGCGGCGGGGGCAGAATGGCGGGGTGCTTACGGGAGCATCCTCGGGCTGGCTGTGCTCGTGGCCGTAGCGGAGGAGGGCGGGGATGGACGTCATCACGCGCTCGCACAGCAGCGCCAGCGCGGCCAGGCTGGGGGTCACCGCCTTCACCTGCGCGCAGCACCGAGCATAGGGCACTCAGTGGGGGACCTCTCGTTCAGACCGGTTGGGCAGCACCCGGGAATACGCAGCATAGCCTCTGGAGACAGTCTTGATCAGGGCACAGAAGAACACTGGACACGGCATGCCAGGCGCAAGGCCAGAATTATTTTTGAGGCGAGGACCCAGTGACGCAGTACACTGTCACGCTGATCGCCACCCTTAGGCAAGCCGAGCCACCCCTGTGGAAGCGGCCAGTCAGCAGCAGCCTCGGTCCCACAGTGTGGGGTGCGGCGCGTGGGCCTCACCTCGAGCTCGAGCGCGGCGCCGAAGCGTGTTTTGAGGTGCTGCGGGGAGCCGAGGCAGCGCAGGCGGCCCGCGGTCATGATGCCGATGGTGCTGCACAGCGCCTGCGCCTCCGCCATGCTGTGCGTCGTCAGCAGCACCGCGCACCGCCCCGCGCGCACCGACAGCCGCGACACCACGTCCCACAAGAACCGCCGCGCAGCAGGGTCCATGCCTGCACGGGGCCGCACCAGACTGGTAGCTATCATTCTCTGGTCCTCGAGAAGGACAACACAAGGGCAGATTGGAAGACTAAAGAGAGGCCCTGGACTCAACCAAATGGCCTTCGGCATGACCCATGTCGTCTTTTGAGGTGAGACGCGCCTGATGGCAGGCTATGCTTGGCATCCGCACCAACGCGGGCGGCAGTGCCGGCGAGTTGGATGCTGGGCGGTGCGGCTTGCCTGTGGAGGGTTCGTCGAGGATGATGATGGGCGGGTCGCCCACCATGGCCTGCGCCACGCTCAGCTTGCGCTTGTTGCCGCCGCTCAGCACGCCCGCGCGCACGTCCGCACACCCCACCAGCTCTAGCTCCTGCACAGACCAAAACGCAAGGCGTCAATCTTCAGATGCCTCCAAAGTTGAAAGCTTTATTACGTTGAATTATGGATCAGGATCGTTCAATCTCCAGAGGCCTCCAAAGTTAAAAAGCTTTATAACGTTAGAATATGGATCAGGATCATTGGATCTCCAGAGGCCTCCAAAGTCGAAAGCTCTGTTATTTAGAATATGGATCAGGATCATTCTCAAGCCCGATCTTCCGTGTCCAGTGCCAGCACCGGCGGCGCACCTTGAGCTTGGCCTCCACGACCTCGGGCAGGTTCTTCTCGGGGACGCCCTTGATGCGCGCGTACAGCTGCAGGTGCTCGCGCGGCGTCAGCAGCTCCAGCAGCGGGTCGCGCTGCGGGCAGTACCCCACCTGCACAAGCGGCCAGCACACAGCGGCCTCGCTCAGTCGTTTTCCTCAGCCAGGACTCGGAGCTACGAGCCAAGGGGCCGAGCCATCACAGGCCGGCGGCCGTCAGACTGAGCAGCAACAGAGCATCGAACATTGTGAAGCCGGCTTTCATAAGTTGTTTGAGCGCAGTCGTCTGCGGCTTAGGTAGACAGACGGGACAAACACAAGGAGCACTTCCCGTGACTCCATCTTCTATGAATGCATCCTCTCTTGGCACACTAGCCCCGAAGCAGCCCGCACAGCGGCAGCAGTTTCTGCTGCGTGCTGCACGGTGTTTGCCGGGGCGGATCACTCACCAGCCTGCGCGCTGCGGTCTGGTTGGTGCGGATGTCGTTCCCGACGACGAAGGCGGTGCCGTCGGAGGGCGCGACCTCCCCCGTGAGCATGCCCAGCGTCGTGGTCTTGCCCGCGCCGTTCACGCCCAGGAAGCCGAAGCACTCCCCCGGCCCGATGCCGAAGCTCAGCGACTGCACGGCCACCTTGCTCGGGCCACCCCCGGGGCTGGGGTACACCTTGCGCAGCCCTGACAGGCGCACCAGGCTGCCGCGCCCCGCAGGACCCTCCACTCGCGCACGCTCCGCCGCAACGTCCGCGTCCTCGTCAGCATACGGGGACGCAGGGTCGGCTGCACAAACGAAAAGAGGGCCGATCCACCTCAGTCTGGCACTTCCTTGATGAACGGACTTGATCAAAAGAAAAAGAATATTTTAGAAAGTTCGTTGCAAGACATACAACGAGGCGTGGAAACATTGCAAAGGATTGCATAGTACATAGATTGCAAACGACCGCCCTGTAGTGTAACATTGTCCAGAGCATGGAGCAATACTGTACACATGCGTTGCTTGATCCTATGGTCATACTTCGGTACGCACCTTGCGGGCCGAGCCGAGGGGACGGCGGCAAGCTGCCGGGTCCGGAAGGAGTAGAGGGTGCCGACGGCACGAGCGAGTATGCGGGGGCTAGGGCGGCGCGGCGGCTCCAGGGGGCGGGCGCGGCGGGGAGCGCGTACCACAGGTGGTGCAGGGGGGGCACGTGGTCCAGCAGCAGCGCGACGCTGAAGTAGACCGCAGCCTCGACGAGGAGGTACACGATGTTGGCGCCGCTGACGTCCCACGCGAGGGCGGACGACGGCAGGTCCGGGTCCAGGCCCTGCTGCCGCAGCGCCAGGCTGGACAGGCCGTCCGCCAGGCAGAAGCCGGGGAACAGCCGGAAGAAGGCCTGCCGAGGGGGGGAAAGAGATAAGATTGGGAAGAGCAGAGCGCATAGGAAAGGTGCCGACGTCAAAACAAACGACGCAGGCGGCCTTACATTGGACCTGTGAGGATGGAGAGCCGCTCTGAACGGTGTGTAAGAGGCACAAGCCCTCGGTTGAAGAGTCTACGATTGTGAGTCGACCAAGAGGGCTCTAGAAGTACTATTGATCTCTCGAGAATGGCTGATGCGACGGCGACGCGGCTCACCTTGAGGGTGTGGCTGGTGTGGCGCGTATTCTTGATGAGGCTCATGATGAAGCTGGCCAGGCTGAGCAGCAGGCCCGTGAAGAGGTGCACCAGCAGCACCGCGTTCTGCGCGGCCGCGTGGTGCGTGAATGCGAACGTGAGGCAGTACGTCAGCGCGGCCACCGCGGGGCCATACGCGAGCAGCAGCAGCGCGGTTGGCAGCAGCGACTCGGCCCCGATGAACTCGTCCACGCCAAACAGCGCAAAGAGCGCGAGCGCCAGGCTGGCAGGGAGCAGGTACGACACGCCGTCCCACAGCGCGGTGGACACCCAGTAGCTCGTCAGCGATACGCCGCTCAGCACCTGCACACGCACCGCACCAAGCGTTAGCAAGCCGGCAAACACAGAGTTTCTGCAGAAGCCAAGGCCAAACATCGAGGCAGGTACCGGTTGGTTATGGTTGACAGAAAGCTCGTATCTTGACGAGAAAAAAAGAAATCAAGTGAGGTGCTTCCACAATCCTTGGTGCCTACCTGCTGCGCCTTGGCTCCCGTCTCGCGCTCCTTGACAACGGCGACCGCGAAGGATGCCGGGATGAAGGCGAACGCGACGCACACGATGATGCTCGCGCTGAAGGCCCCGATGTCACGCCGCTGCCGCCGCTGGCTGTAGCTCTGCGGCAGCGGGTGGTTCCGTGTCGCGATGCTGACGTCACGGCTGGCGTGCGCGGCCTTGAGCAGCGCGTCGTTAACCAGGTTGATGTACAGCGGCGCGGCGTGCTGCGCCGTCGTGTTGTGCAGGATGCTGTAACCGACCGCGCCGCTGGCCGTGCGCGGACCAAACAGGACTGCGCCGTACCTGCGCAGGGGACAGCAAACGGATCTGCGGCTGCAGCACGGCGGCCAGATCAAGCTTTGTCGTGCTTCTCAACGATTTGGTCTCGCTAAAATAGTTGCAAGGGGTCCACCGGTCTTGCTAACAAATTCCCTGGGCATCGTTACAGTAACACAAGTGAAGGCCAAGCTTGCAGCAATCGAGCAAGCCAGGACACGGTAGGATTCAAAGAGCAGAAAGCCAACACTGGCAGCTCCATACGTTAACCTCGGTGCTACTATATAAAGTGCGTGCGGCTGACCTGGACTCGTAGGTGAGGTTCCTGCTCTCGATGAGGAAGGCGCTCATGTTGAGCAGCGCAGGGCCCTCGTCGGGGCCGGCCGCCGCGACGGCCTTCTCCAGCAAACGGTCCGCACGCGGAAACACGAACGAGGGGGCCGTCACCGGCTGGGGGAACCCGCTACGCAGCCAAGGCGACACCTGCGCACGGACAGAGGCAGCGTTATCATTTGACGCACCAGACCCGGCGATGACGTCAGCACGTAGACTTCGGTACTAAAGCTCTGACGAACTTCTTGAGGGCTAGACGAGCCCGAGTTCACCACTGCTGTTCGTGTCAGATCGGAGAGCAGTAACCCTTGTTTCAAGGGAATGAAATGCTGTAAGGGGGGGGCCCGTGAGGCAATTGGAATGAGCGAGGGGACGCAACGTCCGGGGGGCGCGGCGCACCTCGTTGGCGAGGGGGAAGGTGAGGTTGATGGGCACGGGCGCGGTGGGCTGCTTGCCGAGGATGTGCCCGTTGAACTCGTGGAAGTCGAGGTGCACGGCGGGCAGGTTGGGGTGCGGCTTGAGCAGCAGCAGCGTGAGGCCCAGCAGCAGGAACAGCGCGGGGATGACCAGCTGGAACACGCACCCGCGCACGTCGCGCACCGCGCACAGCCACCGCTTGCGCAGCAGCGCGCGGCAGTGCTTCCAGAACATCTTGCGCCGCACGCGCGCCATCACCCACCGGCTGCTGCTGCCCACCTGGAGAGGCGCAACCGGTGTTCGTGGAAGCGGAGCGAAAAAGCGCTCAAGGACTTGAATGGTGAAATACAGACATGCTTTCCAAAAGAGGTGGGCTTTTCGTTTCGAGCGACTGTCAATCTACAAAAGGTCACTGCCTATTTATAAACGGCCAAGAAAGGCCGTTCCGGTACCAGGGCTCTAGCTTCATGCAATGATTTGTGATATTCTGGACACTTCAATATAAACCAGCACCGACCAGCAGGTCGGTTGCAAAGCAACGATCTCCTGCCAACCTGAACCACTGAGCCCTGCGCGTGTCCCCTCCGCAACTTGTGTGCCCACCTTGCTGAGGGTCGGCCCCGGGCGCCCGGGCTGCCCCTCCTTGGCCCCTCCTCGCTCCGCGTCTCCCTCCCTGCTGACGCTCGCTTCGGCGCGGCCCTCGTGCCCTTGCTCTCCGCCGTTCATCCTGTCCTCCTCACTATCCTTATTCTGCTCCGCGTCCCCGCGTGCGATGCGCAGGAAGACCTCCTCGAGGGTGGTCACGCTGACGCCGTAGCCCGCGATGCCTCGCTCCGCGGCCGCGGCCGCGTCCAGGTCGTGGAACAGCGCGGGGAAGGCCGCCGTGTGCGCGAGCGGCAGCCGGAACGCCAGCTCGCTCGCCACCTGCACGGCCACGAAACGTGAATAACTTCGGGCTTGTTCGGAAACTGATAAGCCAATAAAGGGACGGCGAACGGCTAAGACGAGCTTATACAGGAGAGCCTCTGCAACCTCCTCGTGAGTGACGACTTTTGAAACACCGCGTTCCAAGGATGACGGCCTAGCAACAATCGAGATGACGAGGAGGGGATGGTGAAGCACGTCACTCAGAGTGACTCCACCCGAAGTGAGAGCTCATCTTCCAAAGCTCGGGCCAGCAGCACGAGCGTCGAAACAGGGCGTGCCTGGGGCTCAGCCAGGGCACGTCGTTTGCGCTCACGTCGTTGACCAGGGAAGCCACAGGAACGTGGCGTCGTATGGTGTCCTCAATAGCCGTCGAGTCGCAGTCCGCCTTCTGCAGGGGTATTCGGCGAGCCCCAAGTCAGCTTTCTGAGGGACCAGCGATGCATAAGAGCACTGATGCCATTATGTCGACACGTCAGCCCTAAGAAGCGTTCCTGTGCGCTTGTTCAGGTCGTTCATGCTGTGTTTCACTGACAGGGATTCGCCGGATTGGTCAGGAGACAAAGGAGACAGCACTGTGGGTGCGTGCGGGGCTCACCTTGATGAGCGTGAGCGTGTAACCGACGCCGAAACGGTTCTTCAAATACAGCGAGCTGCACGCCAAGCAGCATGCGTCAAAACTTCGGAATGTGGAATCCTTGCTTGGAGCGTCTGACGCATGAATCACACAAGGTGCAACCTTGACCGCGCCGGCGAGACAACCACATCCTAACCAGCTTAAATCAGATCGTAATTCTTCAGGCAGTAACCTTCTTGAAAGCTTGCAGAGTAAAATTAGCCCTCGCTTGTGGCGCAAAAGTCTTGAAAGCTAAGCGGCTATGCTTACAGTTAGGCAAGGCTCGTCTATTCAGAAGGCCTCAGAACACTAATGTCGTGATTGCGAATGCCTCAGGCCGTCTTGTTTACTGTTACTGGTTTCAAGAATGAGTTGCTGACCTGGCGGCCGCCCGCAGCATGCCATGGCTCATGATAGCGATCCTGTCGCCCAGCGCGTCGGCCTCCTCCATGGAGTGCGTGGTGAGCAGGATGCAGCGGCCCGCCTTGCTGCGCTTCAGCAGCCGCCAGATCGCGCGCTGGCTGTACGGGTCCATGCCCGCGCTCGGCTCGTCCAAAATCACCTGCGCCACAGCATTCCCCGTGCCATCAAAACAGCCAGGGAAGGTTCTGTGCGCAGGAAAGGCAGTCAGAGGACAGCAAGGACATAGAGGGGGCAACAATCGGGAGTCACAACGGCGGTGCCGACATGCTGAACTTGAGACGTGCGCTTTGCAGAACAGGAAAACTGGACATTAGCGACCCTGAAGCCAACCATTCCGGCAGCGAAAAACTATAGGCGACTGCAGGGCTTTGGGGGCAAATGCGGCGGACAGACTCACCACGCGGCTGCCCCCCAGGAGGGCGATGGCCACTGAAAGCTTGCGCTTCATGCCCCCGGACAGGCTGGCAGCGCGCGCGTGGCGCTTGTCAGCCAAGCCGACCTGAGCATAGCGACGTCGCCTCAAGTTAGTCATGATTCTGCTGGACTTTGGCGAGGCTCATGAGACATTGACGTCGACCAAAGGCCCAATACCACTGCCAGTCCGTGACCCTCTGCAAATGGTTATGCTAGTTATTGCGAGCGGGCATAAACAACGAACATCCCATTCAAAATGAAGCGATCCAAAATGATGCGATCCAAGCACTCAAGCAATCAGACTTCGACAACAGTCTTTGCCACTAACCAAGCGCATAGCGGGCACTCACGCTCTGGATCATGTTGGCCACTTGGGCTGGGATGGCGGCGCGGTCGACGTCCTTGAGCGTGGCAAACAGCTGCAGGTGCTCCTCCACCTGCACCCACATACAACGCTCAGAGGCGCGCGGACACTGCGTAGGGATCGGCTACATAAAAATGCATGTAGTGGTGCGCCGGGTACGGTCACATAAACGCAGACAACTATGTTTGGCGAATGTACAGGTGAAGGTTTGGATACAGGCGATAGGCGAGTTGAAGATTCAGCAGGGGGCTGACCGTGAGCTCGGGAAAGAGGATGTCGTGCTGCGGGCACACGCCCAGCTGCCGTCGAATGGCGTCCTGCACAGACGGAAAGGCGCCTCAGAAGCGTAGTTGTACGGAACTGTACCGCAGTTTCCAAATTGGAGTACGACGTAGAAGCGACCGTCCTCATCACGATGACGTTTGCAAGAATACAGAGCGGACCCTAAACAGAAGCGTGTAGCAGGAGTTGCCACGTCATCCATCATTGGAGTGCGATCTCGCCAGAAGCAGCAGAAGCACTTTGGGAACGCCGGGATCGTGTGAGACCATGCCAATGCGAGCGACGAAGTCACCCTGCGGACACGACGTCAGCAGACTCGCAAATGTTGCCGCCTACTTGATCCATCCCAGCACAAAATCGGTGGAGAACACGATGGCATAGACAGCAGAATTCAGCACTTCCTTCCGCCTACTCACGCCCTCACCATGTGCGTGTGGATGCTCTTGCCGCGCACGTCCGCGTCCCCCGCTGAGGGCGGCACCAGGCCGGTGAGCATGGCGATGGTGGTGCTCTTGCCAGCCCCGTTGTGGCCCAGCAGCGCCGTGATCTGGCCCTCGTACAGCACCAGATCCACCCCTGCTACGGCCACCGCGCCGCCAAAGTCCTTGCGCAGCCCGCTAACAACCACGCACCTGCGCGCAAACATTAAAATCAGCTGAAGTCAACGCTACCTCAGACAGTCGTTAACGAAGTTTTCACACTTCCGCAGGGGTAGAATACTCCCAAAAGATCTGTGCTACAAGATTGTTGGCGCTCCAAAGCTCTTTTCTACATGGTACTGTTGGCGCTCCCAAGAGCTGTTACAAGTCGTACGGTTGGCGCTCAAGTGGTGACCCTGTCATCCACGTAACAAGAGTCAAACACGACACGAGCAACCTGTTTGGGAGTTCGCTTGTCGACCGATAGAACAGCTGGACTTTCATTATAAACTCTACCACGTTCAGTCATTTACCTGGCCTCCTTCTCCTGCCGCCTCAGCGTCCTGCCCACCGCCTCGAAGCCTTCCCCGCGCGGCTCCTCCCGCGCCTCCCCCCGCCCGACGTCGCTCATGCCGGAGTCGCTGCTGAAGCCCGACTCCCACTGCTCCACGCTCTCCACGCTGCGCTGCCTCAGCAGGCCCGCCTCCAAGTCGGCGCTGCCCCCCGCCGCGCGCGAGAACCGGCCCGGCCGCATGGGCTCGGGGAGCGGCCGCACTGGGGCCCAGTAAGAGCGCAGCAGCGGAAAGTACCAGGGGCGCGCCACGCCATGCTCGCGCGGGAGCACCTGCAGGGGCAGAAAGAGCGGGCACGGGTCGAGAGAAAATTTGGAAGGAGTCTGACCTCAGTTTACGCAGGTACTTCACGGGGCAGAACAAGTACCGTGTTGCCAGACAGCCGTATGTTACTTCTTTTCACGACAAGAAGATGGAGGGAGGCCATGCAAAGTGATGCAAGGGGAGAAAATGGATGACAAGGCTGGGGGCCCCCGCTAGAAGCTGCACACGCATCAAGCCCGGCGCGACTTGTTACCTTGTCAGCGTACCAGCCGAGGCCGCAGTAGAGCAGGCCGTCGAGCAGCATCATGAGCAAGCACACCCCGAAGTTGATGCCCGACGACGGCTGCAGACGCACATCGCGACATTGCTCAGGGGTGGGAGAAAAGCAGACGCTGAGGATATAGAACGGCTGATGCTGGCAGGGTGTAGACAAACATCGGCGATCCGCTGCAATGTTCGTCAAAGAGGCTCGTTTCTGGAAAAGCGCTCCGATACGAGCCCTACGTTTCGGGTTCCGACGACCATCTGTCTGTATGATCCACAGAGCACATTACGATCGTAAAGATGATGGAATGTCTCATTCTGAGTTGGACGGCGGCCCGCGGGTGGGGCTCACCTGGAAGATGTTGCTCCAGCGCAGGCCGACGTGGCCCTGCTCGTAGTCCGCAAAGTTGGCCGTGCCCAGCGCAAACGCGGTCGGGCTGGACAGGCTGCCCACCACGCGCGCCCACCTGCAGCAGCCGCGCACCAAAATGGTTGAGCTTCCCGTCCTTAGAAAAAAGCCGCGACCTCAGAGAAGTGACACCAGGGACACAGAAGGGTGCTGCCTGGTGCAGGATATGTCAGAGTGCAGTCCCACTCAAAACCACAAAGAATCTGCGAAATTAATGGGCCTCAGGCAGTATTTCCTACGATCTACATAACATGTCCCACAGTCGGCACAGATTCGACGATTGAAGATCAGGCATTGATTCTCGATGCCTGTTCTAGGTGAATTCGAAAGGGACCAAACATACGACTCCTTCTCCAAGCGATGTTACATGACGTGAACAAGAAGAGGGGGTGGTTACGTGAGGGTTGTCCGGAACAAGATGCGTGCAGTGATGGCTGCAGTGGATAAACGAGGAACTGTGGCACAGCGGAGGGGCACGTGGCGCGGGGCGGGCCTCACCCTGGGGCCTGCGGGTCGACGAGGGTGTAGTAGGGGAAGAAGGCGCCAAGAAACGCGAGCGCGCCCACGGAGGCAGCGGTGCGCGCGCGCGAGAAGAAGGTGGAGAGCAGGAAGCAGAGGCCGATGGAGGAGAGGCCGAAGACGAAGAAGTAGGCGAAGACCACGCTCTTGTCGCTGTGAGCAAACAGGCTGCTCCACGTCACCGCCGTGATCACGGCCGACGTCACGCCGAACTGCGGGAGCAAAGAAGGGCAGGCCAGTCAGAAGCCCGAGCAGAAGTGAAAGAAGTGGAGACAACTGCGCTCGGGACGTATCCATGCGCCGGACAACGGCGCACGGCGCAGAGACAAAACAGAAACAAAAAACTGTTCTTAGCAGCAACAAGCGAGCTCATCTACGATGCCGACCCTTCTCATCCTCCTCCACATGTCAAGCACAACCTCCCCTGGACTCCGTGTTTCCTTTCCAATGTCTGCTCGATCTTTTTGCCCATGTATCACTTTTCTACGGCGCCAACGACCTTCTGTTTAGAACAGGTTCCAGTCGGGGGCAGGTAACGCTGTTCGGCATGTCCATTAAGGAGGCGCGGGAAGTGACACCCCGCGGCCGGCGCGTTTACCTGCACGCCGTAGGTGATGAGCCAGGCCGTGTTGACGGCGGTGTCCGTCATGCCCATCATGGCCATGCCCTCCTTCAGCCGGTCCTCCTGCACGCACGCCAACACGTCGGCTCACGCGATGCAGCACCAAGCCCACACCCTCGAAAGTGGAGGCGATTTACACGCTCCAGAATGGACGCTGGCGCAAGGGCGTCTTGAGCGAACGAGCTATCAGTGGTGGTCAAGTGCTGGGTATGGACGGAGGGCCCGCTTACCTTCTCCAGCACCATGTGCCGCAGCAGTCGGGAGATGGGGAACATGAACCCCAGGAGATACCTACAAGACGGCAGGTGGCAGGCAATCAAACGGCGTGTCTACGAAAGTCACAAGTGGGTGCTGGGGTGCGTTGCGCAATCTCCCACTGATTGCATTCTTGTTGTCACCAACAACTATCGACAAACTGTTCTCAAAGCTGTCCGCCACCAAACAACCCATAGCCACGTTCATGTAGTTCTTGTTTCAATCACTACCATTTTCACATAATTCACAATAGAGCATTTTCTTCGCGTCGGCGTCTTCAAAGAAGATTCAGAGAAACAAATTGTTCTTCGAATTTTGGAAAGTGCGGGGTGCACATAGAGAATTCGCCCTCTGTCTTGTAAGCCATGGATGTCGAACTCAATCAGTGCACGGACTCAATTCCCTTGGCGCCTTCTAACATACAATCAATCATCCTCGAGGATGCTCGAGACATTGGGTACACTGGCACTGCAGACGGTGCTGCTTCGAGGTGGCAGCGCGCGTTCCTCACAGGACGGCCATGACCTTCTTGGCGATGGCCTGGAAGGAGTCGTCGGTGTAGCCCGGCGTGGGGAAGGGCGCCACTGCGACGTGCTCCGGCAGGTTCCAGTGGAAGCTGCGCGAGCACAGCAGCCGCGACGGCGCACCGCGGCACGCGCTGTCCTCCTGGGACGAGAAGATGATGTACGAGTCCACCACCTGCTGCAGCTGCACCAACGAGACGCAGGGAGCGGAGTCAGATCAACGGGCCGCATGACTCACATTTTTTAGAATAGCATGGAGGGCCCCCGCTAACCAGATCGGAGAGCTGGAACTGTCTGAAGGTAGTCTTGTAGAAGTAGTGGTTCCCATGAAGCGTCAAAAGCTTTGAGAGGTTCACCTCAGACGTGTATTTAAACGTCCGATGTAATGTCTCACATTGATTATTTTCGGCTCTCCGAGGTTCTCGTACTTTTCTGGTGTGTCCTTCATTTCTAATTGAGAATGCGAGACCTCTCCCATCTTATCCTTCAACCTAGAACGCTCCCAACACTTTATTTCTAGGTAAGACAAGCGTGTGGCCGACAAACTTACCGTGAGGAAGCCGGAGAGCGCGTACTGCGTCTGCGAGATGAGGTTGAGGCCGAGGAAGAGGTCGTTGACGCCGGAGCCTTTAGTGTCCATGATGGTGCGCAGGTCCGGGAAGCCGCTGGGCGCCCACGAGTGGTTCAGCCGCAGCGAGTAATCATACGCAGGGCCCGTCGAATGGAACACCACCGCGCCCAACAAGAAGGGGTGCACCTCGCCGCTGCACGGTGCGGAAGAAGCTGACGTGAGTAGAGCCTAAGGAAGACGTCATTAGCCGTATCAAAGTAAGGAACAGAAACGAGTGCGGTTGGGCAGCTTGATGCAAGCATTGAAGCCACTACGAGATGGTGACATAAGGCCATGAGAACAACCGCTGTTCTCGAGGCGCTCGGTCGCTGTACTTCCAGAACGAGAAGCTATTTCCGGCTCGATGCCTCAAGGCTACTTCCACCAGTATGGCGGAAGATGACAGCAAGAGATGCTATAACAAGCTTAGATCGCGGTTCGCAGCACAATGTCAAAGGTTGCAGACTAAAGTGTTGCCCCGCCGTGGCGGAAGTGCGTCACCTGACTGGGTCCGTGGTGCCGTATTCCCGCGTTTGAACATACGCCTCCAACGCCGCCTCGTCGGGATACAGCAGCGCCACCTCCTGCAGCATTTGGTGGGCAGCCTCATCAGCCCCCGGAAAAGAATCTCGATATGGCCTGGCCCACTTTTATAGGGCCCAGCACACTTTGGTCTGGAAAACGACTGACACCACGAGAACAACGAAAAGACTGCCGAAAAACGACGTAGGACTTGACAATTTTCGGAACAGGCCGCGACCCTGCTGTGGCTGCTTCTTGTTGGGCTACATCGATTACAGGTTGCGTAACAACAAGGAGCCCACATGAGCTGGAGCGTTGCGCTCAATCCGTACCTTGAGCTTTGGGAACTGCATGGAGAGCAGCGCGACCATGTCCTGCACCCACGACGAGTTGCCCGGCACAAATGCAATGTGCGCGGCGCGCCTGGCGCAGTGGTCCAGGATGGCGGGGAACGGCGCGGACGCGTCGGAGGCACCGACGCGCACGTACGTCTTGGGGGTGATGTAAGCGGTGGTGGCGTGGAACGTGTGGTCCACCTGCGTGCGCAGGACCATCAACAGCACCAGCACGCACACGGGCAAGAGCACCTGGGGGGAGAAACAGGGTGGGGTGGTGAAAACAGAGACGGGAGGGCGCTTCACGGTATCTTTCCTTGGACTTGGTGGCGTGTTTACGAGTAGGCGGCGAAGGTGACGGGCATGGATCCAAAGAATGTGAAGACGGTCCTCTGTCTTACATACGAGTTGACCTGGAAGAGAACATCTTGCCGGTGGCCTTGAGAAACCAAAGATAAGGAACCCCGAATTAAAGTTCGATCTGGGCCAGGTGAATGCTCCTTCCTTCTCGAACTTGCGATAGTCAGTCAATCTTCAGGTGACTTAGAAAAGCGCAGAGGATGCTGAGTTCGACACAACATCAAGAAACTCCTGACGCACTTATAATATTCAGTGAGGGTATCGTGCTTTGAAAGTGGCAGAGGATGATATTGGATCATAAGGACATAGATGACCGTCATGTTGGTGCCTCACCTCAAGCGCTGTGGAGAGAGGGTGCCGTTTCTTAAGCAGCCAGTTCTTCCAAAGCAGCACGCTCAGCAAGCGCCAGAAGCGCCCCATCGCACCCCCTTGGCAGAGATTCACGGGCACCGCCCCGGTCTACTTGCTCCCATGGGGGCCGGGCCGTACTAACTTCTGTGCCATTGGCTGCGGGGCACTTATGGGCAGCTCTCAATTGAGATGGTTGCAAACCTTTCAATAGTGTCCCTACTGTGCAGTCTCTGTGCAACAAACGTTTTCACTTTGTCTCATCAGATGGGGGCAGCTTGCTTGGTGTAGAATTGAGCTGCAGGAAGGGAAGTGTCAGCAGTCACTTCGCTGGTCTCCATCGTCTTTGTAACTTTCACCAGGCAACATGGCTGATGTCTAGTTGGTGCAGGTCAGCTTGAATGAGTTGTCTTCGCAGTTGATCTGAACCTGGCCAAACACTAACATTGATGCAAGTCTAGGGCGGCCAAGTGCTTGACTTTAGACTCGGAAATTACAACTCAATATTTTGGGTTTACAAATACCCAGTTGTTCTTACTGAGGCTCAATGAGGCTCAATGAGCACACCTGACATAGTGTGATGCAGTGCCTTAAAGCAACAATGAAGAAAAAAGTAAGAGAGAAACAGCGGTTTTTCAAAAGCTAAGGGGTTTCTGATGTGCGCCCATCTCTAGCAGCTATTGCCCAAATAAAGTAGCATTCTGCACTACCCAACTGGGGCCTGACATTGTGTGCATTCCCGGGGGGGCAATCAGGTGGCTTTGATAAGTTCACTATTGTGTGCCCACCATGAGAACTTGCCCCCCGACATTGGCATGATGACCAAAATCATTGAGAAACTTACTTCCTAGCAAGCACTCACATAACAACCAAGCGCATAAGCCCAATGTTCCTGTAAATTTGACAGCATCCTTCATGGTTCTAGAACCACCAAAGATTGCATTACATGAGGAAAGTCAGCAGGTGCAAGCCAAGGTTGTTGAAAGTGACCCTCACCACCAAAATCCAAGCCTCGCCACGCAAAGAACTTGAGTTCAGGCAGATTGGATCATCAAAAAGTGCAGGCTCTTTTGACCAATTCTGAAGCAGGTCGTGAAAAGAAGTATTGATATGCATTGATCAGGCACCCGCAACGTAGTACGCCTCCGAAGATTGGCATGCATCCAAAGTGCGCTTTTCAAGTGAAAGCCTAACAGAAATCTGCTCCCTAGCTCGATAGATCCCCTGTGAAGATTCTCTACCTACTTATCCTATGCTGCCAGTGCAACGTTTGAACATGTCTTCAAGTTCCTTGAGGCTGAGCAGTCCCAGACTCCCAGCGCCTATCCAAGTTGGGCCAAGACTTTTGAGACTCAATTTTGCAGATTCCGTTTGTCCTTAGAACCCTAAGATTAGATTCCGCTGGGCGGCGCTCTTGCATCCCCCAACTTTTACCGTTGTAGCCCGTTCAATGACGTCTTTTCGTTCAAATCTTGGACAAAGGCCTAATACCCCCTGGGATTGGTGTCTACTGGTAGCTTTTGCAAGCCTGCCGTTTCTTCTCCCGCCTGCCATTGTTCCGCGTTGTTTATCAGGTCAGCGGAACGACCTTCTCCAAGTAAAATGGCCAGCTGAAATCCGACAGAACTTGAAGCTGCAACTTTGCGGCGGCGCAGTGCAAGACTCAGAGCTACTTACATTTTTTCCTGTCACCCAGCTCGACTTAGGTTGCCCTGCCCCTTGCAATGGGCTTCAGTTTCATGGGCGCCCTCTGAAAACCTCCAGCATCTCGGCATCTGCAACTTGGGTCACAGTGACGGGATCATCATAGACAGGCTTACGGACTCTCACGGTCTCAGTACCTTCTTTCAGTTTCTTCTGTATTATCAAACCGTCTCTGAGACACTTCCTCATTACTTGCTAAACTGTCCAATAAGCCCTGTCGCAGGACACAAAACTACCGGTACATGCTTAGAGGTAAGCTTTTCGTTGTTACTGAAAGGTCCTTGGTTGGTGACAATGCGTAAGCCACTCGACGTGCAAATCATATTGAGCACCACGATGTAGATCATGGCTGGTATCACAGCATTTCCTTGGTTGGAGTTTCCAATTGCTTCCTCGGGGATGTGAACACTGGCCCGCAACTTCTCTGTATACCAACACTTCAAGTCCATTTGTTTCCCCATTAGATAGATGAATGACAAAGATTGCTGTCTGTGTTCAACGTGACGCCAAGTGCTTGATTGAAGCTACTCTTCTATGCAGGTTGAAGTGCTTCATTGCGTCAGCTTGTTAGATAAGTGGCACGATGCTGCTTCTTGAAGCGCAGCTGTCGGAAAGCGGTCGGCCAATCCTCCAGCCCGGAGAGATCGAATGCCAGCTTATTGACTCGACAGACATTGACCTAGAGCAGGAAACCAAGCCACCCTACTGGAATCCACTACTTGGGGGGATCGTTAGCCTCACAACCCACAGAATCATCTGGATTGAGCGGACACGGAAAAAGGAGCCAGTCCAGTCGCGCGCTTTCGCAATCCCCCACCCTGCAGTGCATGCTTTGGAGCCTCCCAAAAAGGGCGGGCTCAAGTCCCTGTTTGGGAAGCAAGCAGTGAAATTACGGATTGTTGTTGGTATTCGGAAGGACGGCGCTTTGGCAACAAGAGATGCCGCAAGCGCGGTGCGCGTAGTCATGGTGTTCCGCAACCTCGACTCAAACAGCGATGCATTCGTGACGAGATTCCAGGTGAGACACATACGGAGCTTGACTCTTCATCTGCCAAGCGACAACCCAGCTCTAGGCCAATTCGTAATTGGGCAGCAGGGCTTTATTCTGCAAATCTACAGGAAAGGGGTGGTTGTCAAAACGGGGATGTCCTAAGGTACCAGCATGAAGACTTATCATTCGTTGGCCACTATGCTTTACAATCTAGTGGATTGCTTCAATAAATACAGTTGCTTGCGCAGTGATACTCAGAAGCAGCCCTCAGTCAAGACCTCCGTCCCGTCATTCCAGGAAGTTTTGGAGGCGAAAGCCTGGACGGTCATCCCCCCCACCTCTGCCCTGCCCGGGCGGGCCCATCCCGGGTCTGAGCCCTCGTTCTCGGGGCGTCAGGACGGCTCGCAGCCGTCCAGAGCGTTCACAACAGCGCACGCGGGTGTGTCCGGCATCTTGAAGCGAGAGGAAGCGCAGGCGAAGCAGGCAGACGAAACACTGCAGGAGGCATTCGGCGACCTGAATGCACTTATGGTGAGGCCGGGCGGCTGTTAGGTAGTGAACGAGAAGGAAGGAGCACGATGTCGGACCTGTTGCCTGCCACAGCTTCCGATTGCATTTGTTGTGGATGTATCGCCTCAGAGTCAATGTAAGGGGGAGAGTCAAGTTTAGTGATTCTTACTTCAATCGTTGTTTCCTTCAAGCTGCCAGATAAATGACATTCCTTTGGCTCAAACCGTTCAGCCGCCCCTCCACTGTGCTAGAGTCGCTCCAAAGCTGACTGTACACGTCTGAGTTAATCCTTCCCCTTCGGAACGGTGTCCTTACGATCCAAGGATTACACTCGTCCTGTTTGCGGACTAACAGAGGGATAATCACACAAATAGCGTCTCGTCGCAGAGCAAAGCCAAGGACATGGTAGCGCTGGCGGAGCGGATACGCATGCGCCTCGCCGGGTCGAGCGGGGGGACCGGTGGGGGCACGGACGAGGGGGAGGGCTCGCGCCAGGAGATGCAGGACCTGCTGCTGAGCGTGGGGATAGCGTCCCCGGTGACGCGCGAAAACGCGGGGGCGCTCTACCACCAACAGCTGTCCAGACAGGTGAGAGGAGGAGAGTTCCAGGCGGGGGCAAAAGACAGCGGCCTGATGACATCGCTTGTGAAATATGGAGGGACTGAACCGAGGTGCAGCGAAGTTGCAAGCTTTGAGCTTTTCTGGGGACTGACTTCGTCACGTTCAAGCGTCCTGCTATGGCAAGAGACAGCCCAGGCTAGTACCAGGATTTCCGCTAAGCCCCAACTACTGGTCAGCCTGGCACCATTCGGCACCGGCTCTGAGTGCTCTTCCTGCTTTGCAGCTGTCCGACTTTGTGGGGCCGTTGCTCGTGAAATCCAACGGGATGATGGCGCTTGTGGATGTCTACTGCTTCTTCAATCGCGCTAGGGGGACGGGTATGTTGTTTCCGTCGCCCCTACATGTAACCGATTGATTCGGCTCGTGTTTTTTCTGAGATTGAAATATGTAGGTCTGGTGGATGCGCCTGCTCCACTTCCAGCGCTGTTCTCGCTGATCTAACTTGTGTGCGAGAGAGCCCCTTCTCAAAACCGTGCTATCTGCCGCTGAACGGTGTAGCAACGCCATTCGTACAAATTGATCATTAAACGGGGAAGTCTCGATTCGAAGTGCACTTTGTAACTCCTTCGACTTTCTCCAATCTTTGGACCTCTTTTCAAAGGTTGTTCCACAAACCTATCTTCCTTCCAATCAGTCCCCCTGTCCGCATCTCAACGTCCCGCCCGATTCGTACCCCTTCCCTGCTGCAGAGTTGATCTCGCCCGACGACCTGCTCCAGGCGTGCCGGCTGTGGGAGCGCGTGAACGCGCCAGTGCGGCTGCGGCGCTTCGAGAGCGGCGTGCTGATCGTGCAGGCGCGCGGCCACAGCGACGAGGCCATCTTCGCGCAGCTCGCACAGCTCGTCAAAACGCCCGACGGCACGCACTTCGGGATCAGCGCGAGCGACGCGGCGCGCGCTCTGGGGCTGCCGCCGGCACTGGCCAAGGAGGAGCTGCTAGCGGCGGAATACCGAGGTGGGCGGGGCGGTGTCTGGACTTGCATGAAGCGTGGATAAGGCAACTCGGAGCAGCCGGGGGAAGTAGCCAGATACGGGGGATACGGTAGACACGGGGCAATCGTGTGTAGTGTGCGCTTGCCGTTCTGTTTGCATCGTCAGATACATTGTTACAAGAGCTTGTATCCTTGTTTCCGGGTACATGTGATACGGCTCCAGTTTGGCTTTGTTTGTCGTCAGGTTCAACGGGGGATTTCGTTGTATCGAGCTCTGTTTCCCGGAGTTTCCTTACGATCTTTCAAAAGAGCAAAGAGCTGGTTGTTATAACAGCACCGTTACAGGTCTGAATAGAGTTTGGCCTGAGATCTGGTCTAGTTCAAAGGCCGCGCCCAATGTGTGCCCTGGCAGGCCGTTGATATAACTCGATGCTATGACTATGCTCCACAAAAACTTTTTACCTAAGATCAAACACTGCAACCCTCCTCCTCGGCAGGCATCCAGTCTGCAGCGCTTGTGCCAATGGGCTGTATCATCTTCTGCCCGCAGGACTCCTGTGCCGAGACGATGGGGCGGATGGCCTGCGCTTCTATCACAACTTCTTCCTGGAACTCGACTCGTTACAAGAAGCAGCAGCAGGGCAACAACAATGACGAGCACTCACCCTCTTGGTATTTGTGTGCCATTCGCGGCAGAGGTCGAGGTAGGGTGACAGCCATGCACAGAACCTACGTGAAGGCTCAATTGTAACCAGCCCGCTCAGCGGCCAAGCAGCTTCGAAGCGACACGATCAAAGCAACATGCTTGCCGGTCTAAATGTGCGAAAATCGAGTCAGCAGCCATTTCTTCAGGTCCAGCTCGACGTGGTAACGTGCGCCACAGCACGAAGCAAGATGGTCACAAGGTCAAGAACGTCTTGCTCTATCCAGATCATGACGGGACAGCAGAGCGTCAGACTTTGTTGACTCGACAGGATTCATTTAAGATCTTCAATGATGTAACCAGTCGTCTAGCTATTGCACGGCATGCTTATAATCAAGCTTTCACAAGAATCCGAGTCAGCATGACCATCACCATCATGCATTATAGATGAACTTTTTTGACAGTAGCTCCGTGCGCACATGATCAATAAGTATGTACATGGAGTCAATCGACCGCGCCGGACTCACATGGCGGCATCTGACACATGTGACCTCTGGGCGCCGCCATGCCAAAGCTAGTCCGACGAACATGTCATGAGCACGACGGTCATGTATGATGCATGGCATGTATCATCATTGTCATTGCACCGCGCTCGTGCAGCTCATGATCGTCTCGTGTGGTTTGCATGGTTCGCGACTTGAAGTTGTGGTAATTGTACCACGCGAGATGTGATAAATTTGTCCACGTCTTTCTCTGCATAAATATTGATGCGAACTTAAGAAAGATTCCGTTCAATATGGAGTGGGCCAGATCGCAATACAGATTATCTACCTCAGGCCGGGCCTAGTCTAGGAAGCGCCGGCCAGTGATCACTTTCTGCAATACTGAATTAATTTCTAACACTGAACCAGTCAGCGGCTCACTGAATTGAATTGCGGATAACCTCATACATGTTGGCAAGGACAGTCACTAGTGCATAGAGCTAGATGCATTTCAATGCTGGCATGCATGTGCACTATCGGAAACACTGATCGACGCACAATCAGACCGAGAGATCATTGCGTCTATGATATGAGACCGCATGCTACATATATTGCCGCAAGCTAAGAAAGCTGAATCAAAACATTGTTCAACAATCAGCCCGGGGCCAAACTAATCTGCACAAGCAGCTCATCGACATTGGGCAAGAGCGATAGGCCGCCTGCAACGAAGCTGGACACGTGGCCCGTTCGCATGGCCCAGGCCGCCAGTTGCAAGCATTTGTCTCGCATGTTCAAGGTGAACGCCGCCATCGGTAGCAGGCACAGAGTAACAAACGGGTAGCTCAACATTCAAGAAAGCGGCGGGTTTTTTGACGTATTCCTGAACCTTAAGCTGTAAGTACGCAAGCACCGCCCGCCTCCTTGATCCTCTTCTCCGCCAGCTTGCTGAAGAACTTGGCCTTGACCACCAAGGGAACGGCGGGGAGCTCGCCCTTGCCCAACACCTTGAAGATGCCAACCTTGGTCACGTCCAAAACGGGGGCCTGGCCCTTGCCAGCGCCAGCGAGCTCCTTCTTGGTGGCTGCACCAAGGAACAGCGGGTGCTGTCAGAACTCATTATATCAACAACAAAGACTTCATAACAGAGTAGATCTACCTCTCAGCCTTGAGGTGCCAACCTGTTGAATGGACATGCCGCCGGTTGCTACACAGGTCTGCCAAATGCCGCCGGTTGCTACACAGGTCTGCCAGAAAAGTGTCCTTTGCAAGACCGATGTATCGAGCTTTCAAAATTGGATTCAATCAAAATTCTGGAAACGAAAGTAGAGGTTGTTTCCCATCAGCAAACCCAGCACCAGAATAATGCGAGTGACAAACAAGCGGACGACCTTCCCAATTGTCCGTCTCCTATCCAGGAACAAGATAAGACTCCGGCGCAAAAAGAACCAAAATATGGCGCAGACTGCCCCAGAAAAAAATGCATGAAGCCACCGAGGCGGATCAAATGTATATATGTGGTTCTTAGAAGGCTGCCGAGAAGGTCAATTGCGGCTCCATGAAAGTTGTGATCTATAGAGTTTGCTTTGTAGACTTCAGGATGCAAAACTTTGTCACCATCGGGGAACTGAAAACCCAGTCCTATAAACGGCATGGCAGAGCGGAGTCCCTGGGCGGCTCCCCGGCTGATCGCATTGCTCTTTCCCCGTGATCTACCCACAGATATTCAAAACGAGAAAAAAGTTTGAAAAAATAGATGCACTTCGGCAACCGCAAAATCGCTGCAACCAGGCCAAGTGTGGTCCAACAAGGAACGTCCCTCCTCTTCCTTGACTAAGCCCTACACCCGGCCCGAGCAGGCTTCACTTTCAGGTGATTAGAAGTTTGCTCACACAGAAACACAGAAACTTGTAGACGCAACCTACTGAAAACTCTCAGTATTCTCCCTTTACAGCAGGTTGGAATATCTGTGACCGCAAGGGCCTCAAATCTGCGGCTTTACAGCAGGGCAAAGCTAAGCAACCATGGCTTGCCCTGGGACAACTCATGAAAAAGAGGAGGCCATACCCTTGGGGCAGTACTTGGAGGCCAAGACCCCCAGGCCAACAAAGTGAAAAACCATTATCAGCCCCTTAGATGCTAATGACAAGGAGCCAGACCAAAAGCCTTCCCCTCCTGTACCCTCTGTTCTTCCAAACAAGCCGTAGCCTCTTTGTAACGTTGCCCTCTTCCAGCAAAGAAGAACCAGGCATGCCGCGCTGGCAAAGCAGAAGCGCCAAAGGCACGGTAATGGTCCTCACCCTCGGGGACTAGGGACCAGAGCTTGTCTAGGTTGATGATGGGGTTGTGGAACTGGTTCTTGGTCTTATGGAAGTATCTCTGCCCGACTTTGCCGAAGTACCCGGGATGGTACTTGTCCATCATGATGCGGTGGTGATGCTGCCCTCCTGCATTACCCCGCCCTCCGGGATGCTTTCTGTGCTTGCCGATACGCCCATGCCCCGCACTCACGTGCCCCCTCTTCTTCCGGTTCTTATGCAGGCGGGTCGTCATGGTGCCTCGTGCTCAGCCCAGCGGCCCCCTGGCGCCCAACCTGGTTCAAGCTGCTACAGGGCAGCGCTTCGCTGAAAGAGGGCGAAGGAGGAGGCAACTGCTCACTTTGTACCTGGTAGATTCACGAACTTTGACACTACTTTGATTGAATGGACACCACCGAATCGCGAGCACCCCACTTCTGGGCCACCTCCGAAACCCGATCACCTGTGGTGTCAAAATAACATTGTCAGGAAGGAAAGACGATAGCTGCGGTTGCCTGCGAAACGAAACTCGCCGTGAAACAAATGCCCAGTATGGCTGCGCAACAGCTTGCCCCGCATACAGTAATCTCAAGAACGCTGCCGATGCTGGTGGCTGAGATGGGCGAACTCCGAGGTCCCCCGTTTTGCTGAAATGGCGACTGTCGCCACTGCTCCTCGTTCAGGCTTCCTCTAGAATTCATGAGAGTCCAAGCCTGTAGTGATGTCACCGATAGCAAACCCTTCACATACCGTGCAAGCTCTACGGAATGAAGCTCCAGGGATTCATACGTTAAGGGTGTCTATCCGTACGTCATCGCCGGCTCGTCAGGGGCTAGTATCCCATGTCAATTGGTCAAAGATTGTGTCTTTACTGCTGACCAAGGTGGGGCACATTCGTCCTTTAGATGCTATCTGGTCCTCCTTGATGTGTATCTATGTACGTTTTGCAATCTCAATGCTGTGAACTTGAAGTAGGGTGTCCCGACACATTCTGAAGTGCATTTGCATGAACAGGCAGTGTGACCAAGTGTAAACATTGCAAGCTCCACTGTAAGATACGGAAAGTATGGTGCGTTTCTTACGCCACTCAGCCAGGTGGACTTTATATGCAGAATGAAAGAGCAACTTGGCCAACTCTTGTTTGGCACCCATTTGCAGGCTCGTCTTGTGACCGGAGGGCCCGGCCTTCAATGACAAAGTGAGGGTGCTATGCTGGTTCAGGATCCAGAAAGTTTTCAGCTTCTCAACGTAGCGTATCAATCAGTGCTGATGCTCTTAATCTAAAGGCACAGCTCTAGCTACGTTCAGCCCGTTCAAATCAATGCGTTGTCTTTTGAAAAGTTCTTTGCAAAGCTTCTAAAGATACAGAATCTATTCTTGTTTGGAGAAGTTCAGTTGCTGACCTGCAAACCAGTTGGCTTCTATAGTTGCCACCACCTCAGCATAAGAATGCTCCTTGATTGAAACACGTTGACTGTGAAGAATAGATTCAACGAACTTCAAGCAAGAAAATCACACCAGATTAGAGTTGATAGACAACCTCGTAAAAGCAAACAAGAGAAGGAATCGTCTCACTCTGGCAAGAAGCCCCAAGTCTGTTGGCAAGAGATTGTATCTCCCGTATTCCTTCTGAACATACCCTTTTTGTTTCTGTCCAGCTGAGGTCAATCCTGGAAGTATCGGGACACCACTGGTGGGCCACTCATGGCCCACAACCCGCCACCGGACCTCGGGCAGGAGGCTTCTGCCAGGCCGGTTGAAGAACAGGTCAGGAGGCGCCAAAGAAACCCCCTGTGAAGTCCCCTACATATCAAATAATTCTCACTAACAGCACAGCTACAAATCACTGAGGAGAAGATAACGCCTGCCTCTGTGCAATTTGCGCTTGAATCAAGTGTCCCGATCTGAGCTCACACAGTCATGAGCTACATGATCTCATAGTTACATGTTACGTCACCATGCATGTAACTTGATCTTCATGTGGATCATCCTTCTGTCTCGCGGTCTAGCTCTTATGCCCCGATTGGTCCAGCCTTCGGTCTTCTGGCATGGCCTCAAAAACTCAAAACATTCTACACTGTCCTTTCAGATACTGGAGATTTATGAAGACCTGCTCGACGGTTTCCTGGTAGACATTGCGTCTGAAGTGCATCGCGAGGCGGCCCTAGGCCCTGCTGCCCGGCCCCCTGACGAGCGGCCCCCCCTCCCTGAGCCTAGTCTTCCCCCTGGGCTGCCCCCCATCCCTGTTGCCAAGATCCCCAAGGACTGCCGGGTGGATGTTTTTGGGCAGATCATCCCGCCTGTGCCAACGGACAAGTTCAACTGCCAAAACTGCGGCAGCGTCGTAGTCGCCAGCCGCTACGCGCCGCACCTTGAGAAATGCATGGGCAAGGTGCGTCAGGAATGGCTGGTTTCTGCGGGGTCGCAACAGAAGTGCGTTCATTTCGTTGACAAATTCGTTTCATGACGAATGTGATTTGTCACCGCCGCCTGCTACCATATGCCCGCAACAGATGATCACTTCCAATCTCCCTCCAGTAATATACCCATAGCTACATTGAGAGGGTTCATCCTAGAAGTTCCTTCTTCCGATCCCTCTCTTTTGGGTTTCTTCCATTCTATTGTTTCTAAGAGCTGCCCCCTTCGTCCTTTTGCAGGGTCGCACCGCGTCGCGCGCTGCGTCGCGTGCTCTTGCCAGCCAGCAGAATGCGCGCCGCCTGCGCGCCAGCCCCGCCCCCTCCAGCGGCACCGCCACCCCCCCTCCCAGCCTGGCGGGGGGCGCCGCGTCCACAGAGGGGGGCCTCGGGACGGGCAGCTCGGGGGGGCTGGGAGAAGAAGGAGGAGCGGACGACTCGTCAGAGGAAAGTGACGACGAGGCCAAGGTGGGAGTCCGTGTCGCGTTTCGAGAAGGGGCCCTTGAAGCTTACTTGATTCCGCTCTTCGAGCTGCATCGACAAGTAGGTCTTGAAGCATGATATTGGGTATTGCACCGACAGTGCAGTCCGGATTCTTCGAGTCATCGTTTTTAGGAGAAGGATCGGTGGATTCCGAGAAACGAATGTGCTGAATTGTATATCTTTCCAGCTAGCGAGAGTGCAAGGTCAATTGTCACACGACCCAAAAGACTCGCACAAAAGTGTTCTTTTCATACTCCGGGTGATCTAACACCAAAAACATCGTCTTACCCCTTGACCGAGTTGTATTATCTACCTCGAGACTGAGAAACACTGTCTTCGTCGGATCAATAGAGTCTTATCAATCTCGAGATCTGGATTCGTACATCCACCTTAATGAAGCTCATTCTCAATCAAGCAATCAGCGTCGGCGTATTGAAACAGATAAGCCGTGTCTGCCCTCCAGGATTCTTCGTACGGCCCTGGGGGGAAGAATCGAGGTGGTCGAAAGGGCGGCCTGCGAAAGCTTGGCCCGCAAAAAAAGGGGCGGTCGGTTCGGCGGGGCTCGCCCCTCGCACGGCGCGAACTGCAGGGGTCGGGGAAACCCCGAGTGGTGCTAAGCCAGCCGCCCGTGGTCCAGGTAAACAAACCCCGCCCAACCTGTTGATCCTCAAAACCGTGTAGCCGGTACTTTCCTCCGTCCAATATAGCGGACCTCTAAGGGGGCATCGTGTGACCCGAAGGCCTCGGCGACCCGATAATTCGTCTGCCCGCAGCTCGGTGGCTGAATCCGGTACTACGTGTTTTCTTCTCGCCGACACGAAAGCAGAGTATTACCCGAAATGGCCGCCGCGATACCACGTAGTTAGACGCCCACTTTAACCACGAGTCAGGCACACGACGCACTGGTAGCTCGGCGGTCGAGTCTCCCTTGCTCGATGGCGGTGCGCCGCGCGCGTGCAGGTGATTGCCGGGGACGGCGCGGGAAACGGCGGGAAAATCATCATCCCGGCAGGGTGGGCGGCACGCGCCGCGCAGCTGCGACCAGGCTCCGCAGAGAGGCGAGGTGCGCGGAGCAACCGTCCGCCGCTCCGATAGCTCGTTCTGCCCAGCTGTTCCTTTTCTCTACGCTCAGAAGCCTATTTATGCGTCGGCAAAGACCTGGAGACAGACCAGGAAGTCGCGCAAGCCTCCCAAGTTTAGTCTCGTCTTTGCTTTCGAGTGCGAGTCAATCTACGTTTGGGATATGCTCGAACTCAGGAGAGTTTTTGAAATTTTTGCGCCGCTCGGGAACGAGGTACGCATGTCCGGGCGTCGATCTCACCCGGAGTGCTAGTTCATACAGGGGTGAGCGCACCTGTGTGGTCGCCCGATCCGCCAGCCGCGTGTGAAGTCGCAAACGAGACGTCTCCGGACGAGGCACCAACGACGTCGGTGCCTACCTCCAACAACGAAAAGGTGCGCTGCTTCCAGGCACAGGATTATCGCGGATCGCTAACGCCGCGCTCGATAGCTCGAAACGACTCTCCTGCTTTGTAATCGCAAATGTTCCTCTCTGGATTGGACGAATAGATGGCCCTCGATGCTCTAGAACTACAGGTTTTCTGAGTAACAACTTTTAGGCAATCGCGAGCATACAGTTTGCAAGATGACACGATTTTGACCTTTTCGCGGGCCGGAGAAAGCATTGCCCCGCCGTTTCACTGTCCCAGCTGCAATACAATCTCTTGGGTCCCTGCTGCAGCGGCGGCGCGAGCAGTACATGAGCGTAAACGCCCCATTCGATCAAGCGTCGTTAGTTTCAGAAAGCTTACCAGAACCATCAGAAAACTTTAGCGTGGGTAGGGGCCGGGGCAGGCGTGCCTCGAACGGGAGGGGCCGGGGGGGTCGAAGGAGGGGGGGAGGAGGGGGTGGTAGAACGAGTGTCGATAGCGTTGCTTTAGGCGAAACTAACGAAGATCTAGCAGCCGAACAAGTACGAAAGCGGCAGAAAAAACCTCCAGTAAAGTACAAGGAAGAGAGTGCGCTTCGAAGCGGAAGCATGGTGGTCCTCGACGAATAGCGGGCGGCCACTGATACGGGAACCATCAGAAAGCTTTAATCGGTGCAGCCAATGAATGCGCGCTTAGGACGGTTTGAAAGTCATTGATCAGCTCAGAGGACCTCAGCACTGCTCGCCTAGACTCTTGCCCAGCTCTTTGTTTGCAGGCATAACTGAGTTAACCATCGTCAAGTCAGGCAAATCATACGTCGTTCGGTTGGCCGGCCATCTGGCAAGTGTGCCCTGCACAAATCAAGTCGGCCGTTTTGCCCTGTTTGGCTCACTGATTTCCTTCCGGTAAAGCATCGTAACATGTTAAAAATTCGCGGACTCCCTGATGCTGGCATGTGGGACTCATCATCGATCCGCTATCAAGAGTGGCTGTGTGGGTGGAGCTGCATGGCCTGCGCGGCAAACTGGTTCATGATGATTCTATCTTTGAGTAGTAATCGACTAAGTCTAACACTGTAACTGTGGTCCCAGCTTGATGCTGCTGTGGCGCAGCGCACCATGAGCTCATCTTACAACGTGTACAGACAGGCTCGTTCGTTCTTGCAAAAATCAGCGCAGCATCAGTATAGAATGCAGAAACCATATGCACGTGCGCACCGAGTGACCCGTGACCATGTACTGCATATGCGCAGTATATCGTATGGCCGGTCACGGGTCGCTCGATCAGTGCGCGGGTGGCGAAAATAATAGTTTTTAGCTGAACGTACTGAACGTGACTGCACATGTGTATGAACGGATATACTTTCAAGATGGACGCGTCCGATCAGTAATAATTTTCTAGCTTGCATGTTATAAACACATGTTGATGCTTTGATCGAGAACCAAGGCCCGGCCCTCAGTGCCAGCGCGCATGCGTACATACATAATAGGCTGGAGTCCATAGATATGTTTATAAATGCGAGTACGTAGCTGTCTGCTCGACTCGCTGGACTGTACTCGTGCACTTGCCCATGCCTGCGCTTAAAGAGGGCTTCACAGGACCGGCCGGGCCAAGTTGTCGTCAACCGCGTACGCTGACTTTCAATCGTCCGACGATTTTGATCGCGTGACGTCGAAATCGAAAACCGGTGTGAGCCCCATCTGCGCGGCGTGCGGAAAAAGAAGAAAAATTGCTCCGGCCGAGTTTTGATCGCTCGCTTTCATCCGGTGAAAGTCGAGCGCACTTGCCAGTTGTGCTAGAAATTTCTGTGTGCCCCAATTAAGTTGGATACGAAATGCACCGGCCGGGCGGTATATGAAGTCTGACGCCCTCTTTAATTCATCTGAGACAATCACGCACAACTTGCATGATGCATTGGTGAATTCGACGCGTGCAGCTCTACAACGCCAGCTTTTGAAAAGCTGCCAGACTGTTCATGTCCACATGGACTACGCTCGTCACCAGGTAGAGCCAGTCAAGAGGCCACTCAGTCAGTGCGTGGAGAGTGGATGATCGACATGCCTAGAACGTCAGTTTGTCTTTATAACAAGTCCAGTCCAGATGTCAGAAGCTCGTCTTATGCATTTCTGTGAGCCCAAAATCTTGCCTCCGCAAACCTGGACAAGAGCATGCTTTTGTACTTGCTCGCCACAAAGGTCGGTACGCCCTCAGGCAGAAAGTGCGCGAGCTTCTCTCACAGCCTTCTTCAACGCCCCTGCCTTTTTTGTCCGCACAAACACACTCTCGAGCCTCGCTCAACCCGTCAGGCTTATCGGCCATCAAAACCAGCACGGTTCACACAACGCTACTTGGCGGGTCAATGTACAACGCGAACAAGCTGCGAACGTGGTACAAATCTAAAACACGCAACTATCAAAACCGCGGCAACCCGCTTATTCCCGGATGTACGTCTTCTTTACGAGGAGCTCCGCAGGTACGCTATCGTTCTTCGCCCGGTTTTTGACTTCACTCGGGGGAGACGGCATTGGGCTGGTGGGGGGCTTGAGGTCGGGGTATTGCGTATAAGGGCTAAGCGGCCGGTTGGCATATGGCAAGTCCAGGGATGACGACCGCGGGAATGCGCCGTTGCCTTGGGAAGCCTCGGCGCCATCGTCTTCGCCGTCTTCGCCTCCTTCGCCGCCCTCCCACGGCCACTTGAACGCTTTTACTGCGGAACGGATGCCAAGTCAGAGTGCGCCCAGAAGCGAGGCCAGCAGACAGGGAACGACCTCACTCAGACTGTATGTTAATTCTCGTATGAGAGAAATCAGCAGACGAGTTCAATGTCATTTCAAGCGAGGAGTGGAGGCCATAACCAGCCAGAACGACGAAGTATTTGAAAGTGCTGGGAGCTATGTAGCGGAAACTGCACGGTGAGGTCCAGAACGATTCTTGACCCGACGTCCCGACGGCTGAACAAAATTGCAGGACACATCTTGCATACTTGGATCAAGAACCCCATGATGCAGCGACAAAGGCGTGATGCCCCGGTGTTGGCAGCTGACCTGTCTCGGCTGCTTTCTCGACGGGCTCCGCAATGGGCGCGCCCTCCCACGGCCACTTGAATCCCTTCACGTCCTCCACCACTTCCTCCACCTGCACGCACACCCGCCCATCCGTGAATCGGCGGTCAAAATGATACCGCAGCCAAGCAGGACCGCTTTCTGGTTATCTCATAACCAGAAATACACGCGGCCAGCCTTTGGTGTCGCAAGAGTCTGACAGGAGGGAGAAGTACTGCAAGCTGTGCGAAGCATGCCCTTTTTAAAAGCCCCGCGGCGATTGAGCGATAATTAAGACATGCGAAGCATGTCCTTTTACCCCTCCCCTTAATTCTCGTACAAGAAACGTACTGGCACAGCGATGCCAGATCTCCACAGGCAAGGGACGGATGACGAGCCCCTTTTCGTGCAATTGCTCGTATCCGCCCCCTTCCGACCTGCCATTCGGTTGCCTCACCTTCTCCTGTGCCGCCTTGACCGGCTCGCTCTTCTGCACGTCCTTGGCAGTCGCAGTCACCTTGGAGGCGGCCTCCTTGGCAGGGGCCGGGGCAGCATCGACCGCCTTCTCGACAGCCTGCACAGCACACCGTGCCGTCAGCAAGAGGCTCGCTGTGCGACCGGCCTTTTGGAACACATGCTCGGGGAGCGCAGACGAACGGAGACGATAAATCAAGAGCTTCGAAGAGGTACACGGGAGTAGTCCCCGCAGTGGCAGACCGAATATATCTTTATAAGGTTCCAACAGGAGTATTTTTGCAGCTGACTTGCCGTGAAGGAAAGCCCGCAGACAGGGGACTGGTCCCTTGGCACTCCGACTTGGCAGAAATAGGTCAAAAGTAAGGCACACCCCCGCGCTCGTGGCTAGATTGTGACCCACCTTCGGCGCTTCCTTCTTGATATCGGCCACCACCTTGGGCGCCTCTTTCTTCACTTCCTCCACCACCTTTGGAGCCTCTTTCTTCACGTCCTCCACCACTTTAGGCGCTTCCTTCTTGACCGCTTCCACCACTTTCGGCGCTTCTTTCTTCGCTTCCTCGACCGCTTTCGGCGCTTCCTTCTTCACCGCTTCCACCGCTTTCGGCGCTTCCTTCTTCACGGCTTCCACCGCCTTCGGTGCCTCGCTCGTCGTTTTCTCTGCGGCTGCCTTGGCGGCCGCCTGTGCTGCCTCGAGGCCGCTCTTCCCCCCCGCCGGGATGGGCGTGGGTGACGTGGGCGGTTTCAGATCATCATACATTGTGTACGGGCTCAGGGGCGTCGGCGAGGGGGGGAGGTCCGTCGACTTCTTCGCCTCGGGGGCCGCCTGTTGCTCCTCTTCCTCCTCTTCGGGGGCTTGCTGCCAGGGCCATTTGAAGCCCCCCAGAGCGAACTTCGGTTTCGACTCCTCCTGCCGGGACTGGTCCTCGGCGACTGCACCAGAGATGACGCGCTGGCGTTCCTCCTCCTTGCGACGCTCCGCCTCCGCCTTGGCCTTGGCTTCTGCGCACACGGGAGGAGCACGCAAGGAGTCAGGACGTGACGAGGTCAAATTCAGGGCCTTCCATTGGTCCACTTGTCGTACCTGAACATCGAACTGTCGCGAGCCAATAGTAGAGCTCAAACCGAGATTCAAGAAGGCCGCGCAGATGCCGTCGATTTCTGTTATGGTATTCGCGACTCACGTCTGTTTGAAAACCCACTGGCTCCAGAAATTCAGGAGCAGTGCAAACCCGATTCAGATCCAAAACTGTGCCACTTCACATGGCATGTGAGTAGAACACGTCAAAGAAACCGCTTTTAGAGTCAGTTAAAAGAGGGCCCAGCAAAGCTCCGTATTCATTCTCCCTTTTTCCATCAAAGCGCTCTGCCGACGGACCCGGTTATGCAAGGCCTTCATCGCGCTCAATACAAACCGTCGTCCGGAATAAATCCACTCACGCCCGACGCTGCAGGTCTCGTTTCGCCGCTCCTCACCTATTTCCTTCTTCTTGGCTTCCACGTCCGCCTTCTTCTTCTCCTCCTCCTTCTTTTTCCCCTCCTCCTTCTTCTTCTGATCCGCCTCCGCTCGCTGCTGTGCCAACACACGCGCTTCCTCCTCTTGCTTCTTCCGCTCGGCTTCCTTTGCCGCCGCCTTCTTTGCCTCCTCTGCGTCCCTCTCCGCCTTCGCTTGCGCCTCCTTCTTCTTCTCCTCTTCTGCTTTCTTCGCCTCTGCGTCCCTCTCCGCCTTCGCCTGCGCCTCTTTCTTCTTCGCCTCTGCCGCCTCTGCTGCCTCTTGCTCTTTCCGCTTCGCTTCTGCGGCCTTCTTAGCATCCGCAGCCTTCTTTTCTTCCGCGTCACGCTGCTTCGCGGCAGCAGCGTCGGCCTTCTCCTTAGCCTGCACCAAGACGAAGATCAGTACATCAAGATTCATGTTACGCCGAGATGTCGCTGTATTGGCCCTACGAATCGTTTTCTTTGACGGAGTACTGGTATTATCCAAATCAAGGAACGCGACAGTCTGGTCTCTGAAAGATGGGTGAGGGGAAGTGCGCCTTTGAACGAGAACAGTGAACAAAGAGTGTCGATCGACATTGACAAGAAGTCCGCAGACCTCATTTTGACTGAGAACTCCACAGATCCAACAGACGCTATGACATGCCCGAGTGTGCATGATCTCAAACAGGCACTTTGATGTATCTTGGCAAGACCAATCCTCCGTTATGCATGAGGAAGGATCGTCACCATTTTTGTGCGCGCCGACACTGCTCCGAAAGGCCTGAGCACACTTCCCCACAGCTCTAACAATCCTTTGGCTCTCTACTCTTTTGCATGACGACCGCATCGCATCAGCTGCGCTATGCACCCGGGTGTGCACGCGTCCATTCATACGAAGTGACCATCATCTCGACCACTTGCTGATGCGACCTACCGGTCGTAAATCGTCAAAAGAGCTGCACAAAAGGCGTCTCCCTTTAGTAATACAACTACCATTTCACTTCAAACCTCATCAGCCTCCCACAACCCCATCACCGGCAGACTCGTACCTGCGCAGCCTTCTCCTTCTCGGCCTCGTCCTTTAGCTTTTGCTCCGCCTTCTCACGCGCATCCTCTGCTGCCTCCTGCTTCTTCTTGGCGGCAGCCGCCTTGGCCTTGGCCGCGTCTGCCGTGCGCTTGGTCTCGCGGTCAATCGACACTGGGGCCGGACGGCTCTCTTCGCGAACCTCCGCAAGCACCTCGGCGCGCTCCCTGGCACCGAATCTGCAAGGGAAGCGGTGGGCAAAATTGGACTCCTGATCGTTACAACTGGCAGACCATCAGTAGTGAAGAAGCTCCAGCCAAGGGATCGATGCGAGTTCATTCATATGGCTCCGTCGAGCGAATGCCTACTAATCAGGTCATCGCCGCAATTTAAGAATGCCTGGGGCATTGTACCTATCATTTCCCGGCCGTCCAACCGCGTGGTCACCAACTTTCGAGCATTCCGGATCGACGATCACTCCCAAAACCGGGAAATTCGGAGCAGACCTTCGTGCAACTGAAGAGAGGCTAAATTATGCAAAGTTGAAAAACTCTGAAATACTCAACCAATAGGACATAAACATAGTACGACAGAACAGGGCAATCTACCTGATTTGCGACTCATATTGGCGTGCGTTGATGAGCCACCTGTTTCTCATACGGGATGCCAAGAGAGAACCACGACCGGATGGACGTCTAAGAGCTCGAGTTCCGAATGTAAGCATTCCAACTGAATTAAGGACAAGACCTAGCACACGTCAGCTCACGTCTCTCCCCGCCTGGCGGCCTGGAGCGCTGCCTTCTCAACAGCCCGCGCCTCCTTGGCTGCCTGCGCTGCCTCCTGCAACTGCGCCAGAAGCTGCTCCGCCTGCGCCTGTGCCTGGGCGGCTTCACGCTCCGCTGCTGCCGCCTCGCGCTTCGCCTCCGCCTCCTCGGCGCGCAGAGCCTGGACAAGCAAGTTCGTCGGTCAGGTGCTTACAGGTCGATTGCCACGTTCGAGACAAGCCCTTTAGAGATTTGGCATTGTCCTATAGGTGTGTAACACCCCTTTTGGAGCTTCTGATTCGTCTAATCGCGCCTCAAAGGCCTTGACACGAACATTCGGTTGCCCGGCTTCGATCAGGGCTAACCACTGCAGACTGCCTCCCTGAGTAAGAATCCAGGCATTCCGAAGTTCAATTCACGCGTGCTCTGCCAAGCAAAAATTGCGGCGATCTGCCTGGTCAACTCAGGAAGTAAGATCTGTGTGGCGGTGTGAATGGCACCTTAAAACAGAGTGTGCGACCGTCGGTTATCTTTGCCCTATCAAAACCAGGATTGGGCTCCGCATTTCTTCGCGCCCAATGCTGACATAAGTAGACAAGATCACTAGTATATATAGGCTCTTGAAGCATCCTCGCCCATCGACAGAATATCGCCGACTTCAGGGTCTGCCGGAAGAACATGCACTTCTGCCATTACCCAGACTCCTTTTCCGTTTCGTTGGGACCCCCCCCTCCCCTTACCTGCAGCTCTGCGGCCACTTCGGCCCTCCTCTCCGCTGCTATGCGCTGGCGCTCCCTCTCCTCTTCCGCCTCTCTTCTTTGCCGCTCGCGTTCGGCGGCCTCCTCAGCCGCCCGGGCCTCTGAACACCAGCCACATAAAGTGTGAGCTGAGATCTAGCCTTGCCAATGCGACTGGAAAATCATTTGGTGAGGCACAGATTGTATTCTCGTGTCCCCGTGTGAATGCACTCACCTCGCTGGAGAGCTTTGGCCCATGTTCACAACCCTCAAATCTCCACCGTCCACCTCTTTTCACAGAGAAGAAACTCTTAGCTTCTTTGTAGTGCAAAACTTTCAACATCGACCCATAGCACAACTCACTATCCCGGTTCCCCATTCCTATCGAAGCCTTTCGACGGCCTTGAATACGTCCACCTCAACCCCAGGTCCTTTTCTCAGCACAGTCCCCTGACCTCCTGATTCTAAACTTCTAAGTTGTCCCCTATCCCTGCTGCTTACCTGCGTCGCGCCGCTCCTGCTCCCGCCTGGCCTCCTCCTCTTCCTCCTGGCGCTGCTTCTCGACACGCTCCGCCTGCGTGAGCCCCGTGACGGGCAGTGCCGCCAGCTGCTCCTCCAGGGATACCAAGGGGGCGTCCGTCTCCGCCACCACCTCGACAATCTTGTTTTCGGACACTGACGGGTTGGACAGGATCGCACCGATCACCTCCGCAACCTGGCGCACACAGGTTGGAGTGAGGTCAGGGGTCTTCCTCGTTGGGCACTGCTTGCAGGAAACCAGGATCCTGAGCGTGCAAGCTTTACGACTTGTGTTGGGAGAGACTGCGACTTGCATGTTATTCACAACCGACCACTTAATCTGTCCCCGCTCAAACAAAGCGTCCATGCACTAACCAGGGAACCAGGAATCTGTGGATTGAACGGGCAGCCAGCATCGACAAGGTGTATTGCACAAGTTGGGTTGTACGATCATTGCAGAGAAAGTTGCAAATCTCTGTAACAATGCACAGAACCCTGATCCCCTTGCCACCACGACAATTCACGGGCAGCCCGCCACATTGCCCGTACCTGCAACTGCGAGACTTGGCCCCCAAACTCGGTGTTGGCTGCCGCCAGGCGCACGTTGTGGGTCTTCTTGTAGTCGTCGGTGGGGCGCTCCATGCCACCGGGGCGCACAATCTGCAGATGATGAGCGGAGAAGGACATGAGTCAGCAAAGGGTGGCATTTCCATCCGTAAGACCATTTCTCCAACAAGCTTTCTTGATTCTGTATGGTGTGCCAGTCACGAAGTCATACAGGGATGGAGTGCAAAGCCGTGATGATTTGATACTTCAGATGGTTCCTTGAAGAGCTTTGTGCTTTTCACTTATGGACTCCCATGTTTGGCAATGCCGTGCTTTGCCAGCCTTGGCTGTGATTTGTCAGTGACAACCTGATTGATTGCTCTGCATCAAGACAAGTGCAGGGAACATTGTGAATACCTGCATCACCAATTGCTGTTTCACTGAGCCCAGTGGTCCTCACCGTGAAAGCCATCCCGCTGTTCTCCAGCTCAATCTCGGCCTGCCTCTTCCAGACCAGCACGCCCCAGAACAAGCTGCAAACATAGCCCGACAATAAGACAATCAGGCCGGACCAGGCCCTTGCAGGCAAAAGCATGCGGGGTAAGGTGAACTCCAATGCCAAAGCCCCCGGCTAAATTGGTTGTTTCATTACTACCTCTGGACAAGGTGGCCGACGAGTCGATGGGTTGGATCAAAAGACCAATAGACGCAGCAATATATGGAGGTGGCTTCTGAGGGACTGTACACAACGCAAACCTTCGACCAAGGCGTTCATTGCGCACATCATCAGAGAGACTGGTTGGACGCCTCCACCAGGATAAAACTTCGTCGGGGAAACCGACTCACTTGAGAAGTGCTGCTGGGAATCCAACCTTGCCGGCCCCGATGGATGACACCATTACAAACTGCGCCACATTGGCCTCCACCGCTGCACACAATGAGATATCAGTTTCAGGTAATAGTAGGTCAAGCAACTTGCTCACTTCCTTGCCAGGGCAACATTCTACAAGTGGAGTCTGACCACACCGAACTGGCAATCCCCGAGCGGTTTTGATCTGAAATAAGCCTCAACAACCATGTCAGGACACAGCAGCACATGCCGCCCAGATTGTGTGACGCCTTTCAGCATCTAGGGTCTTTCCAGGAATCTTGTACAACAGCTCTCCGTTGCGTCCACCGAACCGTCGTCTAACTTTACCCAGATCCCGACTGCTCGGATGTGGACTTCTTCTGATCACCACTCCTTTATGCACGCTAATGGCCGCATTCTTGAACACGGTTGACGCCAACGCCCCTCTCTCTCCCACCTGCTCTAATGAGGGCCTTGGCCCCCTCCCCGTCCACTCGGTACGGCCCCTTGACATCCCCCGCCGCGCTTTCTCCTGCCCCAATGGCTGCCACAACCTTGCTTGCATTCCCAATGGCGCGTGGGATCGTCTCGGGGTTGTCCAAATCATACTCGACCACGTCAATCAACCGCGCCTGCTGCGGCGACACCAGAGCGTACTGGGTCGCAAATGCGAGGGCTTCCTGTGCCTTCTGCACGTTGCGCACACCGGCGCGCACCTTGAAACCAAGGGCGCTCAGCTCCCTGAAACAAAGAAGCAATGATACTTTCAGAACAGAAGGTACGCATTGACGCATACATCGGCGTCAGAAACTGACCATAATCTGAAGTCAGGCTGAGCGCCACCGGGGTGCAAACAAGGAATCCTGCAGCAATCAGGCCAACTGTGCCTATATGCCAAGAGCATGGATCATGCTTTAATATCCCTCTTGATCACTACACTACTGTCTTAGCGTGAAGGCAGCTCTCGACTTCTTTTCTGCAGCTTCATAAACGTTTTGCATGCACCACACATTATACAGCAATCCTGAAATATGAAACCTAAAGCAAACCCCACATGTCCCCACCTGACTGTACGAATCCCGACTTTCCCAGTGGCTCCCGCGACAAACACGGTGTTCGGGTCGCTGCGCTGCTGCCTTGCCGTGCCGGGCAGCTGGAAACCCTGGGGCACCTTAGCGGCGGCCTTTTGAAAGATGGATCCCGACTTGAGCGCCGGCTTGGCTGATTCCGCAGTGTCAGCCACCTTCCTCTTGACGGTGCCTGGCAGCTTGAAGAAGCCTGTGCATGATGCCAACAAAGTCACCTTGTATTCTGGACTTGCTCAGGTTTTGAGATCGATGGGCACGCTGGGATTGCGTCACAGTCTGTGTTGGTTGACAGATACTCACTGGAAAAGGTTGCAAATATGTTTGCGGAGTATTCAGAAGGTTGCAGAAGCTTGTCCACTTTCCAGCCATGCAAAAATGACACAATGTGGGCACCGCGCTAGTTTGGTTGTATGATTGAGCTTCCGTTTAACAGCATCCCATGTGCTTTCTTCTTGTAAAACCAGCGGGCTTGTGGGGGCCCTCAAGCAGCCCCTTTAAGCTTCTACTTGTGAACGCGGCTCATCATTGGCCACTTCACATGCAAAAGGCATGCAATGCATGTCTCATCAACACAGCTTCCAAGAGATCATCTGAGCTGGCCCTGACTTTAGCAGCTATTTTAGGTATCGCCGTTCAGGTGCCAAAATTCAAATTTTTTACATGGTCTCAAACAGCAAGGGTAATGCACCCCCCACCCTTGCCAGAGCAAGTGGGATCTAAAGCAGCCCATGGCAATGTACCCCTGGACCTTTTTAAAAAGTATCAGACTGTCTTCAAGGACCACCTGGAACATTCTGAAAGACAACATGAGCTCACAGAAAGAAAACAGTTAGCTTGGTCGACAGCTCCAAGATCTTCCGTCAAATGTGCCGGCACAAAGCCCGTCTCATTCAATGCAAGCAGGGGTGATGCGGGTATTGTTCTTGCAAAGGTGGAATCTGTTCAGCTTCCCTAAGCAGATCCTTATTTTTGCACCTATGGGCCCATCCCTCAACAGGAAGAATCTCTACAGCCTCATTGTGCACATACCTGTTCCTTTTGCCTTCACCCTGGCATGTTGCGGCCTGCATTGCCCTGTCAACTGCACGGGGCACACCTGCGCCCCCAGAAAGCTGGAAGATGACAGCGCACATGCTGACCCCTGGAACGACGAGGCCAGCAAACTGCCCGAAGAAACAGAGGTCGCCGACATCATTGCGGCCTCAGCAATGCTCTTCTGAATGCAGAATGTTGTCTCCTGCTCGCTCCTCTGCAGGAACGCAAGGCCCCCACGTCAGCAGGTACAGGAGACCCGCACAATCCTGACCAAATGCTGAGAGAAGAAAGAGACAACTTGGAGGAAAGCAGCACGAGGGGCCAGGGCGTCAGGCAGAACATGAACTCACGTTCTTCTTTCTGGCTCTAAATGCAGCTGAATTCTGAGTGGATAAACTGGGATCCCCAGCTCCACGATGGACGCTCACGATTGGTCGAGATGAGGAAAAAGGATTCCAAGTCCCGGCTGGCCTACTTCGGAGGCAGCCACGTGGCAAACAACCTTTGCTTGAGAATCGGTACTTCACGGAGGAGAGGAAGCAACGAAGCATGCATCGATCACAGGGTTCAGCACACGTTGATTGCACAATGTCGTGTTGCAGTGGCGTGCTTCTCGCCTCATGAGCGTTCACAGAAGGCAGCTCGCTGCTGAGATTGCATTGGATACACCTTCTTAGGACTTGTACAGGTAGCTCGGGGCGTCGTCGTCTTTCTCCAAAAGAAGCATTCTGGTCGATTGCCCTTCGTTCGGCCTTTGACCATCAGCCAAACGACATGCATTGAGAACCAACTCTTGGAAACGTCCAGAATCCTTTGAAATCATCTGAAAGTATGGCGTGCTCCTCAGCAATACAGGCTTTGAACTGCACCAATCCAGTGGCCACAACACAGAAGCTAGAGACACCTAACTTCCATATGCAAGTTGCCCCACTCAGCATTTCATCGATCTTAGGGGCCAGCCCCTGTCTGCAGACCTGGTCTCACTTCCCTGCACGCATTGACAGCCTACTCCTGAGTGTGTGGCCCTCCTCTAAAACGGGCCCAGATTGCACAAGAGGAAGGCGCCACAGTAGAGTGCGCACACGAGTCTGTAGTCAAGGTGAAATTTTCAACCGAGGTGCAAGCGAGGAAGGATCAAATACAAGGTGAACCGCGCTCTCTCAACATCTGCCAAGCGGTTGCCTATGTCTGTGAGCTAGTGACGACTTCTTTTGGGAGGTGGGGCTAAAGAAATGGCTGAAGAACTGCGCCACATTTAGTTGCACTACCTACCACCACCACCCCCACAAAAAATCAATATCAGCGTCTGTCTGAAGATAAGAGGAAGTTGTGCCTTTTCAATACCACTGGAGAAGTGGACCGTCCACAGTTTTGACTCTCAACATCACGGCGTTTGAGAGACCCACCATCTAATTGTCGTGACCAGATCTTTAATTTTGTGACGCTTGAAGCGGATCAGACACACCCATTGAAACTTCCGTCTGCCTTGCCGCAGCAGCCAACCGTCCACCTCAGGACGTTCATCTAATGACGATCCCCCAACCATAACACGGCGGTCCGCCATTTTTCTGGCAGCAACGCCCTCCATGCTTGTGGCACTGCCAGGTGAAGCTTTTTTATTGCTTTTCCAAATCCTGGGGGCGACAGCTGTCGCCTTTAGTGTTGGGGTTGTTATAAAGCAAAATTGTTGAGTGCTGGTTGAACCCTGACTTTGAGAGTGCTTTTCAATTCTTTGGGAATATTATTGCGTCTTTATTCTTTCCATTTGCTTTGATTGAACTTGTCGAGATACTTATCCTGATTGATCTGAATGATTGCAGATGAAAACGCCACAGAAAGAGAGGCACAGAAAATCCAATAACGATGCCCTTTTTTGGTCTGCAGCACACGCATACCGGGATACAGATGTCACTCTAGAGCAAGTGACGCCCCCCATCACACCCGCGGGAAAGCTCCCGCCATCTGAGGTGTGTCCTTGATGTGCACCAATAAAACTCAGCATTGTAATATGTGGTCGGATTGGTGCGGCAAAGTAGGGAGCCCTCAGTCAGCATGATGTTGATAATTGTCCACACTGTTGTCTTTGATCTGAACATGGCCCTTATTTCGTCCTACCGACTGTCTCAAAGGGATCAAGAGCTTTCACTCCAGTGCATGCTTCAGACACTCACGAGCTTAGCCCTCGATGTTGACCCCTTTGCTTTTTCCTTTCTGTCGTCCAGGAGGCCACTGTACAGTTGTTTGAGCGCAGCACCTACTCGGTGGCCAATATATTCGACGTGACACTGCGGCCACAGGCGAACATGACGGGCTCCGTGGAAGTGCCCGAGGGGAATGGGTCAGGGATCGTGTGGGACTCGGACGGGCACATCGTCACAAACTATCATGGTGCAAACAGCTGACAGTTCCGTGGATGACTGAGGTTTCACCTGATGAGGGAACAACTGAATCTCGATTTGCTGCAGTTGTTCGTCAAAAAGGATAGGCCTTCTCTTTGATCTAATATAGTACATGCCAACCTCGCTCGATGGACATCAGCGGGGACATTCGGAAAATTCTTGACGCGTTGAAAGCTGCTTTCACCCGGGGTTTGTCAATTCCGTTTACCTTGCTGGTGCCTCGGAATTTCGGGAATGCCTCCCAACGATCACAAAGTGTTCACAACCCAAGTTTCTGCCAGTCTGGACGTTATTATTGCAGCCCTCATCTGTCCACCAAACGACTTTTGTGTCGCTTGCCTCATAAACTGCCGGACCCTTTTCTGAAAAAATCTTCCAAGCTTATCTCTTCTCGTTTTTATCCGCTTTCTTCTTCCCGTCTCGCTGCCGCCGCCCAGGACAATTCGCAAACAAATGAGTCAGTAGCAGATGGTGTAGTAAAGCGCTCTCAACTAAGAATGGGCTATCGTGAAGGAAAGCTTGACACGCCTCTTCCTACGCTTTCTTCCGTCAGTTGTTGGGAGCGTTTTGTCCACCAATCCGGGGACTCAGAAGGTGGTGGCGCGCGTGACGTTGTTAGGCACGGACGGCCTGCAGAAGACGTATGAAGCATTGCTGGTGGGAGCAGACCGCACCAAAGATCTGGCCGTGCTCAAGGTCAGGCCGACCCCCAAATTATCTGCTGTCTCAACCTGCTGTCTCAACCGTTGTAAAGCAAAAAATCAGAGAAAATTGTATCGTAGCCTTCATGAATGTTGAAGTGCTGCCATGTGAGATAGAACTCTGTCTTCCAAAAGCTCAGAACGGCTCCGGAACGTTCTTTGGAAGAATTGTAAAGTGGCTTCGAATGCGTTTCCAGATCTGAACGGGTTGAACGTCCAAGTATCAACGACTCCACACCAGTCGAGCATTTTCCGGACAACGGTGATACATATCCGGGCTTGTGTTAGCATCCGTTTCAACACTCGCACATTTTACTTCGGGAACAGGCTTAGATTTGAACAGCAGAATCTACTTTGCGTCCAGACTTTGACGCTGAGAGGTGTTCATGATGCGACACAAACATCTTGTTTCGCAGGTCAAACAGGCACCATTTGACGGGTGATGCCTTTTCGTTCGTTTGGAAAGGAAAGGCTTGCCGACGCCACATACATGGAGAGAACTGGTGCAAGTCGAAAAGGCCAAGTATAAGGCTCTTGCCTTTGACATACCGCCTCCTTCTTCCTTGCCAGGTGTCAGCTCCGCCGTCAGTGTTGCGCCCTTTGCAGTTGGGCGATTCCAGCCTCCTACGAGTGGGGCAGCGATGTCTGGCAATCGGGAATCCTTTTGGCTTCGATCATACGCTAACAACTGGCGTCGTGAGCGGACTTGACCGCGACATCCAGTCCGTCACGGGAGTGCTCATCGGAGGGGGCATCCAGACGGATGCAGCGATCAATCCAGGAAACAGGTACGCTTGACGACCAGACAACCTTGTCATAAATTGCAATTTTTTCGTGCAATTTTTTTCGTGCTTCGCTCTGTTAGACGCCTTCTACACTGGCCTGTGGTTTCACGAACCCGGATGAGTCTGCTCTCCGACATCGCAGTTTGTGCACAAGCAAGGAGCCGTACCCCTTGTTTTCTTATCTCCCAGAATGCTATCATAAAAGATGTCGGTTTGTCTGGTTGATACTTACAGCGGATTACCTTCAACAAACGGCCCATTACGTGGCTGTTCCCAAGATAGCCGATCAAATAAACTGGACCTCCCGCTTGGCACGCGAACTGCACCGAAGGTCGAGGCGTGCAGGTGCAATGTCCCAACGACCACATTCATGACAAAAGCTGACCTGATCATCTACGAATCAGAGTGCTGGAACGTCTGTCCAAATGGACGCTCTCCAATTGGCGCAAGACTGGCACGAATATAGGGTTTTCGAAGACGCCGACGCACAAGTTCTTGGGGGTTTTTGACGAACTTCCTGGGGCGATTTACCCATTTGAAAAAGATCAAACCGAGGTCTTGCGTCTCGCACACAACTCAACCACTGAACAGTCAGTTGCTTTTGTCCCCAGCGGCGGCCCGCTTCTGAACAGCCGCGGCGAGCTGATCGGCATCAACACGGCCATCTACAGTCGGTCCGGGACGTCGTCGGGCATCGGGTTCGCCATCCCGGCGGCCACCGTGCAGCGCGTGGTGCCGCAGCTCATCCAGTACGGCAGGGTGAGGCGCGCAGCTAGGACGCGGGTCCGAAACCCGACTGGGTTAGCGTTATGGTTAATGGTTCGGAGCCGCTGCGAACTGATAGAACGGCCTTGAAATGAGACACAGTTGGTTAGAGCTTTGGCTTGACCACTTCCAACACTGGGAGCGGATGGGAGAGAGTGTTTTCAGCCGCCAGCCCTGCTTGCTTGACCCTTTCGTCGAGAATGGTCACAACCCGTGTGTTTCAACCCTCAAATCGTGGCGCGCTCATTCTTTTGAGCCCGCAGTGTTGGTTAGGGGCCTGCCAAGCGACTTAGGGCTGTTACTCTGGGTGCCAAGCAAAGCTGTCGTCGGCGACAAGCCTGTCGCGCCACCACCTGTGTCAACATGATTTAGATTGCTTACAGGTCCGCAAGCGCGGAGTTGTAACAATGTCGCACTCTTTGATTCGATTCTCGGAAAAGTGCCAGCTGCTCGTGCCAGCTAAAAGCTCTTCGTCGAAGACTGACTGACTGGACGACTCCAAGTGCACAGCGATTGTTGACCCGATATTTGCAGAAATCTGTGGTGAAAGTTTTTCGACGTGCCCTGGGCTCAGCGACTTCCTTTTGGTGCAGGTTATGCGGCCGAGCCTGGCCGTTCAAATTGCCAACGAACTCGTGGCTCGACAGGTTGATGTTTCTTCGGGAGCGCTAATTCTGGCGGTAACTCCAAACAGCGCAGCGGCGAAAGCGGGGCTGCTGCCGACGCGGCGGGGGCTGGGAGGAAACATCGTTCGGGGGGATGTTATTGTGGGCTTGAATGACACCCCCATTGTGAAACCCATCGACTTGGCAAAAACGTTTGATACCCTCCAAGTAGGAGTGACGGTCACGCTCAAGGTACAAAGGGAAGGTCAGCTACTCGAGTTGCCTGTCGCACTTGAAGAGAGTTCGGGACGGTGAGAAAGTTTTGATACTCGTTGGATCATGGTTCTGTCGATCATGTAGCAAAGGACTCCAGGATGTCTGGAGCTCTGGTTTTTGTTCGGCGCTTGCAGCCTGCGTCACCAGCTTGCTGTGTACATGACAGACTCTACAGACCATGTCAAAGTTAAGGCAATCTCAGGTTGATAGTTCCTGCAGATGGCTGCCAACATCGTGCCAGCTGCTCCCCTCAAAAACGTTGGACGGCTGCCATCACTGCATTCTTTGAACTCGGCTTTGAAGACTGCTAGCGACAGTATGTAGTCAACTCTTGCATGTCGCACGAAGCCCATGATGATGTGCCAGTGCCACGCGGCTTTCAAGCTGTTCAAAATGGTACATACTGCATCATCTCGAGAGGCACGATGGTAACTTCTATTAGTAGGCGGTATTGATTGACAAAGCATGCAGGCTATGCGTGTTGTTTGCGGATCCTCAGATCAGCTAATAGGCCGCATCATTGTCCTCTGTATGCACGCCGGGCGTGGCGCACACCATGTTACATGGGATTAATAAATTATTGTAAGTATGCATGATTATATATTAGTATACTGCGGGGCGCCATATGCATAGCGTCACTGCAGCGGCCAGCTCAATGAACCTGATTTGTGGCAATTTGACCAGCCACTGGATGATGGTCCCTTTTCACAACACGCTGTAGCCATGGTGCATATACGGCCGCATGCGGCCGCCCATATATAGGCTTCTCATGGCATACAATCTTTACGACTCATATTGTTGTGTCATGTGCTTATGCTTCTACACTATCCCAGACGATTTTGCCAACTCTCCTCAATACTGATATGCTTGTGTATTTAGCGTCACCGTCCAGATTGGCAGCATTGCTAGGGCGCAGCCTAGTTGCTCAAAGGCGGTCAGCTAGATGGATAAGAAGTTTACTTACCATAGTAGTTAGATGCATATGGCACTTACGTAAAAGCAGAGATCTCTGAATGATACTCTCTCTCGACTGAATGATACTAGGAAAGCCTTGAAGCAACTCAATTGATGCAAACGGAACATGGATTGAGAAGCTGTACACTACTAGATACAATTTGATATAGGGTTTCCACTCGTTCCTGGGAGTGGAACGATCGAACAGGCCTTTCAATTGCAATCAAGGCCTAGCTTGAAACTTAGGGTGAGCTTGAAGAGACATGATAAGAAGCTGCATTGAGGGGCCGCACAGAGCGAACTCAAACATCAGCAAGAAACAAAAGTGTGGCCTCATGATCAGAACTTCGAAAAGTCTAGACAAAGTTGAGACAGCTTTTCATTGCCCCTTCAGATGGGACTCAAATGAAGCCAGGTCAATAATTGTACAACTCATAACAAAACTGGTCTTCTGACACTACCAGACCTAGGCATTTTACAGCAGTCAAATCTGGTTGAATGGTTACTACGCTAGCGTCATCACACAAGAATAACCTATGATCAATTCAAATATACAACACTGGTTTGAACAACCAATCCCAAACTAATCTGGGGCTGTCTTTCCTATTTCCTCCTCTCGCCTCCACACCCAATGGTGTGTGCGCACTCCTACTGTCCTCCCCCCCAGAGCAACCCCATTCCCGTTCACGTTCCCCTTCACGTCAATGTGCTGGTCTGCTGCAGGGCCGCTGCCGCTGCAACAAGCCTCCCCCTCGTTTTCCACAGTTTCAAACGCCCTTTCTGGCAGGTCTCGTACGACCGCCTTTATGCTATGCAAAACGTATCGCGTCGGCAACCCTGGGTATGAGCACGACTCCCTCTCCTCATCTTCCCTCTCGTAGGTGCCAGGGAGCAAGCGGACCTTATCCCTTGCGCCTAGCTCGGACCCCAACTCCTCGTAAATGCCCCGCAAGCAGGCAGCTTCAACACCCTCCCCTGCAAACCAAGGCGCCGACTTTTAGCGACAGCAATTTCAGGAAGGCACTGTACAGGGTCATCACTTGTTTCTCCCTGGCCCGTCATTTTCATTGGTTATCTACAACATTTTGTCAAGCATTCGGAAATTGAAACACAATGGTCAGCAACATGCATGCTTGGATCCAAAGCAACCCAAGCAAACATTGTAAATCCAGCTGCCCGCATTCAGCACCTGACACACCCAATCGAGCAAGAATGCCGCACAATCAAGTGGAGACAGACCTCAACCATTGGGACAGCCCCTGTGATCCGAGAAGCTGACCACCTGCCTTGATGGCTAAGAATCCAGACGAGCGAGCAAAGCAAGAAACCCCAAGACAAGGCCGCAGATGAACGGCAGAACCAGCAGGGGCTTGGACTGATTCCAAATTCAAGGAGACCTCACCAGGCTTCATCTTCTCGGAGAGGGGCCTGTTCCTCGGCCGCCTCGTCCCATTCCCCATGCTCTGGTGCGACTCTACCAGTACCAGCCCCTCGGAGCTCAGGATCTTCACCGACGCAACATGGACCGTCCGTCTCGGCGGCATCCCGTCTTCCAGTGAAATCTCGCCCTCCTGCAGCTCCTGAAACAGGTTTGCTACCGGCTTGGTCCCCTTGAGCAGGCCCCACTGTGGGACCTGTGCGGCAGTCTCCGCTGGCAACCGCTGAGCCAGCCACTCTGCCAACGCCTGTGCAGACCCCAACTCTACCGCAGTCACGCACTGCTCCCCTAAGCACAGATCGGCCACAGGCTCCTCCCCCGCTGCAAATACCGACTCCGTGCTGCTCGCCAACCCCCCTGATGCGCCGTATGCCCTTTCCAACTCAGCCGCTGCGTTTGAGCTCTCCCTTGCACCTTCCAATTCACTGCTCCGTTCCTCTATGACTGCCATGTCCATGCTGTGCACCCGGTAGAGAGTGTGCCACAACCTCCGCCTAACTGCGCTATATTGGTCCTGCTCTTGACCCGCACCCTGCTGCCAAGGACCGGCGAAAGCCTCCTCAGGAGCTGTCTCCGTGGGGTACGCCCCGCGGGAGGCAAGGGCTTGGGTTTTGGTAGGGGACTCTGGAAGCGACCTCTTGGCGGCCGTGTTGGCAATGCTGCGGGAACTTAGCGGCCACGATGCCTCCTCGTCCAAAGATGCAGTAGGGAAGGGGCAGCTCTTGGTTCTAACTAGGTTAGGGCTGGAATGGTTGGGAACCCCAGGGCTGGCAGGTGGAGTTGGACCAAAACCAAAGCGTTTGCCTAAGGAGGGGCCGGCTGTGTTGACTTTAAGGTTCGGAAGGGGCACCCTGACAAGACTCCTTGCTGCCATTGCTTGCGGCTGCTCAAAGCCACAAAGCCATCGTTCTGACTGCAAAACCAAGAACACAGCCATATGAGCATGAAACAGAACACAGCCATCTGAACAACTAAGACCGAGGTGAATGCCTGAATCTAGTGAATCCCTACCAGAGCATGTTTCGCTGCGACCGTCAAAGCAAAGGCATATGCAGGTCATTGAAAGTAGACCAAACCCTTGTGCTCAACGGACACATCTCCACATGAAGTACCTGGAAATTATTCAGCTTAGCGGGAAGGGACAACATTTTCTGAGCAGGATTCCCAAGATCACCAATACAAGCGGATTCACAAGCTGCAGCAAACTCAACCTGAACGAATTGATAGGGGCCTCCCATAGCCTTCAAAAGCAGGGCAGAAACAAACCTGTAGGATCAAAGACATGGGAAAAGAACTCACCAACTGATGAGCAGACTTCCTTAGGCCCGTATGCAACGACCCTTTTGGACACTAACCGCAGCTTGACCTTCAAATGCTGCTTAGTGTACAGACTCTCTTGCAAAGCATTGTAACAACCAACCGAGCCCTCCCTACTTCAGATTGTGCCTTCCCGTTCTTCGGCAACAACCTTTAAACTCCCCACTCCGCAAGTTGCAACTTCTCCAAACCCAACTCAAAAGCTGTCATGCCAGCAAGCCTACTCCTGATTTGCAGATATTCCTATGTGCCCAGAACCGCCACAGGTGCTGTGGACAGAATCCTACGATACGCCTTCCTAAAAGTAAGAAACCAACATCAACTGAACAGTGCTGCGAGCGACAGTACCGGTATTCCCCGTCTCAACTCAGCAAGGACGAAGATGACATTGAGAGCACAGACTGACAATGGCGCGATGGTGGAAAGTGACAAGTCGCCTTTGCTGTTCCGAGTTCGGCTGAGGTTCAACCGGGCGGTCGTCTTCTTCTTCAACCTGTGTCTATCCACTTGTCGACGTGGTCGCTTCCCTGGCCTTGATTTGGGTCTCTCATATCAGAGACTGCCACGCTGGAACCTGCAAAACCCTCGAAGACGCGGCTACAAGCCCCCAGGGGGCCGCGGCGTGCATATGCGCAACCGGTCACGCCGCGGCCGCACTAGTACTTTGCGATCCAGGCTCGCGCGCACATATGCGCCAGGGCAACTTGCCAAAAAGAATGCCACCGTGAGTGCATTTTGTCAAGGTCACGCTGTATTATTCTGTAATTTGGACAGCTAGGCGCACAAAGGGTTCAGCCACGAAGAGGTCAGCACTGAGCAGTGATAATGGCGTCTGCTTTGCATTGTGCTACAAATGCAGGGGGAACCATCGCACTTGCGGGGTCGTGGAAGCGCACAAGGGCCACAGGTACAAAGTGTGCAGGGCTTTTATGCTTTGATTGCAGCACCTAGAGATACTGCCACCCCGATGGGTGAAAATTTGTGTTTCAACTCAATTGGAGTCAGCAAGTTATAATTCTGGAACATTACTCTCCTTGTCATCCTTGGGCTGCTTCTGCTCCCTCACTGATTTGTTGTGGCACTGTCATTCCCCTTGCTGGCCCGCTCCTCTAGTTGCAAAATTGAGCCATGAACAACGTTCTGATGTTTGGAAACTGTTGTAGACGTATTCCATTTTCCATGCACTTGCAGTGAATACCCTGCCTCTGGTGGTGAAAGCCAGCTCCAGTCCCAGGCCTCAATTGCCGGCGCCTGCATTTGCAACGCCTCACCCCGTTAGCTCTAAATTGGGACAGGCTTTGTGGCTAAGAAAGCATGTTGGTCACCATGACTCAAGCGGACTGGATCGGTGAGTCAACAGATTTGCTGACAATGAAGCAAGTCGGTGATACACCATCCCAACACTCGGTCTTGCATCGCTGGTCTGGTGAGGGCATCTTTCCTTGTGCTGCATTGAGCAGATTTTTATTAGAGTGAGTTCATCCCATATATACGTCCCTGTCAACAGGAGTCGAGATTCGCAAGTGTGTAAAGCCACTGAGGAGATCAGCACCATGTGCGAAGAGATTGAGCTAGAAACGGTGAGCTGCCAAAATTGACTCCCGGAAGCAATCCGTGCATCACAAAACTTCAAGCTGGATGAGGCACTGATCTGTGAAACCTTGCATGGGATATCATGTGGCGGCCTGTTTGTTCTGCTCTTTGCTGATTTCAAAAACATGCGGCTTGAGTACGTGACTCAAAGTTTGAGTTGCTGGCAAGCAGGTTTCACTTTCATGACATATCAGCCTTTGACCTGACCTGGAGTCCAAGTGTGCAGGAAGAAAAAATGGAGAAGTGCATTGAGTCCGTACGGGCAAAGTTCAACAGTGTGCGGACAGGAAGGGCAAGCACCTCCCTCCTTGATCGTGTGGAGGTGAGTTCCCTAGTAAATTTGAAAATTTTCTACCACCACTTAACGTGGGGTATAACTCGGGGCAAATCGGCTGCATTGCTCAAAGTATGGGCCAGACTCACATCGCTGCTTGCAACGAAGTTAATTTGCTTATCATCACAGCAGCGGAAGACCTGCTTGTATGCAAGTCCCACTTGCAGTGTTCAAGTTGCGAACTTGATTGTGAGCAGTGCTGCTTACCAGCAATGTTTCTGCCCCCGGTGGGGTTTGAAAGAAGAAGAGACAGAGTGCATGACATGTTGCTACGGAGTTCAGATTCTGCTCCTCTGACACTTCCTCAGCCTCCTCGAGTGGTCAAAAACTGCGGTTGCATCAATACGGCTAGGCATGGGGCCAAGTCCAGGGTCGGAAAGTTTCCATGTTATCCAAAAAGTTTCTGCTCCCTGTTTGGTGCCGTAGGTTGATTACTATGGTGTCCCTGTCATCCTCAAGAGCCTTGCCAACATCAGCACCCCTGACGCTAGTTCGATTCTCATCCAACCATTTGACAAGTCCAGGTAGGGCACCTTTTCAATCCAGTTGCAAAATCTGTACTCAACAATCATAATCTTGGCTGGTAATGTATGTAGCTTCAGGTCGAACCACTTTCCAACCTCCTCTTTTCATTCTTAGATCTAGGATCAGCACAAAGAACCGAGACCCTATTCCAAAACATTGCAGCAAGCATCCCAAGGTTTGGCGAACATATTCGAACCTGACACCATGATATCATTATCACCACCTCTGACATGGCCTTTTACATGGACGCCTGATGAAAGAGTTCCCTGCTCCTGCAGCATCACGGCGATCTCGAAAGCCCTGTTGCAGTCCGATCTCGGCCTGACGCCCACGAACGACGGCACAGTCATCCGACTCAACATCCCGCCCCTCACGGGGGACAGGAGAAAGGTACGCTAGCAGCTATTGCCAGTTGTCTATCTCATTTTCGAGCTTTCAAATTGTCCTTTGGAAGGAAAGTGCTGGGTTTCTGAGGCTTCCGACCAGCTTTATGAAGCAAGGAGCAGCAACCATTTGGAGTAACGGAGGCAGGACTACTCTTTTGCGTACATCAGAACATCACGAATCTGGCCACAACGTGTGCGTTTGCCACCGACACTGTGATTTCTAGTGGAGATTTTGGTCCTTCAGATTCGCTCGAATCGTTGCACATTTGCTTCTGAGCAATCGGCTTTCGAAAAGACTTCACTTGCAACTCTCAACGGAGAACAACCGTCAAGGCAGATGCTCGGACAAGTTGCAAAAATTCGTTGCTTTAACTGTGTTATTTGTTTCTTATCAGGAACTGGTGAAAACAATCGGAAAGCTAGCAGAGGACGGCAGGGTGAGCGGCCCCCGTTCCTCGGTTCTCTGATTACCATTCATGAGCGCAGCTCCTTGAAGCTTGAGCTCGGCTCTCAGTCTCATTGAGCAACGCGTTACTTTAAAGCTACTTGCGGCAATTTTGCCATTATGTTTCCACCTCGAACGGTCTGCTGATCTTGGACCATATGATCGACGAAGGAAGGACATCTGTTGGATCACGATTGGGACCGAGACCATGGTGGCAAGCTTGATGCAAAGAGCAGTACGTAGGATTCATGTCTGGTAGAGAAACACAACAACGAAGGAGCTGAAAGCAGTATCTGAGACCCTCGTGAGGCATTTTGCTTGGCCCGTAAAGACGTGTTCTTTTGCTTCTCTTTATCCTCCTTTTTGACGCCAAGGATCTCAGGGGCTTGAAGTCGTCACCTGATCGTGTTCCAATCTCACGTGCAGATTGCCATCCGGAATGTTCGAAGGGACGCCATTAAGAAGTTCGAGAAGATGGAGAAGGTGCGCGCTCCGGTGTCCTCCTCCAGTTTGTTGCCAGTACTGGCTCTTTTTGTAGGCGCGTCGTTCAGAAGTCTCTCCCGCGTATTTTGCCCTGAAAATGTGTTTTGGCGATCGCACCAAGTCTCCGCTTAGGTTTGCAAACACAGGTCGCGCATCGACGGACCCTCTTTCCGTGCTCTTTCTAAGCTTCCGCTTCCGTGCAGGATGGCGAACTGTCGGAAGACAATCTGCGGGACTACGAGGACACTGTACAAGTGAGCAGACCTCTCTCAGTCTCTTCCGCTCCAACTCATTTTGCTCTTGCTACAACCATTCGCCGCACGGAGCTGGTTCGCGTATGAACGTTCTACTGGCCACTGTGGTCAGCTCGTTCTTGTTCCGTCCACTTCAAACGGATCCTCGTGCAGAAAAGTTTGTCCAGGCAGAAGCTTGACAACGCTGTTGGACTGCCGTGCAGAAAATGACGGACAAGTATGTGAAGAAGGTAGATGAGCTCTACAAAGCGAAGGAAAAGGTGAGGTTGCATCTCGCGGGCGCACTCACTCGGCCAAGCAGACTGTATTCTTTCAATCTTTCGCGGTTGAGTGTGAAAGACGATAGGCAGCTTGAAGGCGGAATGATGCTGAGTTCTATTGTGTACAGCTCCTCATTTGTGGATGCAATCGACTCTAGCTAGGTTTCGATTTGGAAGTCTGTACGAGTGTGAGTGATGCTTAGATCTTGGCATGCCAGGGATTATCTCCGCTTGGTTTCGGGGACTGAATGTGCAACTCATCTGACGACTTGCAGGACATTCTTCAAGTATGACAACGTGCGGTTTTTCTCTTCAATTCCTCACGCTCTGATATGGCTCGTGCTGACTTAGCCAACGTGTAATGCACGGAAGCGCTTGCACAGTGACCTACGGCACAAACGGTCAAAATATGGGGTAGACGAGCAAGGTCGATTGGAACGTTTCACAGGTGGCATTGAGTTAGGATGCACGTACCAAATGACCTTTGTGTTTGCCTTTTTCTCACATGCACGCGTTACTCAAAGCTAACATAGCAGCATGCTAATATTCGAGAATATGTGCACCAGGTTCTGGATGTAATGGCAGAGAAACTGGCTTCCGCACAACCTTTCAGCTATGGGTGATTTGGTGATGGAATCCAAATTGCACGCGCTCCGCACCATGGCTCCAGGTTATGGGACGCTTAATCTCCTCTGGCACATGGACGGACCTGTAAAAGATATGCGTCGCAGGTTGAGTCAATGTGTGCGGCGCCATCCGATCGCCTGTGGTGGAAGGCTGCAATGCAGCTCAGCGGCTGCGCCGTTATTTACAGTATATAGAACCTATCGTCTGGATTATACCCGCCCATGTCGGAGGCAGAGTCCTTGATCCTTTGAGTCCATGAAGCTTGCCTACGGTACACGTGTAGCCTTTGAACGCGCACTCGCTATATAATTAAGCTCATGATGATAGCTACTAGTCTGAATATTGCAATGATTTTAGCGCAAAACTGATTCTTATTTTTCCTGCATTGTATTGTTGAGGCGGCGCCGGGGATCGAGCTCGAATAAACTACAGTGATCTTCAGTATTGCAATATATTGCTCGTTGTTGGTTCATGAACCAACAACGAGCTTGCAACCGTCACGTCGCGCACTGCCGATGCAAACGCAGCAGAGCTATATATAGAGCCTGCCGGGCCGCTCGCCCGGCCCGCAAGCATCATACATAGAAGCTATACATCGACCTAGGGCCGTGCGGCGCGGTTGTGTATATACGTGCGTGGCCAGTGCAGCAAGATTCTAACCACATGTTCACTTTGTATACCGTGTACATGTAGCACTGAGCATCATGGCCGGCACTGATATATGCCTCAGTGAGCTCGAGCTGTCTCGTACACGTAACATTACATGAACATGCACCCCGTGTGTATCACATAGGCGTACAATCCTGCCCGGCCGGGCCCCCTGGTTGTACAACTCCGAAAGACTAAATCTGAACTTGCTCCGATGTGTGTCATAGCTACTGATCAGGTTTTCCAGAGTCAGGTCGTCGCTGAGCTGGCCGTTAGGAACTTATTATTACGCTGAGCCTGGCAAGATTACATGATCGTTGAATGTCCAGGTAGTTACGCCTGCATGTTCCTTAAGATAGATCATCAACTGCAACTAAACCGCCCATATCCGGGAGACTTCCAAGCCTTCAGTCCAAAGTGCTCGAAGCGTCGAGCTGCTGGCAACATCAAGATATCGTCTACAAGTACACAGTTACCTTTACCAGCACGCATTGAATCTTCCGAGCTATCCGAGAGGTGTATCTCGGCCAGATACGTTAGAACCTTGAAGCTCTGCTGCTTTGTTCTACGGCCAAACCCCCACAAAAGAGGTTAAACTCCTCGAGACTGTCAATCACCCTAGTGTACAACCAACCTGCTCTATCCTAACTACCTTTCCGTTCAATGCCCTCACCCTCACCCTCACCCTCCCCTCTCCTCACAACTGCAAGTGCGTCTCCTGGCGCGAGATCCAGAACGAACCCAGCACTTCTTTGGACGGCTCAAACACAAACAACTCGCTGAACGATCCACGCACAGGACCGGTCCGGATCTCCAGCGGCGGCGGCCCGCCGGGCCCGTTATCGGCCGTTCCAGCAGTGCCGTTGGCCGGTGTGAACTGGCTCCCAACGGCAACGTTCCCGGTGACCCGGATCATAACGCCCCGGTCGCCGTAGCCGCAGCACTCGAGCGAGTTGATGACGTGGACCCACTTCTCGTCGGGCTTGTTCAGCAGGCGCTGCAGCTCGCAGTGCGCGTCGTAGATCGTCTGCTGACCCGTGAACGGCTCGCCGCCCACACTGCACGCACAAACCAGCCAGACGGTCAGCTGAGCAGCGTGGTCAGAATGATGGGGACAGCCAGCGATGAAGAGGTAGTTCAAGAAACTGGTCTCGGGAGCAGCCGGGAAAGAGAGAGACGAGAGCGCAAAGTAAGATCAAGTTGGGCCGGAAAAGGACAGTTTCGGAAGTGGGGGAAATGCCCAAACTGCCACGCCCTTTGTCGTATTCCCTCAGATAGTCCAAAAAATGCGTGCATCGATTTGTGATCTAAGGAGGGCCCAAAACATGGCGCCAGGCAACTCAAACGTTGCTCACGTAAGCCCGGTGACATTTTTCGAACTCTGCGCAACAGCCAACTCAAAGCAATCTGCGGCCACGAGTGAGCCCGGCTGAGTTTGACGCCCCATCTGCACGTTGCACGGTGGGACGGCCACTTTGATGAGGGGCCTCTTGACGAGTTACGATCAACGACTGTATCTCATGATGACGTGACGCTGACGTCAAAGCGATTGTGAAAAGGGATAGGTGCGCGGCACTTACACAAGGGCGGACTCGTCCCGGTAGAGGTCCTTGAGGAAGCCAAACATGGCCTCGCTCCCGTCGAAGAGCGAGTAGTAGTGCGTCGTCAGCATCTGCAGGCAAACACGGCTGATTGCACATCAGATACGCAAGCAAAAGCGTCAGAAAAGGACCAAGCGCAGCTGTTAGCGCACACAGCTCTCCAAACATAGGAAGCTACAGCAGAACGATCAACGAATATGAGGGTTGACGATCGGCCATCCGCGTCAAAAGATCCTGGCCACAGAGTCTTGGTCCCCGTGCCAATAGGCACTGCGGACCATACACAAAGAGCAGCGCGAATGTACTGAATGTCGAAAGCCGTGCGTTTGCACTGCCGGCCGTCCTACCGTATGCAGCATGCGAAATACTCTTCTGAAACCAGGAGCGAATGAACATTCAACTTCTTCCTGGAGACATTCCTCTGGCAGGTCGACGACATCAGCAACTTCCGCAACTCCTGCCGTCTGCTCCAGGCCAGTCCTCTCTTTTACCCCCAATACCCCCAATACCCTCAAAGGCACATTATTGGAAAATGTCAGCGTATGCAACAAAGAGTTGACAAGGGTGCTCACGTCGGAGAGGTCCTTGAGGCGCTGTGCGGGGTCGAAGACGCTGTTGACGTACTCTGCCAGCTGGCGGTCGTCCATCTGGTACTTGGTGATGAACGGGTGCGCCAGCAACTGCACGGCAGCCACGTGGCGCGTAACCATTCAGAACGCTGAAAGCCTCAAATCTACGGCTGCCATTCTTCACAAGAATGAGTACAGTGTTCTGTCAGCTGGCCAGCTGGGAGGGCAGAACTGGGGCCATCAGAGAGGATACACATAGATGGTTAAAGCTAGACGCTCCTGCAGTCGAAAGAGGACGAGTATTGCAAAGGAGTGCGAGCTCGAAACTGCTAAGGTATGCAAGGGCCCTGGTATTCGAAGTCATTCGTCAGAGCAAGGATTACTCCACTCATGTTGAGGATTTTTTTTCTGCGGGATATGTCTGACGGGCTGAAGGCTTCGTTCGAGACAAACTAGCAGGGCATTTCGAAGGTTGCCAGATCCTTGGGCGGCTGACCTGCTCTGCGGTTGGCCTGCTGTCGGCATCTTTCCGGAGGCAGGCGTCGACAAAGTCGCAAAACTCGGGGGAGAACTGGTCGGGGGGCGGTGTGGGGGACGGATCGTACATGACCTGAAGGGGAGAGCACCGCCGATGTGAAATTGCAGGAAAAGAATAAAGCTTTGCTGGTTCGGCCAAATCAACCCGGAGTTTGACCTTTGAATGTGGCTTTGTCGGGTGCTAAACGCGCGGCTGAGTAAGCTTCCAAGAGATGGCTTCCGCGCCAACCAACAGTACCTTGCTGCATACCCTTGCCTTAGGACCGACATCGGTCTGAACAGACAGATAAAGGCATGCCGATTGGAGTTTCGAACTCGACCAGCGCACTCTCCCTGAAAGCGCTTGCAATTGAAGCTGATGACTTTCATGTCAAGGCATCCACTAACGCGGCCTGTATCAAATAGTCATCACACACGCTTTCGGGGCCTTGACACAACATTCTCCATCCTCCAAGTTCTGAGCTAGGTTGTGAGCAGTAGTGTCATTGTAAAACTTGGCGAAGGTGGCGTTGATCAGCTGGATTGCCCAAAGCTGTCACTGGCGTACTTTCAGATCGCCTTTGACGGCTGGCAGGGGGCACCTAACGTGGCTCCCATCGGATGGTTCGGAGGTGTGAAGATGGGGGCTCCCCCCATCAATCGTCGATGCCAGGTTGATGAGCTGGACCCTCGCTTGTGCGTACAAAGAGCGAGCTAGGCCACAAGAGGCGGGTCAAAATCTTGATTTGAAGGCGTTTGCGGTTGTTAATCACAAACCAGAGAATCACCCCCAAAAAACAAACAAACAAATAAACAAACAAACGAACAAATAAACAAAAACAAACAAGAAAAGGTCGACGCACCTGGAGCATGAGGTTGACGGGCCCTGTGGTTGCGTTGTAGGGGAAGATGCCGGTGCCGCACTCGAGGAGCGTGAGGCCCAGGCTCCAGATGTCGGCCGGGAACGAGTACGGCTCGTTGTTTATCCTTTCAGGGGACATGTACGTCACCGTACCAACAAACGTGGCGCACTGGAGGAGAGCGGACGGGCGTCAGGAAATTGGGTCGGTTTTAACCCGACCTTAATTCATGGAATCCAATTTTAACATACAGTGCCCACAAATGTCGCGTGGAGGTGGAAGCTTTCTACAGCTGCAGCATAAATGTGGGCTTTGCGGTATCTCAAGTCCGGCTCAGTAGCCCCGAACATGGCGCACCTGAGGAGTAGACAGGGGTCACAAGTGCAGCTCGCCTTAGTACAGCGGATGCAAATGTTTAGAGAGATGTACACTAAACTTAGCTTGGTACCAGAAAACGCATACTGGGTGTTCCCAAAAACGTGACCCACTGAACAAAGTCGAGGTGGATCCTTACAGCTCTTTGCACTAAACCTGCCATCTAATTTCAAATGCTCCAATCAGGATTCCCTGATCTTGGACCATTCGATCAACAACAAGGCAGGCATCGGACAGTCAAAAATCAGGAAATCGGCTCAGAAATTCTGGAAATCGATGGCAAGTTTGACGCCAAACAACTGTAGTAAAAAGGGCAGCAGCTGAGGGAGGCTCACCATGGCCACAGAATTATCGAGCCCCGCACTAATGCCAAAGTCGGTGATCTTGGGCTCCCCGTTGAGGTTGATCAGAAGGTTGGCGGGCTTGATGTCACGGTGCACCAGGTGGCGCACCCTGGACGCGCCATCACACACACGTGTTAATGCACTTCACTACGCCCAGAACAATCCTTGATGTCTAGAGATATGGGAGAGTTTCAGAACCGTGCTTCGGAGCTGAGCTGCCCCCACTGGTCCACCTCTGACAGTTAGAGGTAGAACGCGCCATCCTTTTCGTTTTAAACTCAATCGCCAGGCGTCAGTTCGATAAATGCAATAAGTTAGTCCCATCCAGTTGCTCTGATTCAGCTGACGCAAAATCCAACAACCCAGATTGGCAGGCGCAACCTTCGAAACGGGGGGGCTTGACAGCCCACATTTGACTTTTTCCAAAGTACAGCAAGCACCCACAAGGAGAAAGAGCGTTCACTTGTCCTGAGTTGAGAAAGGTTTCGAGTGTGGCCACTCACTGGTGAAGGAAGGAGAGGCCCGCGAGGACCTTTTGCGTGATCTTTGACAAGATAGGCTCCGGGATCTTCTTGACGACGCGCACGATGTCAGCGAGGGATCCCCCGTCCATGTACTCGAGCGCGATGCTGACCTGGCCACTGTCGGGAGCGTAGAACGCCCCGTAAAACTCCACGAGCCCGTTGTTGGCTGTCGCGTGCTGAGCCTCGCACAGCGTCTTGATCTCTTTCAGCAGCTGCTGCCGTTTATCCTGAGCAACAAGGAGGCGGTGGGGGTTCTGGAGATAGGCTCGACAATAATATTGCGTGGGGCTAAGCTGGATATATCTGCACATTTGTGCATTACAGTCGGTGGCATGGAGGGGCACATAAGGTTACAGGAGAATGGAATCGTAGCCAATGATGAAAGCTGGATCCCGCTGCTGAACATTCTTGGGAATAGGGACGCTAGCAGGCCAAATGGCTCAAGACAGTCAACAAGGAATCAAAAGTCCTCAGTGAGAAGATTGCAAACCCCGTCACAACTGACAATCACACAACTAAAAGAGTCCTCAAATTCTGTTTTGAGTTGCCAGCTGCCCCCACTGCTAGCCAGTCAGATTTATCTTGAATTTGCTGAATGCATTTTGCCTCTGTAAAAGTCATATCGCAGTCTTGCGATTGCAATACTGCAATCAAGCAGAGCCCAATGCGCGCAGCTTTCCCAGTCAATCCTGCAAAGCTTGACAACCAAAGACGGTCTTCAGATAGATCCGAACCCTGCTAGCAGACGCAGCCATTGCAAACGATTCAACAGACCATTTGCTACCAGGGATCCCTCTAATGTTTGCAGCGAAGACCAATCGACTCACACCGGGTCAGATCTTTCAACCATCGGTACAAGCCCATGTTCAACCGCCTCACCCTATCTGCCGCGTTGATTTTCTTGAGCGCCACAATCCTGTGGTGAGGGATGTGAATTGCTTTCCGTACGGTACTGCTCGCACCCCACCCAATTGTGTTGAACACCAGCATCTCATGCGAAGCACACCGGTAAGAGACGTCCCGGCTGATCCCCCCCTCTGCAGTGTCATCAGAGCCCTTCTTTCTCTCCAGTCCCATCTCATTGATGTTGTACTCGCCGCAGGACTGGCCCATCAGATTTAGGGTTCCCCCGTCCGTGACTCTGTACGACGCCGACACGCTATCCATCATCATGTCAGGCGCCCGCAGCATGCTCCCATTTGTGGCTAGCGGCATCAGCCGCTTCTTCATCTGCTCCATGGCTATGAGATGCGTGTATTGCCCCAGCCCGGTTGATTCTCTGTCCGCTATCCGCTATTTTTGACTCAGAAATGAATCGCTGCGGGACTCAATAGAATCCCCTAATCCTCAAGAATGCACCTCCTTTGCTTTTCCCCAGCAGAAAAAGAAGATCCTAAACTTCAGATTGAGCATCTCCTTGCTGCGAAACCAGGAAGTAGAGATGTGCTTCCCTCGCGAAGCCCAAAGCACGCCTTGCCATTGATCGGGGTGCAAAGAAGCAACTTGCAATCGGGCCATCATCGCAGCGTGGGCGATACCGTTGCAGTGTGCACTCGTAAATGGCGTGCGCCAACTTGGCAAGAGGATGCAGTCGTGGCAGTCAGTCCCCTCTTCACGTGACGTACGATGACGGACATTGTCAGAATTCTGGGGGGCCCCCTCGGTTAACCTACTGAGTACTGACTCTACAGTAGTGGCATGGCTTCGGCGACCTTGGCGCGGCGCGGCGCTGCCGCGGGATCGGCCTGATAACATTACTAACGCTTGGATTTCGCCACGGTTATATTGCTTTTGCGTCATACCATACATTCCGCCGCAAGAATACAATTCCTGACGGTAACACAAATCAAAGGCACCCTAGCGCAGGTTTAAACTGGCCCGGGTTAAGTCAACAAAATCTGGGTTAAATCAAACCTGTATTGTTGACCCTCCAAACGTGGTCATTGCGAGTTTGAAGCGTCAGCGTACGCCCAATTGTAGATCAGATCGTCTCTTCCAAGACGTGATCTCCCTTGCTATGTGCAAAGCTAAATTCATTATGAAAGTATCAGTTTAGAGCTCGAGATTGCTATAAATTAGTTGAGGCAAGATTGCACGATGGATTGATGGAAGCACCAAGACCAGCGTTGCTGCAATTCCTGACTCTATCGCGGTAGAATCTGCTGTCACAAGGACGTTGAATACGTTCCGCATCCGTCACGCCACTATCCACGTTCCAAAAGCCCCAGCAGCCAAACCTTCATGCACAAACAGCGGACATATGCAGCAAGCACAAAAGTCTTCCGTAATCAAAGGACTTTTAAGTAGATGCTTGAGAAGCAAGCTATCTCCAAGTCCATGCACAAGATTGGATCCTTCTAGCTGGCAACATGCGATTCTTTATACCACTTGTTCAGTGTTGACCGTTGCAAAACAAATGTGCTTGTCGTCTCGAACTGTTTCACTCTAGGTTTTCACATACTTCAATGAGGTTATCCGCAATACCAGGAGCTTGGCTCATAGTAACAAAACAAACTTCTACCAAGAGCTTTTACCGGGCCCACTTAGAACAGACACCGTTGAACTGCTCCGCCGTCACTCTCATGCAATAATCCCGCATAGTTCGCCCTGGCGTCTTGGGATAGAAGAGATCATGGAGCTCCAAGAGGAAGCCGCGGAACTCATCCGGGACCCGCTTGAGGTCGCTCGGCTCCGCCGCGAGCATACGTCCGGCCCGCAGCTCCGCGCACTTTTCCAGGTCGGACAGCTTCATGTCATGCCGCCGCGCCACCTTCTCGTCGCAACAGCAGGCGAGGAGGCTGATGTAGAGCCCCTCCAGCATTGAGCTCCGGGTGTGGCTCCGCCCTTGCAGTACTGAGAGAGGGGCATAGAGCGGGGTGCCCGTGATGGCACCCAGCTTCCCAGTCGGACTGGCTGGCTGTATCTTGTCCACGTCCTCGTGTGCAACGACCTAAAGAGGAGTAGGTCCCGTCAAACTTCCGGCAAAGAATGACACCAGGAATGGGAAGATGCACATCACAGTCTGATTGCTGAGACGCGGAACAATTCGTGCTGGGGTTGCTCGGGTCGAAGTCTTTGCCTACAGCTGGAGTGCATTTGAACGAGAGCGCCTTGAAGCCATGACCGGAGACTCTAATTCGAGCGGCAGTTGGGGTCGGCTCTGGTAGGGTCTGGTAGGCATGCTCAACTGTGGGCTGACGTCACAGCCTACACTGAGCCTTTGCGTCTGAAACGGCTTACGTTGACGTACTTACAAAGCATAGCGACATGTATGAGACCACTCTTTCACAAGAGTCCGCATGAAGCAAGTATGCATGTACCGAATTCACCGTCCAATTCAAACAAAATGTCGATAAGGGCGAACCTTGGCTGCTGAGAAGTCGAAGAGCATTCCTCGTCCCTCAAAAACTCCGATGTTGTCAAGGCTAATGTCCCTCTGGAGGACGCCCTTCTCTACGCACCCGTTGATTGCATCCGCAACATCACGTGCCGCCTGCAAGAGAACCATCAGTCGAAGAATTTGGTCAGGTAACAACAACGAGAAAAAATGTCGGAACTAGCAGAAATTCGCAGACCGTTTTTCTTAACAGAATTACGTGACGAGAAATCTTGTACAGAATTCTGCACCGATCCAAACAAGTAGAAGCGGAGTGACAGATTCTAGAGACTAACGGTACAGCTCTGAACATCTTGACAGAGAAAAGAAGGACAACCCCCTGTGAAAATCGTTTGCCATAGCCATCCTGACCAAAAATCTAGCCATGCTTGTTTCTTTCATTGCAAAAGACGAACCTGGACAAGCAACTTCCGTCCAAGTTGCATAGTGAGCCGCTGCGCATACGGGGCCAGGAGGAGCGCGTGCCACTGTCGACCCTGGTAGGTGCACTCGCCGCTTGCGAGGACCTTCACAAGGTGTGGCACACCTTCCGCAGTCAGCATTCTCAGCAAGTCGCCCTGCAGTGACAAGAAGCATGCGTCAGCCCCCAGCAAACTTGAGCATTCCCGGCCCAACATTAGCACACCCTTGAACGGTTACCAGGTTTACCCAAAAGTCCAAGTCTTGAATAACAGGTTTTCAGAAATCTGCGTCAGCTTCTGAAGTGCATTCCCAGACATGCAAAGTCCATATGGGGTTTCGGGATCACCCCCTTGGGGGATGAATCAGTCACTCGGCAAACTACAAAAAGTTGGAAGCGGGCAGGATTACCGGCAAGGAACTTTACTAAGAATTTATACTGGAGCCGAGGAAGATTAGCACCCAGAATCCCCTTCTTCATGAGAAGTTTGCGTCGTTAATGTCCCTGGAAATGAATGGGGGAGCTTTTGAATTAAGAATCTGGCCCCCCGTTACAAGATCAATGAGGCCCGGCCCCCATGCAAGGGTGAGGCTGAGGGGCCGAGATTTCCCCCATAAGGAGATGTGTTCAAGTGGTCCTGGGGGCCGTCAACAATCCAGAGTCAGGCAAGTTCCCTGCTATCTGGGGGTTTTGGGTGTATTATTTAAGGTTCCGATTCTGACACAGGTTCCAGATCTGCAAAACGCCTTCATATCAGAGTATTTGTATTACGGTCTGAAACCCCATTTTCGGATGGCCTTCAGAAATTTCTGGTGAAGTTGGCTAGCATCCTGGTCTCCCTATGTCTCACTTCAAAGCAGTTCCTGAGCACCTCGAGCACTTACCTCCAGCTTGTGGTCGCAGAGTTTCAGAATGCATTTTCCGAAGTAGCCATCGCTCTCTGCCGTAAACACCCAGCTCCCCACAGTGCTGGGCCCCGTGCCCCGTCTCAGCAACTGCAATTTGCCCACCCGCCTCCCCTCCAACACGCTCAGGTCAGGCAACACCGGGCTCACAAAGCCCAGCTTGCTCTTCTCCGTAGCTAGAAGCCTCACCAACCATCTAAAGCCGACCGAGTCTTCGCCAATGTAGAATGGCTGCAGGCCTGTTGACTCTATCACCCACTTGCACTCGCTATCTCGATGGATGTGGACGACCTCTAAGGCGTTCATGTTCAGGCCAAAGGAGAAGAAATGCTGACGATCCGGCTGGTTCTCTAAAGCGACCTGGCCTCGTCCAATTTCCTGACCCAACATCGAATCTTGATCGTCTTTACCGTCGTGGACCTTAAACTCGCCGACCGTAACGAGCTGAGTCCAAGCTATCAGCTCCTCTGCCAACATGCTTGTGTCTGGTCGGCCTACGGGATTTATGAACTGGTTGGAGGAATTGTGCGTGTCCATCACAACGAGCTCTGAACCGACCGCTTCTTTTACTGCGTGTATTATTTTCATCACACAAGGCTGCATGTGCTTATCCTCGCTCAACTGGGACTTCTGCGCCTGAGGAATGAGGTCTACTAGTGTCAGGTGAGGGGGTTTTGTAGACGAGTCTGAGTTAGGCGTCTTGACCCCTCCTGCGCGCTGCGCCTCCGGCTCCGGCTCCGGCTCCATTTTTTTCTCATTGATCGTTTGCAGCGACTCTGCAGTTCACAAGACATTCGCCCTTCAGAGGTTGATAACATTGGACACAGAACAGACTATTCTGGACACAACATTGCTAAATATGAGGTTTATGGGAAGTGGCGAGAGCAAGGTAGGAAACAGCCAGTTCCGGAGGGCTCCTTTGAAGATGAGTGGATGAGAAAAGCTTGGACACTGAACCGCAGTCAGATCAAAAGAACCTCATCATTCCCTCCCTCTAAAATCGTCTTACCAATAGAGGGCATTAGTGCATCTTTCAGAGAGTTACACAGCAATTGCCTCACACAATGAGCCCCATCACTGAAACACGTTGCTTTAAGACTCACTGGCAATTGGGAATGTGCGACCAGTCGCCTTAGCGCCCGGAAAGCACTCCTTTACAGCTCGTATTGCGTTCTCCATCATTTCCGGGGTCTCACGCACGATGAAGGGGAAATCGGTCACGCGCTTGGACCGAGCTCTAGCTTCCTACAGAGGAGAAGTAAACGGATCACGCCACTGCAGACCCATTGGCCCAGTGGCCCATCAACAAACAGTCAACCAGATTGGCTCAGCAAATAGTTCACAGCACAGACTACATGAGCTTTAGAAGAAAAAAACTGAATTAGCCATACCGCGTGCTAAGCAGAGAGACCTTGCAAGCATCTGACAACATTCGCCCGGGCATCCGCGTCCCCTAACTCCTCTTCTGTGTCAAAAACTTACCCTTCCGACTCCGCTTCCGTTCTTGAAGTCCGCGTACTACTGTCCAGCTTAAGGTGCAAGTTTGCAATCTCCAAGTCCGACTGCACCCGTCCAAGTCTCAAGTCAGCGATTTCTGACTGCATTTGCTGTACTTGGTCGGCTAGGTCAACCTTACTCACACCTGCAGCAATAGGCAAGAGGTTACCATTTCATGATTATAGTGATAATAATACCAGTTCTGCAAGCAGATAAGGAAGCAACTACAGGCCTTCACACACTCTGTACAATGACTGTGCTCACCAAGGCAAGTGGTCAGGCCACCAGAGAAAATCACAACAGAGCAGAGACCCAGAGATGGCGCAGTTGTCAAAACCTCCCTCATCAGTGCTAATCTCTGTGGCGAAATGGAGCTAGAAATTTGTCCTAATACTTTCAATGTTCGCGAGGCAATCACAAAACAACCTGGGAACCAGAGGGAGCTACTCTAATCGAGCACCAGAATGTTGTGCCGTGGATCATGGTGACCACCGTTTGCAGCAAAAAACACTTCCAGAGAGAAGAGATACCATAGCAACGATTGGGAAAAGGTGCGAGAAAGTATTTGACTCACCAGTTTCTGTGGTGCTTGGCCCCGCACCCGCTGCACAAGGCAAAATGAATGTCAGCACCAATGAACCAGTTCCTGACAAGCAGGCTGCAGGGGTTGGAAGATCAGCAGCAATGTCATGCTTGAAAGAGCCCTAGGTGCAGGGTACTCAGCAGCCAAGAGCAGACAGGACAGATGTGCCGCATCTCCGCAATCAGCACGGATGTATTGCCTTTGTTCAGACACAGGAAAAGCAGTCAACCAGGATCAGCAAGCAGAGTCTGTATGAATGCTTCTGCCGGGCAAAGTTTCTTAGCAAACACCGAGCTCAAGGACCATGTGATCTGATTCTGGCCTGATAGGTGAAACAACCCTGGACGCAGAGGGACAGTCCCCAAACAGGCACCGACACACTGGATGGGTGGTGTGGATTACTGCCTCTACCATGAACCAGAGAGCTCCAGCACTCTGCCGAATTGCAGGCATGCACGAATGCATTTGCATTCATTAACCATCAAATGAAAGTTGTCCTCAAGCATGAAAACCCTCTGACTCGAGTGGTGCGAACCATGGCATCTCTCCCCCAGACCAAAAGAGCTTCAGATCTCTACTCAATGGCAAGCCGGCTTGTATGCTATTGCACATGTTTAACTTTCGTTCAGCTTTCCACTAAATGCTGCTTTTCTGCATCGAGCGATCTTATGCTTCCTTGGATTCCTGCAAAGCAGAGCAAGGAACAGGGACTAACTGCTGGTTAGAGCCGCTCCTCCCTGTCCGACTTTTTCTGGAACAACTCGGAATCGTTCAGAGAAAAGGTATGCGGAGCAGACATATGCTGCTTTGCACAAATGTTTAGGGCTTCTGCTCGAGATTGTCAAGCATGTTTCAGAGGAAATGAGACACACCTGCTGACTCCAGCCGGGCCTCCTTGTCCAGTAGCTTGTTCTTCTGCTTCAGCAGCTCGGTGTCCTTGTCCCGCAGTTGCTCTTCCTTTTTTACCCAGCGCTGTTTTTCGATTGCATCTCCTGCATGCCTGATGTTCTCTTCCGCTTCCCTAATCTCTGTCGTAAGCGCGCTGATCTCTGCTTCCACTTTTGCAATTTTCAACCTGACTTCCTCGAGGGGATCCATCTTGTAATGATCCAGCTACTTCCTGGATTGCAGCCAGGCAGCATCGGGAAGGCAACATGCAAAGAGGAGAGTGCTGACGTGATTATTGAATTGCAATGAAAACCTCGCAGGCGCAAAGGATGCTTGCGCCTGAGATGGTCCTTGGAGGACGAAAACTCGTTGACAGGACAGGTGCCTAGACTCTCCGACCCGTTCTTACAGCTTCCCCCGAGCAACCTGCCAGTTTTAGTGGGAAAATTAGTCTACTTTAATCAGTCTGCCCGTAGAGTGAAATTAGTCTAATTTAGACGGCACTAAAACTGGCAGGTTGCTCGGGAGAAGCTGTAGCAGGCCCAAAGGATAGACAGGACGCTCAGTGGATCTCGTGATTTGGTCAGTGCGCAACTTGAGCCTCACCGGATGCTTTTTCGAAGCTTCTTCTTTGCAACCCCTTTGTCGCGCGCGCTGCTCGCGCTCTGGGATAATGATACTTCGCTTCGACGGTTAAGCGGCCGGTTCGGTTGTGAACTACACGCTTTCGGGGCGACCGTCGGACCTTCGTGCGCGGGTCTCGACGAAAGGGGGGGACACGTGGCGCTATGCGGTTGGACTATTTTATGCCGTTCAACAGATGGTTAGTTGGGTTATGTCTACCGCCTATTTGCAACAACGGGGTTTCTATACCCCGGGTATGCTTCACTTTCGCAAGTTTTATTAACGTCTTGTGTCCACCCTCACAAGGTTTGGCCGGTAGAAAGCAGCCGGTAGGGTGCACCGCTAGCTAAACGTCCCGATAATTTAGGAGTTTTTATCGGATCAGGCAGCCCACAAACTTGGAACCGTCGCGGCCGCGGGTCTTCGAAGTTCAGACTTCAAGGCTTTATATCGGAACCCTAAACCCATAAAAGTTTACGAAGCATGGGTACAACTTTGAATGAAAATGGCCTCCCTAACCGGGAGGCCTTTTCGGGGTTAAGATAGGGTTTAGGAGCTGTGGGTTGTTCGGGCCCCGGGGTGATAGTCAAGTTCGGTTCGGGCATGGACTTGCAGAGGTTTGCAAGGGACAAGTACCCGGTATAGGCCTACCGGGCTATGGCCAGGGTAGCTTGGAGCTGGCCGGGTACAGTAAGATTGTCGCCCGGGAATTTAGTAGGTTAGGTCGGGGGTTAGGGTCGGTAAGTAAGGAATTGGGGTTAGTCTGTGGGTCAACTTGACGAGTCAACCAAGTCAACGCCACGTGGTAGAAATGGTAAGGGTTTAGCCAATAGGATCGCGAATAAAAAGCCTTACCGCGAAAACCTCCTGTCAATAGGGAGGCAATAACCCTTGAATAACCCTTACATAACCCTTACATAGCCCTTATATAACCCGCATTTGGTCTCCACGAGCTAGAACTTGAAGCTGAAGCAGTGAAGAAGTGAAGAATCACGACAGAACACCACATTGCGCCGCGCCATGGAGGATTGTAAGACGCTCAAGTTGCTGTTTCTCAGCTTGGCTTTGCTGTGCGCCAGCTGTGCTGCGGTGAGCGGAAGCGGGTGCTGCCAATGTACTCGCAACTGCGGCCAGTGTACGCCGTGTGAGAACGAAGAGTATAACTACTTTCTGTTTGTTGTCCAGGTGGGACACCATTGGAAGTCTGAACACTCTTGATCCCCTTCACCGTGGGACTTTGTGTATGATTATGTGCTTTACTTAATCTAGCTTTGGCAGAGGCTATGTTCACCAACTTTCATCGTTGGACTGAAACCTCAAAGTGTGTGGCATTCTATGAGCTATCGCCGTGCACCGATCGGTGGTGGATGCCTGAATACCTTGACTAGCAGAATGTCAGACCAACTTTCGCAATCGGCGCAGTTTCTCTTGCTTCTGAACAGGCTTCCTTGCAATCAAAGAAACATTGGCCCTCATCCTGTATTCACCTGAGCCGCCAAGCTTCCTTTTCTGATCCTTCTGTATCAAGAAGTGACAAGTGCAAAACTCGAGCTGAAACAGAGCTGACTGCTCCTCTCCAGTGGCCTGCCACCTTCTGCTTGAAGCCGGGCTCTTGCTGCGATGGAAGGTAAGAAAGCCATGTACAGGAGAAGCTTGTTACTCAAAAGTAGGGGGGGTGAAACCAACATCATTGCCATCCAACATTACTGCCGTCCTTCAGTGTTGAGGACTAGACTGCGCCTGGGGGTGCATCAAGTTGAGAAGCACAGGAAGGACGATCGAAAACGCTGGACAAGGATCCAAGAGTGTTATCGTGCTATGAGACACCATGGAAGAATGAACGTGGTTGAAAAGGTTGTTTTGAAGTATCAGACCGCATTTGAGAAGCGATGGTACTGATTACGAGAAGCAATGATACTGAAAACGAACACACTTAAGTGCAACCTGGAAGCGGGGACTTCAGAGCAGGCACCTGAGCAGGAAATAAACCAGGCCCTCACCCACCCACTTTAACCAGGCAATTGACCACTCTCTTAAACGTTGGTGGGGTACACTCCTCACTCAGTGAGGCTGACAAGAACGCTACTCGTTTTGCAGCCTCACCGCGTCCAACTTCACGATCCGTGAGCGCCGAAGCTGATTCTGATTCAGAAACGTGCTGTGAACATCTGCGTTGTGAAAGAGAGCTGGTTAACGAGTCCCGCCAGAAAATGCTGAAGGCAGACTGGCTGTGCAAACTGACACTTGCACGCATCTGCTGCTCACAAGTCTATGGTCGTTGTTTTGACACAATCACAACGATTTGCTTTCAAAGCGCAAAGTCGCAAAATTGGGGCCTGTGTCGGGTCATTCTCTGTTGCCGAGTGTTGCTAACCCGACATGTGACCCTTGCTAAGGAGTTTCGAACTTGAGCCTGCAGATGGGCTGTGGCCGGAGAAGAGCAAGAACTGCTACCCATACTGTTGTGGCACAGAGCCATTCCGTCCGTCGGAGGTGAGGCCGAGAGTTACATCGCTCACCGCGGTCCCTGCGACAGAGGCACTGTGTTGTTCAAATGGACATCAGCATTGAATGGTTTTACCATGTTATGTCATCAGTCACAGGGCAATTGCCTGTTCTATGCAGCTCTATACTCGGGTCTTAATCGAGGTTCCGATTTCCACTGCCTTTCCTATGGTCGACGATTCCCGGTCTTCGATCTGAACCACTCTCATCAACACTTGGGGCCATTTCCTCTGAATGAATGGCTGTCGTTACTGAAGAGAGAGAGGGTGAACCGCCGTTCTTAGCTTAGATTCCAAATTGGATATATTTTTCTTTGCCATAACGAGGTCTCAGATTGCTGTTCTCTCTTTCCCAGGTCAGCGGTTTGCTCCCCGAGCTGAAGACCTACTGGCCGTCTCTTGCCTGCCATGGCACCGACGACTCTTTCCATGCACACGAGTGGAGTGAGTGGAACCGGAAGCTCATAACTTAGTACGTCGTGGGTGCATCCACCCTTCAATTAAGATTCTTTTGAGGCTCGCAACATCGTCACAGGGCTTACCACAGAGACTACCGTCTTTTGCTGCCAACCTTTCAGTCCCCTTCTCTGTCCGAGAGCATCACAGGCTCAAAACAAAAAAATCTTCTTTGGGATGACACCTCGTCGCCCCCTTATAAGAAGGTGCCCACCAGGCTGCGCTAGGAGAAGTGGAAAGGAATAAAAGAAAGAAGAAAACGAGCTGCCTACCACGCAACCAGCTTGTAAGCTATCTGTCCATTCCTGTTGCAGTCAAGCACGGCACCTGCTCGTTGGCCTCCCTGCCAGACCCCGGTACGGGGACGCCCGTCCGAGAATACTTCCAGCGCACGCTGCAGCTCCGCAAGAGCCTCCCGCTTCTGGTGCGTTCTCTTTTTGATGAGCATAAGTTTGGTATGCGGTCGTTACTACCCAGCTCATGATGGCGATATGTTTCGGTGTTCGATGGAGAAGCGACTGGACTTGCCAAAGCGACTGTGCGCTCTTCTGTTCTTTCTTTTGACTGTGCCATCAAGGCGTAGCGCTATTGTGCGTTTTTTTGCCGCTGTACTGAATACTTTTGAATGTGCAAGAACGTATTCAAGCGCTTACTTCCTCTCCTGCGACAACAATTTTATTGGACGTACTCTTTAACGAGCTTCCGCAACGTGAGTCCGCCCTCAGGATTCTATGTCAGGTTGCTTGGTATCCACGTACGTGCACGTTTTAGAGAGTCGCTCGACTTGAACTTTGGGTGAGGTTCCGCTCCGGTTTTAGCATGATTGCAGACGTGTCAAAACCTTCAATGCGCTATTTCAAGCAAGCCCAGTCGGTTGCAAAAGTCGTCCAATCCTGATGCCTCTGCCGCTGATACCGTGTGCAGAGCATACTCGAGCAAGCTGAGATCTACCCCTCCAACACCGCATCGTATCCCCTTACGAAGCTCACGCACGCGATCAAGACGGCAGTCGGAACGTTTCCCGACGTGCAGTGCACGGGAGCAAACATCAACGAGGTCCACTTCTGCCTAGCAAAGGACCTTAAGGTGCGTTTCCCGGTCCTCGCGTTGCGCTTATATGCTTTGTGTTGCCCCTTTTTCTTTTGTTCCTCCATAATGCCCATGGTACTCGAGGAGTCAGCCGCAAGGCCTATGAGAAGTGATAAGATGGCTGCGCCGCGCGAGATTTAATAGAACGCTCCGTGCGGACCTGTCACTTCGAAGGCCACAGACAACTGTGAATCGGCACTGATATCATTGGACGCAAAAGTACAGCGCAAATCGGACAGACCGATTCCTCAAACAACCGATGTGCGCCCGTGAATGGTGCCTCTTCCATCAATCCGATCATGCAGGCTAGGTGGGCTGCTTCTCTAAGAAACCCACATATCTGCGACCCCTGACGCTTCCTCCTGCCTTTCTCTGCAGACCTTCATTGATTGTCCCACGACGTTGAGCACGCCTGAGGAGTCGCAGCACTGGATGAAGGATCTGTCCAGAAGGCGTCACCGTAAGAAGCCCCATCCTGTCCCCCACGGTGCTTGTCCCGCCCAGGTCAAGCTGCCGGTGCTCCATTCGAGCAGTGATGTGCAGTAGGTATAAAGAAGCTTCATAAGTGACATTTGAAGCCCGTCGAAATGAGGTTCAACTTTGAGAGAGATTGTGACTCGAGACTTTGCCAATTACTGGGTGAACCTAACAAGGTACCGGACATTCAGTTGAGGTATGTGTCGTTGCAATGAGTGTAGCTAGACATGTTCACTTATTTTGAGTTTTCATTTATTTGCCTTCTTTGATAGCCGCCCTGACTCAAGATCGTATTGGATGCGACCGCAAGGCTGCATGCAGACGCTGTAGTTTCCAACATATGCAGAACCTGCCGCTTCATTGTGACTCAAATGATGTGCATGTTTATCCCATGTTTCACATGCATGAATTCACCTATTAGATCGAGTGCGCATGTGGTAGATTATGCGTACTACGGAGCTAGTAGGTGTACATACCTGACAAGACATGCAGGACTTGAGTCCAGAGAAATCAAGCGGGGATCGGAAGCTGCACGCGCAGCCATTGCACGGTGCCCGCGGGGCCGAAATCAAAAGGTCAATGCATGATATGTCCAGTACGTCGATATGCACCTGGGCCGGGTGACCTTAATTGTTCCCTGCATCATGTGCATCGCAAGTCTAAGCTATGCAACGTTCGATCTGATTGCATACGTGGTATCATGTGACGATCGGACTGTTTACTACATGTGAGAACCAGGTACCCTTGCATGAGCCGCCGCGCGCGTGCCACATCGAAGAGGCGCGTGTTTGTGCAATTGAATGTATGATGCTGCACTGCAGCGTTCAGTACACTCGTCGATCGGTCAATCTGCGGAGGCTGGCTCTGGGGCACGATTGAATACATGCGCAACTGGGTACATGTGAGTGCATGAGTATGCTTGATATAAAATGTTCAGTGAGGGCTCCGCGCCTGTCAACATCTTCTTAGTCCTTGCATCCAACGACCTCAGATCAACCGGACACGCTGGCACGGCTGGCACGCACAGTCACCGTGTTCAAGGCTGTCAACACGCGTGTGTGGTCCGACTGTGCACTGAAAGTCGAGCGGTGTGCTCAATCGTATGCTTACTCGCCTTCAACCGCTTTGTTTCCGGCATCGACCAGGTTTGCTGCAGGCCCATTGGTGTCCTCTTCTCTAGTTCCAACCACTTCTTCACCAACGGTCTCTCCTCCGCTTTCGGTAACGGGGTCAGTCGCTGCTTCTTCACCTGTACCACCGGCTTCCGTTTCCAACTTTCGTTCTGCCTCCTCTCCGCTCATTCCGTTCCCGTTCGCAACCTGCTCTTCCTCCTCCTCTGCAACGACGTCAGCCTTCCCTCCCGCACGTCCCTCGCTGACATTCTGTTCGGCCCCTCTCTCTTTGCTGACGTCATCCCCGTTCATCCCCTCGTCAACACCGTCGCCTCCCGTCCCGCCATCTTTACTGACGTCATCCCCCATCTCAGCAGCTTCCACGTGCTCGATGACGTCAAACCGGGCCCCCTCCAGCTTGTGCGTCTCCTTGAGCTGCTCCGCTTCCGCATCCGCTGCCTCCGCCTCCGCTTGCAGACTGCCCGCCTCCTCGAAGTCTTCCGCCTCGGCGGCTTCGTCCATTTCGCGCCGTGCGGCGGCGGCGACCAACCGCAGGCGCTCGCACCGCGCGGTCGCCGCCTCCCTCTCCTTGGCAGACAACTGCAGAAAGAAGTTGGTAACATCGTTGAGCATAGCTCTGAAGTATGGTCGGCTCAAGCACACACGGCTCATATGTATGCCATGAGGAGTCTGTGCCCTGAGTGGCTATGGCAAATAGATAAAAGACCATCAAACGGACAAGCTCCTTCATGAGTCTCAGCATTGGAAGATGAATCAGAGACAGGGAGTCAAAACACTGGGCGTCAAACATAACGGCTTCGCGACAAGAGCCCGCCCGGCGACCTGTATCGGCAAAAGGAAAAGTGGCAAGTACTCCCGAAAGATCGATAATATGTAATCGGGGCCAAACAGCCCGTTCTCCTTACGCCTTTTCACTAAAGGCAGCCAACTTGACGCTATTCGCTTTCGTTCAGTCCCTAAAGGTCCTCAGCCGTCCCTAAACGTCCCTAACCATTAACAAGGAATCTGTGGCGTATCTGCATCGGCCACAGAAACCCCAGCGCACCTTATCTGCCACGTTCCACTCGACGCACCATCAAAGCACCTCCATCCGACGCTTTGATATTGGTCATGTAGGGCTGCTCTCGAACGACACCCACGAGTAGCAGAACCGTTCGCATGCCTCAGTTCCCCCTCACCTCTGTTTCCAGCTCCGCCACCTCCGCCGCCCGCGTCTGCTCTTGTCCTTCCGCCGCGCCTAGTTCCCCTTTCAGCCTGCCCACCTCCGCCTCGGCTTTCTCGCGCTCCGTCGCCAGGGCCTTCGCCTCTGCGCTCAGCCGAGCCGCCTCCTTGAAGTTTCTGCAAAGGCCGCGCCGTGGTTAGCGGAACAACCTCAAATTTAGCGAAAGCCTCTTGCCATTACCCAAACCGCCTCGCTCCAAGCCCCGCTTTAACAATAGTTTAAAAGCAGTCAATGGCTCTATTGCATTGGACAAAAGTTACATCCATTCTCAATGCAACGGTCAAAAGTCAATCCCTGGGCGTACGAGCACGCAGCTTGGCATGTGGGGTCACTCAGGTTTGAGTGGGGTTACTGAAGGACTGCGTGTATGGCAACGCATTCCTTCAAACTAGCAAGGCAAGCCAAAAGCTGATGAGACGATCATGAAGAAACGGTCTGACGCTTTATACGATGATTGATGCAGCACCGAACGCCGACAACGCCGCTTTCACGAACCAAGCTAAGTCCCTCGAAGTTGCCGAAAAAGTTGTTTTCGTTCTCTCATTTGAGAAAGCTCTTCGACTTTTACTCGAAGAAAATACTATGGACTTTTTCTGAAAGTTTAGAACCGGTCAAACTCTGTTCTATCTTCCTTCAACTTAAAGCGTCCGGCAGCTAGGGTGCCTATGCAGGCAGACATGGGTAAGACGGCTGCGCACCTGGCCTGCGCCGCCAGCTTCTTCTCGGCCTCCAGCTCGGGCGCGCGCTTGTTGGCGGCCTCGACCTTGAATTCCTCCGCCGCTAGTTCCTGCTGCAGCCGCAGCTTCACAACCGCCACCTCCTGGAACGACGAGCGCAGCCCGGCCAACCGCTCACGGACCGCCTGAACAGAATGAAGGGGCGCAGCAAGCGTTTGCTTAGGGATCCGGAGAAGGATCGCGCAAACAGCAATCCGGAAAACCGCTTGCAGACCGCCTAGGAAAGATCGGGCGCAGCAAGTGGTGGTTTACCAGCCTGGAGGAGGAATGCGCAGAGGACGGATGGCAAAGAGTCGAGAGTCTCGTGCTCCACACGATGCATGAAGCGACAATCAGAAGAACGCCCACAATATACATAGACATAATAAAGTTGACGGTGGGGCAGATGCTTTAGTAGCCAAGAGGGACTACGACAGCGCTTGCGAAGTACAAAAGCTGTGGCGCCATGTCACCAAGTTCGAAGTTATCAACTATTACCACACCAGTAAAGAAACCGAAAAGGGATCTTGTCACGTAAGCGTAGCCCAGCAGAGCGAGATCCCTCCATCTTGAAAAGGAGGGGAGAGGCTCATTAAGGCTGCAACCCTCCATTCAAGCTTCAGGCAACTTTCATCCCACACATTTGTAAGCGTGATTGTGCTCACCTCGGCCTGTTCCCTCAGCTTCTTCTCCTCCTCTGCCAGCTCGTCCTTCCGCCGCTGCGACGCCACGACTGCCGCCGCCGCGCCCTGCTTGTGCCTCGCCTGCCCCTCCATTTGCGCCGCATCTAGTTCCGCCCGAGCCGCCGTTTCTTCCAAACTCCGGCGCGCGCTGGCGGCCTCTTCAACCGCGGCCGCGACCCGGCGCCGCTCCTCGGCGACTCGCTCAAGCTCGGCCTCAAGTTGGGCGGCGAGAGACGAGACACGCTCTTCGTCGGCCTGAAAGGAGAACACAACTGTCAGAATGATAAAGTCTGCGCTCTACCGCGTAATAGAGTCTGCGCTCTACATCCATCAGAAAAGCCTTCACTGAGCTTCCACAAACGATGAGACTTCCAGCGGCCTTGAAAGCGGCATCGAGTTGGGCCGCACGAGTCGAGACTCGCTCTCCGACGCCCTAAAAGAAGAACAAGTGATTTTCGTTTTGCCATTGAGTTGGGCAAGTTTACGATCTACCAGCATCACAAGAAGTTTCGCTGAAGGCCCACACACAATGACTTTTCATTCACGGTTGAGAGAGGGGGCGGCTGATCGCGCAGTTCCACGGCAATGCCTCCGCAGTAGTTCTCGTGTTGCGGAGATACTGGTCACGTGCTACCGCCTTTCGTGACTCGAATACTGGCGTATGATCTATCTGGTCGCCCAGCCAAGGCTTCATGGATAATACGGCGCAACCGTTATGGAGGCATCGTATGACTTTTCTCAAACACGAAGGGTCTCAGGACACAGAAGCACGTCACAGCGACGTGCTTTGGCCGTATGGACGAGGGCACGGGTACATGTCCCTACCTGGAGCCCCTTTGCCTCCCGCCCAAACTTCGCCGCCACCTCCGCAATCTTCGAATCGACATCCGCGATCTTCTCGTCCTGCGCTCGCAACTCCAGCTCTTTCCGCGCAACCGCCTCTCGCAGGGCCTTGAGCTCCCCTTCGATCGTGCTCTTCACTCCCATCAGCTCCTCTTTGAAATCCACTTCGCTTCGCGTCGTTTCGTCGATCTTCAACTTCAGTGCAGCGTTCTCCTCCTCAATCACTCGCAACTCGAGACCGACTTTTCTCCGCCTTTCTGCGACATCGTCTTCTTGTTGCTGGAGCGATGACTCTTGCTCGGAAGCGGCGGCTTCTGCTGACTCTTGGGCGCGGAGGGCGTTCGCATGCGCGGAGGCAGTCACGGCGCGCAGCAGGGCGGCGCCCTCGAGCTGTACGTCAACCTCCTCTTGAGCAGTCGCTTGCACCTGCAGGAGAAGAAGAAGAAGAAGCGCTGTCATCAGCGTTCGAGCTCGAAACGATTTGAGGAACGAAAAGCAACGTCTGGCGGACCCTTGCACCTGCATGAGGAAGCGCCGAGTTGGAGTTTGTTCGTTGACATCTCCGATGTTTGGGACTCTTCAGCAATCGAATCAATGTTGCGATATATAACCGAGGTTCGCTGGCTGAGAACAGAAGAAAGGGAGTTGCTGGCAACTCAAACTAGGAAAGTGTATGCACAGCTAAAGACCAGTTCCTGAAGGTGCATCACAAGATGAGTGGTAGCTTGCGGATCTTGTTGGTGGATCTGTTGAAGATGAGGCACGAGAGGGGAATATATCATCTTTCAAAACTCCAAAGCGCAGCCATTTTTCCTTGGGCCCCGTCTGAACGAACATCACTGATACCCAATGTCGAAAGCTTCATCTTGGTGTATCAAACGTAGGCGTACATTACTTGTGTTTCTTGGCCATGATTCTCGGCACCCAATTCCAATCAACAAGGCCCATACCTGCGCCGACGAACTATCGCTCTCCGCCTCCGCCGCTCGCGCGGCAGCTGTGGCTGCAGCCGCCTCTTTCTCCACGCCCTCAATCTCTTTAGTGAGCTCATCCGCCTTCTCAAAGTCTTCTTCATCGCACGCTATCCCCACCTGCTGTTCAAGGTCGGCAACACGCGCAGCTGCAAGGATCGAAATGGAAGCTGCTGAAAATCTTAAATCGACAATTCATCGAATGCCCGAGCCGACATCTCGCTTCGTTTGTTCCCTCGTTCTGTTGTTGTCCTCCAAACACAGTGTGCAATCATTCTGACTCCCCTTGTTGGAGTTGAGCCAGGTGTTACCAACATAAGTACTATGTACGCAGTCTGTCACACAGATGACCGAGATGGACCCTGAAGATCACCAAAAGGACGTTATTGTCCACAAACCCAATGGAGTTCAGGATCCACGCATTGGAACCTGCCCCTCACCTGCCTCTGCCGCTCTCTCTGCTGCCTCCCGCTTTTTCTGCACTGCCGTCTTCTTGGTGGCAATTGCCCCCGCCACCTTCTCCCTGATGATCGCCAGCCTCTTCTCCACATACTGGCGCACCTGAGCCACCTGCTTCGGCAGTGGCAAACCCTCCAGACTCTCGACCGTCGGAGGCGGCTCCTCTTGCAACTGCTCCTCCAACGCAATGCGCTCAATGTCGAGATCCGTCTCCAGCCTCTGGAGCGCCCCCTTTGCAGTGCCTTGCTCAGATGCAATTGCCTCGCCGACCGCCTCCCCCTCTTCTGTGCCCACTTTCTCCAGACTCATTGCTGTCGGAAGCAACGCGGCTTCGGACGGGACGGACTCCTTAGGGTCAGCGTCAGGGACCGCAGCTTCAGAACTCTCCCCCTCAGCTTCAGGTTCGTTCTTGTTTTCTTCACTATCATCGTCCTCAACAAGTTTTGCTACAAACGACTCTTGATCCGCTTCCTCTTTCCTCACCGCCTCCCTTTCCTCCTCAATATGCTCTGCAGCCAGCTTGGCCTTTTCAGTTTCCTGCTCCGATGGCTCTGCTTGGTCACCGCTCGGAACCACTGCAATCATTCCCTTACTTTGCACTTCTTCCAAGTCTTTTCCACCAGCTCCCCCCTCCTTTCCAGACACGCTTCTGGCCCCTGTTTCTGACCCCGCATCTCTCTCTCCTACCCTCTCGGCTCCACTTCTAAGCGCCACATTCCCTTCACCAGTCACTTCCCTATGGCTGTCATGCAACTCTCCCTCGTCATCCCGCCCCCTTCCCTGCAGCTCTGAAACATCCCCTATGCTAGAGCGAGGGCTCTGGCTCATTGGAGTCCCGTCACTGGGCGTAGGAATTTGACTCCCAGGCGCTGTACCACCCTTTGCGCCGTCATCTGCATCTCCCTCCCGTGCATATCCAACCCGCATGCTCCGCTTCTTCTTGCGAACAACTGCCGGCCGCAGAGCAGCAAGAGCAGCCGCAGAATTGCCTGTCGGAGGAACAGTACTGACAGGGGGAAGCTTCAACATTGAGACCCCCATTGGAGGGGCGTTTGCGACTATTGAAGGAGGGCTCGCCGAAGTGGGCCGCATACTGGCCAGGGGAGGACTTTTAGGCGGAAGGGACTCTCCAGCAGCAGCAGCATCCTGGGGCGCCTTCGCAGCACTGACCTTCGGATCATCCAATGCACTTGCCAGGGTGCCAGTCCTGTCTGCTTCCACATCTGTCTGTTCAGAGGGTTCCATGGCCTCTGCCAACGGATCGGCGACCATACTGAGGCCACTGAAGAGGCCCTCGTCCGCCTCGGGCATTACTGAATTTGCATCTGCGGGGGTTGCAGTCGAATTGGTATCCGCCACTGGTCCCGCATCGCTCTCTTCCAGAACAACATCTTGCGCAAAGCTCATGCCAGCGAACAGCTCGCTGTCGTCCGGCTCCTTCTCTCTCTCAGCTTCTGGAGCCAATGCATCCGGCTCAGGCCTTTTCTCAGAAAGGTCTTTTGCCGCATTGAACATTCTTTTGAACATGGTGCCAGACGCAATTGGACCTTTGGGTTGAGCACGCTTTAAAAGTTGGAAAATCTCGAGAAGAGAAGGCACACACGAGAGCGCAGCTGTAGGCTGTGCATGCAGGCGATCAGCTGCCACTTGGATCCTGAATGTGTTTGCTGGCTTTGTGTATGATAGCGAACCCTCAGCTAGCTCTAGCCTCAGGCTCTAGCCTCTGCTGCTTCAACGAATGCCTTGCTCAAGCTCAAGTCTGACACTTGCCTAATTCTGTAAAATGTAGACTTCTACCTACATTATACATAGTTGCATGGATGTGGTTGATTGCGTTGGGGAATCGGAGGCCGTATTTGTCTGTCGTCATTGGGATATGAACGCTTTGTGAATTGTGCTGCAAGCTTTTTGAGCACGTTTATTATGCTTGCGGCCGCTAAATTCCGGTAATATTGTGTGATGTCTGTCAGCGGCCTTATACTGGCCCATACGACAAGGGGTTGATCGGTTGGGCGGCTGATAAGTCCGAATATGTTAAATTAGTAAGAAAACATTGCGAAAGGTGGCAATTCCATGTCACTGTCAAGGAAGGTGGTGCGACAGTGAACAGGCTAAGGAAGATGGAAGGATCGAGCTCTTTGAACTTAGCATGAGGGGGTTTATTAGGTGCAGGCAGCAAAATCATTCAATGATAGACCGTTAAAAGAGCGGGGGACGCCACCTCTTTCGCTGGTCTGTGTCCATAATGCAGAGCGTTCAGAGCTGCATGATGTGCGGACAGTGCAGCAGGGGAGCCAACACTGGCGTCCAACACTTACCTCAGCAGCATCTTCAGTCCTCAGGACCCTTGCGCATCGCCTCTCCATCCTTGAAAGCATCCCAAATTCACTCTGGGGGAACAGCAGTGCTTTCAACCGACAACCGCAGCTCTACACAGGCTCTGAGATGGGCCCCTGACGCCCATCATAAGCGATGGGTGTTCACAACCACCTCGAAAAAAGGACCTGGTCCAGGGTCTTGCGACGCACCCCGCCATCCGCAATCGCAAGTTAAATCCGTCTCAGTTCCCTCTGTAGGAAAGCCGTCTGTAATGCTGTTTCGGCGCCCTACGTTGCATGTAAAGAAGCGACCGGTCACTCTGCCCGCCTCTAAAACCAGGTCTCAAACCTGTAGTAGTCAGGAAGTATGTTCTCAAAGGTCGTTCGGGCCGGACAAACGTCATCTAGGCCGACATGTTGATCAGCGCAGGAGAAAGGCTCCGCTCATCGCACTTCACAACGCGCAGTATCCTCAGTTCCGCCGCACCACCCTGCAAGCTTCTTCGTCAGAGAGCCCCGCAGCTACTACTGAAGGTTCTCTTGAAGACAGGCTAAGAGCTCTTGAAGTCAGTGTTAGTGAAGAGGACAACAGAGATGTTGAGTGGTTGGCAGAGGGAGGGGCTTGGAGGGTGCGGGCCGCTCAGGACGGGGAACTTTCAAAGATCGCCGATGTCCAAGCACAGGCTTTTCATGAGAAGCCGGCACTAGCTTTCCTTGACAGAGCAACATTTAGCATGCTCAAGGTGAGATGGCTGCCCTTGAAAGATTCATTCGTGGCGTACTTGCTACCACTTCAAAGATTGGGAGTGTTTGCCCCAGAGACCTTTCAAATCACAGTAAGCTTCTTGATTGCGTCATTTGGATTTGAAGTCAAGGTGAGCAAATCAAAAACCTTGAAGACTTTGGGGAGCTATTAAAATGTCCTCCTTGACTTGCTTAGAGAAATATAGTACCTTCAAGAATTCCTCTACTCACTTATGATCGCTTTACACATTTTGTTGCACCTTCAGGCGGAAATCCTGGACACCTTGCTTCGCATGCGAAACAACTCCAAGCCTGGCAAGTAAGCAACGACCTATAGTCCTGCATCAAGTGCAACCAGTCGAAGCTGGACATGGACTCTTGATATGAACCGTATGATCAACGAGAAATATCTAGTTCGCACGTACTGCCACATGCTTGGACTTTCCGTCCATTCTCCTGTCGGATTGTTTTCATCCTTGTTTACTCTCCTTGATCAGTACAGATAAAGTACGATTTCCTGCCGGCCTGTTGATTACATCGTCATATCTGTTTGCGACTTAAAGCTGCCACAAGCTGGAAACAGGCGTTTGTATCGATAGGACTCAATCATGACGTCCTTGCAGGTACTTCTCGTTAGTAGCCGTGCCCCAGGATGACAGTAAACCGGGTGGGAGGCAACTGGAAAATCTGCCAAGTATAGTTGGTTCTGTCGATCTTATTCTGCTCCAGAAAGAAGACGTTTTGCGCTTTATTGAGGGGGCCTCGGAGTACATGTACGTAAGTGGCATGGCGGTACATAACGAGTACAAGAGGCAGGGAATAGGCACTTTGCTACTCAAGGGGGTCGAGTCGAAGGTGAAAGCGTTGGGTATCCAGTACATAGCGTTGCAAGTATATGCCGAAAACCACGTTGCACAGACACTGTATGAAAAGGCTGGGTACCAGGCAGTCCACACTTCGTCTGCTTGGGCTCTCGAAACAATGCTTCCCGGTACTCAAGGAAAGCGAAGAGTGCTAATGATCAAACGGATGACCTCCTAAATTTTGGTTGATCCGTACTTGAAGGAAAATGCTTTCCAAACCTCAGTATTCCCCTGCCTCGCGACACTACTACAAGACGGCTCCAGGGTCAAATGTTATATGCAGTGCGGCAACGGTATACGTCGAATCGGAACGCGAGCCGAAGGAATCAAGTGCACCATGTGCAAAAACCCTCATCAAGTGCATGTGAAGTTGCGCCGTTTTCGCTGGCCCGTTGTCTTGAGTTATACATCTTTTCCATTAACGGTCTCTTTCCATTTTTTGCAACGCCGTAGCTCCAAACAGGCCATACCAAGGCTTCTCATGGCGGCGGGCATGGACAGATATAGCAGTCAGTGCATGTGACGATTTCTTCAATTATATCTAAAGCTGCTATAGTGTCCATGTGCTCAACTCATGCCAACGTTCGAAGTATACAGGCTGACCGATTGCTGATCCTGAATAATTCATATAGCTTGTATACTTGATGTTACGTGGTTCTGTCGATGTGCACGCGCGCAAGGTGGCCTTGCCCAGTTCCAGCTCACTATGCCGCAAGCACCAAAGGGCAACTGGCGGCGGACCGCGATTGGGTCAAGGTCTAGTTTTACATGTACACGTCAGATAGAGCTATCTTCTTTGATACCGGTGGCAAATAGTCAAGCAGCTGCATGCAGCCGCCACCCGCCAGCGCTAGCTCCAGCTGCGGTTTTTTGAGTCGGATTGGAACATGGTCTTCTGGAAAATAATATATTTGGCAAGGCCGCGGGTGACAATGAACGAAATTCCTTCATGAACCAGACGGAGCAGCCAATCTATTTGTATCCACCGTCTATGCTTGGACAACCGTGTGTCCGCTTTGACAGTCCGAGTCGAGCTCCCTAGCTCCGAACCTATAACGTCAGCCGTTGGTTTACGTCCCTGCCCTCAGTCAAAGACTCTCTCTCCAGTTGCAAAAACGTTCCAGATGACGGTGCTGACCAGATACAAAGCACACGTCAAAAGTAGGGGCAGTCGCCACGACCCAGTCCTCTCGACAAGATACCCGGTAGAAGCCGTTCCCGCAATACCCGCTAAGGTTCCTCCAGTATTGGAAAGGCCGTGAAGCACGCCTGCATACCGGGGGCCGATGTCCTGCATGACGAGTTTCAAACGCGTCATTGGCCGTGGTTGAAAAGGCAAGTAACATCATAGGACTGGCCGTCTTCTACACCGCTGATCGACTCGCCTTGAACTGAAACTTTATACACCGCGGCACGAAATCTTCATATACATCATACTAAGAAAGGAGGAGGAGAAGCAGAGTAAACACCTCGAGTCGGGCAATAATCCTGGAGAAGGGGACGGTACTTTTATGCTTGTCCGTCGCACCTGATGAGAACAATCGCAACATTCCGAGACAACGTTCGACACTTCCTGCATTACAACTACTCAGATTCAACCATGAGGGCCATACTACGCAAGTGAAAATATTCCTCCTCCAAAGACGTTACGGCCTTTCCAGAATCTAGGCAGGAAAGGCCTCATGGTTCACCTGGTAGTTAACAAGGAAGCCAGCCTGAGTGAAGGCAGACAAGCCGAGCGCCGTCGTTAACCACAGCGATGCGGCCGTCGGGGTTCGCGCCGACAGCATCACAAATATAGCGATCGCCGGCCCCACGTTTCCGATGCTCTGCAGAAGAAGGGTAGCACGGGAGTTCAGTCCATTCGTCGTCTGGCTATCAATCCGGTTTCGCAGAGTGCTTTGGCCGCCAACAGCTTGAACCGAGAGGCCCTTGCTACATGATTCGCACCCAGTGTTTAAAGTTGACTGCACAGGCGATGCTTGCGAACCATGATTCCAATATATGGACGCAAGGGCAGAGCCAGCTTGACGTCGAGAGCTGTTTCAGATGTCATGCAAGTATCCGAGTGCCGGGTGCTCGATGGTTTGTTTAGGAAGCTTTCGATAATGACGACATGACTTTAATAGCGCGACCGTAGGAAGGGTAACAGCGTTCCAAAAGAGAAACATTGACGCTGTAGATCTAAGTCGTGCACCAAAACGACGCCTGCCGATTGAGGCGCACCTAAGAACAAGGATTGGCCTGCTTCTGGTTCCCTCAAAGCCAAGACTAGCCTCTTGGCTCACAATGACCTCGTGGCAACTCTTCACAACATGAACGATCCGATCGTCGCCTGGGATGAAAGAAGGAAGCGAATAGTCCACAATAACGACCCAATTGACGACAAGAAGCCCCTTTCTCTGTACAGCGGTCGCTCAAGATCAGCTTCAAGCTTCGGCGCCACGTCAAACCGAGCCCAAAAAAGTGAGCATGACCTCATATTATACCAAGACATTTACGGTCCAACTCAGTGTCCAATGCCTCTTGTACAGCCCTACCTGCATGATTTTCCGGATGGCCGTGACGCTAAAGCCCTTCGACGCCAGAGAATCCGCAATGACCGCTGCCATGTAGCCAGCTGCAGCCATGACGGCCCACGGAAGCGCGGCAAACGACGCGGCTTGTCGGAGATCTGCCTTAAGCACCTGGCTGAAGTAAAGCGGCATCCAGGACAGCAGGATGAAGTAGCCCTGCGCCAGAAACATGTGATGACGTGAGCCTGACGTCAGCCTAATGCCATGGAAGGAGGAAAGACGAGCCGGTAAGAGCTACACGCTCTGAGATCGAACGGCACACGTTGACTTCCTTCGGCTGAAGCAGGGTTACTGTCTGCAAGCTGCGTTCGAAAGAGTCAGGTCCTGAGAATCTGATGGACCTCTTACAGAAGGTTAACGGCACTAGTCTACAGCACTTCTTGATATCCGTCAACCCTTCTTCCATCAGTGTTTATTCCCGTCACTGGAACGGACGAACTTTGTAAGTCGTAGGGTGAAGTGAACGAGGGTTTGATATCTGAAAGGACTTACCCAGTTGTTGACTGAGTTAGCAACAATGATTGCCCACGTCGGCGCTTTTGACAGCAACAGCCCAAAAGGTGGTAGTCTGCTAGAGGGCTTTTGCTTAGCATCTTCTGTTTTCCGACCGCTTATTGCGTCGATACTACTCCCTACGCTTACTTTCTCTTGCCCTGCAACCCCGCTCGTCGGTACTAAAGGTGCTCTATCTGGCACGAACGCTAACCAGGCTGCTAACCACACGAAACCCAAAACGCCAAAAATGTAAAACGGACCCCCAACGCCCATGCTAGTGCCCATCAGAGGGGGTGCCAGTAGCAGTCCCGCCATCGACCCCACGTGGAATCCGGCCATGCACAGCCCAACTGCGCGTGCGCGTGCGCTTTTTCCTACCCAACGCGCCATCAGATTGTTCATACAGGGAAGCGCGACCCCCTCTCCAAAGCCCATGACTGCCCGGGTGGTTAGGAGGGCGGTTAGGGAGTGGTTAGCGGCCCAGGGCGTAAGCAGAGTTGCGGCGGACCATAGGAGGATGCCAGCGGCGAGGACCTGTTCAAAGATGGGGGCTTGTGTAAATGGTCTGTGATCTATCTAAAACCCAAAGTCAAGAGAAGATCAACTCACTAATAATCATTGGCGATATGAACCTGCTTTGCTCTAACCAAGACGGCAGTGTCAACAACAGAAGACTACCAAGCAGGGGGCAGTTGAGTGAGCAAGAAGGCAGGAGGCGTTTGCAGATCCAGAACTAATCTATGCGGGAGTCAGTGCATCAGTCTCTGGACCTGATTGAATGGGGCAGTACTGGAACCACCCATATCACAAGGCAGCCATGAGATGAATTTTTGGGGTAATATGTGCTTCCATTTTCCTTGAAAACAGAGCCCACCACATTCTACAGACTTCGAGAATACAAAGCAAACGGATCCAGTTTGAGACTACGGCGTGCATGTCTTTTGGAGCTAAAGGAGACACTTCCCCTCACCTGCCGTCCACCAAGTTTGTCCGCTAGCGCCCCCCCCAGAACAGGTGTGAAAAGGTAGCCCCACAGAAAGCTGCTCTGAACGATGCCAGCCACCGACTCGCCCCAGCCTCTGCTCTTTGCCAGTGGCAGGATTGCAACCGACATTATCGCCCTGTCAGCATTACACAAGACCAACGAGAACGCGACAAGTGTCACCACCACGATCGCCCTGCCAGCTAGGCCTGGATCAGAGGGTGAGGCGCCTGAAGAAGAAGGATTCTGATTTCCAGAGCTTGCGGCAGCGCATCTGATCCCCAATCGGCGACTTTGAAGATGACTGTCAGCGGGCTGAAAAGCGGGCAGGCTATCCCGTCGACTGAGGTCCTTCCTATGGCGCATCTTTAGTGGTGATTCTGCATCGTCTCGGCAGTCACCCAGTATCGAAGCTGTGCACTGGTTCAAATCTATTACACTCCCCCCATCGCCGGTTGCAGGCGTCCGCCAGAGGTGGACGGACTGGGAACAAATTCTGGCTTTTGATCCAACGGACTTTGACGATTGTAGGCACTGGGGCAGGCCATGGTTCTGATGGGTCCTTGTTGCGCAACCACTGAATGTTTGGGCTAACTCAGAAGGCAGCTCTGGCTTTCGTGGCAGGCGGCCAAGTGATACCCTCGCCTTTATGAAAATCTGCGCCATATTGGATCACCTATGAAAGAAGGCCCATGGGAATGTGGTCACATGCTGTATCTATCCCTTTGCACAGGGATGGGAGCCGAACGATATATCACTGAGTAGTACTACCACCACTCCGGTTATCAATGTGGGGCAGCGCCGTTTTCACAAAGCATTGCAGCGTCTCCTCGCAAAACTTTGCAACACTCGATCCAACTTGGAATATGTACCTGATGCAATCATGTTATTAGAGCAATAGCTGACAGCGCCCTGCCTATGAACTTAGGTGAAGAACCTGAAACGTACGTGAAAGGAACCCAAATGCAATGCAGAAGGGGGGCAGCTTCAACCCTCTCCTTCGAGTAAAACCCTAAAAGCTCCGCAGCAGCTAGCCAACAAACTCAAACCCTAACTTCCTTCCTAGGAACTGTAAACCTGTGCAGGAATTCGACCCTTCGATCTTGCGACACCATCCTATCGTACGGCTCTCAAGCGTCAGTTGGTCGAACAAAGTTTCTTCCTGGGCAGAGCAATCAACATGCACCTTTGAGCCTGCTCTGACTTGCTTTGGCTCTGCATCATCATGCTTTGCAGCTTCGCTCAGCAGGGACGGACAAGTCAGAACCTCGCCAGCGCTCCGAGTCCTTCACATGCAGCTGCCATGGCCGCACAATTCCAGCTGCATTAACAGTAATGTTAATGTATGGTGACCTTCACTATTGTTGTAGGGAATGAAAAGAATGGCTAGTGAGCTGCTTGTGGAGAAGATGGGGCCAGAAGGAGGGCAGCCGTCTGCGGAGCATCTCAAGAGCCGCTTGTACTCGTCCTTGTTGGAAACTGGAGTAATTGACAATCTGAAGGTAAGACACTGGCTTTCGGAGCTGCTTCTTTATGGATACGAGCAGCTGATTTCAAAGATGTGGTGGCCAAAATTTTGTGGTGTTCAGTAGTCGACTGGTGCAATCTTACTTGGACGTGCTCGGTCAACTTGCAGCTCTTTTTCTCGTTCTTGAATGCTTCGGAGCACTCGGCAGGAGCTTTCAGGACTTTAGTAGTGTAGGAAAGTTAGCCCATTCCAAGGTCACACATTGTAAGATTAAAATCTTGATTTTTCTTCTTTCAAATTGTTTGATCGATTATTGAAGAAGCAGGCCTAGCACTTTGCCAACGGTGAGTCGCTGCTGGAAACAGCGCATCTGCTTCTCCTGAAGCCATTGGAACACTAGGGGCTGAGCTTTGCAGCATGCTCCTTGAGAAGTTACTTAACAATCAGCCTCCATTCTTGCAGACACAACTACGCACGCAGATCCTGCGTCAGCTGCGCTCTGTTGACTCTTCAGTACTGGACGCTAGCCCCTCCGCTGAGCCCCCGGCGCTTCCTCAGCGCATCTTGAATAGCCTGTTCATAGACTACCTCACCAGCCAGGGCTATGTGTACACTCTGTCAGTGTTCACTCCTGAGTGCGGCATGGCGTCGCAAATGCCGTTCACACGAGGAGAGCTGCTGCACCTCCTTCATCTCAATGATTTAGCAAGTGTCCTCAGCAGGGGCAAGGTGAGGCGGTATGAAACTCTCATGAAAATTGACGTAGAATCTGCAGTCAAATGAAACAATGAAACAACTTGTTCTGGCAGATTGTACTCGTCAAGCTCATACCACCCCCTCTTTTGAACTCGTCTCTGTGGCCTGCAGTTTCAAGAGAGCCAGAAGTCCCTTGCCTGGGAGTTACTGGAGAGATTGGACCAACTCAGGGGCCCCTCTACCACACAAGAAAGTGGGAGCCAAACATGGGATGGCCAAGGAGGGGACTTCCCTGGTAAGGCAGTGTTGCCAACCCCTGCGATATTCATATGCATAAAAGTGGTAAGATTTGATGAAGCTTCAATAGGTTCCAGCTAAGTCCGAAAGAATAGATAAGAATACATGGTGCACTGCTGTCCTGTGTCTTTGATGACCCTAGGATAACAGACTTTGCGAAAGACGCGCCTCCAGGGCCGTAAATATCGGACACGGCTCTCCACTTTGCCTCCTGCAGAGTCGCACCTGCGCAGCATTGAGGACCAGTACCTCCATAAGATGGACACTGAGAGGCTGCTGCCATATCACTCCCTGGAGGAGCGCATGGACCAGTACCGGCGAGAGGTCGATCAGCGGGCGCGCGCAGAGATTGCAGCAGCAGTGAGTGTGTCAGGGACAGCTGCGGTTTCCCCTCCTCAGATTCTACACATTCGAAGCCTTGTTGACTTTCTATTTCTCGTTCTTTAGCGACTCATGTCCCACAACGAGCATGATTTGTCATTTGGCCATGCAGTCGGACCAAGTTTTCTCAGCATCTATCAAACCTTCGGGAAACCGGCTTGGTATGAGCAAGCAAGGCAGGCATCGGGCATTTTGGACCTTTTACACAACTTTTATCACCTGGCATAACGCCCTGCCGGAGGTAGGGTATATGTTGTGTTCAATGTAACACAAGCGACCACACATCTCGGATCCTGACACCATGCAGGTCAAGTAGTTTCTCACTGCCTTGTAACCCCAATGCACACCCGGCGCAGGTCGATCGTGTGCGCCAGTTCGAAGTAGGCGCGGCGCGCATGGAGGAGGCGACCCGCTACCGGCGGCAGCTGGAGGACGCCCGAGAGGACCTTGAGCGCGTTCATGCGGAGCGCTTGGAACAGCTGCGGCGGCGCGAGGAGAGCCAGCGCGAGCGGTTGCAGCGGCAGGCAAGCGGATTGCGATGTTGACGAGCCAGTCGTCCGATTGTCACGTTACAACCCCAGTCTGCAAGATTCGGCTCAGTCGCATTAGGGCAAAGTTCCGCCAAACAGGGCAATCCTCACGAAAAAGAACGATCTGAAGCGTGCAATTCTCGATGCCGGAAATTAAACGGTAGCGCTACTATTTCTTGCTGTCCCCAGGCCATTATACTGGCAAGTAAAGCTTTTCCTAACGGCAACTTTCCCTAAGATACAGGAGCCCCGGGGACCTCGACAAGACTCCAACTCAAAACATGACGCGCTCTGCACCTGCATCCACCCTAACCCCCTAATCCACCCCGTTCATCGGGCGCTTATCTTGGTTGAAAATCTGCCCTTATTGAAGGGGCGAATTGCCGGAGTCAGCCGTTTCAAGTCTCTTCGCTCCGCCTGCAGGAGCGCGCGGCGGAGACGGCCGCGCACGAGCAGCGCCAGCGGATTCTTGCGGAGACGGAGGTGCTACGCGAGCGGGAGGGCAAGCTGAAGCAGCTGGAGGAGATGCAGGTCGGTGGAACTGGTGTGATGCATTGGATTGAGGCGGTGTGTAATCATTGGGTTGGGTAGCCAATCTGGTAAGGATGAAAAGAAACAGGCCGGTCAGAGATTCACTTACTCCAGATGATGCAAATTCCATGGCCTGCAAGAACGACATGCGAAAGAAAGTAGAGGGGGAAACGGAAAGGCGTTTGGCTCGTGTGCGCCTCACCCAGGGGCTTTGCTTTCCCATTTGATGGGGTTGTTTATACATATCAGTGAAAACTTTGTTGCGGTCTTGATCATAGTTTCTGTACTGAATGGCCTTACCTTCTAGTCAATTGAAATCCCTTGTCACTGCGTTTCTGAAATGTTTAAAGAGATCCTGCGATCGGCCGGACTTCTGCCTCACGCTTTTCACGAGTCACCAACCAGTGCCCATGCTTCGATTAAAAGATCGCAGCTCCTGGAAGTATCACACCCTCCCGTGCTCTACAGTTGCGAACCCTCAAGCTGCACGAGGAGCGTCTCCTGGAGAAGGCGCTCGCCGTGAAGGAGCGAGAGGAAGACGTGCAGCGGCTGCGCGGGCTGCTGACGTCACAGGGGGAGGAGCACGCCCGGATGCGACGGCGCGAGGTCGAGCGCGAGTACGAGGCGCTCCTCAGCAGCGCCAAGAAAGACAGGGAGCTGCTCGATGGTGCGCGCGCGCAGCGTTTCCCTGTCACTTTGACGAACTCCAGCAACAATTGGCGGTCTTTGTTCGGACCTTTAACTGCAGGACTAACGGCTGGAAACTGCTGTTGGGTGCGCAGATTTGCTGGCCCTGAGCTTTAAGAAACAGTGGCAAAGAATTTGCCTTGAGGCGCTTTCCTAGAAAAGTTCGAAGATTCGTATCATTTTGTTGTTCCGATTCCGAACCAGCTCGTGAACGCTAATTTGCAAACCAAATGCAGTGGTGCTTGTCTCGTCGGAGATTAGTGGGTTTTCAGCGCGCCCTCAACCCAACATCTTCGGAAATCTGATTGAACTGATATTCAGGAGCACTCTCGAGTAGAGGACTCTTACGATGGAACTGCAGGTAGGTGACTGACCTCCAAGAGCACTCTCTGGTTGCAGTCGAGCGCACTCGCTTTGCGGAGGAGCGTGCCGCGGTGGCGGACGAGCTGACGGCCGGGCGGGAGAGCCGCGCGCACGTTCGGCAACTTGAGCGGGCGCTCGCGCTCGCCCAGGAACAGCTGGAGAGTTCCGCGGAGGCAGCGAAAAACCTGGAGGCGAGGCTTGCGAAGAGCGCGGAAGAGAAGAGAGCGCTGCAGGGCATGCTGGGGCGGAACGCGGGGCTGGAGACAGGTGTCGGCTGGACCCACGCAGGGTCAGTATCGAAGTCTGCCTTATTCAAGAGGATCAGCATCAAATTCTGAAGGCTGTGAGAGTGGCAGCATTACGATAGGAACGCGAGTACTAGGATTGTCGACATCCTTGCTGTGTATTGCTCTTGCAGGATAGAAAGAATGGTTGCACGTAGCAGTGAAAGGCGGGGGAGCACGTTTTTCCGCGACTTTTCTCGTGAACCCCCGACCTTCTTCATTGCTGCTTACATTAGGGCCTTTCACTGGAAGGCCTTGATTTTTAAGTCCCATGCAGACTGCCGGTAAAGTCACTGGTTGACACTTGTTGTAACGAACTACGTCCTGCAGTAAGTGAGATTCTTGTTTTTGAGATCTTTATCCAACACTCGCTTAGAGGTACAACTTTCGGTGCCCTGTTTCCTACAGGCCATTCTCTGGCGTCCCCGCATGTGGTCACGGGCCAGTGATCGAGAAGTTGCAAGGGCTGAGGGCGGCAGACAGGAAAGCCAAAAGGAAAGCGGTGAAGGAACTCGAAGAGCTGCAGGCGACCTTCCAGAAGCAGGTGGGCTACTAACGGTGTCTCTCGCCAGGCCATTATTATTTCAGACCTTGATTGTCTGACTTGCTCACCATTGCGTTTGGTTCACCGAGCTGTTGAGCAATTGTACACGAATCAGAACGGGGCCGTCACCCGCTGTTTTCGAGCACTCCGGATTGCCATACTTTAGAAGGTCACTCTGCATTTGTGAATAAGAAAGGCGAATCGAAGAAGGGTTCAGAATTATAGTCACCGGTGATTGCCAGCGAAAGGGCTTTTTCATCAAGAGTTCTCGGGGACCCAAACAAATCATAACGTTATCCGCGCCACTTTAAACCACTCGAAATCTCATCTATAAGCGCTGGAGTGGTCTCGAGCGAAAGGCTAAGAATGGCACGGATCCGCCAGAGTGCCACAAACGCAAGCGCCGATGTCGAATCAAGGCAGCCTGAGCGTCCTTGACCAATCGCGCTCCTTCTCCGCGCGCGAGCAGGTGCGTGAGTGGCGCGAGCAGCAGGCGGAGTGGCGCCTGGTCGAGCGGCAGACGCAGGCCCGCGTCGCGCGGTTGCAGGCGGAGGCGGCCGCGGCGGCCGACAAGCAGGAGCAGGCCACGCGGCGCGCGGAGGAGCTCGCGCTGCGCCTCAGGGCCGCGGAGAGGGAGGCCGCTGACGTCACGCAGCTGTACCGGGAAGGCAAAGCAGGTGGGCTTGACTATTGTGGTGGCTGTCTATGGAAAGGTATGGGTGACGGAAGGAGGTCGTTCGTGAAGAAGAAAGGTGCAGATTAGCTATACTCGGTGTGATCTACTCTCGCTTAATCCACAAGGGTTTGAAAGATTGGCCTTTTCCCGAATGGTCGGCTTCGATTGGCTCCTTCTGCGAGCTTTTTGAGAACCCCTCGTCCCGCCAATGTATCATCATCAAGAATCGGTTGCTTCTAAACATTTGAAACGGTGGGACCTTTCGCGGAAAGAGTAGAGATAACTACTGATTGCTGCTTTCGTCACTCCTGCAGCCCTGCAAAATGAGCAACTGGTTCGTCACGGCACGACGGCCATCGAGCCCCTTCTCACATCCACCGTAAACCGCGACGCTCGAGACAAGCTGCCAGACAGCTTCCCTTGGAAAACGGCCGGACCCCTTTCCCCAGTGACCGGGGACGCTCCCCGTGGTATGCCCAGCTTTCGTCGAGAGCCCTCCCCGCCCTCCCCTCCGGGCAGTAGAGCGCCCGGTTCGGTCTTCCCGGTGCCTGTCATAGGTCCCCAGACTGCGGCCTTCTCCGGCGCGCTCTCCCGGTTGAACGAGTTGCAGCGCGAGGAGCAGCACATGCAGATCGCGCTGGACGACTTCCGCGCGCGCGTGCGCGCGGGGCGCGCGGAAACTGCGCGCGCTGTTGAGCAAGCCGCGCGGGCGCCGGACGCGTTCCGTACGGTCGTGCGCCGAGAGGCGTCGGAAGAGTCGGAGAATAGCAGTAGCGAGAGCACTTCCGGGGGGCTCGAAAATGGTTCTGAGCCGTCGAGGGAGGAAGAAAGGCGACAAATAAGAAGGGCGAGCTGGAATACAGACACTGAAAAGGAGAGGCTCCTGCGCGGAGTCACAACGGTGGGGGAAGCGAACGAAAGCGACAAGGCGCGGAATAAAACGGAGAGACCAATTCGGGGGTTGCGCTTGGGTGGAAATGAGCTTGTAGAAGGTGGCGGTCAAACGGACCCGTATGCCAAGGTCGTAGGTCTGCAGGACATGGGTATTACGGAGCAGTCGCAGGTGCAAGAAGTGGGAGGGGTCTGCTTGCAACTCGAGGAGAACAGAGACAATGTTGCTGACGTCACGATCAATATGCGGAAGGAAGAGAGCCAGCGGGAGGGTGAAGCAGGTTCGCCGAACGGAGGGAAGACGACGGAAGGCCAGGCGGGTCCAGTAGAGTCGGAAACGCGGGAAGAGCGCTTCTCGAGAGTCTCCAAAAGCGCGTCTGCAAAGGAAGAGAATCCAGTGAGTGGACAAATGCCAACCCCAGAGGAAGTGCACGGGGGTAATGTTCCGTCTCAGAGTCGGCAAGAAGGCCGAGTTGCGGAGGCTTCGAGCGGCGGGGGCGAGGAGGTTCAGAGCCCCGCTAGTGTGAAGACGCGTCAGGGCGGCAAAGAAGAATGGACGGATGATGTGTTGGGCTTTGATGGGGGCCTGGCCCCGGTTAAAACGGCGGGTAAAACTGGACAGGATTCTGCGCTGGAAGATGTCAAGAGCCCAGAAACGGTGAAGGTTCTCGTCCGGCGGAAAGAGAACATACCGGCAAGGGAAAGCTCGGATGCTGACGTGGCAATGGGGAGCGAACCCGGGGACAGAGCGGAAAGTGCGACGACGCCGAAAATCGTTGCAACGGAGCATGGGGAGCCATTACTGGGCAGCAGTGTTGCGGTGGAGGCCGCGAAAGTGGATCAGCGGAAAGCGGAACTGCCTCTTCCGGCGTCTAGGCAAGCTCTCGAACCACCTGTGCAGTTCTTCCCAGCGACAAGAGACGTCGAGGGTGCTGGCATGAATCAGCAGATTCCGCTCGCGGGGTTAGTTCCGCTGGGGGGGGTAGTTCCGCTCGGGGGCGTGGTTCCGCCGGACCGGAAAGAGAAGGCGGGGGCGAGTGCGCAGCGGCGGCGTTGCGGTGGTGGTGTGAGTGGTCTCGAAGAGGTGGCAAAGCTGGCGGAAAGAGAGGCCCCCAACGCGGAAAGCAGAACCACGACTCCCCGCGATGCAGCGAACCCCCAACCGAACTTCGACGGATCTCGAACAAGAGACGCCTCTCTAGCGGGAGAGACCGGAGGGCGCCTTGCCGAGCTGCAAAAGAAGGCGGGGGCCGATCCTGCGTCGAAAGGGGACAGAGGGAGGCAGGCGGGAGAACGAAACGACGGCGATGTGCATTCGGAGACGGGGAGCGTGAGCCCGGTAGAAGCCACGCATCGGGGCGTTCCGGCGTGGCCAAGTGTGGTTGAAACAAGTCGCCACACGGAAGAAGCGTCTGAAACTAAGGAAGCGGAGCCAAAAGCAGCAAGCGGAGGGAATCTTGTCGCAGGCTCGGTAGAAAGTGCAGTCTTGCAAGTGGGCTCCCCCGAAAAGCCATCGGACCGAAGTGTCTCGGCTGAGAGGAGTCCGAATGATTTCGAGAGCCCCATCGCAAAGACGGAGCAAGTACCACCGGCGGGCCCTACCACTGGCCGGTTTGGACCGCACGAACCGACAGCTGTCGCCGCTGTGAGAGAACCGCGGGCCCCGCTCGATCCGGAAAATATGCCCAAGATCGAGGAAGGGACCGCTATCGAACCGTTGAAAGTCAGCATCTGGGAGAAACTTCAGGACACCATCCGAAAAATCGTTCCCGAAAGCGTTCCCGAAAGCGTTCGGGAGGGCGACCCCAAGCAGCAAGCCGCCGGCTCCACGGTCGCCTCACCGGCTGCAGAGGAGGTAGAGGAGGAGCTGGAAATCGACTACGACGATGCGGCTTACAGCGAAGGAGGGTTGAGCAATCTGTCCATTCCTGCTGCTGATGGGTAAGGAGTGTGTGACCAACCATTTTCCTTCAGATGGTTGTTGGGTTTGAATGTGGAAGCGATTGCGAGGCTTATGGGCAAGGAAACGCCAAGGATATCTGCGGTTTGGAGATAATCAAATTTTGTTACGTGCTGCTGTGATGGACGGCCCAAACGGATTGATGGGCGAAGAAGCGTCTTTGACAGCATGCTGAGGTGTAGCTAATGTAGCTGCAAGCGGTCACAACCTGTGATGCAATCGCTATTGAGAATGGAGTCAAAGAACATTTCCTGGTCAGAAATGTCACCTCTCGGAGACCGGAAACTGTTTTGTCTCTCATTCTTTCAGGAATATTTTGCGAGGAGAGCTTTCGGGCAGCGATGGCTGGTGACTACAAGAATTTAACATCGAAAACTCGCTCAGATATTGCTCTGCTGAAGAGGAAGGAAGTTAGTCTCTGTTGAAACTATTCCGTTAAAGTGGTGGAGTATCTGGTTCTGCAGATCTTAAGAGTAAGTCGGAACCTTACATGCATATCCAAACTTGTTAACAGGATTGAATCCTTTGAGCCGCTCATTACGAACGTCCATGTGCTGTCATCTGCTTAAACCGCGCCATGCAAAGACACGCACCTCAACCTGATAATGCCGCAGAATGCTCGAGCTCTTACATGCTTGCTTATGATCTCGCTCATGCGTGGCTTTCACTTACATGATGAACGCACTCGCTGGGCCGGTATGCCTTTACATCTTCACAACATATACGCTCGGTGATTTGTGTTCCTCAGATGTGACCCTTAAATCAGATGTTGATATTGCGTCCGAAAGCTGCACCCAACAAGCTCAAACTTCTCCAACTCGTTGAATTAGTGATTACTGATTTGAAGCCAACTTCGAAGCCAACTCGTTTTGAGGCTCTTTCGAAAAAACGACAGGCTATAAGATTGATTTTCAATCTTGAGGACGCATGACAGCAAAGCATCGGGACGCGACCCGATAGAGTGGTGCATGCTGTATGCCACTAGTATAGTATAGTATGGACTATACCAATGCGGACGTATAGGAACGCACTTTAATTTATAAGACTTTGCGTTGATCTAGCTAGCTCTGATATAGCAAATTTGATACAGCTTCTCCCGATCAACCGGCCAGTTTTAGTGTCATCTATTTTAGACTAATTTCTCCCGACAGAAGACTGACTAAGTTAGTCTAAAATTTTACTATAGCTGGCAGGTTGCTCGGAAGAAGCTGTAGCACTAGCTCTCACTGAGTCAGTAATCAACACAGACTCAAACATTAGTCATATGAGAGTGACCGCGCGCGCCTCTGTGCAGGGGCGGCCGCGGCAGCTCGCAAGGGTTCAAGTTTTGCCTGAAGTCAGGGTTGTTAAATTCAGCGCCGGGCGGAGCCACCTGCTGCACCTTGTTCATTCTATCTCGATCTAGTTGCCAGGCTGGTCGAAGAACACGCAGAAATGGTGGCATTTTGTCACGCTAGCATTCTGTCAATGTAGTCCTAGTAGTAGGGGCGTCCAATGTCATCTGCACAAGAGGCTGTCAAGATCTCTGGTGAAAGCAGTGATGGCACTAAGTTTCTCTGCTGCATGTTTTCAATCCTTTGCTGACAACAGCAAAAGATTGTTGCGCTAAATCACCAGGGACTAGTGGAGGCAAATGTGCCCGTCATTTGCAGATTGAGTTGTTGGGTTCTGCAGCTACTGAGAACAATAAGTTGCGGACTCGCGGCGGGTTAAGCGAGCATTGTCTGCAGCTGCGATGGCTGGTGCAGCGCCCGCCTTTCGGGAGGCGTGTGCTTCAGGCGCTTGGTCTCAAGCAATCCAAGCTTGCACAAAACTGCTCCGGAATGACAAGGAGAATGCAGGTGTATTGTGGTGAGTACTCTCCCTCGCTTGACATGCTCAAAAATTTGAGTCACAGCATCCGGATCACGCTACATGCCCATGGATTTCGGGGAATTGGCTTGATCCTCTCCGGGCTAGTCCTCAGAATTGGAGCTGGTGGGTGTAATTGGGTCCAGTGTGATTAAGCATACAAACCCTTGATGACGGTACATGAGCCACTGTTTTCACAACCACCACCCTTCGAATCCATATCAAGGTGTTTGAATTTGACCACATCAAGTCCTTGGCCAATGCAGCGACCGCGCCTTGTGCTACATCCAGCTAGATCTAAACAAGCACGCCATCAAGGACTGCGACGCTGCGGTCAAGTGCGCAGCATCTGATCAGACTGCCAAAGCTCTGCTCATCAAAGGTATGGCCCTGGACCGGGCTTTTGTTGATTAGCACTGACACGAAATAGTAGCATTGAGCATCTTTGGTGCCTTCGTGTTGGTACGTTGAAACCTGTGCAAAGAGTGGTATATGTCTTCCATATGCTCCAGTGCTGATGAGGATGAGGGTGGATAAACCTCTTGGCCCTTGCCATCAGAGGCGAAGTTCTGCAGAATCACGAGTTGGAAATCTGCGAGCCTTATACTTTGTGCATGATTGACCTTCATACTTTGTCAGCATAGACTTTTAAACCAACTTTTGCTTGCTCTCTCATCTCTGCAGGTCAAGCATTGACTAAACTGGGCCGATTTTCAGAGGCCACTGCCAGCTGGCAGCAGGCCAGCGACCATCTCCTAAAGGAGGAGAACTGCGCCGCATTTGACCTCAGCCTCTTTCTCCGGCTGAGACAGCTGATCAAGCCTCAGTCGCAACCAGAATTTCCTGCCAGCATTGCCCCCTCCTCTCAGAGCAGCGTAAGTATGGCCACGAATCCCCAAGCCCCTCCATTCACCGACTCAGTCCAAAGTTTGGGAGCATCTTCACCAGCAGAACAGGTCTCAGCGGAGGCAGGGTCTGGTTTAGCGGATACACCGGCGCTGCTCAAAGAAGCGTCGAGCAGTGGTCAGCCTGGGCCGTCCATCGATGTGGAGAGCGCCTCCAGGCATTCACACATGTCAGATGAAAACAAAGTCGGAAAGCAGGACGTTGATGCGACATTAGAAGGGCCCTCCTCCGCCGGCTCTGAACACTTTAGGGATGTCATTAAGCCAGCCATTTCCGGCTCCAATACCAGTGACGTACAGAGTCTCCCAACGGATGACACTATGAGTACGAGCGATCGAAGCAGTCAGCCAAACGGTCACACCACCCCACAGAAAGCACCAAAGCCGGAGCCCCCTCCCAATCCAGTGTCAAATAAGCCTCCATCTGAGACGTCCCGTAGTCGGACGTCCGAGGCCCTTCCCAACGGAAAGTCCAACGGCCGGGGTGCAGCGAGCCCGGGTCAAGGTGCCGGCAAGGGCAAAAAGACAGAGCCCGCCCCCGAGACAAATGGAGCGTCAGGATCGGGAAGGTCTTCTAGTCGGGGTGCTTCACGAAGTCGGAGAGGGGATTGCGAGGCAGGGTCGCGGTCTGGGGGGGGTGCCAGCTGTAGCGGGCGGGAAGAACGGGCCGGAGACCGTGCGGAGATCCGGGGGGCAATTTCGAAAGATTCGGGGGATGAGAGCCGAGGGGACACGAGTGCTCGGGAAGGGGATCGAGGGGCGCCCCACTGGAAAGCCGAAAAGGATGTCGAGCTGCCGCCAAAGGTGATCGTGAACGGGATGGACTGGCGCGTCCAGACGGGGATTCAAGAGGTGAACGCGGGGAATCTGGACCGCGGAATTGCTATCTTTGACAAGGTGAGTGAAGCCGCAGTATGGCTGCCTTGATCGGCGTCATCTGGTGACGTCGTCATCCTGGCGCAGCTATGCTATGGTGGTCAGATTTTGTTACGCGCAACAATACAAGGCATGCCTTCTCGGTTCAGGGCTTACATAGAGCATCCTGCCTCATCCTTTTCTCCTGTTCGAAAGGTTCTGATGCTGGCGCATTTGGTCTTCTTTTCCTGCCCTGTTCAGGACTTCTTTGATTGCACAGAAGACTTTGATTTTGAGCCGCCTTGAGCCGCCTTTCTCCAACTAACCGCTCTCTCAGCTTCGCCCTTTTCCGACGTTCCCCATACGACCTCCCCTTTCCTCCACAGATCCTGGAAGACGAGCCCGCAAACGTCGGCGCGCTTATCGGCAGGGGCAGCGCATTTGCGATGCAGTCCAACCAGTTCAAGCTGGGCCAGAGGGGGCGACCCGCAATCACCGAGACAGACCTCAGGGCCCATCAGCGGAAACTAGAGGCGGCCGTTAAGGACTTTAGCCTGGCGATCCGGACCGAGCCACGCTTTGCGGACTCCTGGAGGCGGCGGGGGCAGGCCCGAGCGGCCATGGGCCTCTTCAAAGAGGTGCGTGACTGCTGTATTATTCTCAAGCCTTCGTGTCCTTCCTCAATCCGAACAAGTTTTCCCGGGCCACCGTGCATAGGTTTGAGTGTACGATGTACGAAGATCGTGCTTTTGGATCGAGAGCCGTCCGATCGGTCCTTTTTTCTATCGGACGGTCTTTAAGGGTGAACCGTGGTCGGAACGCCAGCATTCAAGTGCGGACAGCCTTCGCAACACGTTTTCTTTGTGAAGTTTCTCGTTTCCATCGTGAGTGGTAGTCGTATGTCCCAGATTAATACGTAGCTGATGGCCGTTGAGATTTTGGAACTGCAGATGTGCGGTTCGCAAGCGGGTCGAAAAGGTGCACCACTTTCTCGCACTATCTTTCAAACTGAATCTGCATTGCAGAGCATCAAGGATTTGACGGAGGCGTTGCGACTAGAGCCATCATCGACCGAGACCCTCTCAGAAAGAGGTGAGCTTTCATTTCCATTTCCCATTGCATGGAAAGGTGTCCCAAAACCTGTCTACATCATCCCTCATACATGATGCAGTTCTGAAGTGAGACATGTGCGCGTCCAAGAACACTTCGGTTGCGCAGTCTGCGAAGCTCCTGCCGTCTGAATTCAGCGATCCTACATTCTCTCTCTCAGCAAGAGAAACGCGGAACAGACCATGGTACCATCTCCGGTCCTCTATCTTCTCCCTTGTTTGTCGATCATCGCACAGTACTCACCTCGCCGGTGCTTTTCTACCGGTTGCTTTTCCCCCTTCTCACAAAAAGCCACATATCATTCGACTCGATCCTCGCTTCCACAGGCGGCTGCTACACGAAGCTGCGCGACTTCGCTCGTGCGGAATCGGACTTCCGCGCGTGTTTGCAGCGGGACCCGCAGAACGCGGAGATGCTTCGACTGCTGGGGCGGAGCCTCATCTCCCAGGGGGAGTGCCGGGCGGGGATCGAGACGCTGCTCAAGGCCGCCAAGCTCGACCCGGACGCGAAGGACATATACGCCAACATCGCCCAGGTGGGTCTCGGAAATGGTTGGCAGCTCTAGTTTTCCAACAGAGCACCGTCTTAGAACTTTTTCTGCTGGAGGTTGCCAGTTCGACCCGGAAGTCAAAGACATATACGCCAACATCCCGCTGTATATTTCGGACATGATCGGCAGCTCTTGTTGTCAAATAGAGCAGATTCCTTTAACGTTTTTGTGCTGGATGTTGCCAAACATGACCCTGAGGCAATGACGTATACACCAATATCGTCTTGGAAGATTGGCGACCCTAGTTGTGATTCTGAGAGCACGTTTTCAAGAAGGCGTAGGAGTGGCAAGGTCTCTGTGAACCATCCCGCAATAGAGCGGTCTGCACCTCTCACCCACTCTCATTTCTAGCTACATCTACTCAGGTGATCTCTCGGTGTAAGAGCGGTTATCCTGCGCACCTGTCCCGTTGTATTTTTTCTTGGGCTCTTCAGCGCTCACACCTTATATGTTTCGCCGTCGAATGCAGGCGTACAAGGAGATCTCGGATGCCGAACGGGCGACCATGTACTTCGAGAAGGCGCTCGTCGCGAAAGAAGCGTGAGCTTCGCTAACATATTCTTTCGTTCCGGTTCCGTTCGTTCCGGTTCTGTACGGACAGCTCAACTTTCCGGGCCTTCAAAAGGTTGGGGAAAGCTTGTCGACCTTGTCGGGATGCAGGAATGGCGTTAAGAACACAAGAAGCAATGTTTTCCCGCCTCCCGGGTTAAAGTCTGGTAACGTTGCAATGCTGTTTTGCCCCGTTGTTTGACATCGTATTCTGCGGAGCGTCCCAGCATACGTGGGCCTGCTGAGCCGACCTGCTCTCGCTCCTAACCGTGACGCTGTTAGAAGCATCACGACCAGTGCTTCATCATATCGAGCCGGAAAAGTATGCCTCTTCATGTACAAGCTACAAAGTAACGATATGCCTACTGCTCTGGAAGGGAATAGTCCCAAGTGAAGAAATCAATTACAGCTTCCGTTGATCCGCATCTCTCCCTTGATTACGTAATCGGCTCTGTCGTTCCACCTTGCCAGATCTTCCACGTGCGAGGTCGGAGACGCTTTAGACTTGATGAGCTGTTCCCCAATTTTAAAGAGTACGCTTTGTTCCCATGCGCAGGTCGCTGAACACGTATCACCTCTGGGGGATGATGCGGTATGGTCTAGGGGACCACAGGTGAGGACCTTTGCTTTGGTTGTTTGTTTTTCACGAATTACTTGATTGATTGTAGGCGATGTCGAAAAGGTTCAATAATTGAAAATTCTTGGTAGCAATCAGCCGTTTTGAATAGAAAAGCTTTGTTACCCTCACCCACTTTTAACCCTCATCTTCTCACGCTTCGAAGACTCTGAGCATTTGCAAGGCTGCAACTTCTTTCCCGTCCCTGCTTGGACCACAGGACCGTCAAATTGTTTCATGCATGTTGCGGTTGAACATGTTACAAGAGGCTTTCGGGAACAATTTCGCTGCTCTGAAAGCAGCCCAAAAAGAGGCCAACTCGGGGCTGCCATGTGTTGTGAAGCCCAGCAGGGCTTGTTGAATTGGGGCGAATCCGTCAGCTCGTTTTCTGCCATGCAGGGGCGCTTTGGATCTGTTCGACAAAGTGCTGAAGGTCGAGCCTCGCAGCTTAGAGTGCAAGTACTTCAAAGGAGCCTGCTTGCACGCCATTGGACAATACACCGAAGCGGTGAGCAAGTCTTGAGGTTCTTCTTTGACATTCTTCGAGCTCCTTTGAACGGGGCACTTCAACCTTGGCGCCAGCTTTTCCCCTGGATAGGAGCGTTTTTCTCTGCAACCAGTACAGCAAAAGACACTATATGGTCGTTTGCCTTCGTGGACCTTTGTACATTGTCTGGTAAATGACTCGACAGCAGGTGTCGAGTGTCTGAGCTTCAAAATCAAGCTATAAATTTTTCCTGCAGTTCAAAGAGTACAACGATTGTCTGAGTATCGAGAGCAGCGACGACAGCGTAGTCGTCGCCTACCTTGCCTTCTATCAGGTGAGCTGTGAACCAGCGCCACGTCAGCTTTAAAAGTCCACCATCTGCACGGAAAAGTCGCTCAGCTCATGACACGATGCTCTTCGTAGGGGCGCTTGTTGATAGCATCAGACCGCCACTTTGCGAAGCTGTAGTAGGATCAAGTCGCACTACCAGTCGGCGTCCGACAGCTTGCACAAAGATAAAGGAATTTGACTCTGGATGCACCAGCATGCGGTGCTGCTCTCGAGGCCCAGGCGTTATGCAAGGCAACACAACGGCCAGGGCTTTCGCATTCCGGACTTTGCACGGTGGACATCTCACGACTCATCTCAGGAACCTTTTTCTAGGCGGCTATAGTCTGAGGAGAAAGGGAAATACCAGAGGGCAGGCGCGACGGACGGTAGAGTGCGGGCGTGAGAAACAGAATGATTGCCATTGATTTTCTTCTTTTTTGTGGCGCAGCGCGAGGTAGCGCGGTACACCTTGGCAAAGCAGTGGGGGCCTTTGGATGGGTTCAACATCGACGAGGACCTGGATCCACTCTTCAAAGTGAGCAGAACCCGTATCTACTTCCTCAGTTACATGTATTCCTGTAAATGACCTTGCGGAATTTGGTTCTTGATTCCGCTTCAGGCTTTCTTGACTCGGGGCAAAGCCTCTGTGAGCACTGCGTTCGGATTTCATTTCCAAAGTCGAAGAAAAGCTGGACAGGCCTTTTTTGGCCGTTTGTACGCTTTGGTTCTAGACAATGAACCACATAGGTCTTCTGAGGTGCTGATAACGCCTTTCGCCAAGGCGTTGAGGCGCTTTCTCCTTCGGTCAAGCCACCCGAAAGAATGCCCTAGTGTTCCTTCTTTTATTTGACTCTCGGAAACTTTCAGATGGATTGATCCAAGTGGACGAGTCCGTGTCCCCTCTTTCGATCATTTTGCGTCGTTCGCCAAACAACCTTGCGTCCTCATAAGACGCGTAACAACCCGCACCCAACTTGAAATCAGAAGCAAACTTTTGCATTCAAGGAACGGACTTTGATTCAAGCCCCCCGTTGCTTTCCAGGAGGCGTGGTGTAAGAAGTTGAACCCGATCACAGTGGCCGCCCAGTTGGACCTTAAAAAGCAGTGGGAGCCGGCGGAAAGAGTCCCCGGGGGAGAGCAGAGCGACGTGCGCGCGCGGAATCGGCGGCAGCTGCTGACCCTGGCCGATCTTATCGGGCAACGCGTGCAGTACTCGTGCGATGGGTTCCTGCGCAACAGCCGGCAGGTGAGGCGCGGAGCGTGGGGGCTTAAGAGAATATGAGAAACAGAAACTGCCTGGAGAGTGTGGCGTCTTCGAGAAATTTCAGCAACTCGTTAGATAGGGTCCCGGCAAACCTTTCGCTGAGCGTGGGGGTTTCAGAGATCATGAGAAACAAAGTTTACCTGGAGAGTGTGGCTTCTCCGAATTATGTCGGTGCCTCGTTTGACAGGGGGCCCGGAATTCTTAAGCTGAGCGCAGGGTTCCATAAATCATGAAAAACAGACCTTACCTGGGGAGTGTGGCCTCTTCGAAAAGCGTCAGCTAATCGTTTGACAAGGCCCGGCAGATTCTTTTACCTTGGTCAATGTCAAAGGCGTCGATTCACAGGGCGGAATCGTTGCTGTCTCACGTGCAGATTGCCACGAGTGAGTACTGAAGTCTCTGGTTGGGGGGGCTATCAATGAGAAAACTTCCGTGGGATTCCCAATTCTGGCTCGCAAGTCAAAAACTTCTGTCCGTTATCTTCTGTTACCTCAAGGTGCTCCCAACCGACGTCGTCCTCGTTGTTGCCTACCCCAAATCTTAACGGCGGGTACAGGAACGCGTACACTAAAGCGCACCTGATTTCTTAGGTCTTCTCCAAAGGTCTGTGATTCGCGTACTCGTACCTTGCATGGATTATTTTCCAGGCAATCCAAAAAGTCAGGCACATACTATTTTGCTCCTAATTGCATTCGCTTCAACTTTGACTCTGGCTCTCGTCCATTCCCAGCATCGGATGGCGGGCTTAGCGGCTTTGGAGGTGGCCCAGTCCGTGAGTGCCACGTGGCAAGCCATGTGGGAGGCACGCCAAGAGTCCGCGGCAGGCGACGAGGAGGCAGAGTCGCTCACGCAGGCGGAACAGCTGAAGGCACCATGTAAGTTGCCCGGTGTTCGTTTCTTTGAAAAGATCCACTCCTCCTTATATTCTTCTTTGAACCTTGAGATTGGTGGAAGGCTTTATGAAGGTGCTGCGCTGACGTCTGCACATCGTTAAGAGCCGGTCAGAAAGGATCTGCAGGAGCGAGAATGATCTTCAAATCAGGCACCACTTCCCTTACGGAAAACGGTGGCTTTCTGAAATATTCTGTTCCTGTTCGCGTTCTCCTGTATTGCTGGCTGTATAATATCTGTGTGAATCAGGTCCTGCATCGGAGTATGCTTGTGCACGCTTTGAGGCGATTGGCACTGTCGGGTGTTATAGAAACAATACCCAGGGTTTTACATACGTCTCATTTCCGTGTCGGCACTCTGAATCTGGAGACCCCAAATGAGCATCTCTAAATCAGATCCGTTCTCGCCGCTTCCATAAGCAGATGTACTTACGAAAAGCCAACCGCAACCATAATGTTTTTTCTTGTCTTAGAACCATCAGTTCGAATCCTTTGGTTTTTTGGTTTACTTTCAACAAGGCAGTCTCTCGTTTTCCGATTCAATCCCTTGCATTGTACGACCACTTAAGTCGTCTGCGACCTTTATCTGACGAAAACCTTTCACAGGCATCGCGCAATACCACTGCTTCCTGCTTACATGCTTCTCTCCGCGTCGTCGCCTTGCAGTCGAGACGCCGCCCGCATCTCCCTCCAAACCCCCCCCCAGCACTTCCGCCCCCGATGCTGCTAACCCCACCCCCTCAGCTTTCAGCACCCCCCCACAAACCCCCGGGGGTACCAGCCCCCGGCCTAAACGATCCCCCCGAAAAGTCAGCGGAAGCAGTCGGAAAGGAGGAGAGCGGGTTGGGACTCGGGGCCGGGTCATGCGCTGGCGGGCGGTTTTTGACACCGTTGTGAAGTGGCGGCAGATTGTGGAGCCGTGCGATCCAGTAGTGTGGGTCGACATGCTCAGGTGGGGAGATAGAAGTCCGTCTTCGGGCGTTCCATTCAGGTTTCTTGAAGAAGTATCTTCTTTGGGTGTACACTGGTGGTGTTTGCTGTAGGCGCTTCTCTCGCCGCCATTATGCGTTTGCTTCACCGAAGCTTCTTGGCGGGTGCTTGAACGGACCATTAAGAGTCGCGCTTCAGATGCACAGATGCTCGTCGAACTTTTCTTCAAACGCAGAGTAGGGTGGTTCCTCTGCCTCTCCTTTGATTGAAATGGTGGGTTGCACTTTTGCCTTGCAGAATTGCAGCCGTCTTCTGAGACGGGACGTGTGAGCCGCTTCAAAGGATTTGCATCAGAGTATACCCATGGCATCAGATCACTTTCTTTATAGGGCACTAGCAACAGCAGTCGCTATCGAAGTCCGCTGCTCACCTCATGTGGTCTTCATGCAGTGAAAAGGAGTTCGCTGCCGGCTTTGGTTCCCACACGCCGCTCCTGCTGGGCCAACAGAAGGTTGTGCGCTACTACCCCAACTTTTTCCGGTGAGAAGCGCCCGCCTTCAAGTTCACGCGCTCTGCAACAGTTGACTGCCTTCTTCGGATGTCCCAACAAAGCCAGGGCCCATTTTCACCGAGCCTATTCTCACTGCAGGGCTTTTGCCGTCGCGAAGGAGCTTATGCTGGCCGAAGACGAGGCTGACGTTATCGGGACATCGCCCATAACAATCATGGTCCCCAAAGGCTAGTCGCACCAAGCGCCCAATTTTCACCGAGCTTATTTCCATCAAGGTCCCATTCCTACCGAGCTTATTCTGACCGCAGGGCTTTCGCCGTCGCAAAAGAGCTGATGCTGTCCAAGGACGAGGCTAACTTCGTTGGAATCCAGTCAATTACCCACCAAGTCTAGTCACTAGTCACACATGATCCTCTTTTCACCGAGCCTATTCCCACCGCAGGGCTTTCGCCGTCGCAAAGGAGCTGATGCTGGTTAAGGACGAGGTGCGCAATGCTCGGGACGTGCCGGTGTACCTGCTCGAGAAGGGGCAGCGCGCCGCGGTCGCCGCGGCCGCAGACTGCGGCGCGCTGTATGACGTCATCAAGGAGGACTTCTGGATCTCGACGCCGTGTTACAGTTTGGCGCACCCAGGCGAGTGGGAAGAAACGTGTTGCATATCCAAGGGGAATTTTGTAATTCGGTAGCTTTCGCCCTTGATTCGATCGACGAACCCTTTGTTTGCCGAATCGTAACATTTCATACCGCTTGCGCTCCGCCGCTGATTCTTCTCTTAATGCATAGTCAGATGAGGCTTTCACTAGCCACCAGAGCTTCGGAAGGTGCTTTGCCAATGGAAGGCTCGTGGAAAAAGTGTGTTGGAAACATGCAGCTCGGGTGCTGACGACAAACAACCCTCTTGATGATTACTGCAATCTCTGGGTTCAAGAATAGCTTGTGAAGTGCAAGTAATATTTCCGCGAGAAGCTTCCGAATGCCCGGTTCACATGCGACCGGATTGGCTGGTTAGACCGGTTTTGTCCGACGTGGCGATTCCGCTTTTACCGGGACAAATAATCAAAACCACTTCGAGAACCGAGCAGAATTGAAGTCGGTTGCGGCGAGTACTTTGGAAGACTTGTTCAATCCTGCCCTTGACTTGACCTGGTTTTGAAGCTGCGTATTAGTGAAAACCAGCTTCGGTCGACGAAGGCAGTGTTATAGGGATTGAAAACACCACCGATTTGGCCAGATTTGGGTTCCGGCGAAAATCGTAGACAAATGTGAACCGGGCATAACCGTCCGCATCTCTTGTTGGTCCTCAGGCAAGGTGCTGGACGGCACGCGGCTGACTCTGCAGAAGCAGCGGGACGTGGACGACGCGTACGAGTTCTCCATTCGGACGCCGTGCACGCCGGACCGCTGGAAGAAGTTCGACAAGGAGCTCGCGTGCGCCTGGGAGGTGCGCGCGCGCGTTTTAAAGCTCCGGTCTCAGTGAAAGTACTCAATTCATGGTCGATATGGCTTTTTGAGGGTTTCAGGGTAAGGTCTTGTCCCGTATCTTTGCAAGGGGAACCTCGACCGGTAGGGGTGCGCCCACCTTCCTCCCTGCGGGGAACAGGGAAAACTTAAAAAAAAGTACTCAGCATGCAATACGCCTCAAATTCGGCGAACTGGGCTCGTGAGCTAGTTTCGGTTCCGTGGAGAGTGGCTTTTTGAATTCGTACGGCTAATTGACCGCAGGGGAAGCCACTGATTACTCTCTTTGTTCACGAGCGCCGAAAAGTGCTTTCAGGCAAAGACGGCTTCATATGTCCTTCAGCTTTGTATGCAGGTCAAAGCGAGTTCTCTATCAAAAGGCTGTTGCCAAGACTTTAATATGCACAATTACTCTGCTCCTCCAGGCCGTGTGCTTGGCGGCATGCGCCCGGTTGGAGCGCCCCAACGACCCGGAGTACAGCAGGCGCCTCTGGGACAGCATCCTCACCCTGGTTTTTTACTGGTGGGTTACACCATCTTAACTAATGGAACACATTTCAGATTATGGAGTCTTTACCTTTTTAAGTGGAAAGTTAGAAACGTGTACTTTGTTCAAAGGAAAGCATTGCCAACATTGGACTGGATCTGCTCTGTTGAGATATCACTTTTGAGAAGGACAGGGCGCTCCAGGACTTTCATTGAAGAGGAGACGACTTGGACGCGGACGATAAAGTGAAAGGAATGGACTTGCAAAGATTAATAGACTCGAAATAGAAATCGTGTACATGAAAATTGAAGTACCAAACTGCGCAACCGCGGGCAGGTACAACTTCATGCCGCTATGCCGAGGGACGGCGGTCGTGGGCTACATCACGCTCTTGGGCCTTTTTCTGGCCGCAGGCATGGAGGTGACGGCGACCATCCCCCCGGGTCTTCAGGTAAGACGGTCGCCCCGCCAAGGGTCGCGCTTTGTGTCAATCAGGCGAAATTGTTGCCGAAATAGTTCCGGAATGTCCCTGACTAAATCATGTCTTCTCTACAAGGCCGGTTAGAAAGAATGCGTGATCAGCCCGTAGGGCTGTGCGGCACTAGGGAACTCAAATCCAGTTTCTTCTTAGGACTTCACCTTTCTTGACGTGATGTGAAAAACGATTGACCCAATTCCGTTCAAAGTATTGCAGGTTGACTGGGAGGCCATTCTGACCCCCGACGTCGGCGTGTTCGCATCCGCGGTCCGGCCCTGGCTGTACCCGTCCCTGAAGCCGATCGACTTGATGGGCGATGCCGGGGGCGCAAAGTCCGTGCCCCGGGTGGTGGACGCTTTTCCGACCGTCCAGTCTGTGGTGTCCGCGCTCAGCACGGCGGAGGCCAAGTGGAGAGATGTGGAGAGGGGATAAAGGAGAACCAGAGGGAATTAGCGCGTTCTCTACATGAGTGAAAGTTGGTATTGTCGGAGGGTTTCGGCCGGTTGCTATGAAGCAATGCCGTATTGGCAGATGAGGACGCGTATGTGGGCTAAGTGCAAGCTAGCACTTCAATCGGAAGAAGTTACTGCGATTTGAGTCGATAAATAGCATCACAAGATCAAACTGATACTTTGCATCAATCAAATTTAGCACCTAGCGATTTGAGTCACCAGCTCAAACCTAACAGTAGTCTAGCTACAAAGGAAGTTACCGTCGGTGTAAGAAAACCGTTTAAGCATTTATTGAACGCCAGGCTAAGAGAGCCCTAACAGTGAAACCTTTTTCGAGTCATCTTGAAAATGTTCCTGCCATGTGTTGCATGGTACGAGGTCTCTTACTACAGAACAGAGCGCTTATAAGTTAGAAAAAGTGGACATGGGCCCACTTAATCGATCCTTTCTGGCACCAGACTGAGAAGCTCCATCGCCGGAGACAACGCGTGGACCTGGGATCCCGTGCCAGTTGCTGCCGCAGGTCATGCCGCGATTGCGCCCAAATAAGACGCCGCCGGCCTGTAAAGGCGCGTTGTGGGGCGGCCCCTATGGTCTCCTCGCGGATGATTGAGACCGGCTGGCAAGGAATGCCCTGCAATTGCGCCCTAGCAGCGTTTCTGGGACATCGTGGACCATCATGCAAGACGCCGGGTGCGCTCGCGTGAGTCCTTGCAGGTGCCCAACCGTGCTTGGCTTCTGAACTAGCATGCGCGTATCATACATACAGCTCACAAGAAACGTGTTAGCCCAATCTAGTTCGTTCCTGTGACCATGTGGCAGAACCAGATCAACTGCTGGACTTGATGCTCTCCACATTCCGTGATTGCATGACTCTTCGATACAATGTCAACGTACGGCGCAACAGCGACAGCTCGCGTCATGCAATGTTGCGCTAACTTGTGAGGCCGCGCCGCCGGCCTAGAGGGATGATATACATTGCCAGATGGCATTCTATTGCGATATAAGTGCATTCAGCACACGAGATCATTGGGCCGCTGGACTCGAGCTCGTCACAAAAACAGCCCGTACCGGGCTGTGAGTTGGTAACGTTTTGCAGGCTTACAATAAGACACAAAAGGCATACGCGTCACGTGTACCAGCGCTGCCGCCAGCCTGGCATGCGAAGCCCAGCTTAGACTTATCAATCAACATCGTGCGCAGGAGGCCCTTGTACCGTCGCGCCCGACTCTTGACCGTCACACCGTTGCCGCTTTATGTTGCTTCATCATGCAGACAATTACTGAACTGAAAGTGAGGTACCGCAAATTAGATTAGATACAGTCGTAGCGTCATGATCCTTTCCTCCCCATCACCACATTATCAAGCCAGTTTATTGACGTACATATTAAAAGGACAAGATCCTATTTTCCTCCTACAGCGCCCGTTATTCTAGACGTTTATTCTGTTCCGTGCTCACCGGCGCCAAATTATTGAATCACTGAGAACGTTCAGGCGGTTATTTAGAGGTCGTTTCCATGTCACGAGCTCAGGAGAAGGAATCCATGTAAGGCAGAGCCGGTGGGGACGCCTTCTCTGCAACTTCCACGGTGCCCGCTGCTTTCAGCGCCGCCAGGGCCGTTTCCTCGCAGATACCCAAAATCTGCACACCAGCACTCATTTGCACTTAGTCGGCTGACAGAAAGTACAGACCGAGGTTGGCCGTGTAGACAGACTACCCGAGTGCATTTCATTGAGAACATTTCAACCGCAGGTCAGCAATCAAGGACTGACTGCTCGACAGCAGGCAACGACGAGTAGGTGAGAAGAGTTCCAGATTAACCATGTCAAGGACAAGACGAACACATCACAAAGTCAACAAGATGGAGACTGAGCAGATCTTCAGAAAAGCCACAGCAATCAAGGCTCATGGACAAGGGGAGCTGAAACATACGGGAGAAACTCGGAAGCCTTACCGTGTCAGTGAGTCCCTGCAGCTTCGCTTGCTCCCCCACCTCCACCCACGCGCGCACCTGCTGCGCGGCCGCGCGGAGGCGCCCGGCCGCGCTCAAGAAAACGGCCGCGTCCACGCGGCCGCCATTCAAAACCTCAAACCCCTCGTCGCGCTCCGGCTGTACATTTGCGTCTTCCGCTGCGTTCCGAGACTGTTCCGTTGCAGCGGACTCCCCTCCTTTGCTCGCTGACACAGACCCTGTAAGCCGGTCGAGAGTCGATCTCGGGGGCCCTCTTGCGTTTCCATTCGAGTCGAGATCGGCTCCAGCTGAATCGCTGTCAAGCAACGGCCCCGAGACCTTCTTCTCTTTTACAACGCCGTTCGTCGCGCTGGCTGATCCGTCCTCCGTCCGCGCCCCTGACTCCGGCGGAACTTTCCCGTTACAAGCCTCATTCTCGGTCAAGATTGTCGTTACGGAAGGGATCAGAGTTTCAAGGGACGGCGGCGCTTTTGAGGAAGTATCGACCTTCTCCATATTTTCGTCCCCTCCGAAAAGCACAGCTTCACCCCCCTTCGTCGCAGCCTCCGCATTCCTCAGGATTCCGGTTCCGTCCCGCCCTACCGCTCTGAGTGCGCTGCCGTCCGTTTTCGGGCGCGCTCTCAGCATTTCCGTTCGCTTCCGCTGAGCGGAACGCCGATCGTAACTGCGACTGCGAGGCGAGGTCGACAGTCTCGAACGCGGTCGGCTCCGGTGCTCACTTCGAGTCACTGACCGGCCCCGTCTTTCCTCCCTTCCAAACCTGAATTCCGTTCCGCCGTTCCGTTCCGCTTCCGGGGAGACGCTCTCCGGGCCAGCGGAAACGGACGTCTCGCGCTCGAAGTTGTCCCCGTTGCTGCTCCCGCTGCTCGACTCACACCCCGTCTTCCAGTTCCGTTCCGTTCCGTTCCGCCTGTCCTCCCGGGAGACAGGAACAGCTTCGAAGAACCGGCTGCGCCTCGGAGAAAACGATTCCGACCGCTCTCCCCCGGGCTTCGACCGCCCGGTAGATTCTCCCGACACCGGCCGACTCTGCTTCCCGCCCCGCTTCTGTTTCTCTCGGCCGATCCGCGAGTCTGCAGAAGGCCGTCCGTTCCGGCCCCTTCCGCTCGACGGACTTGCGCTCTTGGAGCCCGTGTAACGGTGTTTGGCAGCCCTTCTGCTCCTTCCCCTTCCCTCGGGCAGTTTTTTCCTCAGCGTTTCCCGGTTAACAGCACCGGAGTTCTGCACACGGAGCGTTTCTGCAACTTCCTCCGAACCACCAGGCTTATCAGCAGTGCCTCCCTCCAATTCCCCGGGCAGATCGCCGTCCCATGCCCTTATCTTCTCCGAGCCAGCCTCTAACCACTCGGAGCCATCCCCCGGTCTCCCTAACCACCGCCCTTGACGCTCCTCTTCCACTTCCTTTTCCGCTGCCCATTCTTCCGCTCCCCACGCCCCGGAACCACCCTTCCGATCGCAACGATTCCTCTTTTCACGCGCGCCCACGTCCTCGGTACACTCCCCCGTGCCCTTAACCCCAGCCTTTTTAACCGAACCCTTTTTTGTTTTACAGCCCCCGTCAGGCCCCCAAGCGCTGCTGACAATTGCGCACGTGCCCAACCGCTCCCTCCATGCCTTGGCACGTGCCGCGAACCCCGCCCGCTCTCCGTCCAACGGGAGACTCTCCAAACTCAGCCGTCGCTCAGCCGGCCGCGCCACGGTTGCACGGTTTACGGTTGCAGAATCTACGTTTGCAGGGTTTCCTTTGGCAGGGTTAACGGTTACGGGATTTGCGATGCCCGGGTTTAGAGACGGCTCTTCTTCTCCCCACTCTCCCCCAGACGGCCGCCAGCCAAAGGCAGTGGGCCGGCTCAGCCTCGACCCCACGGGCCGTGACGTCAACCCTTCCGAGGGCGACGTCACTGTGGAACCACCCGTCGTGTGGTTACCACTTTGAGCTGGAGTCTCTTCGCCGAGCCCCCGCGCAGACACCTGGCCGTTTCCTCCCCACGCTAGTTCTGCTGGCCGGCTGGTGCCCAAGTTTGCCGCAGATGAAGGGGAGTCGAAGTTGGCGACACCCCCAGGGCTCGCACCCTCTCTCTGTCGCCCTTCGTTGCCACTCAGATGTTCCTCCTTCCCGCCGGCCTTTCTCGGCGTGAAAAAGTCCTTTGCGGATCCTACCCCACCCTTCAGTTCGTCATCGCACGGTGCAGCAATCTCCAACTCCAGAACGCTTTGAGACTCCCCACCCCGTTCTACGTCCAGAACCTCGTCTGGGTGTGTGGCACTTCTCTTACCCCATCCTTCGCTTTGGCGTCTGTCGTGCTCGATCTCCGTCGCCTCTCTTACGTCTGCCGCGGCAGCACTCTCAGCCTGAACACCCACATTTTCCAAACGCGACGGCTCGAGCGCTCCTGAACTCTCTGCACTCGCAAACTGCCCCATGCTTGTGCTCCGGTCCCTCAATCCGCTAAGAAGCTTCCCACCCCCCTCCCTTTGCTCCGCTTGTTCTTGCCCCCCTGTTTTGTGACGGCTTGCAGCAGCCACTGCAACCGCGTCTGTGCTTTCGTCATCGTTTTCGAGACCTCCCCGATCAACCGCCCCACTTCTCTTGTCAAACCAACGCCCTGCTTCTGCCTCCGATTGTGCCGACCCCTCCTCCTCAGCGTTTCCCAACGCTCCCAGCCCACCTATTTTGGTCTCAATAGGATTTGCCCCAGCCTGCCCACTTCCATTTGAGCTCTCGTCTGCATCCTGTCTGACTTCATTCGGCACCGCAACTCCGTTCCTTTCCCGAATTCCTCGCCGGCCGTTGACCTCACTTTCGTACGCCCCTCTCTCGCTTTGACCGGCCCCTCTTTCATCTCTTCTCCCACTCTCTTCAATTTGACTGCGTGGTTCCCGTTCTCCTTCTCGTTTCACCCGCCCCTCGTGCAAATACTTTCCGGTTGAACTCGCCCCCCCTCCGCCGACCCCTTCACCTGCCGAAACAATCTCCTGTCTGCCACGTGGCGACCTCATCTGGATCCGGATGACGACTTCACTGTCCACTTGCTCTCCAGTCCAAGCTCTCTGCATCAAATTCAACCCTTCCCTCTGTGAATTGATTGATGGACTGACTGACGAGTCCGCAGACGCCTTGACCGAGCTGGGGGTTAACTCCGAGACTAGCTCCCGCTGCTTCCTTATCGCCCCTAGCACCAGACCCTGCGCCTCCTGCATGCTTCTGGCGACTCTAAGGGCCGAAGTTCCGCTTTCAGGTCGCCGGGAAGAACTAGATGTAATCTGTACGCCGCCCGCCGCACGGCGGCGGATGCTCTCAGCCACAGACGTGAGCCGCAGGAGCTGCAAAGACCGAGGGAGAGGCGAACAACGATCAGCGGAAGAGGATCTGTGAGAAACACTCAAGTTTAATCAGAGTCGAAAGGAAGCTTTGTGGTCACTGATTGTGCACAGTCGTTTTGTTTTTCGTTGCAATTTGGCTTCTGATGATGGTTCTAGGCAAGAAGTTCTTGACGACAATTCATCCCAGACTGAAGGTGAGGTCAGGCTTTGAAGCGGAGTCATGAAGGGTCCAGCTACTTCTGTCCAATGAGAATTTGGCTTGAGTGAAAGTGGACAGTTTCTTCGCATGGCTTGGTGTGCAGTATTCCTTGGGCAACATACTTATCTTGCATCACCAAATTTTCTGCATTGCACTCCTGAAGAAGCAATCACCTGTGGGGCGTTTCACTTTTCCCATAAGAGAGATCCAGAATGACAATGCAAAGAGCCTCACCTCATGAGACACTGACGTTGCTCCTCCAGTGTTCCTGCCAGCAGGGTGCTCGGGGCGTGTTTCAGTTTCATGCTCACTGCTTGGCGCTGTGTACTGACCCCCAATCTCTTGCACCGCTCTACGCGGTTTACTTTCTATCGCGTTTGCTTGGTTTATAGATCCACCACCTTTCTGTTCTGGCTCCCATTGCCCGGGGCGAGGCTCAGCAATGCCCTCATCTACCGGAGAGCCGCCCTCAGGAGTCCATCTGAGCCGTCCATCCACTCTCTGCAGCACCAGCCTCTCCCTCACACCAGCCTCGCTCCCCGGTTGTCTCGACTCTGTAGCCTCACCATACTCCTGATTGTGCATTTGATCCAATGTTTCTAAATTTGGCTTATTGCTGGTCTCTGTGACAAGTCCAGATTCTAGTCTGGGAGGCTCATGTACGAGAGTTGAACTCCTGGCCAGCTCATCAGAGCCTGCTCTGAACGTGCTCTCAGCAGTTCTATCATAGTGCAATGCACCTATTGCTGCCAATGCCTGCAAGCTGTCGCCTTTCACTAGCTGCCACTGCTTCCTTGTTGCATGCATGAACTCCACGCTGTGCCTCTCCCTGCTTTCTGCACTCTCAGCGTTGTTGCCCTGCTCATCCCAGGACTGCCTTCTGGGCCTTCGCACGTTCAATTTATCTGCAAGTGCCTTCACTTCTTCAGAGACCGTGCAACGCTTTGCACAATCCTCTCCATTCTCCAGGGCTCCAAGCCCCGGTAAAACGTCACTACCTATTGGAGCAACTTCAGCTGACTTCTTTCGGTCAATCTGTCTCAGCGTCCGCTCCAACTTCTCCCAGACCTTCTCAACTCTGCTAGTTTCCCTCCATTTCTCACCATTTCCAAGAGCCCCAGCATTTCCAGCATTCTCCCCTGGTCTAGAGGAAATTTCCGATACAGCACTTCCCATCTCAATGCTCCATTTTCTTGGCCGCCCTGACTGTATGGCACCTGCAAACCGCTGAGATGCCAAAGCATCTGCAGCTCTTCTCAAGGGGATGGACTCTGTTGAGTCCGCGGGTAGAGTCTGCGCGTCCTCCATTACCTTTTGGTAAAGTCAGCTCCGTGCCTCTGCGGCTCAGTTGCTTCGGGGCAGAGAGACTGGCACCCAGCATTGCTCCACTATATTAATTGCTTTCAGCTGGTCAGCGGGCATGGCCAACCAAAAGCATCAAAGACGAACAGCAATGCTGCCGTGCAAAGGCTCAAGCTGACGTTCCGGCCAAAATGAATCCCTTCACTGGACGATATAAATTGTCGGCCGAGGCCGCATCTGTAGTAACGAACTGCACAGCACTCTTGAGCACCCCTAGTGCATGCATCGTCCACTGTGTAGCGCCGAGCTGCGTGTACGTACAAAGAATATGTTACTACGTTTATCCACGCCTGTGCCGGCGGAGCGCCAGGCGCCACACATGTCAACAGTAATGTTTCGGTGGGATATCAAAAGTATAACAGCACGAGACTTCGGTGGAATATCAAAAGTTTGTGGCGGTCCCATGTTCTACAGATTACTGGAATCTGCTCCGAAACACCTGAATTGTACGCTAACGTTAACACCATCTACTCAGTGGGGCAGCTGAAGCAACCGCTTGCTGCGCGCGCACTACGACCACCGACGGCCTCGTCCGGCATATCGACGGTCTGTAAAATCCTGCCCAACGTCGCGGCCGCGATCTGCGCGCTATTCACCGATCACGTTTCTCTAGTTACTTGCTTGCCGCGGACTTACAATCAAGCGAAGTTGCGCGAAAACATGCATATGTGACAAGCTGAATACGGTCAAATCTGGGACTTACAGATCACTTTCAGATATGAACCAACACAGGCGCCTCGAGCTGATCACCTCATCGTGCATCATGCCTATTCGGTGCTTCACTGAGCTTCGGATATTCTGATCGGCATCGGCAATTTGGAGTCAGGACCGATCCAAGTACGATGACCACGATGTGGATCGTTCAAAGCGTCGGATAGCAAACTACGTCTTTACTTTGAGGCGATTGCAAGTATTTGTAGACGCTGCTCACAGGTCTGGCAGACAGGATGTGAAAAGGGATTGCAGACTCCATGACAAAATGGAGTCCGGCTGCAGTTGTGACAACCTGGATACTTCAACCTTAGGTACACGATCCTGCATCTGTCGTTAGTATCAAACGTCTTGTGATTATGTCTACTAAGCACTGCAACAGCTTAGACCTCCTGCTGTGACCTAAGCGCCTACAATGTGAGAACAACTCTTAGAGTTACTTCGACCAACTTCAATCCACCACGCACTGATGATGTTCCCGGTGAATCAGTATTCAAGGCGGTGCCCACTTGATAACACTTGTATCGACTCAACGCAACTAGACCACTACCGCTTCTTAACGTGGCACTGTTAGTTCTCGGCTGCAATATGACGATAATGTTTGCAGCCAACTAATCAAACATCACAGCTTAGCATCGCCTTCCATCGGTTTTGACAGTACCACTAGCGCTAGATAGCGGAGAGAAGGTGCAAAGGTTTAACCCCAAGCTCAAACCCTGGCTCCACATCGGTATCTTGGCATAAGCACTCGGTCGGGTTGGCGTAGAAGTAGTCCTCAAGTTTGGGCCGCTTGGGCATCACCGCTCGTCTAGCCGGGCCCCCAGTCTGACTCCTGCACGACACGTGGTCACGAGATGAGTGGCGCTCAAAATAAACAAGAACGCTTCGTGAAACCTTCGTGATATCCTTCTCCAATTTGCGAAGTCCTTGCAATATAAGACTAGCGAAGGAAAGGCCAATGCTTATCACACGCCGTTCAGAAAGCCTACGTTCTGAAGGAGCGCGTCCCGTCCTTTGGAACGATCCAGAAAGCGTGTGGCGCGAGCAATCATTGCACAACGCAAGACGTTGACACATCTTTCTCTCAGCGACAGCCTTTCTCAGCGGCAGCCTTTACTCAACGGAACTTTATAGACTTGACAGACTCCAGTCAATCAATCGGCACAGCATGGACCAACTTGCGATATGCGCACGTGCGGAAGTATGCGACAAGGCCCTGTTTCCTCACCGATGGAAATCTCGGATCCTCTCCGCCGCTTTGCCCCACGTGGCTTTCCCCTCAGAGTAAAGATCCAGCATCTCGACCAGGCGCCGGCGGGAGGGGATGACCGTTTTGCGGAACCCAAGATACCTATGCAAGCAATATCAGAAACAACTTGAGCTGAAAGCCCGCGGCAGAGCGAAGGGACAGCTCGTTTGGCAAACTCACGACCAAGTCAGAAGAATGTTCTGAGACAGGGCACTGAAAAGCAGGTGTGTACTGAAAAAGTAGATCACTGGCAACACAAAGCACATAGATGAAACCCAGATCCTGAATTGAAGTTGTTTTGGTTGGGCTTCGCTCCTATGTTCAAGGGCTTGACCTTTTGAAAACACGCACAGCTTTCTCCTTTCAAGTTCTGTGATACCTTTAGGATCTGAGACCGAGCCCGCCGCCCAAAATCGCCAATCTAACAAAGTGCCTGCAAGTCCTCGGTAGCTACACAGCTTGTACCGGCAGGCTTTCAGAATGCACTCCTTGCCATCAATCAACTTCGCAACTGCTTCCGTCAGTGACACAGGGGGAACGTAACGTCAACCAAACCCGGTTTATACTCCCGTTGGATGTCCTTCTACAAGACGGAGCTGGTTAAACGCTGGGTAGTTGCCTTCTAACCCGGTTTCTTTGAAAGCGAAACCTTCTTCTGTGAGAGCACTCCGTATCCACGTGGGCGTACCTGCGGTGTCCCTGAATGAGCTTGGCCATGTTGCCGCTGAAGGTGGGAAGGAACACGTCGCTCTCCAGAGACACCAGGTAGTCCAGGGCGGCCAGCTGCGACGAGTGGCCGTTGATACTCGCCAGCTCGGCCGCGTCGAGGAGCGTGTCCTTGCGGACCTGCAGCAACCCGCCGGCAGCCCTTTTCAGGTACTTTAGAGTAGTGGGGTCATTTTGAATCTGTCTTGATGTCAATTTTCGATACGTGGCACTAATTAAACCTGGTGGTCACAATGGATCGATTGAATCCTCAGTGAGGAGTCTTGGGGGTGACATGCGCTTCAGCAAGGTTGTGAAGATGAAGTAAAGCTTGCATTCAAACAGCCTTGAAATGCTGATGGATCCTTGTCGCCATTAAAGTGTCAGGTCAGCACTTCACTCTCAATTCTGAGAAATTTACCCATCGGATATCCGCGGCCAGAGGTTCCCTCAAACTGGCTCCCAAAGCCCCTTCGAACCGTCGCCCGTACCTAGGCAAAGACCTCGAGAAGGCCGTATACAACCTGCTCAATTTGACGTGCCGCTGACGTCACTCACCAGGTTCGGGAACATGGCGGCCAGCTTGGCCATCCGCTCCTGCCCGCCGTAGATGTCCCCGGCCGCGATGTACACGTGCGTCGATTCGTTGAACCCGAGCGCTTTGAGGAACAGGCCCGCCTCCTCGGGGGTCAGCGGACACAGCCCCTGCCGCCGCTGCGCCGCCGAGTCGATCTCCTTCTCCCGCCAGTGCCGCACCGAGTACCTGCAGAGTCATCATTCAAGTTTAGTTTATCGGTGCTTTTTGAGAGTGAGCTTTACGTTGAATGAGCCGGATGTCTACCAAAGAGTTTGTTGGACCCCGGTTTATTCAGAATACTACGATTGCTCGGAACCCTGCGATTCAAAGCATGTCAGATGTCAGAAATAAAGTAAGCAGATTGCACTTTTCCTTGATTTGAAAATGACCTTCTTGCGCTTCAGCAAGGAGAAACTATTACGCAGCCGCAGCCCTAGTAGTCCTTCAGCCGCAACTTGGATAATGCATCCAGGACAAGCTGAGGCAAACAGGTTAGTTATTCTTTCTACAGGATTAACAGAGATGTTCCTCAGTAGAGCCCTATCATCGTTTGGAAAGCCCCGACTTAAAAACGGCGTTCCTTTACCTGAGGTCCGTGAGCTGCCTCTCCTCCTGCGGCGAGCAGCCGTGCGTGCAGCCGGAGAAAGCGAGCATGTCCATCTCGTACCGCAGGTGCAGCGCCAGAAAGGGACCGCCGCGCGCGCGCTCGCGCATCAGCGCCACGAGACGCCGGCCCAGCGCCTCGATCGCGGGCGTGAACCGCAGGGCGTGGAACTGGGTGCGGCAGCGGACGTGCTGGATGCTGCAAACGAGACGCGAGGTATGAATTTCAGGGAACGTGATTGGCTGCCGGAAAACCTTGTCTTCTAGGAAACGCTAGCATTTCTATGAGGTCGACTATCTCTCTCACAGGCGAGCGTGCAGTGTTTTTGAGCAACTTTCCGAAGCAACATTGATGGACCCCTCGTATTAGTTCTCGTGGATCGGAACCCCCTCAGAAACGAAGGTGCTCTGTTTCACCAAAGTTGGGGAACGAAGAGGCGAGAACCGAGTTAAGAAGCATTCTGTGGAGAATACAGGTGCAAATTGGAAATTTGTTGTCCACTGGCGATATCCGCCAAGCGTGATCAGTTCGTACCTGAAGGGCAGTCCGTTGTTCGCCAGGCGCGAGTCCGTCTTTGCCAGGCGCACCGCCCCGTGCTTTCGGATGAGCGGCAGCACGTGGTGCGTGTAGTACCCCGCCTGGGACCACGAGATGGGGTCCAGCACGGGCAGCTTGTGCGCGCGCGCGCCCAGCTTGGGCGGCAGGGTGCGCACGACGGGCACCAGGGGTTTCAGGGTTTGGACGAAGTGGTCCACGTCGAAGATGTCTTCGAACTCGCTGTGAGGGGAAAGCGTGCCAGGTGTCAATTTCAGAAGGAAACGAGCTTTGACTTCAGACGACCTCGTAATCATCGCTTTGGAGAGAGTCCAATAAACCGAAAAAATGGTTGAAATTTGGCGTCTGGTCATAAGAGGGAAATGGGCAGCGGACCGGCGACGGCAGAGGATTCAATTTGAAAGCGGTCTGAGAAACGCAGAAGGATTCTGTATTAGAGTCGCACATCCATTTTCAATCTCGGGAATATATGTTTAGTCAGCTTTGGACGATGCAATCGTTCGCATGCTTACCTGCTGTCGGCCCAGAAGGAGCTCTTGTCCAACTCTGGAATCACCAGCGTGACGTTCATCCAATACGCCATCGCGACCATGTCACAAATCTGCATTGAGAGTGCCAGCTGTCACTTGGCTCTCAGTCCTCCTCGCAGAATGGCACTACACGAGGCGGGCAGCAGGTAGTCCGGAAAATCCTTCTTTCCGCCATCTGTCCATTTATTCTGCCAGTTGTCACATTCTTCAGCAGAACGCTTTTTGCCAATGGGCTGCGTAGAAGTTGAAGCAACAGGATAAGATCTTCGTTACTTGTGGGCTTTTGAGATGCTCACCGCTGCCCTCATTTGGTTGAGGCCACCGTTGGTGGAGACTAGAAGGTAGCCTTGAGACAGCATTGGTGCCGCATCTGCACGCGCTAGTTCTATTTCAGAAGAAGCTAGGAACCCTCTAAGAATCCTATAATCTCAGACTACAATTCTATCAATTCTACGCTCATGCCGAATGACCAACAAGCTTGCTGGGTTCATCTCTTTGGGTGCCTAACATGTTATATGCCAGTTCGTAACCATCCAAGAAGGTCACGCTGACTGACAGATGGAGCGAGCCTTTCCAAAGCAACACATGTCCATGTCTCTGCATTCCAGATGATGAATTCAATGACTAATTTACCTTTCTGTATCGACGCAACCTCTTGCCCACATGCATGCCAGCCTTGGCTCTCTGGCTGCCTCCATGGGTTTACGGCAGAGCCAGAGAGGGGGTCCGCCTGACCCCCAACCGCAAGCGCCCTTCTAGAGAAGTCGAAGATACCAGCTTGTTGCACAGACCCAACGCTACTACTGACACCTATTGACCCGTTGGCCGCACCTTGGACACCAATCTGCAAGGAAGACTCTGTCTTAGGCTTGAAAGCTTTTGCCAGCTGTCAGCACAGTTTTATAAGCATCAGAAAGTTTTTCGTTTCGTGTGAATTACAGGATCCCTGGAAAATGCTCACGAACAGTGCATCTTCAAACAGCGCAGCCACTTGCAATGCTGTGTCTGGAATGGGCAGCAACACAACTTGTCCATCAAGAGAGAATTCTAAGGCGCCTCAATCAGTTCTTACTGAGAGCTGTCTTCTCGCAAGCCCAGCTTTGCGCAAAGAGCAAGGCCCGCATGGAAGCGCAATACATCCAAACGGTGCATACATGACTGCAGTGACTCTCCTTCAGTCAAACCAGGTGTCAGGAAAGAACTTGTTATTGTTGCTTTCCTTGCACCACTACAGCTCTTCTGTTACCACCAATTGACACCACCACAATTTCAAGCTCCCAAACAACCCTCACCTTGAGCTCTTTGTGTCGCCGTTCCACCATCAGCTGCCCCACGCTTATGTACATCAGGGATCCAAGCAGCATCAGAAACACGAGCAGCGGCCGCCATACACTTGCCACCAGTGCTTTTTTACCCATGCTGGTTGTGCCCACACCGCCACCTGTCTCTATGCCACCCCCCATAACTATACAACCAGTGCTCCTCCTTTCACAACGGGCCGGCGGGCTTATTGACTGGGTGGCCATAGATTTCTTGTCAACTAGACACCACTGAATACCTTTTGAGGGAGTCCTCTTGAAGGCACTGGAAAACTATTGACCTGGTGAAAGCAGCAAGGGCTGCAGGACAACCGGAGCTGCATTTGTAAGGGACACTTCGTTCAAGTATCCAGGGCCTGTAACAGGAACCTGCTTCTGGAACCTAATGACAGCTGTTTGAAGTATGCTAGTACGGCTGTGCGCAGCTGATCAAGCTTCCAGCAATTGGTGCAGCTTGAATGTTGCACCCTCCTAGACCGCCAATTGTCACAACGCTCGCTTTTGAGATGTGCTTCCGAACAAAGACCTGACTTTTTCAATCGTCCCGAGTGGAGCAACCTAGCTACTACGCTTGACGTTCGAGCTCCGCAATGTCGACATATATCTGAACCTGCCCATTAAAAGGTATCGATTATATTCAAGGTTCTCTGTCGCAGCTCCCATACATGTATCCTATTCGACCTAGACAGTTTTCCAAGGGTGTCTAGCCGAGGACAAGAGGTCATTGACCAACTACTAGCTCTTGCTAGCGCGCTTACATCAACCGGCGCTGCTGGAGAGCCTCGAAAAAACACAAACTGATACAATGAATACCGTGATCCATTGGCTGGCAGTGCCTTGCAGAATTCACCACGTAGACCTCATGTCAGGGAGAAACAAAGCCAATCGTTGACGTTACACTCGAGGCCGTTCCCCTCAGCTACCTTTGATACATATGACAAATGTAGTATATGAAACGTTTGGCGTAGATTGAGAGAGTGTCGAATGCCTGATTTGTTCGACTCGAATTTCACTCATGATAATATTGTCCCTATTTAAAGAGTCAGACGGTGTGTCCCAATTTGATTCAAGAAGCGTCAACTAACAAATGTAGTGTGCGCGCGTGTGCTTATCGAGCGACCAAGCACCGCTAATCGGGTGGCGGAAGGTCGCTGACAATTCGACCAAAGCGGTTGGAGTCCCTGACCTGAGCCCGAGCCTGAGGAGGAAGGAGCTCAAGCAGTCCGCTCAGTACTCCACCTGGGGTTTCCCGTCCAAGCAAGTTTCTGTGCACAGCTCACCAGATTGGAGTGCAAAGCTCACTTGTGAAGAAGCCAGCGCTCACTGTCATGGCCGATGCCCTTAAATCTGTAGGCACGCAAAAGGTGTCTGCCTGATGGGACCAATATTAAGAGCTGATGGCGGACAATGGCGCTCACTGCTCAAATGGAGAGCTTTTGAGCTGAAATAGCACAAGGGCATGGGCACATTTGGCTGCTTCAATCTGACTAGACCTGATGTTGAATGACAGGTAGCTGATAAAAGCCTAGCAATTGACAGCTGACTAAACTTAGGTGCGAGAGGTTTGGCCCCCGCAAGCCAACAACCAATTACACAATCACGACGTTTGCTGCCCTGATATCCAGGCACTCAACCTTTGCAAGGACTTCCAATTTTCCTGTGCCACATCAAACCTGGAATTGAGCACTCCTCTTTCCAAAGCTCCATGGGAAGATAATGCCTGGTGGTTCTATGACTTGGTCCCATTCGCAACAGGTCAGCCCTTATCCAGACAATTCGTCATGACAAGGCCTGTAGCTCATTAGGACTTCCTTTCCCAGCTGAGTCAGCTGCGCAAGCATGCCCGCCAGCGATGATGCCCTGGGGGCGGTCTCCCCCCACCAGTCCTTCGTCCACTCGCTCCTTTTCAGTGCGAGGGGCCCAAGCACCGCGCGAAGCAAGCGACTGCGCGCAGAGGCCGCAGCCAGGCGCTTACACCAGAGCAGTACCACCAGGATCCCCGGTGTGATAAAGTACAACTTCCGGCTGGTGGCGCTAGTGTTTATTCTGTGCGCACCAGTGTACTTTTACTCGCTGGTGCAGACGCACACGCATGTTGCGGTGACGGGCCTGCTGTTTGCGGCGGAGGCGCTCGCGTTTGTGCTGAACCTGCTGTTCTTCTTCAACTTCTGGTTCGCAACCGAGAGGAACAAGGTCTCGCTCAGGTACGTCCACTTTCCGCAGACGGGCAATGCTGCTTGGATCATTCCAAAATACTTGAAGCAATTTCCAGCAATTGGATGTGGTGTAACAACTGAGCTGGAAGGTTCTTGTTGTGCCGCATGCAAATATCAGATCTGTCACCTAGTTGGATACTTCCAGAGCGGGGTCAAGGAGAACCAGTAATTTGAAGACCGGGGCTGGGGCTGCTGTTGGAAGGGCTGACGTGGCGAGGTTTAGGGGCGAAACCCTGGGCTAGGCTTCTTACGCCCAATCATTGCTCGAAAGCCCCGGGTCAAAACCTAAAACCTCGCGCCGTCAGCTGTTCCAACAGCACCCCCGGTCCCGGTCCCCAAACTACTGATTCTCCTTGACCCCGCTCTTCCACTTGAAACCTGCTACTGCAGCATGTAACTTTCAAGCCATTTTTGTAAACAGGAGACCCATCATCTCCGCGGTCCCTGCAACATAGCCTAAAACTTTCTGGCGCACATTAGGGTGACCACTTTGTGAATGCTCTGAAAAGTCGTCCCAACGGCGAATCTCATCTGGTCTAAACTGCCATGCTAACACGTGAACTTCTCTCCTTGGACAGATCCTTCCATCCGCGCCTGCCGGAAAAGGATTGGCCCCATGTTGACCTTTGCTTCACACATTTCCTGGAGCCAGTAGCACAGGTAAAGTCAATTGTCAAACCGCAGCTCATCAAACTCGGCATGTTCCGCCCGCACTTAGCTCATTTTGGAAAAACTCAACCCACTTTTTTGATAAAGAAAGAGGGACATTGGTACAGTTGCCTTTAAGAGCCGCATGACCGAGGCCATAGGCCTCAGAAGCTGGGGGCATTTTCCCGGTCAACTGCTCTGAACTACTTCATTCGTTTTATTGCATCTTTTTCATGCCAGATAAGCACTGTGAAAGATCGTCTTAGTCCACGTTTTTTGCCGCGAATGCAGCTGCATGATCCGCTTGCGGCGGCCCTGACCATGGATTACCCCCCCGACAAGCTCCACATCAAGATCTTGGACGATGGGTACCTCGGAAAGCGAGGGGAGCACTACGAAGTCACTCCGCTAGGCCTGGAATTGGAACAAATGGTGAGAACTGCTACGTTTTCGCTTTGGTTTTCTACTTTAGTATAGTGGAAATAGAGACGCAGCGGGCTCACAGGGTCTTGCAGGAATTCAAGATGCCGACCTTCTTAAGCTTGTCAGGGACAAGTGTTTACAGACGGTTTGGATGCCATTACTTTTGATGAGATGGACAAGTCGCACGCAAGGCCTAAAAACGGCATGACAGGGAGAAGTGATCTGACCCCACTATTTCGACATTTGCGGTATTGGTCGGATCGCTATACTTTGGAACGAGGCTCTGTTGGCAAAGCGTGGAATGCCGAGTGCAGGTACAAGATCTGCTCGGTGGTACGCACCCCACCCGGATGAAGCTGTCGGGACATCTCGTGCCAAGGTGAGGCTCTGACTGGTCCAATACAAGTTTCTCTCGCAGCTGTACTATTGATAGATGGTATTGCACGGAAAAGAGTCATCGAAGACTGATGAGCAAGCTTGACCGACCCGCTCTTCTCAGGAGAGAACACGAAGCGGTGCACGGATTGTCTCCTGGACCACCAAACATCCAATCACACTCTACCGACTGCATTCGAACAACTTGTGTCGTTGAGACCTCTCCTTCCTGTCTTGGTCGAACCGTTCTAGCGTCAGCCGCAAGTGTTGTTTACTCTGTGCTCCTCTTTCCATCTATTCTGTTCGCACAGCTACCGCTTTGACCGCCAGTGTCAGCTGCATATTGGCAACTCTTGTGTGACCTAAACGGGCGTGTGACCTAACATTCGAGCTACCCGGGCACATAAACTAAAAAGTCTAAGCGAAGTACTCACGTGCTCCGCACCCCAACCCACCATAACCACCTACCTACCCCACCCGTTTCCCGGGCGCCTATCTTAAGTCACACGCCTCTAAAGTCACACGAGGGTTGCCAGAGTGTCAGCTGCTCTCTTCTGCTCTGACAATCCGTTCCGTCCAGGCGGCACGCTGCTCCGGGCGGCATGTTGGTGGTGACGTACATCGACGAGGAGAAGCGCCTGCCGAGCGTCAGCATCGTCAGCAGGATGAAGGGCGAGGAGACGTTCTTCAAGACGGGCAACGTGGAGAACGCGCTGTACAATGCAGGTATGGTCCGGCATTTCCTGGTTCAACAATCATACCAGCAGAGACTGCGACTGGCCTAGTAGTTTTGGTTCGGGGGTGTCAAGACCTCTTCTGGTGTACTCTAGATTACTGGGTGCTCGATACGGATGGTACGTTGAGGCCGCGGGTAAAAAGAAAAACCCAGTCTTATGAAGATTGTTGCCATTGCCCTGCACCGAGACAACGGGGATTCCGTGGAGTTTAGAGGAGTATTATGGTCAAGTGTCTCCCCTTCAAAAAGACGCGTGTCTTTGAGACAAAAAGCTCCCGGATCCCTTCAGGGTCAATGTGAGGCTGTCGAGAGGGCATTGTGATCAGAACTGTCATGCGCTGCGCATCCTCGAAACAGCATGGAATAGAATCACCAGATATTTCAGACTGCATCCATTTACACGAAATCAACAAGCGGTTACTCTGTCGAACTCCCCCGCCTGTCTGCCACGCGCTTCTGCCGTTCGCCCTTGCTGACGCCCGCTCGTGTCGCCGTCCGCAGCCCTGGAGTCCCCCTTCGTCGCCCTGTTCGACGGCGACACAGAGCCGCACCGCGACTTCCTGACCCGCACGCTGCCGCTCTTCTACCGCTTCGAGCCCGAGACGAAACGGTGGCGCGTCAACTGGGAGGTCGGGTTTGTGCAAACCCGGCAGCGGTTCAAGAACGTCGCGCACCGCTTCGGGCCGGATGACCCGCTGAACCAGTCCAACGGTGTTTTCTTCTCCGCAATCCAGGTGCGTCCATTGAAAGATATCACTCTGGTTCAATTGGGGTTTGGGGGTTTAAGCGTTTACAGCTTTTCCCCTAACAACAATAGCAGTAGAGTTAGTTTCCGCAGTGACTTGGACGGCCGAGGCAATTGAGGCATAATTACCACAAAGCTAGAAAAGGATAAGTACTTCGTCTGAGTGAGCTTTTTAAAAACAGGAGAGGCCACTTTGTGCATGTTATACAGACCTCTATCTTCACACCCTTTTCACTCGGTTGGCAGTTTCTTAAGGACGTGTCTTTACTGGCTTGCTCTTTGCGTGATGCAGGCGGGCCGCGACGGGCTGGGCATGGCTGACTCCTTGGGAACGAATGAGATCTACTTCAGACCTGGTGAGACCTCATCAGGATCGGCACAGATCTTGATTCAAAAGCGCGCCCTCGTCTTACAATGATATCGATTCTCAATTGAGATTCAAAGCGTTCTTGGAGAGATAACACTGAACCATCCTGAAAAGCACATAAGCTGTGATCAAGTCTGATTCTAGAGAACCCTCGTTTCGTCTATAAGCAACCAGCAAATACCTAAACTCGTATAGGTACGACTGATTTTTCATGGTGTCGAAGACGATCACTCTGAGCGCAAGGTGTCAACGCAACGCACCATTTTCCGTGACTCGCTCCCCCTTCCACCCCCTTACCAAAACGGAACGTGGCCTCCGGTCAAAGTGCCGTTTGCTGACGTTTCCTTCGTCCTTCAGCTCTGGATGACGCACTCGGCTTGGTGTACGGCCCGCTGTCTGGAGACCTCGCGACCGGGGTGAAACTGCACAACTTCGGCTGGAAGGTGGGTATGTCAAAATAGACACCCTAAAAAGAACCCACTCGCTTGCAGAGCAGAGCACTTTCAATGAAACCTTCAGTGGGCGTGTCTCTGAGCAAGAAACGACCAATGTGTGTTGACCTTTGTTTCAAAACACGGATACTCAGCTTGGAAGTACCCGTTGGAGGGGAATTCTTTGCGCAGTGGTTTGGCTGGAGTCGGAGGTTCCTTTGCGCGGGATTCAGCAATACAAGTAGCCCCTCAGACTTTTAAGAAAGACATACTTTTCTCAAGTGCTGCCTTTTCTCGATCTAGGAACGAAAGTATCTGGGTCTGCGTCCTCATAACCTCAAGCACGCTGAGCTGTAAACGCTGCCTTTATAGTTCTCTTGGGTTTCCTTGACGTCAGCTTTTTCTTTGACTGCAGGGCCTGTACTTGAACGCGGTTCTGGCGGAAGGCCTTTGCCGGAACACTGTCGGAGACACGCTGCTCGAGCGGAAGAGATGGGTGGTCGGGTAAGCTTCCAAAAAAACACTCAATGCTTTTCTGAGCTAAGCTCCTGATGGCCCCATTATGACCCAGATGCCCTTCCTGAACTCGCGGCCTCAACTGAGTCCCGCTGTTAGCATTGTTCGCGTGTCTCCTTTTCTGCGAGAAGCGCGAAGAGCTGGAAGGAACCCTTTTCATACTTTGCAAGGTTCCTGACGGACCGGACAGCATGGGTGATTGTAAGATAGTACGGTCAAAGAAAGCGGCTCTTGCCCTTGAACTCTCCAAAACGCCGAAAATCCATTCCGCAGGTCCATCCAGATGCTCTTGCTGTCCCTCAACTGGCGCGCGCTCTTCAGCGCGCGCTTTCTGGTCGCCCCGCTGCGGCTCCAGACGGAGGCCCGGCTTGCGGCGCTGTTGAAGCGGCCCGAGCGCTTTGTCAACCCTCTCGCGGATGACGACGTCGGCTACGAGGCCCGCCAGATGCGCCGGGAGTCCTTCTGGATGGGCGTCGCGCGGCGCGTTCTGTTCCTGGAAACGGTGAGCTGTCATCTAGTTGTGGGACTCAATCTTGAGAAATCTGGGGAGCCGCAAGCGGCTGGGACGCCCGGTTGCAGCATACGGACCGAGCGCTTGATCTTGGGATCGACAAGCTGGTTGAGACGTTGCACGCGAATGGTGCAACGCTCACTTGGTACGCAGCGACGAAAATGACACCGAGCGGATTTTTAAACGTTCACTCTCAGAACTCATCCGGGTCAGTAGTTGCGGCTGGTCACGCCCGTATTAAAAGCTGCGGCTAATGTGACAGCCGTACAGAGGATCCTTGCTTGACGTTGACCCTTGTTCCACTGTGCTCTATCCTCGCAAATTCCATGTTCACTCGTGCGGGTGCAGCAGAACCCCAATCAGGCCTACTGACTTCCCACGGAACGAAAAGTACCCAGCACTTTCTTTTTTGCATTTTATAGACTCTGAGGCCGCTGGGATCGCTCGTCGCCTTCGCCATGATTATCCTCGCCCTCGTCTTCATGCTGGGCAACGTGCCCCCTCTGCGGTTCTTCCACGAAGGTGAATCGTGCTTTTGAAAACAGCTTCTGCCGCTTCTTCCAAGTAGTCCAAGTAGTCTAGAGACTTTTGTCCGCTCGGACAATCTGCCCAGCTTTTATTTGCGGCGGTTTGATGTAACGAGATATTGAGAAAATGGGTGGCAATGCGACTACTCCGAAGAAGAACTACTGCTTCTAGTAGTAGTAGAAGATGATGAAGAGATTTGCGAATGAGTAGCTTCTCCATTTTAGCTATCAAACCCCAACATGTCGATAGACTGCCTAAAGTGGATGTGTCGTTCCTGCAGGAGGAGGTTGGACGTACGGACTTATTTATCTGGGCATCGTGGCTTCGTACCAGGTGAGGAGCAGTCGTTACCTGAAGAAAAGCAGCTAACGAGTTCTGGCCCAGGACCAAAATGGCCTTGTTTTATCAACCTGGGTATCTCGTGAAATCAGAATCCACAGCGGTCGCTTTGACTTGTGTGACTCGTGGTTCGCAGAAATGCGGCGAAACAGGTCCCAGATTATCGTACACGTTCACATGCCGCTGATCGAAATCTCACGATTCAAGAACTGCGATGCACAATCTTCAACTGAAGCTTGTGCAAGAGCGCAGTAAGCTTCTTCGTTGACAATGTTTGCCGGCGCCCTGTCAAGATGTTTTCTGCGCCCCTTGCACGAGCTTTTAAGAGATTCGTGGGCCGTTCAAGGGCTTGCGCGCTCGGGCGTAGCGGAGTCTTCAGATCCTTTTCAGGTAATGCCGCTACAATGCACAATGTTAGCCGAAATCTCCGGCTTCGATGACGCACCTACGCACAGGCCAACCTCAGAATAAGCAGCTCTTACTGTCAAAAACGATCCTTTCTCGCGCTGATGTTGTTACTAAACCCCTTTGCAGTTTCTGCGGCTGTTTGCCATCTCCTTGGGTTGCTACAGCTTGTTCTTAGACGGCACTTCCGGGCAGGACGTCTGGCGTGAAGTCCAGGGCTACTTTACCTTCGCCTGGGTTTCCGCGCTCGGTAAGTTGCCCCGGTTGATGCGGCCCCCGTGTGCCTGCGGCCTTTCGGTGCTCCGTGGAATGCCCCGTCCCTCGCATGATATGAATCTGCCTGCTGGTCATGTCGTTTGCTTTATGCTTCCTGGAAAGAGCGGCGCGAAGCTGTGACTCGGAAATACAGGGGGTTATCTGGAGCTTTACAAAAAATTTGCGGACTGGGCGTCATCTATCAAAGCCCTGTGCTGTGATTAATTTCTTTGTCAGAAACCACATCGAGGATAAACCGAGCAGAGGAGGAGTCCATATCCAAGCACCATGTTCCAGTTCGGCCTCCCAATCTCCGCTAGGATTCTCGCCGTCCTTGGCAAGATCTCAAAGTCACTCTTCAGAAAAGCCATACAAACAAGACACCGCACGAAAGCCATTCAGGAAAAAAGGAGGATATTGAATCGACATTCGCCGACAGTCAATGGATAGCCGCACCCTTCAAAAATGCATCGCATCCGCTCAAACGACCGCAGCTGGGGGCTGACGCGCTCGCGCACAGAATGTAAAATTCACTCTGTGTGGCGCGCAGGCATCGTGGAGGCGGTCGCGGGCGCAGTGTCAGGCCGCAGGATCCAGTGGGAGACGCAGAAGAAGGGCCTCCGCCCGCTGGCCGAGCTGCCCAACGTGTTCCTGCTCTTCGTCCTCTTCGGCAGCATCTGCATCGCGTTCGTCAACATCTTCGTCAAGGTGGGATGACGTCAGCGGGCTCCAAATGGCCTCCGCTTTAGCCTCGTTAGTCTCGGCTTTCCTGCGGCTCCGACTTTTCTCTGGTGATCGTCAGAATCTGCAATGCATTTCTGTCCCTGCAAAACCTTATCTGCCGCCGAACAACGATGGAGGCACTCGGTGCCGTTGCTTGTGTAGGTTTTCTGTGGATGTGCTTATGGGCGAAGCCATACCCTTGCACCGTGGAAGCTTCAACTTGAGAACCCACAGAAGCTTGACTTTCTTTTTCCCGCAAGGATCCACCGCGCGCCGAACAGCTCCCTAGACGCCGTCGGATACGGCGTGCTCCTGTGAGCGTGCATCCGGCTCACAGTTTGAATTCACTTGGCGGAATGTATTTTCAAGTTTTAAAACCCAAATTCTCGCCTTTCACATAATCCCTCAAGCTAAAAAGCATTTTTGCTGAAACCTAGACCTCGACACCGGCGTTTCTGCAGGGATCCACCGAACGCCGGACGACGATGGACTCCATGGATGCCGTCGCACACGGCATCTTCCTGTGGGTGTGCATTTGATCCACGCCCTTTGAAGTTTCACCTGAAAAGACATAAACCAGAACCATAAAAATGGCCACCTGAAAGCAATGAAGCCCGGATACCAAGATTTTCTGTTCCCGCAGGGATCCACGGAACGCCGGACAACGATGGACTCAATGGATGCTGTCCCGTAAGGCTTCTTCCTTTGGGTGTGCATCTGGCCCGAACCCTACAAATCTTAACCAAAAACATCTTCACTTCAATTTCAAGCCAAACCCCCTCTTCTCTGCAGGGATCCACCGAACGCCGGACAACGATGGACTCAATGGACGCTGTCGCGTACGGCGTGTTCCTGTGGGTGTGCATCTGGCCGTCCACGCGCTGCACGCTCGCGGCGCTCGCGCGCATGCCGCTCTGGTCGTTCAAGATGCCCAAGTTCGTGTGGACCGCCGCCGGAATCGTCATCGGAATCGCCATCATTTCAATCATGGGGCGCTACGCGCAGCCCGCGCCGAACATCGGCGCGTTCGAACGGAACGACTACCCGACGGGGCCGATCATTGGGCCGGTGAGCGCGCGCGCGGAAAAAGTCTTAGTTCTTCTCTGAATGTTCCTTATGATCATGGTGCGGTTGTAGAGCATAATTTTCTGGACTTTTTGTCACTCTCACAGGCAAGTACTTGGTCCGAAGAAACGAGTTTGTCCGTTTCATCTTCTCGGAAGAAGATGACCACTCGCTTTGGTCTGACAAAATAGCACCTTTCGCTGAAGCTGTGGCACCGTTTTTCTTGACTGGGTGTGAACTACGCGTTCCCGACAGATTGCAACGTGGCGCTTTCGCTTCTGCCAGCTTTCGTCAACCTTGCAATCCTCTTCCTTCAGTAGAGCACAAAATTGCGCTCAAGTAGAACAGGAGAAAGCGAAGACGTCTTCTTTGCATGCTCCAGGACGGCGTCACAATCTACCAGAACGCGAGCCTGGCTTTCCAGACGGTCTTTTGGGGCCCCAACAAGATCTTCCTCCCGGCCGATGCGGCGACATCCACGTACGACACCGGAGGATACGTCCTCGTAAGTGCTCGTCTATTGTATTCCGCGCTTCACTGTTGCATGCCCTTGAAAAGATACTCAACCGTTCATTAACTAGCTTTGCGTGCAAGGATGCTCGAAATAATTCTCTTAGAGCCTGGACCGAGGCCTGAATGTCGAAAAAGAGGCTTGGAAAAGAGTTTGCATGCATGTGAATGTAATGAACTTGGAAGTCGAGCTTCTGATTAGCTGCCTCAAAAGGCCGAATCGTTTCTTCGGCTCGCGCCCTAAAGTACTGCTTTATCCTCAAGTTCTGCATGAACTTTCCGCCCACTTACAACGCGCAATATTTGACGCCATTCGTTGATCAATGTTATATTCGGTTTGAAAAAAAGGAGGCTCATCAATCCCAGACGTGCTTTCTTGTGTATAGGACTCTTCGACTGGGCGGGTGTCTTCGCAGCTTATGGGATACGCGATGATGATTGCAGTCCAGCTCAAGTAAGCCGGCTCTTTCCTCTACGAACTTCTGCATTACTCTGCCCCGATGAATCAGGCACTGCTTTTCTTCCGCGTATGGCCGAGTCGTCGGTGTTCAGGCCAGGCGCGGCTTTTACGAGATGTTCGTGCATTGTCTCGCCAAGGCTGAGATGCCGGTCAGTTTCCCATTACTAAATCAAGGGTCCGCGTCTTCAAAACGGTACAGTTTCCATTGGGTATTCGAAACTATGACCTACTGCTAAACCTAAGGTTTGCTTTGCAGCCAACGAACTGAGTTTGACGCACTCTGGAGGTGGGTCCAGTCCAACATGATGCCTCAGCCCCCGAGCCCCTACTACGGCTATGTGGCTTCGCAGGTAAGTTACACAGCGTCACACATGGTTCGGAGATCCAGCTATTTTGAGTTTCTGCGCGCCAATCTCGTATCATCATCGAGGAAGAGTGACCACATGATGGTTTGAGATCATCGTGAGCATATGGTTGATGTCTTGGAATATGGGGATGCGCTCATTCGACGACGCTCCGATGGAACTCGTCCTGAGGGCATGGGGTCCTTAGGCTCGTGAACAAACGTTCCGTTTGTTTCTCTAAGTCCATATGAGGAACTCCCACCCGAATCGTTCACGCTCACAATACCTTAACAAATACGTAGCTGGACGTGACTGCAAAAAACTGTTGTAGGGATCTGAAACAGCTCTTACTCTTATCGAACAGCGCCGGTGTCGAGCCTCTCTGAACTCTGAAATCGACTGACACGTCTGTACTGCCCATCCAGGTTTCCCCGGACGGCACTATTCTGAACCCCGCTCCTTTCCCGGACGCGGAGCAATACATGGCGACTGCGCTCATGTTCGCTGGGTCAAGATGGCAAGCCCTAGGTTAGTCGGTCTTTCCAAGAAAGCACTCACGTCGCGGCTTTATCTCCTCATATTATGTTATAATATCATCAAGTCGATTCTTCAGAACTTCCGCGATCAAGCCTCGATTGGCGATAAAAGCTGTCGGGCCTATACAGAGTCAGTCCGCGCTTACTTTGCTGTTTCTTTTTTCTGGGGTAAAACATCTGATCATATCCTGAGGCCCTGCAAGTGGGTCAGAAGCTGCGGGCGGCAGCCTCTCCTGGCGATCGATACAAACAGGTATTGGCAAACATACTGGGGGCTCGTATGCTGAGCATCATGTGGGCCTAGGTCAGCCTCAATAAGGGCTTGTTAATGGCACAAGCCAAGGTTCTGCTGCTAAGTCTAACGGATCCAAAAAGCACCTAGAGGCCCGGTAAACTCACCACAGAGATGAACACGAATAAAAGCTTTGAGGAATATAGTCTTGAGTAAGTAATGAGTAAGAGAGTCTCGAGCAAGACGGTGCTTGAAGAGCGAAGCGAAAGTGTTTGGCTGACGCGCACGATCCAGAACCTTGCGGCAGGCGCACAATCAAGTTACTTTCAAGCAGACTCCGGTCTAAAGACGACAACGCGTGTTGAACGGAACGGGATTCCGGTGCAGGGCCGGACGGAAGCGGAGACTACCGGCAGGCGGCGTACGACATGCTGGAGACGATGCTGTACACGCAGCGGCTCAACGCCAACTTCGCAAACTCCACCGACATGTTCAACGGCACGTCGCACCTAGTGACGTACCAACCGGACCCCGTGACGTGAGTCTGACGTCATGGAGAGCTTGCCTGGCGCGCTGCAACGCTTGCCAAGCTGGAAGGCGGGATTCGAACGTGCTGAGCAGTACGACACAGGAACGATGCTGACGGATGCTGGGTTGAACGCTTCTTTGGCTTGGAGTTCTGACGGGTTTTGGCGACAACCGCTGAGAATGTCGGAATCTACCTACATTTATAGTCAGACTGGTTGTCTGTAGTGCTCCGGACAATTCTTCTAAAGCTTTAAGATTCTGCTTGCTGTCGACAGCAAGCCCCGCTAATCAGCGCGCGCGTAGGATCCGGCTGAAATGACTCAACAAAAGAAAGATTCTACAACATTAGAACAGACATCTGATTCCGAGGGGTTGACACCCAAGCTTCGCCCTCTTGTTGCTCAGGCGTGCTTACATCCGCACGGCCACTCTGAACCCCGCATTCTACGAGGTTTGGCGGCGCTTCGCGCCCAAGCGACTCGGGGCGGGCGTCGGAGGCTTCTGGGAAAAGGCACGTGACGCTGCACGTGTCCTCCTTAGGTACGCCTGACGAGCCCTTTCATTCAGCATAAAAGACCTCATTTCGTAATTTCCGGAGAATTGCTCGTTTCATTCACCATACAACATTTTCACGTCTTCTTTGCAGCAGATACTCTACTTCGGATCTTTCTCTCTAAGAGAAAGGGAAAGTTTGCAGGCTTCCTCCTCGTAGAGAATTTTCGGCAAATTTTGCTGGCTTTGATGGGGATTCAATTATATGAGTCTCATTTCGCTGTATTTGAGATGAAACGTCGAGATTCTGGAAGAGACGAGGTTGATTCTGGTAGCTTGCTCCAAAGCTGCTGGCAGGCGCCCTCCTCCTTCGAAACCAGTCCTCCGTTATATTCAGCACGATCGAACGCGACGCGACGTAAAGTGTCAGGTTTGGTACTTGCTGAAGCATAACCATTTATCTCGCCATACAGTGTGTCCGGCAACTTAAACAGCGGACTGTTTCCGGAACTGGTCAACACGGACGGAAGCCCAAACAAGGGGCCCGACGGCACCGGCGACCAGTGGTCGAAGGACACGTGGATGGTGCAGCCCAACCTGGCGGTACGTCGACATCCCCGCAATGTTTCCGCTGGAGAAAGAGACTTGCAAAGTAAAGTGCGAGACTGAATTGAGGCAAACGATTAAGCGGCTGCAAGTTTTTAGTGTGCGTTTCCAAGATTTTGGAAGGTTTTCAAGTGCCTGTAGTGTGCCTTTTTCCTCGGTCGTTTCGATCATGATGGTTCGCCTGTAACTGTGCGCGACAGGTGTACTGGCGGAATGCCTTGCACCGTTCCATTTGACATGGGTGGTTGCGGTTTTGGAAAGACTACACAAGCCGGCGACCATTCAAGACGGCAAATACGGAATACAAGTTGTCTGCTTCCGTTTCCGCTGCAGCTCGACGTCATCTGGTGGGACCGGAACGGCGCGGCGCTCGACGCGTGCGTGCGGTACACCAACTTCTTGCTGGGTGAGCGGGCGTAGCTTCCCAAAGGCTTTTCCAAGTCTTGACTTCTCCTTTCTAGTCTTATTCGACCTCCAAAGAATCGCGAATACAGGACCCTCGCCGCGCGTAAGCAGTTTCGGACGATCAAATCCTACTTCGAAGAAGCGGTCGGAGGGCCAAAGTATACTGGATTAAGTCTAACACTGTCTTTGGGAGAAATGGGACACGCTTATTTATTTGAATGCCTGCGAGACAAATTGGCCAAGCTCGTGCTCATTTCATGTGCACCCATGCATGTCAGCATCAAGAACTTGCCTTCGGCGATGATACGAAAAACCTGGGCCCTGTTTACAGCGGAGGGCGTCAAGTTCTACGGCATCCGGTACCAGCCCAGCACGAACGCCATGCTGGAACAGGGCCTCAACTTCACCCAGCGGGTGGGGCTGGTCGCCGTGAACGCCATGCCGGCGATCGCGGCGGGATCCGCGGTCAACGCGCAACCCTTTTTCGACGCAATCCAGCAGATCGACGTGAGTTACTGTGATTCCTTCTTCGACCCCACAGATTCCCGTTATTGTCTGCATGAGATTCCGAAGCAGAAAGTTTAAGCGGCAGGAATCATTGAGCTCCCCAGCCTGGGACAGGTGGGGTTAGTTTTGGGTTTTAGGGTGGGTACGGGTGGGGAGCGTGGAATCCGTTGTTCCAAAGTTTTCAATATTAGTAGGAAGCTTGACATGTCTGGCTCTGGTTAATCCTGAATTAGACCGTTCCCTTCTGCGGCTTTCGACGTGCTCACCTAAATTTTGCCTACCGTCTTGCTTGCGACTTATACCTCATGCTGGTTTCAAGGACCGAGAAATTCCCGGGCCTGTGAACTTCTGCTACAATCCCCAGGCGACAGATGCCTCGTTAGATTCAGACGGAAGGCCTGCTCAATCCGCCGTAGCAGCCAGCCCTAGCACTCATGCGTCTCTTGCGCGCGGTCACCAACCTTTGCTTTGTGACAGATACTTGGTAAACCTGTCGCCTCAAGACATGTTTCTTTGTGTTCTTTGTGTTTCATTCCTTGTGAAGGATCCTTTTCTGCTTCCAGCTGGCGGCGATTATGACCGCCACCAACACCGACCGCGCCTTCCACGGCCTTCTGTACCTCCTCGGTCTGCTGACGTCATCGGGCCGATATCGGGTCTTTGATCCCAACTACGGAGCGGGGCCAGAGTGAAAGATCTATCAGAGATGGACTGCCAGGGGCATCACAAACCAGCCGCAAAACGGCACGCGAGTTGTTCCATGATAAGCTTTTATTTATCCAGGTATAGTTGAAGGGCCAGATTGATTTGCCAGATGAGGAGTCTAGATTGCGAAGGGCTTCGATCGGACACTTCCGTGCGTGCACCGGGGTATTTCGCTTTGCACAGCTGCCTCTGAAGGCGGTCGACTGTATTCACAAGAATGATCTGCGGCCAGAGCCTAGGTCACTGTTGCACGTGCCAGGCACTTTACCTTGTAGGTGAAAGATAACCGCTCCAGCCAGGAGCTCAAGACTTTCTTGTCTGCATTGAGTGTCTCCTCATATCAGGTTCTGATGGTTCAGAAACCTTCAGATTAACTTCCTTCGATACGGTGATTCTCTCAGTGCCATGACTTTACCAAGAGTGGTTCAGAGCTATGAGCGATAGTCGAGGGTCTCTAGGGGACGTGCTAGAGCCTGGCTCGATAAGCCTGTTCGAAGCAGAGGAGGCGCATGTCGCATGCGTACATCTCGTCCTGATGCGTATCAAGACTGTGCAACTGTCCGTCCAATAAGTTTCATCTGATTATTTATCTCCACACAGTCGCTGCTTGTCACTAGATTACTCTTGCCCATGCGTGGACGATCCATGAGCAGCGGTCCGGACCTGCCGGCCGTGGCGCAGCCTGCGAACTTCCATGGGAGCGACTTAGAATGAAAGTCGTTAGCTGCCAGCCGGACTTATGCATGGAAGAACTTTAGTATACACACATTGCGGAAGTTTGGCAACCAGTCCGACAGGTGCGCTGCGTCAGAGTCCTGACACGACGCGTTTTTTATACAGCATGCCGTGGAGACGCTTTGAAGAACTGCATCGACTTTGGCGGCGACTTATCTGATGAAATGAAAGAAGGAAAGGATGTCCTCTTTGCTACTGACTTGGCTAGCTGGCTGGAAAAAAGCGAATGCTCGTTCAAACTGCAACTCAGAGAAACTGTCGCGCCACGGTCCGTTTATCCTGAGAGTATAAGAACGGTCGGCCAGCAGATTGATTATGAGTTCTCGACATTAAGAACGGAAAAGATCAGCAATTAGTATGAAGTTGAAAGCTATGCGCTGCGTATCCGCTAACCATAACCACGTCCCTCCAACGACTAGGCTGGTTACTTTGAAACATCACTCACACTCTGTGCATTACGCAACCTCTCCTCTGAGTCCTCTTTTTACTAGATTTTCAGTTTGCCTTTTGCAGACGGTGTCCCACCAGAACTTTTCTTCACCAGCCACCCGATGCAAGGCTGCACTCCAAGCCCGTCCTCCGTCACGCACACCGCGCAGCTCCCTGCAACGAGCACATTGTCCAATTCGCGGCCGTTGTCGTTGATCTTGAACGGACATTCGGACAGCCCTTTGGGCACTTCCTCGTCCTTGATCTCGTTCCCGTTCCGCCGGACCACGTCGCCCAGAATCTTATACGGAAAGAACGCGCAGATCCAGCCGGAATAGATTGTCGTGCCCGGGCCGCCCCCGCTGCCGTAGCGTTCGTATTTGTTCATCACCCGGCTCCACCAGTCCTCGTCCACGTGTCCCTTGTACGTCTCCAGAAGCTTCTCGAGCACGGGGACCAGTGTCTCCAGCCACCAGTCGAGGCCGATGTCGAGCGCGTCCAGCGCGCGCGCTTTCTCCAGCAGGCGCTCCCAGTCGTCGGATGTGCCGTGCAGAGTGACGGACGGTATGCCGCACGACAGGTGAAATCCGTACTCGAAATAGTGCTTCATGATGTCCATCAGGACGATCTGGCTCGCGCACTTGGAGGTGAGGTCTGTCGTGGAGAAGTCGTTTTGAAGAAGCTTGCTGGCGCCGCCCTTAACGCGCTCCTCGAGCTGGTTGGTGATCAGCTGGATGCACTCGGGCCAGTTCAGCAAAGAGCCGTTGCCTGCAAAGTTCGAACCCCCAGAAGTAAGTGCACAGTTTGAGCGCGGAAAGGTGCAAGGTTCAAGCTTTCTGTTGATAATATCTTGCATTTGAACGGGCCGTTCCGTTACCTGTGCAAAGACACGAAAGAAGCGACCTGTAGTGCCGTTGTGGTTGAGCTTTTATGGCTGTTGTAGAGCGTACAATGGATGCATGTATGAGCCCGGAACAAATCAGAATGCTTGGATTCTTGGAACACTGTCGGAGGCCTTGATTGATCTGGCAAAAGCTGCCAACGCAGCTTGTTGAAGTACAAACAACAGCATGAGTCTGGTTGTGGAAGTGTAGCTTTTGAAAATGATGGCTGTGTCTTGATCCCCTTTGCCAGGAACAACGTCACCAAATGAAGCAGAGAAGAGGCGTACTGCAAGTCCAAAGCAAGACTCAAGGTATCTGCTTACTTGCGAACGTTGAGGTGTACATAAGATCACGTTTAGGTGCTTAGTAGCTGCTACTCTCAGTATAATTTTAGCTATAGTCCAATTTAGCTAATCCGCTTCTCAAGTTTATGAATAAAAGGTGAGAGATGATGACGTTTTGGCAATCTCGTAATTTTGTTGCTTGGCGAAGCTGAGAATCTGATTCCATATCAGCAGAACAGAAAAAAGGAGCCAAGAGTATTCTTTACTATTCTTATTCTTCACACCCAAAAATAAAATATCACAGGGTGAACTGGTTATCTGAGACTGTCTAGATATCTCACCTGTTTTGAAGGAGTCAACAGATACCGAGATTTTGTTTTTCCCTTCGTGATCCACGAATACGTTCCTGTACTTCTCTGCGTTATCTTCAAATTGCAGGTGTGCGGAAACTCCTTGAGCAATGGCCAGCCAGATGTCATCCGGCCTCAGATGCAGATGGTGATGTCCAGAATAGGCCAATCTGATGGCTTGTAACAGGCCACTTTCCAGTCTTCCAGTAGCCGTCCTGATCACCTTGGCCTCAGAGCAATCAAAGACCTCAGCGTTATTGTACCTTTCATCTGCAGAGCCTCCCAGGGTCATATGCTCCCGGAGACTGTACACAGAAACTGCACTTTCTTTCCTGGACAGATCGTCCTCCTCTCTTGTCCTGCCTTCCTTCAGTTTTCGCACAATCTTCAGCTTTCTTGCCGCAATTTGAGGTGCAACAACCTGAGTAGACTGGTTGCTGATTTGTTTTGGCGCCATCTCTGTTTCGTCAGCACTTTGAAGCGGCTGAAAGTCCTATATTACCCTGTGTTGGGCCGTTTCAAGACCTGTTCTGTCTGGTTCCGAGCGTTCAGGTCCTACGTGAGTCTCGATCCCCGTTTTGCATCGGGGACCTTCTTAGGCGACAGAAACTTCTTCTGAACAAAGACACCTGCAATGTGCCAATGCGGATATCGTTGAGTTTACCGACTGTTAGAGTTTAAGCTGTTCAAGCTGAGTTGTTTCGAGTGACGTTAATTGGAAAAAGCTTCACATCACACCTACTGTTAATACATCCCTAGCCTGTACATCTGTGGCTTGTTCGCTTGGTTAACAGTTTAATCTCTTGATTGGTGCGATCAGCAGACCTATTTGGGTCTTTCAGGACCAGTCTGCTCGTAGTACATTTATATACCTGCATCTCACCTTTTTAGCTTTCTGTCCTCAGCAAGGAGTCTGCTTTTCTTTGCGCCGGCGGCGCCATATGCCTCAGCTCAGGCCGCCCGGCCGCCTCTTCGACTGCCGCGGGCGCGTTCGGTTGGGCCCTCCGGGCCCCCGCGGGGTTCCAGAGGTTTCTTCCAACAGCCCTCTCCGGCCGCTCAGAAATCTTCCGGGCACCTTATCGGACGGTCCAAAGCTGCCGGTTCATTCTGACGAGCGGCTAGCCCGCGAACTCGAACTCACGAGCTCGGAGCAGGAGGCAGCAGAGCTTTGCCGCAGGGAACGTGGCCACCTGGCTTGGGCTTGAAGTTGGAGGGTGGCAGCTACAACGCAAGACTCCTCGGAGGAGCCTCAGGAGGGGCAACTGCAGGAGAGGGACCAGGAGATCGAAAGGGCAGGACAGGAAGCGGTCCAAATTCTAATAAACATAGGCTGAGCAGCTATTTTTATTTCTGATTAGGCAATAGGCTGCCTGATTACGAGATCAGGTTGTCTGATTGTTCATTGAAAACCTTGAACATGGCCCAAGTGGTGTTGGCAGGTAATGCATAGGGTCTGAGTGTGAGAGCATTTGTACAGCCGCTTGGTAAATATGCCAGGAGTCAGGCAGAGGGCGCCAGCCGCTTTGCCTCCGTACGCACAGTGGTTTCAGCTGGTGGATCCAGGCCTGCTCACAAACAAGACCATCCGGCAGTATCTCCTTGCATACAATGCGGAGCAATGGCCAGAGGTAAGATGCTAAACAGCTCTTCATCTTTGCAGCTTTCCATCCTTTTTTCTGATTCTTGAAACGGCAAGTTCAATATGTGCAGCTTTCATTATTTCTGATGTTGGGATATCACAACAAGACAACCACAGGCTGCCATGATAATGTGGATGTTGGTGATACAATCAATTGTTGTGGTAATTCCTTTGTAGAATGCAGAATGCAAAGCAGACGGAGCCCCTTTGGGTGGCTCTACAAGCACGATTGGCTGCTGCACAAGAAGAATGAAACACTGGAGAATTGCATCCGCTATCTGAATGCAGCACGGCAGTCAGGCTTTCTGCAAAACTCACGTATTCAGAAAATGTGTCGAAAGAGCGTGTATGACTCAGATGCTTCATGTTGCAGGTTGTGAAGCTGACGCTTCTCTATGGAATTCTGTCCCTGCAAAAGCAGTACGGATCTCAGGCGCTTGCGGTGCAAGACCTGCGGGACATCATTGGTAAGTTACGCACCTGGATTCCTGATTCATCACCTATCGCATCTTCTATCTTTCCCTTGTCCATTTCATGCAATTGGTTTAAGTGATATGCAACCTTTTGTGTCATTAAGTGTCTCTGAGGCCATGATAGTCAGTGATTCTCTATTGTTCATGCTGTTGCTTTCACTTATCCCCCATCTTCTGTGTCGTAAGCATCTCCTGAGAGACCATGAGAACGATGCTTTAGACGGGTTGCGAGTACAATGTCCATAGTATGACAAAGTACTGCCCGCAAGGAGCACCTAAAACCGCTGGTCAAGTCCCCTTTCTTCACCTGCCCTGCTTCCATCCTGCCTGCAGGTCAGAACAAGGTCGCGGCCGCCGTCGAGCAGAGCATCCCTGGCATTGAGAAGCAGCTAGCAGACCTGCGGGCCGAGGTGCTCTCATTCCAGCAGGACTTAGGCCCCAATGGAAACCAGGGTAATCAGCCTCCAATCAGACAGCCAATAAGCAATCCCCCAAGCCACCAGCCCTCCATTCTTGAAGCTGAGAATGCCGCCCCCGCACCTGCTCGACAGCAGAGGGTGTCGTTTGCGGAGGGGGTGTCAAGCAGGCCAGAGGTGCAGACTTCTTCGCGCCCCCTAGCTGCTGCTGATCCAAGCAGAGCAGTTCGCAAGGTCGTGAGACGCGCCCCTGTAGAGCATGGCCAGCCAGGGGTGCATTTCCAGAGGATTGACAGGACGCCGACGAGCGGAAGAACGGGGGGAGAGGGCAACCCGCAGGTGCACTTCACGAAAGTGGTCAGGCAGCCGGTTGTTAGGGGGAGGGCTTACATACCGTCAGGGGATGAAGCACTGGCGATGGCGTTGAAGCAGGCGGCGATAGCGGCAGCAAAGATGAATGGGGAGGCGTACGAGCCAGGAGAGGGGGAGGAGGACGAGTCCGCCGTGAATTATCCAGGTAAGGCAGTGCTCCTTATTTGATCCTTTTTGGATTTAGCCGTCCTGACACGTTTCCGGGGAGGTCGCACCAGCAATAAGTTATCCTTCTGAGCTGGTCTACATTACCAGAGTGTACTTGTTCCCCTATCATCCTGTGGGGGACAGGGCAGGCTCTCTGGGACAGCGTCAGACGGAACTGAATCGTGTTTAGACTGATATGAGCAGGGTGTGCTTCATTAAAGGCAGAGTGCTTCCGAACGATTCATGATCCTCTCAGCCTATGTACACCAAGGCGTGGCTGACAAGGTTCTCTAGGAGATTTTGTTCTTTGAATAAGTGTTCTTACAGCGAGCAGGCACTAATGCAACTTCTGTATCCAATTCTGAAGGTCGAAATGGTTGTTCAACTGCAATCAAGAAGAGCTCGATGGGCAAAAACTACCACTTCCGCCTTCATACAGATTGGTACACCCAACACCCCTCCGAACCAAACACTGGGCCCCCATCTGGTCCTGCCTATCCCGATTGGTGGGGCCACGAGGTCTTCGTCCCCCCCCCTCGGAAGGCCAAAAAGGCGCCCCGAGCACCCCCCCGACTGGCATACTCTGTCCCCAGGGAGGATCCTCGGGAGCGCCAGCTGTATGAGGACGACCTGGTTACTGCGGAGTACCTCGGCGTGCCGGGGAGCGGGTACGGGCAGCGCGCAGCGGCGCCACGTCAGTATGTGACGTCAGCAGGTGACATCATCGGGGGCGTTGAAACGGGGCGGGGCTTCGCGGAGGTCGGAGCGGAGGGGGAGAGAAGGCAAGCTGAAGTGCAAACGGTGCCTGTTACCGCGACGGAAGTACGCGGCGCAGCAGTGCCTGCGGTGTCTGGTGTGAATACCCCTGCCAGGCGGTCCGAAGCCGGCGACCAGGGCTCGGCGCGAAGGCAGTCTTCTGGGTGGGTGGCAACGATCCCTGTGTCGGAAATTGGGAAACGGCCCAAGCGAAGAAGCAGTGGAGCGACAGCTGGCGAAAGCGTGGCGACAGCTGGCAGGGCCGCACGGTCGGAGGCGGGCTCAGAGAGGAGCCGGAGGGGAACGTTGGCGGAGGGAGTGGAGAGACGGGTGACTGGGGGGCAAGGAGGCGGGGGAGAATCCGGGGGAGAAGCGGCGGCGAAGAAGAAGGCGCCTGTGAAGTCGAGGGTCCGGGCGGAGATTGAAGCCCAGCGGCGGTACGAGGAGCAAAAGGCAGCGGTGAGTAGCACAAGCCTCAAACGGAGTAGTTTTCATAGCCTTTCCACGTTACGCAGCGGGTCCACTGACGGCGTTGGCCAGGTCATGATTTTGGACCATTTAGAAAGCAATTCCTTTCCGAGACCGTTGTCCAGCCCGCATCCTTTCTGGTCGGCCGCACACTGAGCCCTTGCTTCCTGTTCACTTGCCAGGCGCGTCTCAAGGCTGCCCAGGAGTTGCTTTACCGGCCGCGCCGTGGGACGTCCGAAGAGCCGTCCCCCGAGCAGTCCGCGGCAACATCTCCTCAGTCTGCGGTTGGCCGGATTGCGGACCAGTTCTTGGAGGACCCCTGGATGGCTCACTTCCAAGACCCCGTGGGTTCGACGATGCCAGCTTTTGAGCGGTGAGTACGAGTCGGACACTGTTAAAAACATCGATTATGCTTATTTGATTGAATATGAGTTCTGCGTTGCTACCTTCAGTAACCAGTGCTGAGTTTGAAAAGCCGTTGAAAGGTCAGTGCAGGTAGCTACTTCCGCTTGAGCTGGGCGTTTTGGAACGGGTTGCATCTTGCCAAGGCTGGTGCTTTTCTTGGCGGACTCAATGCCTTTGATTTGGGATGGATCAAAGTCAGGGAATGAGGCTTTGGGTGCGGTGATGAGAAAACTGCGATGCAACTTGAAATATTGCTCGTTCAGGACGACGCTGGCTTTCAAGGAGCACGTACAGTAACCAATCCCTTAGGTTGGATTTTTTGATGCGACTGCAACGGATCCGATCAGGACTTAAATGCGCACGGGATTAAAATGTACGGTCCCCTCAAAGAGTTACCCGGTTCAAGAATGCCAGCTCTTGAGAAGTAACTGGCTGACTTTTTTCAAGAGGATCACACACGGCTTATGCGTCTACAGTAGTTACAAGATAGAAACAAGATAGAAACAAAGACAGTGCTTCTCAGTTGCAATCGCTTCTTAGCGGCGGATGCCATTGTCCGACGTACTCATCTCAAGACATAAAGACAAACACACAAACAGTTCCCGGAACCGACATCAGAGGGAAAGTACTAATCGGCCCTTTGAGCTCTGTAGGTTCGGTCTGGCCGAGCGTTCTCCCGGACCATCCATCGTCCCGTCTGGAACGCTGCTCGCGGCTGCTGCAGCGGCTTCCGTTCTGCTGGGTCGGCGGAGTCCGGAAACGGAACGGTCCGCACGGTCAAGCCCGGGCGACAGCCGGAGCAGTCCGAACCTCAGGTATGAAGAGCCGCAGGAAGCGGCAGAAGTCCCGCAAAACGCAGAAGCGGCTTCTTTGGAGGTGCCAGAGGTGCAGAGAGAAGTTAGTGAGCGCGAGCGGAGTGCAGCGCCTGACGAAAGGGACGTGGAATCTTCAGCCGGAGACCGCCAGGCGGTTGGACGAGAAGCAAGTGCTGATCGGGAGTTGGGAAACCGGGGCGTTCAGGAGGGGGAGGATCTGCCCGGTGACAATCCCCGGGCAGGTGCAGCGGTCGGAACGGGAGCCAGTCCGAGGTCGGAGGCACCCGGGGGGAGTGGAAAGACGAGTGACACGTCCCAGCCGGAGGAGTTGAGGGGGCTGCCGGGAGGGGGCGACTCGGAGGCATCGCAAAGCCCCTCGCTAAGTAGCTTTACTAGCTTCACAACGACCGGCAGTCTGGAGAGCAACTTTCAGAGCACGGCTGAGTCTGGACAGGTTGCTTAGTGCATTGCGAAGGAGATGCAGCCTCACCATGCACATTAGTCGCAATCGAACGGTTGAGTTTGAATATTGGATGACACGCTGCCTAGAACTCGTGTTCTGCAGTGGACATGTACTGTGTGTTTGGCTTCGTTCGATCAAACTTCTACTGCTAAACATTGTGAAACATCTGAGACTGTCTTCCTACATTGGTGGTCTGCTTGTACTTTCTTTTGTGGGCCTCCTCGATCATCCATAATTCTCTCTGTTGAATTTGAAATACCGCACCACATTGCCAAAGTAGTACTTAAATTTGGTTGGCTCTATCCGACTTTGCGTGTGGGCGCCTTTCTTTCGTTGTGCTCGTCACGAACAACCAATGGAAACTTGCATTGATTGATTGTATAGTAGCATGGTGTGCCATGTTCCGAGCCTTAGCACACACTTTTAAACATGGAGTGACCTGCAATTTTGATCAGGTCCCGACTCATGGGCAACATATGTATCAGCCTACTGGAATCCTGCTCTCCGAGCAGATGCAGAAGTCCTGAATAAGAGGCCACCCATGCATGCATTGGCATTGACAAAGTTTAGCAGCTATTTAGACTCTGCATGGGACTTCGGACTGCGTTTCAAACTTTGGAACGCCAGTGATGTGAGGACATGCCGTGCTGCTGTCAGCGAACTCAGCATGCACCCTCCTTGCATCGTCTAGCTGCTGCACCTGGAACAGGTGTAGCTCTGGAGTCTGGCTAGGTGAATGCCTCGCAGATGCTGCTCATTGGCAATATGCGCATGCATGATCACTTTACACGAAAGACGTATTTTTGAGTTGAATACCAAGGGCCGTCTTGACTAACGGGAGTGCCCGGGGATGGGTAGGGTTGGTAGGTGGCGGTTAATAAGAAGGGTACGAGCGCGGAGCACGTCATTTTTCTTGGTTGAGGTTCTTGTTTTCGATTTTAACCTGAGCAGAGTCCGGGGTTATATCTAACTAATATTGCATGACCAAGAATGAAAAGTCAACATGCATGAGATCGTATGATTGGCAGGCTCGGATGATGAGATGATCCCCTGCTAAACTTGTAAAGCCAGGTGGCTGCTGACACCATGATGCACTCATCCCATGCTGCATTCCCAGGTGTATTGCGACACCTCATACGAATCAATACAGGCATAAGGCCCATAGCCTTGAAAGGCGGAAAAGGGTGAGATGTCACGGCATTTTGAATTGGAGTTTGGGGCGCCTTAGAGTTTCTTTCAATGGTCGCAATCAGTCGGCAGTCTCTGACAGGAAGCTAATAGCCTAGAATAACATCGCGCCTTCCGCATTGGGACAGCCCGGGGATGGTGTCCGCCCCGCTTGCGTCGCTGCTGGCGGCGGGCTTCGTCCTTATTGCCCTATCCCCGCAGATCCCCCCTGGTGCCGACCAACTTTGCGGACAGGCGGGGCTTTTCGGGCAGTTCATGTGCGTGATGAACACCGGAACGGGCGCCAACCGGACCTACAGCAGCCAGGTGCTCCTGTCCGCGCGCCAGCTGGCGGACAACACGACAGCTGTCGACCGCATTTTTGGGGCGGAGCCATTCCTGCGCCCGGATATGGTGATCACTGCTGAGGGGACGAGGGCCACATTCCTGAGCGCATCCAAGGGGCTTGCAACCGTGTACCTAGACTTCTTTATCTGCTCGGAAGAGACCTGCAGTAGCGTTGCGGATTTGAAGTACTTCCAGGACACGGAGGGGGAGCGCGGGGTTGGGTTTCCGATTGGGGTGGTTCCGCTGACAAACCTCGCGGTGGGGCTTCCTGTGGGGCAAGGCGCACTCGGCGATGCGGTGAATGTATCGGTGGATCTGACGAGCGAGCGGTTATCCCAAGGGATCACGAGTGCCGTGCGCTCTTATCAGCTGCAAGGGTCGCTTCCGATAAAGCAGAGGCCGCTAGTGGCAATGGCAGGAACAAGGGTCACGCTGGATATTCTGGCGGACTTTCTTTTGTCTGAGCCAGGAGTCGGGGTCGCAAACCGGGCCGTGCAAGGGGCGTGCACTTTGCTCATATTCCCGGACAGCCCCTGGTACCGCCAGTACATCCTCCCCAGCTTTCCCCTGTGCGTGACACCAACACAAACCCTCGCCTTATTGGGCCTGGACGACGGAAACTGGTGTCAATTGTGCGACGGCTTTTCTATCAGCGTTGTCAACTACCAAGCGGGCTGTTACCTGTCCAACCGAGGCACATGTGGCTTCCTGGACTACCCGCTTGTAAACCCCGAGGTGGGGGGCTGGACCCTCAATATGTACAATCTCACCTCTCCTGCCGATGGCCAGACACTTTACAGCGGGGACCAGGGAACTTACACCCACCCCTGGACTGGTCTGCTATACAACATTCGTGCGGAGGGGAGGGCGGCAGCGCCAGCTGGCTGCAACCACACCGGGCGGTATACGTGTGTTGGGGACGGGTGCTCTACAAAAAAGCCGTTCCTCATGACGTGTCCCGCTGCAACGCGGACGGGCGGCTTGAGTGGCGGGTTTGGGGCTCTCTTGTCGACCGCAGAGTACTCCTGGGCTTCAAGCACGAGCTCTTCGCTCGGTTCGTTCTTTGGGTACGAGAGGTTGAGTGTCAATGGTCTCGGGAAAGTGGTCTCTGCTGCGGAGGACTGGGGTTTCGCGATCGCGAGCAACGTGGTTAAGGACACGGTGATCTACTATGACCAGGTTTTGAGCACCACTGGGTTGGTCACGACGTGGTTAACGACGTTAATCGCGGTTGTGGGCTCCTGGGCTGCTTATCCCCAGATCTCAGCCTGGATCTCGAGAGCGATCGGAAGCGCGCGGGGCTGGGAGGGCTTTCTGGGGAAAGCTTTGGCGGGGGTCACGACAATTGTCGCGACCTCAGCCCCGTTAGTAATCGTTATCGCCACCCAACACTCTCTTAGTGTCAACAACGGGCGGCGGGTGCAGCACATGTACTACCAAGCAGCTTATGATGCACCCGGGTATGGCGCATACAAGTTGGTTGTCCTAGCCCAAGTAGATGCACGCGCAGTAACCACCAGATCAGCATACTCTCTTGGTTTGCCACTGCTCGCCGCGTTGCTGCTTTTCGATTTGGCGGCATGGATTTTGAGTGAGCGGGTCATCAATCAGGCGGACCAAGAGTTTCATAAGTTAAAGAGTGCGTTGAGCATGTCAGGCCAGGACATTAACCAATTCGAGCGACTTTAGAAAATCAGACACCCGTTCCTATTAAGGTTCTGCTTCCGGATTTAGCTAGCATTTAGGCACACATGTAAATGAGACAATCAACATTTTGAGCCGAAGTTCCAAGTCGAGTTGCATATGATACCAGTACCCATTCACGTTAGAAGTGTGTTGCCTTGAAAGCTCGTTTCACATGCTAGCAATCTGCAATTGTATATGCACGGTTTGTTCGTCTGATCTTGGGCCGGCCAGAAGCAGATCCGGCACTTTATCCACCACATCATCATGCAATTGATCGATCTCCGCAATGTACACACACCTAATTCATGCATATGCCCTATGAACTAATTGCATGCTAGCAAGCTATACATAAGAAAGAAGGGATCTTATAGGATCGTCCACATTACATGCACATATCCAAGCCTTACCGCGCGCGGTCACGGTTGTCAAAGCTCTGTCACATGTTCTCCCGCGGCTAAGTGTCCCCTCAGTAATCTCCTACGGACTTCATTGAATATGTCGGCTATAAAAGCTGCCGTTGTTTATGGGTCGAGCATACACAGTAAAAGTGGTGCATGGTAAACATATTCTGGTTGCAGCAAGTAAGATTACATGAATGCACTACAGTACCTATTTGCTATTTCAAACGCGCTTGTAAACATAAGAAGACCACCTGAGTGGACGCGCAGACGTGTATTCGTAAGCAGATGACAACATATTAGTACATTTTCTCAAGAGACTCTTCAAGAGACTTCAAGTGGTTCTGTACAATAGTCGAATCTGTGGCTTATCCGTTGTGATTTACGCGTCAATCGACAAGACATTGATCGTCTCGTCGCCGGTATGCTTCGGATGTCATTCTGCTCGCTTGTGGTGACGGTTATCACTCTTACTAGCTTAAACTTTCCTACCCTCCTTCTATCTGAACAAACTAAAGCGCCTACGATTTCAATATCTGGACGCCCCAGCACATCAAACGAGGGACCAGATGCGGCGACACTTTTAACTGCCGCTTCTAGCGAAAGTTCGCCAGAACGTCATTTCAAAACCGCAATTCAGCTCTAATCGTGCTTCACTTCGACATCCTTGGTCTCGTGCTTGACGGCCTCCTCTTTCTTGGGGACCTTCACCTCCAGCACTCCATTGTCGAACTTGGCCTCGATCTTGGACGTGTCCGCGTTGGCGGGAAGCCTGCAGATGACGACACGTGGTACCTTTTGGAGCGTTCTAAAAGCGCTCCACCGTTGGGTATTTCAGCAAGAAGGATGCGCTCAGAAAGGAAGCTACCAAGAAACCGGCAGGCGTTGAGAGAGCGGACGGAAAGAAGTCGAGCAGATCAAGCAACAGTGTCTGGCATGAAACTGGCCGTCGAGAGGTCGCATGCCGTTCCAACTTTGTACCTCAAGGCGCAAGGGGCTTTGAAATCGATCAATAAATTGAGCATTTTTTTGCGGATCACGGCTGTTTTGCCCTCCAATCCTCTGGGTGGCAGTTCAATCATCTCGCTCGTGTAGAGCAGGCACTCTCATAGTAAGCAAGGGGAACTAAGTAAACAGTTATTTGAGGACTAAATCAAGCAGCAGTTTCGCACATTGCTATGCTTAGAGAGGACCATCAGCCGACGCGCAGGGTGTAGAGAAGCACTAAAAGTGGGTCAGAAAGAATCCTCGAAGGGATCCTTTTCTCTCAATGACCAGGCCCGCTGAGCGTTTATGAGCGCAATAGTCTTGGGCGAGCTTTTCGCGGCCGCACCTGAACTCACACTCGAGGACGTACTGGAATCCCTCAGAGGATCTCTTTATGCCCTAAATTCAATAAGTTGACGCGCTCGTTGTAAACTCACAGCCGAGTACGTCACTGAAAGCAAAACCTTGTGTGCCCAATCTCAAAATCCGAAACCCTCTGACGCGCGCGTCGCGGCCGCACCTGAACCGGCGCATGAAGAAGTCGCCCCGCTCGGCGCGGTGGAAGGTGAAGTCCTGGCCCTTGGGCGTCGTGTTGCGCTCCGCGCGAATCACCAGCGTGCGGTCCTGCTCCAGCTGGACCTTCACGTTCTCCTTGGGAACGCCTAGAGAGTTACGGAAAGCGGGTTGCGCGTGCGCGAGCGCTGTGATCTTCTTGAAGTTACGCTGCTGAGGCTTCCGGCGGAGAAATCACTCTTCGTGTTAAAGCACCCAGCTTTGACTACTGCCCACAAGGTAGAATCTGTGAAACAAAGAGTCCTGAACTAGGCGCTTCGATCTTGATATTACATAAGGATATCGCTTGACGTTGAGGAGCCGGAGTCCAATCCGCTGCCCTGCGAAAGTCTTCTAAGGATGTCTATCGTAGGGAGCAACTTCGGCAAAAACAAGTCCTCTGCGGTACATGCTATGGGGGCCATCCTGGCCCGCAACGTTTCCGAAATTGCTGGTACGGAGCGGCATGCATGTAGTTCCAAGTCGTCTTCTTTTATTTTGGCCAGGATTTGATAATGTTTCTCAAGTATCCAGATCGAATGAAGAAACGACACTTGGAACTAACCTACGTCAATATGTTACATTTTCAGCTGCCAACCCCTTCGTAACTTCGCTTGCCTTCTCGAAAGCTCAAATTGTTGCAAGTAGCCAAATCTTAGGAGAGATGAAGCCCTGAAGGAGAGAGAAGCTGAAGGGCAAAAGGCCTTCAAAGAGCCGGAACACTGGAGAAACGAAAGATTGGGGATACGAACTCGGTTTAAAAAGCTGACTTCCTCGAGAAACTGAAAGCTGCGAGTGCTGAAGCATTTTAGAAGAACAAGAGTCAAGGATATAGACGGCCTTTCTCACCAGGCATATCGATGAAGAAGACATGGGCGTCCGGGTACTCCACCTGGGCGACGCAATCTTTGCTTCAGAGATCTCGCAAGAAAGCTCCTTCCAAATCCGCCTTTCGCATCCGCGCTAGACCAGAAGTATGTTCAATCATTTGTAGCATGCTTGAAGCAGATAAAGCTGAATTGGAATCTCTCGTGCTTAGATTTGGAATATCTGGGTAAGCGAAGGTGTTTCTTTCAGCGACTTACTCTCCACAGCTGTCGCATTGCCGTTTCTTGCCAGGCACAAGTAGAAGTGATCTTTGCAAGTGACACTGCTTTCCCTGCTTTAAGTCCTCAATCTACTCCCCAAGCAAGTTATACCCAATTCCCACTAATTTAGATTCCTCCCTCAATAAAGAACAAGAGTATCTTGCACCAACAACCAGAACATCGACAAAACGCATTTCCAATCTCCTAAAAAAATGGCCGGGGAGAGCCCCTCACCCAGTCGACATCGGTGTTCAGGATGGCCCTCCGCTCGCGCATCGTCCTGGCCCACTGGTCGGGGTCGGTGTTATCCCCCCGGTAGAAGCCGGGCGCGCGCGCGCCCGAGCCGTACCAGTCCCCAAAACCCCCAAACCCTCCCCCAAACCCTCCCCCGCCCCACGTGCCCCAGGGGTCGGTGAGCCCGGAAGAGCCCAGGTCGAAAAAGGGGTCCAGGGTGAAGGGGCGGTTGAAGCTACTGAGCGCCATGGTTGCAGTCGAAGCGGAAAGGAGCAGAATCGCGAGAAGAAGAAGAAGAAGAAGAAACGAAGCTCACGCGCGAGCACTTTCTGTCCGGAAAGAAGAGCAGGGCGCCTCAAATTTTCTGGGATGTGGACGCCTAATCAATTTGGCTTGCTTTTTTGCTGAGTATAAAAATGAGCACGAGATCTTGTGGTCACGCTTTGGGCAGAGTCGAGTCGAATTGGAAAGGTTATATTGAAGGTTCAAAACCAGTAAGATTTTCTCTCGGGCTGACGTTTCTGGTTTCCTGGATAAGTCAAACCGAGGAAGAATGCATGACATGCTCACGTGATGGTGACTACGGTCCTCGACCTGCCAGCACAGCGAATACGAGCAGTAAACTCTGTCCAGCTCGGCGATCATCTTCGGTTTTTGATTATTTTCAGCGCAGCTTGTGCCTTAAGACCCTCAGAGTGTATTCTGTAGCAAACTGACACCTGGCACTGCGCCACGGTTCCATTCTGGAAGCTATTCGCCCGTCATGCATGTGAAGCAGCAGCGCGCGCTGCCGCGCATGATCTGACCGCAAATCCGATGGTAAACCTGCATCAGTTTTTGCTTTCTTGATTGCATGGCGCCACAGATCAGTGCACCCGCAATAGTCAGACGCTCTCTAAACGGCTAGAGGCCGGGCCCGAGAGCGGCACATGTGATTGATCTGATCTATTAGTACGTTGCCCGGGGTACGTCGCGCGGGATTGACTCAGGCGCTTGGCGGCTTGGATCGGATTCGTCAATCAAACTAACGGCCAGCCGCGGCAATCATGTGTCGCTTGACGAGCAGCCTCCTCGCTTTTGAGCCTGAATTCAGTGGTTCGATCAGCATGATCGTACAGCATGATGCTCAGCATGAAATTTATGCCATTTCTTGGTCGGCTGTGGATTCACGGACAATCCTTCCAAGTTCAAAGTGAGGGACACGGCTCTCGGGTTTCAACATGGGTCAAATATGCTTATGTGCACACTCTACGCGAGGGTGGAAACACCGACGCACTAAAGCTTGTCCTATGTTTGATTTCTCTACGGCCAATTTGGTGGTTGCATGATTTCAGATGGTTTCACGGGTCTATCACAAGATCGAACACGAGAGCAGATGTTCTGCTCTGCTGATTTGCACCTCAGGCTACATGGCGGCTACGCGATTCCTACCGCCATCCTACCAGCCCGGAAGCGAAAGATGTTTCTACAACATTCGAACATAGCGGGGCCCAGTGACTAGAAGTAAACGGGTTATGAGACAACTGACTAGTGTTTACGGCTTCCGAGGTAGTGTAGAAGTAGTGACGTAACGTAGTCATAGCTAAACCTCAGCTGCAAATCTAGATCTTAGTCATAGTACAAACTCGTGACCACCTCATTTCATGTTTCCGAACTCAAAAGCTCCATGCTTCGGTACGGGCTTGTTAACTGATGTATGTATCGATGTTGCAGAGTGAGAGTAGCCTAAATAGTAGCCGGGCGGGCCACGTCATGCACTCACACGTAAGTTCACAGTTGTTGCTGATGGCTTTTACTGGTCATTGGAGAGCTTCCAGTGATGGAGTATTGTACTTGAAGGCATGCACGAGATGCTCCGCCGGCATGCGATGCGCGCGCCATCAACAATGTATACCAGCTCGCAAGCTAGACCATATCTGTCCAACCCGGCCTCTACTGACTCACAGTAAGCATGTGGTCCGTTGATAGAACATCGAGGCTTTCATCGAAAGCTGCTGTTGTCGGCCATGGTCTGCGATTCTTAAGTTGGCAACATGCTGCAATTAGTGACTCATTGCCGTGTAACACCTGTAGGGCCGCTGCCCAATACAGGGGTCTGCATAACGACTCTCAATTCACCTGAGTACTGACTTCGATATCCACCTAGGCTTCCAAAGGGCTACGATGCAACTCGGTATTGCTAGTCGCTTCGGAAACCAGTGAACCTTGAGAGCTGCCAGTGGGCGTCAACGAGTCGTCGTATCAAAGCGCCCAATAAGGGGTGTGCGCAAACGGAATAACCGGGATACTGTACACGGGCCGCAGGTTCACAACCTGCGTCACTGTTCCTTCAGCAGCTTCGGGGGCTTCGCTGGTAACCCGCTGCTTTCCAAAGCCTCCGCTGCTTTTGCCTGCCAACAAACAGGAAGCAGCCTCGTCATGCTGTTGCTGAAGGCCTCGATCTGAATCGGTCATAACATGCCGTGGTGACGTCACTATGACGTCAACATAATGAGGTTCGAAGGGAGCTGCTTTTAAAGCCCACAGAATACTGACAATCTGATTCCAATGGCCTTTTGGAAGAGAATGTCAATTCACCTATGGCCTTACTCTATTTTTCAAATGCCCACTGAGAATTCGCGTCCAGACAAGAGTCCTCAACAAGACGACAGTCGAAGATAAGTCGCCTTACCTCCACTGTCCGCCTTCTCTTTTTCCGGTATTGCTGCAATCGCTCCTTCAGCAATTTTACCTGGCAATGTAGGAGACAACGGTTGAGCAGGTTCCTTGACCACGGCCCCGAGTACGCAACCGAAGAAGGCAGTGGTTGATTCCAATTGAGAGTTTCTTCTCTTTTCAGAGCGACGTCAACATGACACCCGCCTTCGTCATGGCGCCTGTCGTTGGTTTCAACCAGCAAAGCACACACGAATACCGTACCAGCGTTTAATTTCGTCAGGTTCGACGCCAAATAATTAATTATGAAACGTTTGAGGACTTCGGCAGACCTAATGTTACCTGCTAAAACATACCGTTATCGATCCATTACCGCTTGAAATATATTTCTGAAATTTTCGGCAAGGCCGAACAATAATTTATTTGATGACGAAATTAAACGCTGGTACGGTATATCTTGTCGTTTCAAGGTTTGAAAGGTTGCACGCGGTCTCCCAAGCTGAAAATCAACAGAGCACGGCTGGGGTTCCCGATCACAAACCAAGACACGCAGATTGGACAATCGAGGCCATCCTTTTGAAAAAAGGCGATAAGGTCGAAACATGTCAGCGGAATTCAAAACAGCAAAGGAGGGCACACCTCTTCCAAAGATCCGTTGATGGGTACGACGTCGTTCGGAGCGTACGCCTTCCCGCAAGATGGACAACACGGGTCTGTGACCTGCAGCCAATCACAGACCGATAAGTCAGCAAGCATCAAGTAGAGGAACACTTCAAAGGCTCGAGACGCAACCTGCCCTAGGCTATGAGATCTATGGACTCTTGAGGTCTCATGTGAATTTGACTATGTTCATGGAGACGTTTTCGGTGCCTAAAAAACCCTCGCAACAAGTGATACTCTTTGACTGGTACTCTCTGACGCCCAAATGTTGCTGAATCTCCTCCAAAAGTGGCGTGTAAGCTGGTGACACGAAAGAGTGACGTAAGCACAACTTGGACTCGCAAGGGCTCGGACGGCGCTCTCTGATATTAGGCGGTCTACACCAGTGTTTTTATACAACCCCTGAAGCTGAAAACTGCTCCGACCGTGTTCGGTCAGTGGTTTGGAGCCTTGCCTCGAGCAGCGCCTTTTTTGCAAAGACGTGTCCGCAGCTAGCCAAGGCTGCGAACCTGCGAAGAGTGAAGGGAGACACCAAGTCAGAAAGAGGCTCCACAAGTCCGCAGAAATGCACCAATCGCACCTGAACGTTTTTCCCCACTGCGCTAAGATCGCTCTACTCTCATATAGCTGCTGCCAGTGGCTCACAACAGACACTTCTCGCCATCCCTGTCCTTATCAATCCCTCTCACCTGATGCAAGCAAGGCCCAAAGAGGAAGAAAGCAGGGGTTTCCGGGGCGGGCCAAGCCCCCCTTGGCGACCGGTGGACATTTAAAGTTTTACGAAAAGCGTGCACAAATCTTTCGTAGCTCAGGCCCAAGCGCGACCAAATTGGAGTAGCAGGGTAATGGGCAAAAGAACAACATAACGTAGCCATTTTCAAAAATTGTTTTTTCCGCAAACTCACGGGTGGCGTAGGCTCGGGGAGACGTGTGTGATTGGGCACACCCAAGGAAGATTGTCTCTGGAACGGGCCGCCTCGTCGTCGTTCCGGAGTGGCTCACGCAGCAATTGCACCTCGAAGATGCTCTGCACGAAGAGATGTAAGAATGAGCCCCTTTGTGAACCAGCCAGTATCTTCATCTCGGAAGAAAGCCCGAATGAAGGGCCTTCGAGAGATCTGAAAGCATGGCATGTTGAACGGCGAGCAGAAGCAAACATAGGAAGAATTTCCGTAAATGAAGGGCTCACAAAACTAGACAGGCGAAAAGAGACATTGAGGCGAGCAGATACGATGGAGTCTTTGGGATCTGAGCCTCCGCAACAGAACGGCCTGGTCACGAACGAGGCTGAGCAAGGAACCAATAAGCAGGCGCATGCGAAGACGGGGTCTCCTAGCTCACAGCCCATCAAGGCGATATAGACTTGACAATCGTCAAGGACACTTGAAGTGCTGTTTCTATTATATTTGTTGCCAGACCTTCCAAGTAATACCAAAAGGGGCTGCTGATTATATTCTACTCACCTTGGCCGACTTCAGATGCCCAAAGTCCTCAGCGAATTGCTTCTGGTTATCGTACCGCCACTGCATGAACCAGCACGTCGCTTTGAGAACATACCACTGATAAAAGGCTTCACTCTTGGAAGTTTGTGTACCTGTATCACGACTTTTGGGTTGTCCAACTTTTGACCGTTCGAATGATGGACTCATCTCGTCATGCAAGGGAGCGGGCGGTCTCATGCTTTTGCAAATTTATGCAAATGATCCAGCAATCATGCGAAAACCACACGAACAATGTAGATGTAGAGGCATCCAAGTTGCTATAGCAAGCAAGGGGTGCTTTCATACTGATCTTTCAAAGAGAATTACAATCCGATGAATCTGCTAAGATCGTAGCATAAGGCAAAGATGGAAGCAGGGGTACTCATCGTCCGCACTTCTGACGACCAGAAAACACTTTCGCAGAATTTCTGGCCGTCTTCACACACAAAGAAACTCGAAAGCCTAACCTCGGATGACTCGTCCAAGAACAGGTCGTTCTTAGCCAACAGAAACTCCAGCACGCTCTCCCGATTGTATCTGCAGAGCACATACGAAGAATTTCGTCAGCCTGCTTGATGCTATCCAGTCAGCATTCCCAAGAATCTTATCAGAAATGTCAGCGAAACACTCAAAGCCCGACATGATTACAGCTGTCTCGGAATCTGTCGTATTCCCAGTACAGCTGGACATGATGAGCAGAACGACCTCGTGGGATGACTACCATAGAGGATGAAATCAAACCGATAAAAGGACCGCCCAGGACACTTCGAAAACGTCAAGAGCAAGCTGACTATGGACAAGAGGCTCGTCAAGCGGGAGTGACTCACAATCTTCCAAGATGGCAAGCAGCGATCGGTTCCCTGCAGAGCAACAAACTGACACAAGTGAGCCTCTAGTTCCCCACAGTAATACCATGTCCGACTTCGGTCAATCATGAATCAGACAGAAAAGCGCAGCCTACTTCACGTCACCATAGTTCCGACGAGGCTGTAACGCCCTACGAAATCTGTGTGAGGTGAGGAAGAAGGGCGCAGAAAGTGGAAACTCAAACAGATACGGAAGGGGACTACTATTTCGATACCTGAGGGCCTGACCAGTCAGAGAACAGGAAGACCACTTGGCAACCACTAGATCTTCTGCCGAAGCGGCCTCCCTCGGCGCCACATAACCATCACCAATCTGCAAAGAACAAATGCATAAGTCATTAATGATCCTCCAATGGCATTCCCTGAATGAATCACATCCCTCCAACTCTTAAATGCGGAAAGCTCCACTACCAGCGAGATGCTTTCAGACACGAAGCGGCGGACAAACTTTGCCACATTGCGTCGCTTCTTGCCAGAATGCCACGTTTCGCCTCTGACAAATCCTGCTTTTGAGAGGCAAGGACGCACGCTTTGACATACTGCTCAAAAGCCACGAGCTCATTCCAAAAAGCAAAGCCTCGCCCTTCTAATGAGAAGTAAAACGGTGCGAGTCTTTCACCTGCCCACCCCGTGTGGAGCGACTGCTGCTGTCGGCCTGGTTGACACGCCATGATTGACCACGAATTACATCACTGCGGCTGATGATCGTTCCTCCATCCAGCCCCATGATAAGCTCCAAGTTGCTTCAGATGATAAGATAAGGGCCGGAGAGAAATCTTGGCTGCCAGACTCAAGAGGGAACTGCCTGCAAGTGCTCCTAGACTTTGTTCCTTAAACGGAGCTTTGCGGCACAATGCTGATTTGGCAGCTCATCTTTGTCTAGCCGCCGAAAAGTACGTGGGACCACTTGATGGTGGTGGTGGTACAGCTCTTTTCAAGGCTTTTGTCTGTTATTGGAAGAGAGAAGCTCGAAAGGTCTAAGCTAGCCAAGTCTGAACTGCATATAGCGGCAGCTCATTTCGACGTTCTTTCAAGCTTCCATCCTGCCTGAAGTTAGCAAGTTGCTTGCATAGAGCTGCAGCCGGCTCTCAACATGGTACGTGAATAGAAGTGAGAATTCTTTAGGAGAACGCTTGAGGACTGGCCACACAAGCCACCTAAAAGCCAGCTTAACATAGGGCCCAGCCACCAAGATTTCGACGCTTCATCTGCAGAGAGTGGCTGAAGATTTTCCACAACTTTGAAAGCAGATGCGAGAGCACGAGGAGCCCAAAGCCCAGAATGCGTGGCGCTCTCACCCCTCTCTCACCACAGAAAGAGGAGCTGCCTTCCAAAAAGATCCCCCTGCTCAGGCTTCAAGTTCAGCAGCATTGTAGGTATTATACTGTATTGGCACATTCGTTTTACTCAAAAAACACAATTTGTGTGCAAATTCCATCAAAACCAGCGCATCTCCGGGAGCTTACCTTGGATGTGCCAGGGAACGGCAGGAACGGTACCGTAACGTACCGAGTGGTCGATGCCTTCTTGAAAGGCTGGGCCGTTACCGTCACGTACGGCATTCCTTCAGCATCTCATCAAGGCATAAGCCAAGAGAATACCTGAATTTATCAGCCGAATTTCATTGACTGCTCTACATAGCACGCACTTTGACATGCATCCAGGATGCATCCAGAGTTTGCAGAGCTTTCAAGAGTGCTCTAAGAGACGCCTCAGGACCTGGCGCGCCAGCTGCGAGGTGGACAGAACGAAGGGCAGAGTCACAGAGCCTGAGGTTCGTGAGGGACTGTAATCAGTCAGCCGGGGGGTATTGATCTGTTCCGCCCCGGCTCTGCAGAAGTGGGGAAACACAGTACCACCCCTTGCAGGATATTGGTAGGCCAGGACTCCAATGGCGGACGCTCCAAAGTCTGTTCCAAAGCAGGATGTTGGCATCGGGAGCGCTTCCGTCCAGGGCATTGCAGAAGGCGTTGCAGATGCTGCGTCTAAGCTTGCAAACGTTGCGCTTGGGAAATCAGATATCCAAGGTAAGTTGTCAACTGATGTCAATGCTTTCTGCCGGACATGCAAACTGAATGTGATATATCATTGCGAGACTCTGTGAAGTGCTTTCTGAATGCTATTCCTCGTTCATGCAGATTCAAATGGTTCAACGCATTTCAATGCTGTGCTGATTTAGCATGTTTGCTTTTGAGAGGTGGTTGGAGGGCTCACTTCCAAAAAAGCGCACCACCCTTTACGAGAGTGTTGTGTGGCACTTCCAGTGAAGCTTGGCATGTTCTTACTCCTGTTAGCAGAGCTGTTTGAATTTGGTGCTTGTCAGACTAGTGATTCGATCGGGCACTGCAACGTGAAAGCCAATTGGCAGCTGCTGACCATGCTAATGCTGGGTGTAATGATATCAAAATAAACATTTGATCAAGATTTCATGCTTGGAACTGATTTTGTCCTGGCACAGTCAACTGTGCAACGGTGCGAAAGGAAGCGGAGAATCTCACAACAAGAAGGTGCTTAGCTTGATTCTTTATTGATTTGGACGGTATCTAGACGCCAGATGAGGGAAAGCTCATTGATAGAGCCTTGTGCTTTCAGAACCTACCGCTGAGAAGCCAAGCAAAGAAGCACCGGAGGGCGGCAAGAAGAAGGACCCCAAGGCCGACAAAAAGGCGGAGCGGATGGCCAAGAGAGAGGCGCAGGCGGCCGCCGCGAAGGCGGCCACTTCAGAAGCGGACCCCCTGGCTGGTACGATAGCGACGGGTCTTCTTCTGACATGAAAGTCATGTTGTGATTGTCTCTTGTGATTACAAACTTTATTGAAATCTCTATTCTTCTTGTTTGGGTGCACGTGGTTCGTTCTTTGGGCCCAGGTTGAAGCAATGCTCAAAGTCTTTCAAGTAAAACCATTGTCAATTGGATAAAACCAGGCTGATGCGGCCAGAAACTTGCGCAGCTATGAATTTCTTCGCTCTTTACCCGCTTGTGCGGGCTCCGCTGAAGTCAGTTCCCCTCTTCGGCATCATTGCTAATCCAGAACCGCGTCCCACTCGTTGATCTGCGGAATCCTTCTCAATCCTATCACGATCCCAGGGATGTTGATTCTGATCTCTTGTTTTACTTGGTCTTTTTGCAGACAACTACGGCGACATGCCGACCGTCCAGTCTCAAGCCAAATCCGGCCATAAGTGGACCCCCGTCCGCACCCTCACCTCCGCTCTCGACAAGCAAGAAGTCCTCATCCGGGGGCGCGTTCACACCGTGCGAGCCAAGGGCAAGTCGGCGTTCCTGGTGGTTCGGGAGGGAGGCGCGACGGTGCAGGTTGCGTTTTTCGTCGATGAGAAAGTGGTCAGCAAGCAGATGGTGAAGTACATTTCGGGCCTGAGCAAGGAGTCGATCGTGGACGTGTGGGGGGTGGTCTCGGTGCCGCCCGAGGCGCTGGCGTCAACAACGCAGCAGGTGAGGGGGTCAGCCGGAATGTTGCATCTAGCAGGAGTGGGCCTGTGGAAGTTTTGGAGGGCTGAAGTCAACCTGAGGGAATCCCGTTCGTAAGATAGGAAATCCCAGACCTTCTAGACCTACTAGACCTTCTAGACCTACTTTTTACTACCGTCTAACTACTACTTAAGGTCTGCCGTTGTCAAAGTGGACGATTTAAGCTTACGAAGGTTTGTCGTCATTGATGATGATGATCTGAGACGACGCACCTTCTTGCTCACATCGTCGTTGTGCTTTGAAATTGACAATTCTGCCTTTTCAACAACACCTGAGTCCTTGTGCTTGCAACGTTTTTGATGGCTCATCTAGCTATTTTCCGTGATGGTGTCAAAGTATCACTTTTTAGTACCCTGTAATGCAACACGCAGGCAGGAAAGCCCGTTTGCTGATGGAAACTATCTCATGTATGTTAGGTTGAGTTGAGCGGGCGGAAGATCTATGCCGTGAACAAGGCGACGCCACAGCTGCCCATCAGCGTTGACGATGCTGCGAGAAGCGAGCAAGCAATTGCAGAGGGAGAAAAGGTGAGCTGTGGGTGGCTTCAAGGAGTCTCTGTCGATATTGGACTCCTGACAGATGCCTGATCGTCCTTGAATAGTGATGTAGTTCTATCTCTCAAGCTTTGGATTGGGGGGACGTGTTGTTGATGAATGTCCAGTACGCACCGTGCAGTCAGGTTGTGCCCAGTCCGGAGCGTATCTACTAGATGAGCGCGGTCGTACCTTGCCCTTCTTTATGCGCAAGTTGCCCCCCGACGATCTTAAGAAGGCCGACTTCGGGACGAATGTGTGCGTACTCGTTCCGAGTTTGAGACACTGCTTAAAGTGGGCGTAGGGCTCGCGAGTCATTTTTGATCGGACGGTACATTCCACCGAGTTGAATTTATCGGAGGGTGTACGTTGATTGTTTTCTGTCGTCGTCACGCTCCGGTGATGCCGTCGGTGTGACGGCCTACGCCCACTTTAATAAGCGCGGATGTGTCTCTGTGTTCGACTGCCTCCTCGACACGGCTACTTTCAGGATCCAAGTATGCCTGGCGGAGCTGACGTCGTTTGTCTGCCGGTTGCCTTGCAGAAGGGGGAGAAGTATGTGCGAGTTTCTCAGGACACGCGCCTGAACAACCGGTCGATCGACCTGCGGACGCCTGCAAACCAGGGCATCTTCCGGATCCAATCGCAAGTCAGCCAGGTAAGCATTCAGAAAGTTGAAAGCCTACTTCAGCCTTCAATCGAGCGGAAGGAAGCCAGGCTTGGTCCTCTTCTTTGCTTGCTCTGATGCTCCTCTCGATTCGTTTCCCAGGTCAAATTGAGCTTTCGATTGTGCTTATACGGCGCTTCCTCAGTTGCTCTGTCTTCTGAAGTTCTTCGATACCCACGCTCTCGAGATTCTTCGAAAATTTTCGTTGTGGCTATGATTCCTCAGAAGTTCGTCGAGATCCATACGCTCGAGCACATCCTATTCTCCTCCGTTGCCATTCCAGGGGGAGTTAAAGACCCTGGAGTCGTCGTACTTTTTGTTCCCGTCCGTTTTGCAGCTCTTCCGCGGTACTTGCTCTTTCTGGAGTTCGTAGTCTTGCACACGGCCAAGCGCCTTCTAGTTTCCTCCCATTGCAACCTCAGCCCAAATTTAGAAACCGTACACTCGTTTTCTATCCCCTCATTATCGCAGCTCTTCCGCAAGTACTTGCTGTCTCAGAAGGTCTCGAGATCCACATGTTTTAACTCCGCTTGCCCTTCCTTCCAGCCCAAAAACGCAGATGTTAAAAGTCTGACCCATCACCCCCTGTTTCGCAGCTCTTCCGCGAGTACCTTCTCTCCCAGAAGTTCGTTGAGATCCACACGCCCAAGCTCATCTCCGGCAGCAGCGAGGGCGGCGCGTCCGTGTTCCACCTGCAGTACCTCGGCCAGCCTGCGTGCCTCGCGCAGTCGCCGCAGCTGTACAAGCAGATGGCGATCATGGCCGACTTCGGGCGCGTCTTCGAAGTGGGGCCGGTCTTCCGGGCGGAGAAGTCGTTCACGCACCGGCACCTGTGAGCGAACGGAACGACTAGCTTGTTTGATTGTTCAGGTGTTGTTACCTGTAAGCAAATCAGGGACCTGGAGAAGTCATTCAAGCACCGACACCTGAGAGCGAACGGATCCACGTCGCTGGTCTGATACTTATGCATCGCTGCCTGCTCAAGCAAAGCGGAGGATCGAACGGATCCTGACGGCTCGTTTGATCTGTCCAAAAGCGAAAAGCTCATCTTATGAACATACAATCAGCATGAAATCAAAACGGAGCATTGTGCAGAAAAGTCGTTGGTACAAACTGTGGTACTCGGGAAGGCTTGCATTTGGTGCGTCTGCCCTGCGAGGCTGACTGCATGACTCGCTTGTGGAATCTTTGTCGTCGCCCGAAACTTTTTCTTGCTGGTGCTTTCATAAAAGTCCTGCATGAACAAAAGGTCCCGCGATCAGGGTAGGATCAGGATACGATCCACTCCATCGTAAAGCGTATCCTCATCCTGGCAGCTGCTTCGTAGTAAAGTTGCGCAAGTCGTGGCGGTCAGTTTTTATCTTTACACCTTCAAGTCTCTGGTGCTGGTTACAAATTTGTCGTGGGTAGAAGAAAGTTTACCACGTAGTCAAACTGCCCCACGGACCCTTAACATTCTCACTTTTAGCATTTCTGATTTCTCATGTCCCTGATTTGATGTCACTGTTCCGTTCAGGACGGAGTTCACGGGCCTCGATTTTGAGATGGAGATCAAGGAGCACTACGAGGAGGTGCTGGACGTGATCGACGGGCTGTTCGTGTCCATCTTCGAGGGGATCAACGCGCGGTGTCAAGAGGAGCTGGAGGCCGTCAACTCGCAGTACCCATACGAGCCGCTACAGGTATTGGGTTTTGCGTCACCCCCGGGTTTGCTTTGAAGATGGGTTTGGGGTGAAGTTGTGAAGTGGTGCATTCTACCCTTCGACATTGCCGAGTGGTCGCTCTCTGGTTCTTGACGAAAGATTCGATCTCATTCAGTTTTATCAGCACGCAGAGTCGGCGATGTAGAATTTACTACTGATTTAGTAGACATCGAGAGCACGTTTTGGGGCGCCCTGCTTACGTTGCCATGATAAGCCTATAGTGCTTATATCAAGCGGAGTTGAACTTGTGCAACCTTATTTCGAGCTACTCTTTAAGAGCTACAACGCAAGGAGTTAGAGGCCCAAAGCCTAGAAGCATCGATTCAAGCCTTACCAAGCATGTTCAATCTGCTATTCATACACTTGTCTATCCCAGTGTCAGCAAACTTGATCATCCCGCCAATCCCTTCTCGCTGCTTGTGCAGTTTCTGCCACAGGGCTGTCGCATCAAGTTTGCGGACGGAATCCAGATGCTGCACGAGGCAGGGTTCAAGGACGCGGACCCGCACGGGGACCTGTCCACGGAACTAGAGCGGGAACTCGGAAAGCTCGTCAAGGAAAAGTGAGCAACACGCACCTGTTCGGCAGATTGACCTGTTTTGCCTGTCCCTCTTTCCATTCTTCCAAGATGCTGCAATTCGTGGGTTGTCCCCTCTGTGAAGGCTGTACCTTTTGGCTCGCAGTGGTTTTTTCTCGGATCCTTGGGAAGGGAGCGGAACAGAATGGTGTGGGCTCTGCGGGGTAAAGGGCATTCTTAAGAGTACGACTTGTCAGAAGTATCCAGAGGCTCTTTTCATGATAGCAGGTTAAAAGAGGGATATCTTAGAAAGTGGTCAGGCGAAGTGACCGCGTGCAAGCCTGTCCGAAAGGACGATTTTTCTCACGCACGAGTCTTCGAGCTTGACTTGTTAAAGGTTCTCAATGTACCGACAAACAATGTCTTGAACAAAAGAAAGGACTCGCACACCATGATGATTTCCCTTGTCTCAAGTGGGCCGAACGTACCAGAACAAAGTCGTCCGGTTGTACGGTTCGATCCGACGTCAATCTTTTTGCTCCTCAGATACCATACGGACTTTTACATTCTGACCGACTTCCCAATCGAGGCCCGGCCGTTCTACACGATGCCCTCCCCGGTTGACCCCCGGTACACCAACTCGTTCGACGTCTTCATCCGAGGTGAGTGCCACGTGTCAGTCGCTTGGGTCAGCCCCGTTTGCCCTTTTCGCGAAGGCATCTTTGAATTAGGCTGTTACTTTGACCAAACCAGACAGGTATGTCGGCCTCAGACCTGTATATTAACCAGCAAAAGGTCATGCCCCTGAGTTTTTCAAGAAAGTTGGTGCTTGGTAAAGGCGCCGGAAGTGGCTGCCTTGAGACTGGGCCGATGTGCAGTTAGTAAAACGTTGTTTTGGGCGGTTGAGAAGCTAGCGTCCAATCAGTTCTCATCAAGCAGATTCTACAACATATTAGTCACGGACAGCCAGCCTCAGGTTGAACCTCATATCGCTCCGGTCTTCATTCTCCTTGTGGGAACAAAGTATGTCTACTTCTCGTTGATTGTTGGCGTTTAGTCAGGGGCCCAGTCCAATATCTGCTGAAATGTCGCTTCCATCCTTTGCAGGCGAGGAGATCATTTCCGGCGCTCAGCGAATTCACGAGCCGGAGCTCCTCACCAAGCGAGCGACGGAATGCGGAATTGACGTGAAAACGATCAGCGCGTACATCGATGCTTTCAAGTAAGCCTGCCAGCAGTCCTCGCGGTTCTGTACTTTCGTGCATCCTGTCCCTTCAGAGATTTACTGTCAATCACCGTTTTTTCTCGATCAGCAGGCCTGTTAGGCTTTCAATGTTTGCCGAGGCTGAAATGCAGTAGAATGGTCTCGAAGCAAGATTTGCCAGAGAGATCTAACAGTCAAGTACGTCTTTTGCCAGTACCTCCGCAACCAGAACCTGAAGTGCTTCAAAACTGTGTTGTCTCGGGTCTGCCATTACGATTCTTGTTCTTCTGAGTTTCTTATCAAGTGACGGCAGAAGCAGTACGTTATCTGCTTCCCAACACTCTGCGTACTGTAACATGAACCCAACGATCTCTGCAGGTATGGCGCACTCCCTCACGGTGGGGCGGGCGTAGGCCTAGAGCGTGTTGTGATGCTCTTTTTGGCCCTGAACAACATTCGGAAGACGAGCATGTTTCCTCGCGACCCTCAAAGGTTGACGCCCTGATCAGGTGGTCCATAGGGGCGCTAGTGCGTACACCAACGTTGGATCTTATTGCACTGGGAAAGTGAAGCCTTCGGCATTCGTGCTGACTAAATTTTGGTCGACGGCTGGAGTATGTGTGCAGATGCCTTCAGCTTCCGGACATCGCATTCCCTGTCCATATGCACCAGGACCTTTTGGGAGAGCTGCTCATTAAGACATGCGTCGATCTATGTTCAACGTGCAAAACTGGTCGTTCCGATAATGTATGCGCTCTAAGTCGTCAAATTCAGTAATCATAGCCAATAACTGAATTGTAGGCTGGTTGTTTCTGCATATCATATGTTCGATTCGATCATCGCACGTTGCATATCGCTTAATTGGATTGGTCAAATCACCCATGCCAATGGGTGCAGGATCGGATAAAGTTCATGATCTACCTATGCAGGCCAAAGACCTGAACACCGTAACTGCTTTCAACTGAATTGCGCATATGATCAGCACCGCCTGCAAGCATGCAGGTTTGCGCGACTCACCATGATCCCTGGGCTGTACCGTATGAACGTTTGGATGCATTTGCATGTACGTGTGAGATCCATTGTTGGTCATCCCATCCGACTGCAAAGCTATCTGAGAGCTCGACGGTCACTTCGACATATCAGCAAGCTTGTATGGTAAAAGAACACCTTTGCTGACCTTCTGGGGCTTCATGCCAGTTTCATAATAGTTCAACACAAGTGTTGATTGCGTTATCCTACCATTTGCAGCAATATTCATATACACAATTGGACGCAACGGAGTTCCTCGGAACTCATGAATGCTTACAATCTATTACGCTCAAGAATTGCTTGTAAACACAGGACAATCCAATGGTGACGTCTTCAGGGGGACCCACTTTGCTGCATCCTTCATCAACCGCTGCTGGACAACACTTTACCCTACAGAGACGCAACAGAGTTGTCATCGAGAATGTCATGATTGGCAAGTTCATAGGGCTGCAATCCCGGGGTCACTTTGATTGGTCATCATGTTTCCTTTGGACAAAGCCCTATGCTTCTTGACGATCCATTCTGCGCATATGACCAATCACTCCTTTTCCCTCACCTTGGACTATCCCACCGCAGAATTCGCCCTCCCTGGCACAAGTCCCTTCCGCAACTGGTCATAGCACGCCTTGCAGTACCCCTGAAGGCCGTCGGGCCCTTTCCGCCACCGATAAAACGCTTCTGCGGGCTTCATTGTTTTGCAACACGCGCAGCGCTTGCTCTCTACTTTTGGGGCTGTCAGACTGGGGCGCTCCTTGTACTGTTCCCGTCTCCTTAAGGAGTTGCAGTTTTTGCACCAGGCTAGCAGGCCGGTTGGGGCTTTGGGCATACGGGAAAACTTGCTGGCTGGTTTTACCTGGTGGCACAGCGAGCACTGCTTTTCTAGCACGGCTATCTGATCTGGCCGCGTGATCATTTCGATGCACCTGGCCAAACACAAACAATCTCATAAATCAGAATCATCGGACGAGCACAGACGTTCGTCAGAGGACATTATTACCTGGTCTTAGTAAGATGAGCAAAGTTCTCATCTGTACACTACTTTGTCATCCATTTCTCTCGCTACTGTCGTTAAGACAAGATCAGAAGAAGTAGGAAAAGCGTTAGATTGGGCTCCGAGTTCACCGCAATGTCATTGATTCATCAACTCCCCCAGCTAAGTTTCTTAGCATCTCCTCTGTAGAATTGATGGTCAAGTTGATGGTCGATGGATTATTCGGAAACTCCGCTTCGGCACGCAGAGGGAATGGAAGCTTTCTTACCGTTTGCAGGACCGACACCGCGGTTCGAGCTTTCCTTTAAATACGAGGAAGTCTCTGGCCGGCTTAAAGTGCTGGCAGGCAGTACATGTTCGCCCCTCCATGCTTGCTTGCGGAAACTCTTTGTTTGTCCGCTTGCAGAACTCTTCTGCGTAGCATGCACGACACTGCACCACAGAGTAGCTCAAGGTCAATGCAATTAATTCATGGAAGAGGAAGAGATCTGCACCAAAACTTGGTCCCTTGAAAGCTGATGTTCAGCAACTTTCCCGGGGAACATCATTGAAGAGAGTGGCTGCATTCGAGGCCAGAGGGTCTAGGGGGAACATGCGTCATTGCGGAAAGTGGACGCTGGAACACGAAAGCTGCCGCAGAGCTGCCAATGCAGCTCAAGCAAACACTTCACCCATGTTCTTTGTTGTTCAAAACAGAAGGCTCACCTGATAGCTCCTACCGTCAGCTGTCGTTCTGAACTCCCTAAAATCTCCAATCACCTTCTCTTCGCGGCAGCATGAGCAGACTTTAGTGCCAGCCAGCGTGGGTGCAATCATTGCTTGGATGTCATACTTTGTCTTCGTCTTCCTCGAATCCTGCTGCCCTTCTGACTGCGCTCCTTGAACCTGGTCGCTCGGAGGTGAAGCAGCTCCGTTTTGCAACTCTGATACGAGGACTTGCTCTCTACTGCATACCGCTCCATAAACCCTAAGATTTTGCCGTCGCCCAGTGCAGTCTCCTTCCTGCCCCTCTACAATGCCGTCACTCTGCAATGACAAGTCGGGCATGACGTAAAGCCTGTTGACCGGAAATGGGGCCAGAACCCTCCGGAACATCCTGTCACCCGGGGCGTATACTGCGAAAATGCTGGAGTAAACAGCTTTACAGCAGGGGATGCCCCTTGGTCCATGGGCGGCATTGCACCAGCTGCAGCAAGCATGATCTGCGTGGATAGCAGCGGCGTAGTGAGCATGGCTGACGGCCATGGCGCTCGTGCAATGCCGACCCCAATGCACAAAGCAACCACCGGCTGCCCAGGAGATCTTGCAGGACCGCAAAAAACAAGAACTAGATCGAGAGGCATGTAATTGTACATATGAGGTTTACGAAGTTCACGAAGTTAACGAGATCAATCGAACGGATGCGATTGCTTGAGAGGAAAAGTCGTCATTACTGCCGAGGCTAAATCTGACCGTCGATCGTGAGCCTCTGAGCGCCCCTCTAGGCTAGTCTGCAGACGGCGGATGACGCGGACGGCGTTCATTCACTCATGCGCCTCTTTGCCAGTGAGTCTGTATCATCATAGCAGCGTCATTCTTTCATTCTTCCCAATCCAATTGTAAGATAATCTTGCCGTTGGCACCGGAGCATGTCAACTCTGCTGACGATCGCAACTCAGGCCTGTGCACTGATCCACAACTGCCTTGGAAAAATTAGCCGCGGACGCTTGCATCCGTCTATCTACAAGAGCAACACCTGGTACCCAGACTTCGACCCGCCATTTGAGAAGATTCCGAACGCGAAAACGGCTTGCCTGAGCTGACTTCGCGCTCGACAACAAGCTTGTCACCTTGTGGTCGTTTGACCCTTCAATATCTGCTGTTTGCTTCAAACACGTAATGGACGATCTTGACTTGAGCTTCAGCCCTTTGAAGAAGGAAGCGCCTCCTTCGGGCTCAGCTGCTTCCATCGAGGCTGGAGATGGGCCTCGACCGGGACCTGAGAAGAAGATGTTTCTCGGTGAGAGTTGATTACTGTGCTACCTGGGTGTGACAGTCGTGTGGCATGGGAAGTGACGGGGGAAGTGAAAGGATTGTTCATGCAGACGCATTAAAAAGGATCTCGAGCTCACGGATTTCACTACTGCGTTAGCGAATGAACCCCAATATATCTTCAAAATTTTGCATCCCGCATCTATCTTTGCAGACGATGAGCTTGGGGACGACTTCCTCTTCGACCTGCGGAGGAAAAGTGACATGACATTCGAGCCTTCTCCTCATAAACCTGGAGCGATCAAGAAACTGGACGCGACAAAACAAGCTGACATGTTGTAAGTTCCAAAATTTTGCATAGAGCCTTGAAGCCCTGATATACAAGAAGTGACAGTCTTTGGAACGTGTATTGCAAGCCGCGATCATGTGGCGAAAAAAGCATTCATTTCTTTACTGCTGATTCGCAGGGATTTTGACCTGACAGACTTCGGGGCATCCATTGGCAAAGTGAAGAATACCGCAAACTTCGATTGGACAGCAGACCTGGAGAAAGGCGGCGGCTTTGATCTTTTCAAAGCTTTTGAGATCCCAAGCTCCCCGGAGAAGTTCCGACCAGAAAACAGCCCGCACGTCCAAGCACTTCAGAAAGGAATCGAAGACTTGCCAGTCTTCAGAGACCCCACCGAAGGATCAGTGTAAGGCGAACTGAGATGTCTATTACGACAGCACATATGCTTGCAGAACGTGTCAACCTTTGAATGCAATTTAAAGCACCATGCAGGACCTTGTGCCACTTCCTATAATCTGTTCGAGTAGATTCAAAGATGATGAGATGTTTCAACTTATGTTGTGCAGGACAACTGAGAATCTGGAGAAAGAGTCGAACAGAGACCAGGAGCAAGTTCAACCGCTTGTGGCCCTAGAAGTGCGGAATGTTGATTCTGAGCTAGTGAAGAGAGGTGCCGCCTCTAAACAGCCTCCAGAAACAGGAACTCTTGAAGGAGAACACTCGAAGTTCGAGAAAGAGGAAGACAAGGACTGTCGCCAGCGGTCAGAAATCGACGACGTATCGACACTAAGGTAGGTCAATTGCCAGTAGTTGCAATCAGAGTCCTTCGTTCAGCACTAATCACCCCTGCTACTATATATTGCTCGTTTGGCCTTTTCACTTGATCATGCCTGCCTCCTTACCCGTATGTCGCAATATTCAAAGGTCAATTCTACTGTCAGCAGGAAAGAGACCGGTGTTGTGGATGAAAAGGACGCAGACAGAGGGAAGGCATCAGGTCCAAGCAACCCAAGCCACGAAGTGCCTGTCGTCGATGGAAGAATTCCAAACCCTGGCGAGACCAAACAGTCCACGGCGCGGCCTCCACTATCTCAACAAGTCAAGTAAGGCTGTCAACGGTACCCCAAGGAGACTGAGCTTGAAGCATTCTCAAAGCCTGAAAAGCACTTCGGACAGCCTGGATGCGCATTTCTTAAATGGCGCCGGTGGAAAACGTGATCTGTCAAAGCGTTGTGCATGCAGGTCATCGATGGAGAAGAAAACGTCGAAAGATCTGTCTGCATCGGTCGACACTCCAACAAGCAGTCAACCAGCCAAGTTCGAGTCCATCTCGCGGGCCCTACAGGTTCCCGTGCCTAATTCTTCCTCGCCGTCATCCTCGAAAGATAAAAACCTAATCAAGAAAGGCATCACCGTTTCTGGTCTGAGCCTGAGCAAGTCACAACCCCTATCGACAATCTTAGGAAGCAGGTTAAGCAGCAGCTTGGCCAATGCATCCAGCCGTCTCGCAACCGGTTCTCAGATGAAACCACCAGCTTCGGTGCCTGTGAAGGCTGGGCTTGCAGGTCCTCAAAGGTAATCAGCAATTTTTCCTGTTTCCAATTCTGTCGAGATTGGTATTGATGTCGAGGCTTTCTAGAATCTTGATAGCTTTGTTGCAGACAGCAATCTGCGGCTTTCAGGCTGCGCGCTGATGATTGCGTGCTGTGTCCAGGGCTCAAGTGGCGCCCGTGGTCGCCCAGACTTTGAGAGAAGACAAGAAGACAGAGCAGGAAAACCGTGGACCGGGAAGCTTGTCTGGGGGTTCTTCTCTCAAGCGTACCCTTCCTATGCCGGTAAGGTTGGAAAATGCGATATGTGGAGGATCTTGTTCTTGTCACCGTCTTACGTGACTGCAAGCTTTGCAACCTACTTGAGACAAGCGAGCGCAATTGTCACTGATCTGCTCTGTTAATCTGCAGGAAAGAGAGCCGAAGAAGGATTCTCGACTTGATGTCAGCGAGACTTCCTCCAAGCTTCTTTCACCGAAGAATATTGGTCTTGGACGACTTCAGGTGAATCGTTAACTAGTTGCCCGTATTGCGAAGGTTCATAAGAATTGAACACTGAGCCCAGTAGTGGAAGGCACCGTGTGGAACATACATTTCCAGGCCTACTTGATGGTTTCACTTCATGCTGTTGTGCCACTGATATTGAACTCCTTCCTCTTTCTTGCTAGGCTGGCACATCTCCATTTGCTCGCAAAGTACTCTCGCCTTCCTCAGGACCGTTGAGAATCCAGGTGAAAGCAACCGAGCCTTTCGAGAAAAGAATATTTGGTGCCTTGTGAGTCGTTTTTCAGAGTCCAGACTGCTCGATCCCAGTATCCGCCTTTCCTGCTTAAACATGAACCTGCGAGGTGTATACATCGATTTGTAATTAAAACAGATCGGTCCTTCATCTCAGAGCTCCTTGCTGAAGCGGCCTTCAAGACAACATGAGGAGGATTACCCAAGAGCAACGTCTTTACCGGGTTCGGCGCCCAGTCTCGTCAGGTAAGACCTGCTCAGTGCCAGCAGCGGTTTATGTATCCTCTCATCGCAGCCCTGTCATCTTCAAACAACCATCGTGAGCTGGCCGAAAAATTTGAAACGATATGTCTTCTGCTTTGCTGCTGACGCGTCATGGGCAGACTGTGTCTCTGCTCTTGTGTTTTCAGGTCATCGCAACTGCTTGACATGTCGTCTTCCCTTGCGAAACCGAGTACGCCAGTTGAAGATCATCCAGCTAACAGCCCCATGAAGCAGGTAAGGTGCAGGAGGGAAAGGGGTAGTACTGAAAGTCATGCAGCCGATATCTTAACAAGATAGCAAATTCATCAAGGAAGTGGGGAAATATTGAGCCGAAGCGATGCATCAAAGGACGCGGCCGCTCCGCAAGGTAATCGTGCTTTGATTTTGCAGAGTGCGCCTGAGGCAGCTACTCCGGCCAACGATCCTCAGACCGCGGACATGGATATTTCGCCGTTCGATAGTATCATGACAGTTGCAAAACGCGGTGCACCAGAGTCTCAGGAACTGGCGGAAGAGATCATCAAGAAGGGCGAAATTGCGAAGAAAGCTGACGAGTACACCAAGGAACTTGATCAGGTACTGCCGTCAATGACTTGGCAGTCGTTTCCTCGGCAAAACAATAGGTACAAGAACGGCATTCTTCGTCGGCCGAATCTTTGCATTCACTGTCCCGTTGTGCTCTTCCTATATCTGCACCTGCCTTGACGGTCGACGTACGAGACTCATGTTCGACAACCTTCTGAGTTTGACGTTTGAAAATATTTGCAGATGTATGCTTCTCTGAAGAAGAAGCACGAGGAGGCGAAGGACCTGCTCGTCAAGGCCCTGATCAACAACAACCGAATGCAGATGCTGAACAACCCAGTGACAGAAGACAAAATATCCTTTGCACTGCTTTTCCTTCCAACGCTTGATTTTCAGTCATCCATGTGTCCGTGATTGCCTGCTTCAGCGGACGAAGTGGAGAATTCCACCTTCTCATCTGAAAGCAATAGTAAGAAACGCACTCATCAATCTCTCCAAGGATTCTGTCTGTTTCTCGCTTTAGCTCAAAGATGACTGCTGACCGCGATCCCTGCCCCAGTGGTTAGAAGCTTCCTACTGCCTTCAAGTCCTTGACTGTGACTTTCTGTGGACTGGAGCACATATGTGCCATCCAACGCTCCATCGCCCAGATGTTTTCCACAGAAGGGACCCCTGGACTGACTGTGGAAGAGTGATTACGTTCGTAGGAGGCATCTCGAGTAGTGACATGCAGAAATGTACTGCCCAAATTGAACGGAGGAACAACAGAACGGAGGAACAACAGAAGGAATCGGGACTTCCAACTTGGCTGTGGCTCTCTTTGGAATCTGTGGGTTCTGATCAGTGTAAATATCGCATAGAATTCTCCCAAACAGTCCCCGTTCAATATTCTCGATCCAGCGCATCAAGCACATGGGAAGTTACCAGTCCATGAGCTTGCACAGCAGTGACAGCAACATCTTGATCATCCCTGTCAATCATGCAATGCCAACATTCATGCATGTCTACGCAACAATGATGCATCGTGCTTCGTTATATTTAACGATCAGATATTTGGATGCTATGTAAGAACCGGGATTGCTCAAGTGCGGGATATGATGTCCGAATGTTAGCACAACTGAGATATGATGCGTAATCACAAGTTGAAAGTGACATGCCTGGAGTGAAAGGGCTCCACACCCCCAGTACACACCACTAGCATGTTAAGACGACGTCTAACAATACGCATAGGAGCGATCCAAAAGGCTCCACTGACGCAAAAGAACATGCGATCTGCAACCATAGTGAGAATGGGCCTCTTGAAAACTCTGATATAGAACACTCTTCCTTCCCCAAGCTTTGTACAGGATATCCTCGGTTACGATACAACACCCCCTGCGAATGTCGGATCTAGTGCAGCCTTTGGAGCTCCTCTATCCGCTTGCTCAGGTCCTCGACGGTCGTGTCCATCTTCTTTGCGACCTCCTCCATCTTCTCCCGCCGCAGGTCCAGGAACTGTTCTATCAAGTCACCATCTAAGAAGTTTCTGGCTTCGTTTGTTTTCCGCTCGTTACTGAAGGACCTCCAGTGGTCGTGGCTGAACCCGCCCACGCCCTTGATCACCTGCAACGTGCAACGCGTGGAGTGAGAGCAGGTCATAGGATGACGGAAGAATATTGTTGCAAGCGTGTTCACTCAGCGTCTCGTGCCCACTCAACAAGACGCCTCGTTGAGTGGGCACGATGATCTCTTGCCCATTTGATGATCGTAGTGCCCCCCCATGAATCAGTCAGCTCATTCAATACTTTAATTTGCCCACTCCATCGGGCCAGCTCAAAGCGGCCGATATACACTCACAGGAAGCTGTCAACAAGTAAAGGGGCTTGAACCTTAAGCACCAATCGGAAACTAACGTAGTCTGGCATTATTTCGGAGAGCGCCCGATTCGGCAGACCGATAAAGAGAGAACGCGTTTCAACAGACCGACTGGAGCCCTGCGGGACGGCGGACAAAGTCAGCACAGTGCCTAATACGAGGAGAAATGAATGATGAGACTCCAAAAACTGCAAGAACTTAAAAGAATTGAACAGGGAGCCCACCTCCGTCAAGCAGTTTTGCAGCTTGTGCAGGTAGGTGAATTGGTCCTGCGGCAGGCTGGCAATCACCCCGATCACTCCGTTCACCGTGCCGAAGATGACGGTGGGGATGTGCGCCGCCTCGCTGTCCGGCATTCGCATGACGAGCGACCCGGGCCGGAACCGGTTCACGAACTCGCCCAGGTGGAACTCCCCGGTCACCTCCAACCGGCCACGCTCCTCGTCCGACGCGGCGTCGCTGTTCTTGCGGACTGCACGACCGGACTTCGAAGGTCAGATCGGTTGAGACCGCATCACCGCAATCACATCAAACAGAAACTGTGGTCCAAATAAGTTGGCTTCGATCGATTCTGATTATGTTGGATCAAAGAGTCAGGTTCGATCAACAAAAAAAGGACGAGGTAAGACTGCGTTAAGAAGACGAAGGAGCAAAAGCCTCAGATATCTCGGAAATCTCGCTTCGTATAAAAGAAATTTTCGTCCGGAAGCCTCTTAGCCTAGAATTGATCGGAAGTGGCGGCTCGCTCAAAGGTAAAAGCCTCCAGAGCGAAGGCCACGAGACCGAGCGCAATCATTTTCCACATTGGAAACGCAGATTACAGCCAATGTCACGATGTCAGATGCCCGAAAGCTCGAACAACACAGGTTCCGTAACCCAGAAAGCGGCCTCAGAGCAGCACTTAGGAGGCGAACACAGACCAAAAGGGCCTTACCAGTGAACAGGTTGAAGCTGTTCTCGGCCCCCAGGTACACGTCATCGTCCAGCGCCTCGACCGCCGTCATCCAGTTGGCGTTGAAGTCACGCGCCCTCTCCTCAATCGCCCCCTCTTCCGGCTGCGCGAGATGCAGACAATAAACAACTTCAAGTACTGCCAAGCTGGAGGAAAGGACGACAGCAATTGCATCTCTAGATCGTCAGCTAGACAAGGAGCACGAATCAACAGAAAACGGTCACCTTTCGAGGCTGTCAATTGCACAGCAAGCTCGAGGGAGGCAAGCGCTACTGGCCAGGTGGCGATGCAGAGTGGCAGTACCTGGTCTGACCAGCGTTGCCCTTTCTTCTAAGACATTTCCCATACGCGCTATGCGCTTATCGACGTTCAACACACACGCAGCTTAAAGCAGCTGCTGTTGATAGAAAAGAGAAAGTCGTAAGATCAATATTCCGACTGCGCGTGCTAAATGTAACCAAACATCCAGACCCTCTCTAACCCGCAGCCCGTCAGCGACACTTGGTACCTCCCCTGTGGTTTTCCCCGTGCATCGCATGCGAAGTCAGCATCGGCTTGAACATCAAAAGCCCAGCAAAACGTCGAACCCACAAACGGTTCCATCGCACAACTGAACACTCGCCTTGTAGAGCAGCAGCGAGATGCTCTTCATCAGATCACCCACGACGATAAAGTCGCCCCTCGTCACCACGTACAGCGCCAAGATATGTCCGTGATGACCGCACTCGTTCGTCAGCTCCCGCGAGCCGTCGTCTCTTTGAGTCCACTTGTACAGCTGGATCTTCTGGTTGATCCCCGCCAGGAGCTTCCCGTTGAACGGATTCAGATTGTAGACAGCGCCCTTGGTCTCTTTCTCGGCGACCAGGGAGAGCTTGCCGTCTTCCACGGCGAATATCAGGATGCGGCCCTGGGAAGCGGGAAAGACAGTTTATTATAAATTTGTCAAAGTTAGCATGAATAACCGCTCTGGGCAGGCTGACCATTTTTTGGATAATTGGCAGTGGTAGCTTGGATCAAAGTGAGGGTTTAAAGGTAAACAATTCTGGGTACCGATTGCGTCCCTTGAAGGCTAAGATGCGGCTGTGAAAGCGAGACCCGCTGTAGCGTGACAAAGGCGGTTAAGGATCAGCTTCCGGATCCCAAAAGATTCTTGAATGCCGACTTCTTGGGAGGGACTCTCTCTTACCCCGCGCCAGAGTCGCTTTGTTTCCGTCTCAAGTGGTCATTTAGCAGTTGCGGATAGAATCCGAACGAATGAGTCGAAAACGAGACACATCCTCTTGCACAGGCCCCATTGCAAGATTCCAAAATAAGGGTATCGACAAACGCCTGCTAAGCTCTCCCCCTCACTTTGCTGGCTCGATCTCGTACACCGAGTGTCTTCCTAAGATGAGTAAAATTCAAAGCAAAGAGCAATGCAGACAATTCAGAAGCAAGACCAAGCCAGTGTGAGGACAAAGAGACACTAACCCTAACCAACTCAGACCAGGCGTTTCCACGCTAAAGTTCTCCACCTCACCTTGGTGGGTTCGCTCTCCTCTGGCACCGCATACGCCGTCCCCACGCAGTAATACGTCGCCGGGTCCTCGCTGAACGAGCAGCTTATGATCGCGCACCCCTGCTCGTCCTTATCCAGCGCATACGACCCCACAACCTCGAACGTCTGGTCATCCACCAACCGCACAAAGTTGCTCTCGGGCTCGTCTCCGGAATTGATGCTGTTGTATTTCACGGTGATGATCCCGAAAGTGCGCGACGGCTCTTGGTGCGCGATGCGGCGCGCGTGCTCGCCGAGCGGGATTGTGCGGATGTGCAGCTTCTGGATGTCGTCGATGGTGCCGATCGTGAGCTCGGACTCCATGCCGATGGCGAGGCTGTCGGGGAAGGAGGCGCTGTTGAAGGGGCACATGTGGTTCACCTGAGGAAGGGGTGCAATGTAATCAGGAATAGAGGGACAAGTCGAGACAGGTGAAGAAAGGGGAAGAGCAAACAGAAGAGATGAGGAGGAGAAGACCCGCCTTCGAAAGGACGAGCTGTTGAAGAGGCAAAAGCAGTTCACCAGGGGAAATGAACAGGAAGGGATGCAAGATCCAGCAAACATCTGGAATGTCTCGTCAAAGAACAGAAAACCATGAAGAATCAGCAATCGACTGAAACGTCTGTTCATGGGACAGGAAGGGTTCAGCAATAGCGAACCCGGGAGAGCAATGTTCAGGACTTTACAACCTCAACAGAGGTTAAAGGTCGAAGAGATGAGGGCGATAAGTACGGAGCTTCGGAAGACATTCTTACGCAGAGGCTGATAAGAGCGGCGTTGAAATAGCGGCGAAGAGAGCAGCGCCATTAAGAAGGAGGCATCGACGAGGTCCAAGAGGTTCCATCAAACGACACACTGGAACCAGAATAACTGGTCTCGTCGAGATAAAGCACAGATTGTTTCTATAAAAGTCTATGCCGCGTTTGCTGGACGCGCTGTAGCACACTCACGCATCCGCTTTCCTACCAAGCGAGCGACTTCAGATGAGGCAACGTTTCTGTCCAACCAGAGTATACCGGCCTCGCGCCTTCTCTCACCTCCTTGAGGTTGACGTTGCTGTAGAGCAGCTTCTGGTTGCTGGAGTAGATGACCGTCGGGCGGTCCGACGCGGCGAAGACGTGCGTGGCGCTCTTGGACTTGAACGTCTTGAGCGAGATGGGCTGCGTGCCGAGCGAAATCTTCTTGCGGTCGGTCAGCTCGCCACTGGCAGGGTCCACACGGAAGTTGAACAAATGACCGTCACCAAGGGCAGCTAGCAGGTATGGCACCTGGAAAAGAGAAGGATTTGATTGATAAAAGCGCTTGACAGAATGCTGACGTCACTTGTCGTTTGTGACGAGCGAGATCTTCTTGCGGTCAGTCAACTCGCCGCTGCCGGGGTCTACCCGGAAGTTGAATACATGGCCGTCGCCCAAGGCAGCAAGCAGGTACGGCACCTAAAAAGGGGGGGGGCAAGTATGGGGTGAGTAGGAATTGACGATTTGCTGACGTCAATTGCTTTTTGTGCCGAAAGAGATCTTCTTGGGGTCGCTCAGCTCGCTGCTGCCCGGGTCCGCCAAAAAGTTGAACAAATGGCCGTCACCCAAGGCAGCTAGCAGGTATGGCACCTCGGGAACAAAGGGAGATAAAAGATTGTTTTCGCTACGAACTCAGAGCCGGGCTTGATGCAGAAGGAGGGGAAAGCGCAAAAAACAGCTTGAGGGTCGATAGGGGGCGAGAAGATTTACTTACACCGCGGATCAATCACAGCGGTCTATGAAAGCGAGAAAGCCCCAGATGATTGGATTCGCAGCGCCGAACCGCCCCTGGCACAATTACGATGCAATCACAGCTTGCAAGAGGAATCCTCAACTTCATCTCGACTAAAGAGCGTGCTTGGATGAGAAACGGACTTTGAAAGTACACCTAAAAAAGACACGCTCCGCATTTGTACACCCGTACAAACCGACCTGGGCACCTCCGTTATTCAACATGTATCGAGCGAACCTGTCCGCTCACCCCCTCAAAGGCGCAGAAGAGCACGGAGCGCGGGATGACCTCCCCCCCAAGCGCCACTTTCGTTAGCGGCTCCATCCCCGGCACTGAAAACACGCGCACGCTCATGTCGGTCCACATGCCCACCGCCGCAAGATTCGCCGCCGCGCCATCCCCCCCTAACGGCGAAATGTCCAGGCACGAAATCTCGTACTCCAGCTTCACGTGCTTCTTCTCCTGCAGCTTTCCGGGCTCGACTTCGAGATAGACAAGGTTCCCGCCCCCCGTCGCGAGCAGGATTTGGGACGCGTTCGCGGCGGTCACGTTGATGGAGTGCTCCGGGGGGGCGTGCCACTCGTGGACGAGCTGGCGCGTCGGCGCGGCCGCGAGCTTCAGGGAGGATGACGTAGCCTGGAAGAGATGACGTCAGCGCACGGTCAGCAACCGAAAGAGGGTGAAGAAATCGGCTTCGCAGCAGTGACGTTGATCGAGTGCTCCGGGGGCACGTGCCACTCATGGAGGAGCTGGCGCGTTGGCCCGGCAACGATGACGTGTCCCGGAAGGGAGGTGACATTATTGCGAGGGTCGGCCGATGGATAGCTTGACGACCTTTTAATTCGACACTGGACAGGTGATGTCACTTAGGGGAAGCGAGACGCGGAGCAAGAACCCAGCATTAGAACCGACGGAAGATCGTGTTCCAATTCGGGGAATCGGAATCCAATAGAGCAATTCGAGGACAACGCTCATTAAGCAACCGCGCTCGGAAAACAGAAGCAGTTTACTACCTACATGAGACGAGCATCGACCCCCTCTATGTCATGCAAAGCACCCAAAAATGGATGGAGAGCTTGCACCAACGAGCACTCTCAAGTACCCTGCGCTTGTGACTGTCCAGCGAAACTGTCTTTCAGCCCATCCCTCAACAAAAGTTCCATACTTGTAAACCTCCCGATCCCAGCAGCTATTCATACAATTCCCAAATGAACGCAAATCGATGCAGATTCAAGAAGCGGAAACGCTGTCATGAAAGCCTCACGTACGGCCGCTGATCATGCACCACGTTCCCACAGAACAGCGTCTGCGCCTCTCCGTAGAACCCATAAAAAAACAAACTCCAACCGCATATCCCAAACCTCCAAGCGACCCAAACACAGACAACCCTGTAAATGATGTATCGCTTAACGCCAAACCAACCTGCAGCACCTGGTCGTGCACCACGTTCCCACAGAGCAGCGTCTGCGCCTCGCCGTCAAACCCTTGAAAATACTTGACCCCAACACAAATCCCAAACCTCCGAGCAACCCAAACAAAGACATCAATGTGAACCATAAATTGCTTGACCCCGAACCCACCTGGAGCAACTGATCGTGCACCACGTTCCCGCAAAACAGCGTCTGCGCCTCGCCATCAAAACCCTCGATCTCCGTCTCGTCCAGCTCATCCTCCTCGTTGATCGCCAGGATCCTCGTCTCGCTGATGAACGTTACCACCAAGAACCGATCGTATGTGTCTTCGGACGCCGCGCGCAGCGACCACATGCCCTTGATACCTAGCAAGATTCGAAACGAACGACTCAAGAACACTCCCTCGCCAAGAAGTCAGCAGGAGGTAAACCAAAGGCATACAGATCCAACCAATGGAAGTGGTCCGGCGGAATCAATTGGAAATGACAGCGCGGAAGTCCGACTCTCATGTATTTCGTTGGTGCGCTGAACAGTGACGCCAGTCATAGTGACCGGAACGGGTAGAGTTCAGGGTTTGTATGGGTGCGGACTGCAGGAATCTCTGGTTCTGATATGAAGCTGACAAAGTGACTGTCATTGGGTTTACATTTACTGAACCGAGATGACTGAATTCGCAAACGCAACGCACCTGTCACACATGTCGACAAGGGGAAAGGGCCTGCGAATACTCTTGAAACAAAGAGAATAGGCCAATCATGCAGAGCTGTCTTCCATACCTGGCAGCTCGACGGTGGCCTGCTCGTTGATACCAATACCGTTCCGCACGATGCGCAGGGAGCCGTCTTTGAAGGCGCCACTGCAGGTCACGACTTGCCCCTGGCCCTGGCGCTCCAGGTCGACGACGCAAAAGTCGACGATGGGACCCAGGTTCACGAAGCTCTCCAGAATCTGCAAAATTGGCGGATACGAAAGTGAACTCATGTTTCAGAAAAACGCTCAAGCCCTCGAAGTTCTCCAGAACTCGAAGGGGGTGGACCCGTAATCGCAAACCCTGGTTTAAGACCCCCTGAATAAACCTGTCCGGATGAGAACCTAGCTTTCACCATTTCACCAGATCCTGTGAACGAAGGATACTGTACTTAGAGGTCCATCTGCGCCCCAGGTCGATGCCAGACTTTACAAGGTCCTCCAAAGTTTCCGGGATAAGAGGCAACTCCACGTCAAGATGCCAAAGGATCCTAGCCCCCCGAATGGACCCCAGGTCTACCAGGATCCGCAGGCCTCACCTCGACGTACGAGCCATTGGCGTCGGGCGTGCCATTGAGTTTGACGAGCTGGCTGTCCCCGTAGCTGGAGCCCACGTAGACGACCGCGTTGTCCAGGTACGAGATCGTGCTGGCCGCTGACGTCACCCCGAGCTCCTGGATGTTCATGCTCAGCACCCTACAGGAAAGCAAGATCAAACACTGGTCAGAAGGGGCTCTAAAACCTTGTCTTCTGCGGGATGAGACACGCGGTTGGAGGTGATGGGATACATTCCAAGGAAAAAGCGACTCGTGAGTGGGGGACTTTTCAGAAACAACATCCGTGTGGAAATCGTATCGCTCTGCCTCCGCAAACACCACGAATGAACCACGAAAGAACGACCGCATTTGTGAACAATCTCAGTAATCTTGGTCACAGGTGTACGATGTCGCGAACTGGGTCTACCTTTCTTTGTCGTAGTCAAGTACGAGCAGGAAGAGGCGGCCCAGTGACTTGCGGAGCAGCGAACTTCGAAACAAACCGCATTCAAGGACCGACAAATTATCGGAAAAAAAACGTCGGAACGGAAAGGCCAAGTTAAATAGATGCCGACCCATCGTTGTCGTGGTTGACTAGCAAGAAGAGCGCGGCGAAACAGTCAGAGAGCAGCGTCTGTCGCTGATACCTCTCGTTCAGTATCACCGCCAGAATCGGAGAATGACGCCGAAATGGAAAGGCTATCACACGATCCTCGAGAAGAATCTAGCAAGAAGAAGCAATGCTGACCTCTCCTTGTCGTCGTCGAATCGCAGGAAGAGGCGGCCGAGGTGATTGGAGAGAAGCGACTCTTGCAAATACTTTCCAATCAGAATCACCGCCAGGAAAAAGATAAAGACGTCGAAACGAGAAGATGTCGAACTGAAGTGATGTCTACAAGAAAAACAAGCAAGAAGAGGCAATGCTGACCTCTCCTTGTCGTGATACAGTACGAGCAGAAAGAGGCGCCACATCTAAACAAAAAGCAAATCTTGTGAAACACCTACCAATCAGACTACCTCCCAAAAAGAAGAAATAGTCAAAACGGGAGGCCCAAATGACGCGATGCTGACCTCTCCTTGTCGTGGTTGAGGACTAGCAGGAAGAGGCGCCCGAGATAGTCGGAAAGCAGCCAGCGGGAGCCGTCAGGGTCGACGCGGCCGTAGGCCTTCATGCCCGACTGCGGGATGCGCAGCGTGCGCAGGCTGCCGCCCTTGTGGTACACGATCGTCTGCTCGCCCACGATGATCGCGCCGCCCAAACTGCAAAGGGATCACGACCTTCGAATTGCGGGAAGGTGGAGGAGTAATGAAAAGTGGGACTCAGATTATTATTGAGGTTCCAATCCTTTGGTTGGTATCCTAATACACTAATGTGTGCTCACCCCCAATGATCGCGCCGCCCAGGCTGCAAAAACTTAACTTTTCAGTAACTGTGCAGAGAGTGACTGGAGATTTTTAAAGAACACCCAGGAAGTGTGCAGGAATAGAGATTGACGACGAGGTAACTGTCTTGGTGAATTCCGTGACTGGGCAGTTTTGGTGGTACCCAATCGTCCCGGTCGGCGATAGCCGTTGCCGCCCCGGCCGCGAAAAGGAATTGAGTAGAAGCCGTCCAAGAACACGTAAAAGAAGGGGTGCTCGAACCTCCTCTCAAAAGTCTCGATACCCGTGGACCCTTGGAAATCCGGTACTTCAGCTCCGCCGAGGACTCGCGGCCCAGAGCGCACGGATAAGTCAACAAGTGCCAACAGCATATCTTTGGGACATTGCAGGACTACCCAAGCTCGAGCGATTTGAATGGATTTCGCAAGATGTCAGATCCTGTCCACAACCACAAAAACGCTTTCGCACTTCACCTCGCTCCTACTGGGTCAGGACCGGCAACCCAACTTATGGGACAAGTTTTTGAGGGCGAATGGGCGGCTTACGGTGTCGGAACGGGAATGATGAGGCAGGATCCCGCGTCCAGGTTGTGCTGGTTCCAGGGCCCGTCCACAAAGTCCTTGTCCTTCAGATTGACCTCGTATGTCTTCACGTGCCGAGAATCCTTGTTGTCCTGGACAAGAGCAAGATTAATTCCGGATCAGGATCTGAGCTGATGCAAGAAACAGAGTAGCTACTGAAAGTGAAGGCGTTTGATGCTAAAAGCAAAAGTCTCGAACGTTATGGTCAACTACCGATCATCACCGGTCGCCTGGAAAGGCATCCCTGATGAGCCCCGTACCAAGGTGACCTCTTGTCACTCAGCTGTTCTGGTTTTGATCAACCATTTCTCCAAGCGCGAAAGATCAACGGACATGTTAGGTCGAGGATGTATCGTGCACGTAGACCACTAATCAACCAGACTAATCAAAGAAACCCGGATTTGCACGAACCCAGGCCTGATTACATGGCAGAATTTTTTTGGGACGGGCGCTTACCTGGAAGAGGACTGCGATGGTGGGCCTCGGGCAGCCATAGAGAAATTTGATGTCCAGGACCGTGAGCTCCTCCAGCCTGCACCAGACACACCGTGAACGCTTGAGCCATCGGGTCGCGAGTTTGTGCGTCCGTTCCAGAGAACTCTGAGCGAAACATCGAGTCGATCGGAGCGCCAGGGCCCATTGGCCGGTAGCCGAAGCAGGAGGGAGACGCACGCGCTTGCGATATGAGAAGGCAGCCACTCATCGTGCCGCCCAACAGGAGAATTCCTCTCAGACGGGTGTGTCTGACATACGCCAGACAGAAGCAGAAGCCAAGCTATGTCTACGCTGCGACGAATTCAGAGGGAACAGGCTGCAAGCCAACATTCCGACAACCAGTACGTAGGAGGCAGAGAAGAGCGTCACCTGATGTTGAACGCCTCCTTGAGCTGTCCCTTGGAATCAATGGGGATGACCTTGAAGAGCCCATCATACAGGTGCAGCCCAATCAGGCGGTACTCAGGATCCACGATGCCAATCTGCAGCACAACGACGGCGTTCCATTCATATTTGTTTCTCTAACTTGCAGTACAAGACTTAAAGCATACACCATGTTGTCTTATTCCATGGAAACCTTGACTCTCAAAGCTCAAAAGCGACACAACGTCCTTCTGAACGACCGTGATGTCACCGGGCCTGCCAGAACGACAGTATCCTTGTGACAACGTGGAGAGCGGTGCAGATACCAGAAAAGGACATCAACCAAGCCAAACAGATGGCGCTCTTTCTGCTGCCAGCTCCTCTTTCAACCGAGGAACGACGTTCCCTGTTGTTGTATGGCAATATCCCATAGCCAGACATGAACACTGCTTCTAAGCAAAGCGCAAACATTTGTACGGCCAAGTTAGGTTAGCCCATGCGGATCTCTGCATGGGACCGCACTTGACATGCTCATCTGGGAGCTGGGCAAATGCAATGCAGGAGGAAAGTAGAGGTGAGTGAGAGCGCACCTGTCCGAGATCGCACGGCCGACCGATTCTGTCGGAGACGTCTCCCATTGCCCTGCAGAATCAGGCACTCTGCTTAGTCTGCTGGTGGTATTGGCACTGGGAGTACGCAGACTCATGGCAACTTTCTTCAAGTAGAACCTTCTCAAAAAGGACCAAGTCGTTTGTTGACATGCAAAAAAGGACCAACAGAGGTGCCACCTCCCATAACTTTACTTTGAAGGTCGTAGCACACATTTTGAAAAAAGTGGGGGGCTCACTTCGTGATAAGCTCGCCTCGGGCCGCATCCCACGAGAGAAGGCAGAACTTGTAGCGCTCGGTAGCAATAAACAGCGACTGCTGGCTCTCCCCCTACAAACCATAGAAATGTTACTCAGGGAGTCAAGTGCATTGAGTTATTGAGTACTTTGACCTGCTGTTGCCTCCTTGTCGCCCCACGTAAAATAAGACGCGGCTTTGCCTAATCTGCTGTCCATAACAATCCGTTTTAGAGGGTTGCGGGGGAGCTTGGAAGAGATTGAGCCCTTTGTGCCCACTGCAGTTCCACCACAGCCATGAAGCTTTTTGTAAGCAAGAAAAGCTAAGTCCTGCCACCAGAATCAAGCTCCAAAGCTTCCAGCTCCAGCACTGTTGCTACGTCTCAAACAGAGTAAGCCCCGCCTAGACTTACTACTTGGCAATTAAATCCTCTCTACCCTCTGCTCGGCACTGAAATACTTTCTGGGTGGGAAGCGTCACCAGCAGGCTGTTCACACTCACCGGAGGGCTGAAGAGCTCCATTGTAGCAATGCGCCCGTAGATTGGGACGTCCATCAGGGGCTAAACACAGCAGAAAGCACACAAGTGAGCGCCAAGACCATATTACAAATCCCAAACCCAAGGATAGTGCACTGCATGAAACCACTGAGGATGCTAAATCTCTTGAGATTTTTCACGTTGCCTTGCCGTCCTAGGGTGGTGGAGAGTTACACAAAACATAGTACATACAAGAGAAAGATGGGCGTTCTTGTAGGAACGATTTGGTACCATCTGAGGATCTTAGCAACTACATGTAATAGAACTTGTCTGCCTGCGGAGCTCTCAACAACATACGGTCGCACCAAGTATGTCCCACCAAGCTAAAGTGATTGATTCAACGCCCCAGAAAGAAAGAAGTTTCGTTGCAAATTTGCTGCAAAAAGCAAGATTAGAGTGGGCAAACAGCTTCCATATGACCATGTCTTTCCGCCACCACTAATAGGGCAACCAATGACCTTTTTATATTTCAGCCGCTGCCACTTGAGTTGGTGATGACAATTCCCGCCAAGCATCTGTGTAGAATCCAGACGGGCAAGAGTCTTACCTGAAGCCCCTGAGGCGTGAGGAGGTGAATCTCGATGCGCGTGCATTTTCTGACGGGTGGTAGTGCGTCAAGGAAAACTGGCTTCCTTTCTTAGGGGCCACAGGCACTTGCACAACATACTTACAAAGATTGAGCTATGCTAAGGACATTGGCTGCTGAATAAACGCCCCACAAGCACAACCAGAATTATTGATTAGTATAGATGAGCAGACCTGGCAAAGCATAAACAGGTGAAGGGGACGCCGAAGTCCACCTAACTCTAGAATGTCCGATTGATCAGAGCCACATGCAGGACAAAGTGCTTCACAAAGACACCATAAACCCTGAAAAGAAAGAATAACATGCAGACACCTTTTTGCGGAATCAAACTGAATCCATTTAAACCCCTGGAAGTTGCCCAGGTTGCAAGACTAGGTCACCTTTACCAAGAAACCACATTCAGAGACTCAATTGCAAGCATATAACAGCAGCACCGCCTTGAGAGGATACGCAATGATCAAGTTCAGGTGTGTGGGGCTTGTGAAGTTCCCAACCGCAGAGTGGGTGACATTCGTCGGCTTATGAGCCGTCACTACGTAATTGTAGATCGACATGGCTGCCGGCCCTCATTCAACAACCCCTTTGGTCCACAAAAATATGCTCAGCTGCCGAGTAGGGAAAAGCCCTGCTGTCAAGTGCCGCGACGACCAAAATTTTCCCTCTAAGGCTTCTCTACTTCCTCATGGCGGTGCCAAACACTGGTACCGCAAGCAAAGCCACTTTCTGCTAGCTTCTCCTCTGTATCCCTGACGCCCATCAACAGTGTGCACTGTGTCTATTTGTGTGACAGTTCGAAGAACAATTTCAACTTGAAATTCAAGAAACGAGAAAGTGAAGAAGCTGAAGAAGACGCAAACCCATTTTCGCATTAGCTTGGTAACCCGGCTTTTCTAGAGGAGAACAGGGTTAAGCGAATCGTTGTACTAACCAGTCCCGCCAAATTGCAGCTTGAGGGTGGAACCTCCATCTGCACAGCCTCAGGTGCATTGGTGCATTTGGAGCTCACTCTTTTCTCACACTGTCTAGCTTGTCGGCCTCGGAGTTGCTATTCTCAAACTCTTCACAGGCCAGAGCTCAGGAAGTACTGCCAGAGCGCCCTGCCTCGATGAGGGCTGCCCTTTCAGCGGTCCCAATTGCCCGGGCACTGTCCAGTTCCCCCGGTCTCTTGCACGGTAGCAGACGGAACTGTTGCATGCGGAGCAACGAAGTGCTTGGCAGAGTGGTGGCATTCGCAGGTGAATCAAAGCAGAGTATGATCCTCTGTCTTCAGTATTAAGTTGCAAGGGAAAATTGCATCACCAGAGAATGTGGACAATGGGAATGGACTTTCGGTACAATTTGCACTGCAATGATCGAGGTGTTCTTTGCAGCTTGTTCTTTACATAAGCAGCCAGAGTCCCAGCTGGATGTAGAGCAACAATTGGTGTGAAACAATCTGTTACTGATCAGAGAGGCACTTGAGTTTCCCAATACAATCATCGTAGGCCAGCATTGGAGATGGACACAGTTGTATATCTTACGCGGCTCAGTAATGTATGGTGACAGTCGCGATGATGGCCGCTGCCTCACGTCCGCTGGATGAATGCAGGTTCAGGAACCGGGAACTCAGTGGCCGCCAGCCGTTTGAGCAGACACCTTGGCATCAGCAACAGATCCATAGAAAGCCAGACCAGACTCTTCTCAAGCAATAGCAGGTGACAATTGCTAACCTTGACTCTTTGACCTCTAGCACGCTCTCAACTCTTAAAAATGCAGCACCTCCTAAACTCCAAGTTTCAGCCATCTTTCCATCAACGGAGCAGCATCCAATGCTGGTTGTCAAGGAGGCATTAGTCCAAATATATCTTGTGTGGAATTGATCGGTGGTAGTTGTCATCAGCTTATAGAGCTCGCTTTCGCAGGCCCATCTCCACCACCTGCATGGCGGCCAGTCAGGAAGAACAAGCGGCGGCTGCCGCAGCAAAGACCAAGTCTGATGATCAGCCGACGCTGTAAGTGCCTGTGACTATCATGTCCTCATTGGTGGCTGTTGCGCATGAGTCCAAGCGTTAGGAAAGGTGCTCTCACCCGAGCTGTGAGATGTTCAAAGAAACTGATTGAGGCACCTTGATCCTTGAGGTGGTCAAGTGTCCCTCCATTTCGCTCAGGGTTTCTTTCTTTAGGTCGATCAACTTCACATCCTTTCGACATAATGTGCCAGTCCCACGCTTGAAAGAGAATCTAAAACAAATCGAAACATACATCTCACCTTCATTTTGACTCTTCCGTTGATCCAAGCTTGTCTTCTCCTCATCCAGCAATCCGCACACCAGGCGCAGTTCCCCCTGTGCAGTTTCGACAAGATCATCAGCAAGGAGATTCCTGCAACCATAGTCTATGAAGACGACCTTGTGCTGGCGTTCCGTGACATCAGCCCCCAGGCGCCGACGCACATCATTCTGGTGCCCAAGCAGAGAAACGGCCTTACGCAGCTCTCAAAGGTGTGCATATCAGGGCTTTCGGTGCAGCATCTTGAAATCATGTATGAGTCACTCCTTTCAGTTCCATTTTCCATCTTGGTTTCCAAGTCGTAAGTCTCCCCTGATTGCTTCGTATCTCCTTTCCACGACTCGCGTCTTCTCCCCGTCTTTCCCAGACGAGGGTCATGGAGTAAAACAGTACTCCGCACACTGTTTTGAGATTATGCAGAGTTGCTCAAAGACTTGCACGAGGCCCCGTTTTGACGCCCCCAACTCGTCTTCTGGTTGCGTTGTCGCATTGTTGTTTCCTTCCCTCCTGTAATGCTTTTACAACTCTTCTCAGATGCACGATGAAGTACAATAAAAGGCTCTGTGCCCGGTCGGAACTTGACGCAAACAGTTTATCCGTCACTTTCGTTCGACTGATTTTAAAACAAAAAGGCAACAGCCGGACATGAGACAGACAATAGCAAGTGAAAAGCGGAAATTAGACGTTTGTTTGTACAGGCCACAGAGGGCAACAAGGAGGTTTTGGGCCACTTGCTCCTGAAGGCAGGGGAAATCGCCAAAGCGGAGAAGCTGGATGAGGGCTTCCGGGTGGTTATCAACAACGGGCCGCAGGGATGTGAGTAGTTTTTGCTTGACTAACTCTTCTCTTACAGAGAACATGTCCGGGACTGATTCTTTTGTGGAGCGTGAATCCTGTACATGAGTCGGGAATTAGAAGTCTAAATGGTCGATGGTGGCACACGAGATGTCCCTTTGCATCTGAAGGTTGAGCGATCGTGATGTTTCAGAAATTAGTTTTGGAAGTATGTGACATCAGGACCCGGAAATCCTAGACGTGAGTAGTGCCGACTTTGATTGACAACAACATGCTTCGTACGACCTGGCTTCGAAGAGGAACTGAGTGAACGTCGTCCCACACTTTTCCCTGAACGTCGTCGCGAGATAAGAGCAGTGACGTTGCGATTGCCTGCCTGCAGGTCAATCGGTGTACCACCTTCACCTGCACATCATTGGTAAGAAAGCGGCTCTCGATGGCCGGGCTTTCACGTGCGGCCAATATGAATGCATCGATTGAGTGTATGCCATGAGAGGCCTATCGCCTATTGGCACGGCTCTGTAAACAAAAGCAGACCATCAAACCCAAGGGTCATGAGCGCGCGGAAGGTCGAACGTTTCCCCAAAGATTTGTGTTCAAAACGTGTCCAATCGTCGTCGGCGTCGGGCTCAGTCCGATGCAGCAAATGGACTGTCATTCAACTTTAGATCCTGGCCAAAAGAGGAAGCGGAAGCTGCATTATCGAGGACTGAAGCAGCCTGCATTCAAGGTAGAGCAGACGCGAAGAATTCCAGCGTTGGCCGGGACTCAAGTCGTTTTTGGGCGGGTCTAAATCGGAAGCGCTTTTCTTGCAGGCGGTCGTCAGATGAAGTGGCCTCCCGGTTAAGTCCTTGCAGCAGCATACTTTTCGGTCGCTTGGAAAGAGTCAAAATCTGTTGATGAAGTTGGGGTGGCGCAGAGTTGCAGAGAGCCGCCGCCCAGCGGTTTATGCGGGCAAGCCAGGAGCTATCAACAGTGATAGACGTCCGCGTTACTCCGTTCAGTTCCAGCTTTCGTTAGCTCTGATTTCGGACACTGTTGGTTCTCGCGATCATGTGCATGGCATGATTGAGTCACACTGAAAGCGGCACTGTAGAATGCGCGGCCTTAGGATCTAGTGCAACGTGAATCCAAGGATCTGAGGTGGTACAGGATCTTTCTTTGATTTCCCAATCATTTGCTCGTCATCCCAAGTTTCTCCAAGTACCAGACCATGGACGGGGTACCTGCCAGCGGTGGGCAGCGAAATGGGGTTGACACTTTGAGATGATGTTGCCTTGCGCTAGCGCAATGCCGCGTGCCTGAGCGGCTTCGAGTTGGAACATAATGCGTGCAGGTTTTCAACTCGTGAATGTGCTAGCTGGGCGCTAGGACAATCGTGAGCTCGAATTGGCCGATCTCCACAATAGTAACCTTTTTGGGGGGTTTACTGAAACGTCCGCATGTTTAGTGCATATGAAGCTAACTATAGCATACGCATTAGTACATATATATACATTAGTGATCATTAAGACCGTATACACACATTGCATGTCATTGTTGAGCAAAGCTCAACTTACCAACTGACGTAGCATGCAAATATAGATTCGAATTAGGGTAACAAGCGTTCAAAGGTCAAACATTGTATGCCATGGAAAGCCTATGGCCCATGTGTGTGGCTCTTGCGTTTGACTGAAAGGCTTCGATGTTCTCTTCGATCGAGCGTCCTTTCCTGAAGCCCGCAACCATTTGGGTGCGCGCGCAGATTGCATGGGAACTCCTATATAGTTTCATCATGGTTGTTTATCCTTGATACATTCGGCCAGAGGCCTAGCCCTCAGGGCATGCAGCTTGGATGTTGTTTTGAATAGCTGTCTGGCCCTGATCAATATCGAAGGTATAGCAGATCTCGCACTTGGCAGGGCTCATTTTGAAGATCTGGCCGGGCGCGCTATATTGCAAACAAGCTGGGCCACAAGGACAGATATTTGCTTACCATGCAAACAACGAATACCCGAAGGTCGGAAATCCGGAGGTACTGATTTGAGTTATTGTCGAAAGGGCAGAGTAGTGGTCCTTATTTGCAGCCTTACAGGTTCAAGTGCCAGATTCACCAAGACTATAGCTGTGCGCAACAACTTATACCAACTGATGACGCTATGTAATCGGCTGTGTATGTATGTAACCTTGACGACATTTTTCATCCCTATGTATCCGCTATCGAAGTTGCACCAACGTCCCCTCATGCAACTCGTATAACAGGTCGATTCATCATCTAGTTAGCCTGACCAGCTTGCGTGCTGGTCCTCAATCCCCTACCCAATTATTCACAAAGCGCATTGATATATATCTAACGACAGCAGCATGTTTTTTCGCAGAGCCTTCGCAGAACCAGCCTATTGCTCACCCGGCAAGAGCGTATCCCCGAAGGGAAGGTCGCAGACACCACCAAACTCTCCGAAGAGGTGCTTGACGCAGTTCTTCTCGGCCTGGAGCTCCTCCTCGCTCTGCAAAACACAAGCAAAAACACGTTTTGAGCTGACTTTTCCCAAGAAAATTTCCTCCTGTTTCAAAAGATCAATTTCTACTCAACGGATAGGGCGGACTCTGACCAGCTCAGACGATCCGGAGCCATGTCAAAGATGAGAGAGCAACAATGTCGTCCCAAAGAAAGTGACCTTCTTTCTTACACAAAGCATCACGAAGGGGCTACACGACGAAAAGTTGATTCAAGACGACACAAATCAAGGGATAATGTAAACCGCTTTTACCTTCTGAATGCGTTCTCGCAACCACGCGTCAATTTCTAGGCCGCTCACGACCTCGTAGTTGCCATCACCCTGCAAATAAAAAAGGCAGAAGTGAATTTCGGCAGTATAAAGTTTCTACTTGCCACCGTTAAAATCAAGAACTCCGGTTCCTTGCAATCGCCCACATGTAAGAACATGTACATAACAACGTTTTTTTAAAAATCCCCTTTTCTGAAATAGAAACAATTACCGGCCACTCAGGTCGAGTCGGTCGGACCAGGTTGAAAGCTGACCAGTACTCAAGTTTCCAAAACCAGTGCGTGCTTTATGGTCTTTTCGCCAGATTGCCTGGCCGCACTTCCATGGAGAGTTAATGCGACGAGTATCAACTTCCGAAGTAGTCCGGGTCCCACCCTAAATCTCATACCAAGAACTGAAAGAACAGGCGGATCAAGGGGTCAGCTCGAAAGGCGGTTAGCCCTTCTGCACGCAAAAAAGACAAATGCGACCTCTGATTAACCTCACTGGAGCCTCGCTGCTAAGCTCGGCAGATGGTCGCCACGTCAGCCAGCCGCTCACATAGACAATCACCAGCCGTTCCCACTACTTTGTTCTTTGATGATAAAAACAGGCCAACATTTACCACCGATCAGTGAAAATCACCCTTACCTCTGATCTGCAGGGCAGACTGAAGACCAGGTCCTGTGCGATTCCGTAGGGGTTCCCTTCCGACCAGACGCCGGACGAGAACCAGTCACCCTCCGGAGTGGGCGTGACCAAGCTTTTGATGGCGTCAGCAATGGACACGGCCGTCGAGGCAGCGGAAGAGCGGCCCCACTTCTTGATAAGCTTCCCTCCCCTCTGCAAAATACGTCGTGAAGTTTAAGGTAGGGCCACGCAAAAATGCAAGCAGGATGATCGGAGTAAACTGCGCTCGATCTCTTGTTGCGTATGTCCCTGTGTTGACGCCCCGGTTTGCACTTCGAATCATCAGGTTACAAGAAAAGAGAACCACATTAGAGAGAATGTCAACACATCCGCTTCCCGGGTCGAAAGCTTCTGAATTGGACAATGCTCCACATGCTCGAGCCCTCGTGTTGTTCTACTGTAACGAGGAGTGGGACTGTATTCAAGAAGAAAGCTGCCTGCACTTGGCAACTACTATCGGACTATCAAAATGAGCAAGTAACATGCGCCACAAGCTGTTGAAGAACTGCTCATCAAGAGCTTGGAGGCAGATGCTGTGCAAACTTCCCCTTCTGAACTTTCAATGACCAGTCCGTCGTAAAATGCAGAAGCACCAGCCAAGCGGGAGCAAGCGTGGCTCCACGCAAAGAAGATCCGCAGACAGAGTAGATGAATTATAGCATCGGTCGGAAGATTTCTCCTCTTCTTGGACAACGACTCAGTCCGTCCAAGGTCCTGAACTCTTAGATAAAAAGCAGTGCACAATTCACGGATAATGTTGGGCGCCACTAAAGGCAATATTCAATTTGTACTTTGGTAGGGACTCCCCACTTTATGTGACAGGTCTCCGCAGATGACTTTGTTTCGTCTAACAGGTTACAGTACGTGTCACGAATGGTGGCAGTCAAATGCAGAGACACTCAGCACAGCAAGGAAAAGAGACTCGAAGAGGATCCAACGGGCAAAACTGCACTATACCGTTGGCAGGGCCATTCCAACGAGAAACCTTTGGCCAAGCCCCAGAAAAGCTTACCGTTTGGATGGCGGGCGTGAAGTCGTTTTCCAGCCAGTGCGTGTCCTTGATGACGTCCTTTACAGGGTGACCGTAGATCTTGGCGTTCACGAAGTCGGGGACTTGAGTGGTGGAGTGGTTACCCCAGATGGTCATGTTGGTTACCGCATCGTACCAGACGCCGGCCTTGAGGGCCAACTGCAAGAGGAGGCCTTGTCAGGAACGACACAACTGCTCCTCAGTCCTCTGTGCTAATCAAAACAATGACGGAGTCTCTAATAACAAGGCCTTTCGACCACATATCGTCACCTGAGTCAAAGTAGAGCCTGATCTGCCCCACCTTTCGGGCCAGCTGCAATACATTCCCCCCCCCCATCTAACGTGTATTTCATTCGTTCTTCGTCCGCTCTTCTTCTTTTCTCCCAATCAAATCTGGTGGGATATGAAATCAACCACTACCTCCAAAAACGTGAGCAGTCTTTGCCAAAATCGAACAGAAGAGGAGAGAATACAAGTTTAAAATGTGGCATGTGCTGTCTAGATCTTTCGTTCTGAAGGATCACACACTCTGGGGTCAAAACTTTCATATCCAACGGCACTCACCTGGCACTTAGCCCTATTCTCGTCCAGCCGAGTCAATGCGTGGAAGTTCTTTTTGGGGATGTCGGGTGCGTTCTCCATGCAAATCAACGCGCTGCAAGCAAGAGTACAAACCTTGAGCTTGTACAATCACCGCACCTGATCATTAAATACAGCATGCACCTCTTCAAAGATTGAATTGGTTATCAGGATAAGAAGCTTCTTTCCTACGGTCGGTCTCTTTGGTCGAGTAGCGTCAAGTCAAACTCACTTTGTATTGCACGGGTTCCCAACAACCAGAACCTTGACGTCCTTGTTTGCAACAGCGTTCAGAGCCTTCCCCTGCACCAAGCAAGGCAAACTTTAGCACCTCTGGCAGGAGCCTCTGCAACAGTCAGCAAGGGTCGAGCTCAGTTGTCCGTCGAGCTCCAATAAGCCTCGTGGTTACTAGTGGACTCAGTACCTTAACAGGAGGTAGAATTGTGACTACAAAACGTTGTGTAGATGTCACACAAGAAAGCCTTGCGGGTTTGTGTCTCAAACCTGTAGCTTAGCAGATTGAAGAACACCTTTCCACCATAGATGACCAGTAACCAGGCACCACAGCCGAGAAATGCAATTTGCCATCCAGTACCACTGACCTGATCGGCGAAGATCTGCCCGTTGAGTTCTAGAAGGTCACTGCGCTCCATGCCCGGTCCGCGTGGCTTGGCGCCAATCAACAGCGCCCAATCCGCATCTCTAAACACCTGCATCGGCTCAACACCGATGCTGACTTCCCGCAACAATGGGAACAAAGAGTCCTCCAACTCCATAGCAACACCTGAAGACAGAGACTCTTGTTAGATTAGGCTTATTCTTTGTTAGTGGCTCAAAAGCAACGCAAGGACAGCTTGCACACTGAAAACAGAGGGAAAGCACACCGAAAAGTAGCTGACCAGGCCATGCACAGTGTTCTCCCCAAATCTCTTCAGTGGTGGTGATGCAGAGCTCTTAATTGAAGTCAGAACACTCACAGCAATTTGACCAGCTGACAAGGACATATTGCATGGTGAAGTATTACTACGCACATCAAAAGGGAAACTTGCCTTCAAGTGCCTCCCGGGACCTAGAGGAGCCGAGAAGGTTCAGAGCGATGGGCTGATCCTGACCAAAGACTTCACCAGCGGCAATCTGCAGAAATCAGAAAAGGTGGTGAGAACTCTGCAAACAAGTTATGAGCTAGATAAGTGGTATCCTGCCCAAGTCTCAAAAAGATCAATCACCAAAACCACCTCCGCCACTCTGTTGGCAGATAAGTTGATTGGAGAGACAGTCAGTAGATGCCAACATCGTCGGGGCTTGGGGCGCCCTACCTTGAAGAGAAGGTGGTTTGAGATTTGGCCAGCGGCGCCGGACACAGCAATGCGCAAGGTCTTCTTCCAGGTCTTCGGCTTCTCTTCCTGCAGAAGCAACCAATCAAGCTCTTGTAAGTCCGACAAAAACATTGGCCTGTGAAAGCTCTCGACAGCACTCCGCTTGCTGAGGGGCAATGCAGAACCTCATGCAGGCTGAGAAGCAGCCAGAATGAGATCCGCAATGAAAGGAAAAAAATCAAAAGCAGGCTCCCGATCTTGCTCTGCAGTACTCCAAGCCAGCAGTGCCCTTCAGTCACAAATAGGGCGCACGCTTAGAGATCCCTCACCTTCGTAGGATCGTAAGTGAGGCAGAAAACGCCAAAGCAATTGTCGCCTTCGCTCACTGCTCCATTCTGAGAAGCAGCAGCTTCTGGCTTGGCAGGGCTGCAGTTGGAAGGGGGGAAACTGAGAATACTTGCGAGAAGGTCATCCGGTTAAAGGTGGAACTCATGTCTGAACTCATTTTGTCTATATGCCAAGCCACCAAAGCAATTGCCAAAACACCTTGGACAACATGCATTTGGCATATGATTGATAGATACACAATTATAGATACAGAACAAATCAAATAACAAAAGCACGCCTGTATATCAGAACCCTAAACTGCACATGTTGAACTGCATGCTTCCTTCGTATGAATGCGAAGGGATAAGCATGCTTGACAACTAGAGTGACAACAGATGATACTACTCAGATCAGCGAGTAGAAGCTGCACAAGCAGGTGCACAACGGCAGCTGAAGGGAAACCCTGATCATTAGCAGGCTCCATAGTACCAGCCAAGCTTCATGTCATTGAACTGATCTAATCAAGCTTAGTATTGAAGCCAATGGATCCCCCATTCGATTACATGCAACAATATCCACTCAACATGGCTAGTCTAGCCAGACAAACATGGTAATCATTTGCATCTGGAAATGGTGATCTTGCAGGTGTGCAAAAAGCCTCCGTAGAAGAGAATGCATCAAATCATTACCACATGTTTTCGTGCAAATCAAGCACCCACTGAACTCATCCAACACAATGATGGAATTGCTCACCTTCCATGCACACCAAACTATAATGGTAGCTTCACACACTACTCAGAGGATTTTTCGGCAAGATTGTCGAACCCAAAAGATCAGGGCCCAGAGACACCTCTGATCAGGCAAACTGCAAAGAAACTGGAGAGGTAGCACGAGTCAGATCCGGGTTTTGAAAAGAAGCACTGGATAGCAGAAAGTAATCCACTAACCTCTCTGCCAAAGCTGCGCGCACTCCTCCCCCCCTTGTTGCCTGCTTCGATCTTCCCATACCATTGTGCTTTGCCTCAAATGAGGGCACAAACAAGGATCTCCGCAGATTCAAGGGAGCAGCATGTATCTTCCTGTCCAGAAGCTTGCTCTGAGAAACTCCAGCAAGAGTGCCAGCCGCACTCTGCAGGGTTGCTACTTTGGCTGCTGCCATGGTGAAACCCAAAACTCAGCAAGATGCACCAAATCAGACCTTGACAAATCGGGCGATGAGGCGAAATCCAGCGACGGTCTCCGCTTCAGAGCCTGCCAAGAGAAGCTGCGTTTGACAACTTTGCACGAAGAGATCCTTCCACGGCGCCCTAAACCTCGTGTAGTAAGGAAAGCCTGTGTTTGGTTTGGTACGTGACGAACAGATGCGCTGAGGGCAGCCCACTGGCACTGGCACAGGTTGGCCTTGGAACCGTCGCCCAGAAGGACTCAAGACAATTCGGAAACTTCTTCCCGGATAATTTTGTGGATTTCCCAAAACTTCCGGCCATGTGGCACCAAGTGGATATTTTATCCACGTGGAGCGCTTCAAGCTTTGAAAAGTGCCATGTGGGTTTTGATTATGACGCAAGCCTGCCGTCATCAGATTTTGCAGTCTTCAAGTTCGTGCACTGACTACAAAGCGCAAGGGGTACATATTACAAAGAAGCCAAACATTTTTCGGGAAGTTGGCGATTGTCCTAAAGAGGTAGGTACCGCGCAAGCTTGATTTCAAGTACCATTACAAGCGAAGGTACCCACCACTGCACGGTCTCTGTACCGGGCCAGATTGCTACCGGGGACCCTCCGACCAACACTAAAAACCTGAATACAGTGACTCAACCCCAACTCCAACACCCTAAGTCGTTCCGTCATAGCCCACCCTAACCCGCCCACCAACCCCACCAAAGTCACTCGGTTGTGCTCGATGAGAAGTGCCCGGCTCAAATACCCTGCGTCGACGAGCATTCTATTCCCAAAAATGTTTGGCTTCTTTGTCCATTTTGCCTGACTAGGTAGCTCCGAGAGCACAAATCGACAATCCCACCTGGTGGCCATCATGGCTGCAATTGTAAAGTAGGTACCCGAATCGATCAGGGAGACTTTCTTGGGCGGCAGGTGGCGGCAACTTCAAGTGGGTGCATAGAAAATTGAGGATAAGTGTATTGTAGCTTGAAGTCTCGGTCCTTCTGCTTGAATCGATATTGGAAATAGGTGCCCCCTAATACATTTGTTGCCTGCCAATATTGCAAACTTCCGCTTACGTGCTGGCCCGCGACAATTCCAACCGCTCTTTCCAATTTACTTCAACTGGCATGCCGCATTGCAATCATGATGCTTCGTAATCAGCTTACCACCACCTTGCTCATCCTTAGTAGCTTTCTCCTTATAAACCAATCGGTACTTTGTACTGAAAATACAAGCAGACATAGTTTAGCCCCATTGGACGGCTACTTGAAAGAAGCACGCCAACAGGTGCGGAGGTTTCGTGCCTAAACTCTTCTGAATCCCACATTGTAGAACTATGGCAAAATTGTCATATGAAAGTGATTCCATATGTGGACGTGCCTCGATGATAGGAACACCAACTATGCGAAGTGGTGGCTTGATTCGCAGGTTTGATTAAGTACTAAGTTTTGACCGAAACCTTAAACGATGGTTTAAAGGCACTGGGCTTGCAGGCAAATATGCTTTCTCGATACTTCATCATCAATTCTCCCCATCGTTGTTGACAGAAACCTCAGAAAAATTAAGAGGATTCTTAAGGTTTCCCTGAACCCTTGCAAAGGCCTTGGTTTGTCCAAATGTAGAGCCATAACCCTCATGAAAAGGAAGAATATTAAGGGTTCATTCGCGAGGGAGAGAAGGCAGCTCGCACTAGCAAAGACAACGCTTCTATTTTTCTCAGATCCGGTTCAATGATCCCAAATATGAAGCTACACTTGAAAGTCCAGCCCATTTGTAGTCTTGTCTACCTGGAGGATCATGAAATACACCTTCACCAGACTTTAGCTTCAACAAAGTACTGCCTCATGTACTTTTGCAGGATGTGGCATCATGGATCACAGGCATCCGGCGGGAGCTGCATCAGTACCCGGAGCTTATGTACGAGGTGAGGGAACCCTTGTCTTTCAAACTAGAGCCAACTTGTCTGGCGAGTTTCACCTTCATTGTTACGAATCTCCATGGATCGCCGCAGCTTACTCTGGCGTTCACAAATTTTGAATCTGCATGCTTGGTCACAAAACGCATTAACAACTCGCTTTCCAGTACGATCACCCACCTTTGACCAGGAGTTGTGAGCTTATAAAACCCTCAGGATTAGACAATTGATTGGATTTTCATTGGCTTACATGTGGCTGTCCGTTGGTGATGAAAATGAGCGCATCGCTTCGCAAAACCCTCGACCTCGCTGGTCAAAAAAAATGACGGTCCATTGCTTTTGAACCATGCACTTTCACCCTCAACAGGAAGTGCAAACGAGCGCCCTCATCCGCAAGACCCTCGACTCGCTGGGCATCAAATACAAGTACCCCCTCGGAAAGACGGGCGTCGCCGCAACATTAGGAACTGCAAATGGACCCCACGTCGCGCTGCGAGCCGACATGGACGCTCTCCCGATCGCCGAGGCTGTCGAGTCTGAGTTCAAGAGCAAGAACGAAGGGAAGATGCACGCGTGCGGTCATGACGGGCATACGTCCATGCTGTTAGGGGCGGCTCGGATGCTCAAAGCCAGGGAGAAGGAGCTCAAAGGCAAGGTGAGACCCGGTGTTCCGACACAGTCCTGTGCCTTCCAGTTGATGCTCAAATTGGGTCGCTCGTCAGGGTCTCAAGCTCTGATAATCGCCTGTGGGCATTTACGAAACAGGTAGCGAGGAACTTCTTGAATCTTTGAACTCGGGTCAAACGTTTCTCGAGAACTGGCGGACTGATGCTGTAAGATTTGGTCCTCTGTGGTTAAAGTGCGCCAGTTCCCCTGTGCCCGCAATTACTGGTCGTCTGATGAATCTCAGTACTAACCACGATAACCCCTGGTTTGCAGGTAACTCTGGTTTTCCAACCGGCCGAGGAGGGCGGCGCGGGGGCCCGCCTGATGATGGACGAGGGCCTCTTCGCAGATGACAAACCGGACTTCGTTTTTGGGTTACACGTTGACCCCTCGCTTGAAACCGGGCGGGTTTCGTTAACACCCGGAACAGTGCTCGCAAGCTCAGGGGCGTTCATTGCCAAGATAAGCGCGAGTGGGAGCCACGCGGCCTTCCCACACCTGACGGCAGACACGATCGTCACAGCTTCGGCAGTAGTTGGAAGGTCAGCGAATTCCACTACCCTTCTGAGGACAACTCTGCGCGCTGTTGGTTGATACCGTTGGTCCTTTAAAAGGTCCCGGGATTGAAGTTTGTCTGGGGGTCGAGAAACATCATTTGGTCGTCAATTGACGTCCTTAGCAGATATGCGCAGTGGTGACGGGCTGCTCGCCTGGACTGCGATCCCTCTTTGTGCGCTGTTTTCTCAGCAACGAAAGTCGACAGTAGAAAAGTGAGTGTTTTCGGAAGCGATTAAAAGCATGAGATCTGTCAAAATGTCCTCAAGAAATGGCAACTTACTTTGGCTTTGCTTAACGAATATGAGAAAGGAACCGTACAGACGTGGAAGTTGGCTCAGCTTCGTATCCGTGTCGGGGTAAGTCTCGAAGGCTTTCGGCCCATAGCTTCTCTTCGTGTTACCGGCACATATGCCCAGCTCTCCCATTCGAAATCAATCAACGTTTTCTGGTTGACTCCACTGTTTTCGCTGGTTGGACTGAGTGCTTTGATTTCTTGTCGTCGTTGGTCCAGCTTCGTGAATTTAAGCACCTCGTCTTTCTGGTTCAGCCTGCAGACCCTGATTGCCCGGAAGCTGGATCCCCTCGAAGCGGGCGTCGTGTCCGTGACGATGATTCACGGAGGGACGGCGCTCAACGTGCTGCCTCCGGAGGTCGAGATTGGTGAGACTCGAAGCTCTAAGCCGCCTTTGCTAACCCGGGTACCTTAACCTCGCACCCAAGATGTTGCACGGGCAGTTCGCAATTCATAAGGTGCAAACTTTTACAAAAGTTGAGTTATATTCTACTTTCCCCCGCCTATGTCAGCATCATCGAATACCAGGTCGAAAAGAACATCTTGGGTGCAAGGTAAAGGGGCCCAAGTTCGCGTCCAGTTTCTTTCCCGTTCAGGATTCTCTGCTCAGTCTACAATGCCAACAGAGAGAGCTTACTTCAAGAGCCCGCTGTTCTTGAGAAAGTCCGAACGTGGTCTCGAGGAAATGGCAGTAATACGATGCAGTTTGCGCGAGTGGATATTCAAAAGATTGCTCTTGCCTCTCGTAATCTTGTCTAAAGGAAGCCTCAAGCAGAGAGCAAAGAACCCTAACTTGAGTAGCTCAGTCGATGGTCGTGCATCGGATCTGATGACGACTGCCACCTCAGGGTTGATCAGTCGGCGGTAGATAATGTGGGAGACCAATGACGGACAGTCTCGTCCGGGTGCTTCCGCAGGCGGAACGTTCCGTTCGCTAACAATGGAAGGGCACCACAAGCTGCAGCAGTGGATCGAGCACACCATCACTCAGCAGGTGAGGAACGTCGCCCAACTCTTCCTGGAAAGGAACTTTCTATTGACATTCCGTATCGACCGGACCCCTGCTCATTGGCCAGTCCTCTCCAGTGTCGGCCCCTTTGATCAGTACGGACAGTATTTGCGGACCGTGTCAAGCTCGTGATACCTAGCATAACTTGGAGAATCTCCTCTGGTACTGCGATGATCGACGCCGTATGCAGACCGCACCAACCCGCGAACTTTCGAGTCGAAAGTCTTGTCGAAGACTCTTTTCAGCTTGACACCTCGTTAAAGCGCAAATAGGAACGCGTCGCCCTCGTGTCCAGGCCGCCGTGCACGGGTGCAACAGCTCGGTCGACTTCCTGGAGGACCGCCACCCGTCATACCCCCCCACCGTGAACGACGCTGCCGCCACGGCATATGCACGCAGCATATTGGAGCAGTGAGCTTCCACGTGCCTATCCCTGAAGACCTCCAGCGCAAGGCAACAGATTTAAATAGGTTTCCTCATCTCGATTAGCGTCCGAGGTCCTGAGGTCTGCGAGTTTGTTGAACTGCGGCGCCCTGCAGAGGGCGTCATTTCGCCATTTTAGGTTATTGCGGCTGCGTTTTTGAATCGTGAACTTGAATCGTGAACCTAGTCGCAGCGCCTCGTGCTATCTGGGGTGTAACCTGGCGACACAGGCAGTCGTGACACTGCCTTTCTGGTCGTTGAGTGAAACTAAATCTGCCCTTGCATACTTTGGGAAAGGTTGTTGACACTCACTTTTCACACGACTCTTGCAATCAAAGCGGTTCTTGCAGCATGCGGCGCGAAATGTAAACTCGCTGATAGGCTTCTGGAACGTTACTCGAGGAAGGTTCCTGTGCAGGACTCTGGGCCTGCAGAGCGTCTTCCCCCAGGCCGCCCCGGAGATGGCCGCAGAGGACTTCGGCTTCTTCTCCCTCCGCTTCCCGTCCTGCTTCTGGCTGCTGGGCACGAGACATAATACCTCCAAAAGTGCCGCACTTCTGCACACCCCAAATGTGAGTTTGTAGGTCCATCTCGCGTCTCTCAGTCCGGCTCAAGATCGTGTTTCTTACACTTTTTGCAGGGTCGTGGGGGCAGAAAATGCACTACCAGGCACCCCCTGGATGGGCGCGGAAGACTTTGGCTTCTTCACGCAGCGCTTCCCGTCGTGCTTCTTCATGCTGGGGGTCAAAAAGCCGGGGACGGACAGCGCAGCAAAGCTGCACACCGGAACGGTGGGTGAATAGTCTTTGGGACATTTTGGAAGCTTGCAAGCCGCTGGCGCTTGTTACTGCAATTGTTCGCATGTTTAAATTTGTGTCGTATTGCAGGCTTGCCTGAGTTCACCTTCTAAGTCGAATCGGATTCGACGATCTGTTCCTCGAAGCTTCGTTTTAAATCTCAGTGATTGGGCTGCCAACTCTGGTCGTAAGCGGACTCAGGATTCGTCATCTGGATCCGATCTCGCGTTAGTTTTATGGTTCGGGCAGGCCTACGACAGGCAGTGAAATAAACACAGCCTCTTTGGCAGTTTAGCCCAGCTACTTTTACAAGTCTTTTTAAAGAAAGGGTCCGTCTCAAGTCAAAGGTTTCTTCCGAAATCTTCTTGCTTCTATTGCCTCAAGCCTGCCTTCGCTAGTCCTCTGTCCGCTCCGCTTTCTGCTCAGTTCAGTTCCGCTGTCCCCCTGCAGTTTGGTCTCGACGAAGATGCGCTTCCAATCGGTGCAGCGCTTCACACGGCGCTCGCAGAGCAATACCTCAAGTCGGAGACCGAGCGCCGAACATCCGACAAAAGAGAAGAACTGTAGGTCACATTTGGGATCACCAATAGCACACCGCAGACGGCTTGGACGAAATTGTAGATATACAACAGCGCTGTATTGTCATCAGCCAATTCTCGCGACTCCGTTCCGTGTAGATATGAATCTGCTGAAAGGATGCGCTTTCATTCGGTTGAGGTGTGAGGTTTGGCAAGGGGTTGCCGAGGTGTTTGATTGAAGTGAACTGCTGGCGTCCGGAGCTTGCGCTCAATGAAGTACATTGGAATGGGGTCACGTTTTGTTCGGTTTGGGAAGCTACAATCAAGCAGCGAGACAGGGCCCTGACTTCGAATGGCTGAAACGTGAATGTAGATTTGACATATGCATGTAGACTCAGACGCGGTTGCAACACTCGACTGTTTGTTACTATCATTGCTCGGTACGTGCCGCGGGCCTACATGAGAAATCCGCCCTTGTCGTTTATGTTGCAAACATGGTCGGTGTGCACCCACCATATATGCGCATGGGGCGCTCATGATGTGTGTATAATCTCTAGCCAAATTGCAGATCGAGGCCCCACTGCCGGGCATGACAGGCACTCATGAGCGTAAATCTTTTCGAGCAGGATTAGCATGTCATCATGTATGTAGAAGGTCGAATTCAAATGTAGACAAGACGTTGCCATGCTCACTAGATGCAAGATCGGACCACTATAACGCAATCTTCCCCACATCATACCATGATGTACTATATACCTATGATCATGGCTGGCTGTCGGGTGCATGATGGTGTGGATTTTTTGGCGCCAGCGTGCTTGTCAGGCCCGCCTTGCGTTTGCCCAGGCTGATCCCCGAAATACCATTTTCAAGGGGCCACCATGCGTTCGAACTTACATGATAGAAGTATATATATGCCAGGTAACTCACCGTGTAGACCACAGCTTCAGACGAAATGCTCAAATAAGCGGGGACATCACGAGCGGCCTTGAAGAACTCATACCCTTTATGGTGGCAGCCATTTCAAGCTGCCCCAAGTCGCCCCTGCATTGCACTGGCAGCAAGTCGCCTCACGAACTAGCTGGGCCCAAACTTTTCATGTGCAGCTTGCACTGCGGCCCCGGGCTCTTTACAATCCAGAACCTTTTAAGGTTAACCCGGCACATACCGGGTGCCTGAATCGCGAGCGTCAACTAGGTATAGGTAGGTAGAAGTGTTGGGTACTGACTCCTGAGTCTTTGACGACTTCTAGAATCCGAGGTTTATATGTCTAACCCAAGCACAGTTTATCTTCGACCTGAGATTTGGTTACATACCTTCTGAACCCAGTGGTTGTTGGGCAAGGTTGACAAGCTGTTGCAGTGCATAGAAGTGGTGGTGCCCTGCATTTGGTGGCATTGAATACAGGGGAAGGTATCCTTGTCAATGTTGGAGGTGGCGCGAATGCAGGAGATTCGAACTTTTTGACGAGCTCGCAGATGCTGATCGGTGCCCGATCGACATCCCAACTCCTTCTTGACCTTGCGGCCAGGGGGCGCTTTGAAAGTTTGCAAGTTCAAACAAGCCCACCGTCTGGTGCTGAGCCCCTGAAAGTCTGCAAACGTTGCGATGAAGGAGGTGGTCACGCTTCAGTTTGGAAACTATGCCAATTTCGTCGGGGCTCACTTTTGGAATTTTCAGGATGAGCTGCTTGGGAGATCTGAGAGTGCCACCGACCAGACTTCTGCAGAAGAAGGAACAAGGGCAGCTGATGTGGAGTCTGACGTGCTTTTCAGGGTGGGAGAGACGCATCAGGTAAGTCGAATTGTCAAAGCTTGGAACGGCCTGCCCCATCTTGCCATCAGTTGCATTGAAGGAGTACCACCCTTTTTTGTCGCAACTCAAAAGCAAAGAATGCTTACTCGATGAATGTGCTGCACAACCTGCTTATTTATCATCTCAATAAGGAAGCCTTCTGGAGATTGTAATCCACAGGCATCTCAGATACTTGGAGGCAATGCTGACCTCAGAATACCCGTGCATGGGTGTCATGCAAGACCTAACATTGTGGAAGGTGGCTGTTTGAAAAGCACTTCAATGTTGTGGCCACATCAAGGAACTTCCAATTGCACCATTTGACCAACTTGTTCTGCATGGGGATGGAATACTCCTATGATGACCCAGAAAACTAAGGTGTTCTTGTCGGTGTCCTCTTCGCCGAATATAACTGAAGGAGAACGAGTTTCTCAATAGCTTCGAAGATACAGTGGGCCTCATCCTGCACTGCTGCCGCCAAGATGGCTTTCCTCTGCATGAGCAGGGAGCCGCGACCTACACCCCCCGCTTGGTGGCACTTGACGTGCGAGGCAGTTCAGGGACCATCCCCCCCTCTGGCGTTCTCTATCAAGCGCCCCTCCCGTCAGCAGACGAGTCCATTATCCAAACATGGGGGGGCCAGAAAGCTGTATACCGGTCACAGCCAATAGAGAAGAACGCCTTTTTGAAGAGCTTAGATGAGGAGGAGGATGGGGAATCAGCAGAGGGAGGTGCGCATGGAAGTGGAATGGAGGTTGATGGGGGGGCGGAAGCAAGGGAAGCTGACTTGGCAAGGGTGGCGGGCCTTGAGGATAGTGTGCAGTATTGGACGGACTACCTCAAGGTGAGTCCGGCATGTGTCACTGGCTAACCTTGTGCAAGGGCTTGACAAAAAGCTGGAAGAATCGACCAAAGTGCTGGCAGAGTAATAGACAGTCTTAATATGCCAATCATCAGCTTCCATCCCTTGGCCCTCATAAACAGTGAAAGCCAGGCCATTTCAACGAGTTCTAAGTCCTTTGATCTGGATTCTTAGAACACCACTGAGCTTGGCCTTACCATCACGTCTGTGAAGTACTCAAATACTAAGAGGTTCGTGGCACTTAGTACGCTGTCTCCCCCCCTCATTGTTATCTGCATCCCAAGACTCATCACATAGCTGAGTATTAAATTGTCAATGCAAACCAGAGTTTGAATCATCAGCGTGACCCGCAGAATCAGGCGCCTCTTATGATACAGGTTCACCTGCATCCAAAGAGCTTGTATGAGCTGCCTGACACATGGCAAGGGATGAACGAGCTGAGCACGTATGGTGAGGGCGTGGCGGCTTTCCAAAAGGAGGAGACCCGCGAGGAAATGGAGGAGAGGGTGCGCTTCTTTGCCGAGGAGTCGGATCACATGCAGGTGAGTTTTTCTGCGGGGGTGACTCTTACGGCTCGTTGCCTGTGTTGCAAAACTTGAACTTGAAAGCATGAGAAGACCGAAGCAAAGGACGCGGTCTAGAGAAGGAAACTCCGTCATGTCTAGAACCACCATCGACTTGGCCCTGCTCCTGCCAAGGAACAACGGTTCTGAAATTCCTAGTCGTCTGCAACTTGTGTATCATTCCACATGACTGTGCTTTGTTGATCGGCAGTGTTGCTCTCACTGCAAAAAGATGGAAATTGAAGGCGAAGATAGGCAGGCGCTCATATAGACTCTGTTGTGGAGAGCCTATGCGAAGAAAGGCTGTGATGGTGCAAAATCTGAGCTTGTGAAGCCCAGGCGGCGTTGTCGACTAACCTGAGGCCTTTCAAGGAACATTGAGCCGCATCCCTTCAAAATGGCACTCCGAGATCCTGTAGCTCGGATTCTTGGTTGGGTGACTGCTGGTCGTAATCTGACGTTGTTTGGCAGCATTTGTGGTCCCCTGAAGCAGCCCCAACATCTTCTCTGTGTTTGAGCACAGTTCGATCCTATCCAAGTTTTCTTCGCTGCGCCTGATTGGGGCGCCTTTGCTGGTGCGCTTCTCAACGCTTCGATTGTGCGAAGAAGGGAACCTCGCGCTTCTGTTTGCATCTTCAACAGAACCGCCTAGTGCTCATTGTTTATTCGCGAGCTTCGAGATGGGGTTTGCATCCTCTCACCTTAGACGTGGCTTCAGTGCACCGTTCCTGGCGCCCAATCCGTGCGGTCGGGAGCATTCGATCTGAGGCATGTCTGACCTCAAAGGACTTGTGGAGCGGTCCTGGGCTCAACACATTCTTGGTATTCCAATCTCCACTACAAGGGGCAGCGCTTGTGATGGATACTTGAAAGGGCAGTGATGCATCTACCGACGGGCTCTCAGCTCACATCTGACCTCGTAGTATAGTGAAGCCCTCCGAAGGGTTGCGATGGCAATGACGCGTGTAAGCTTTCAACACTATGTAAAGAACCAGTATTGCAACGTCTACTGATGCCATCAATGCTTTAGCTGAAGATTGGGTGAGAGGGTAAAGCTTTCATGCCCATGCCCCCTTCTGAGTGCGTCTGGTTTGTTGACAGGTTTCTCTTTGAACACTGTCTTTTGGAAGTGGGTGTAATTATGACAAGCGCGTGGAGGTCCATCTCGGAAATGACTGCTCGTTGGTGGCCGTTTCAAAGGTTGTAGTGCTATGGACAGACAGGCAATGCCGCTGCCTTTCTCTGAATCCGTGAACGTGTTTGGATGGAGGTGTCGTATTAACTGGTCCAACGTGCAAGACGCTTCAAAGCCGCAATACCGACTGCGTTTTTCTAAAGGACACTACTGAAGAGGGCTGTGATGGTTTCCATATTGAGCTCATGCTCACCGATATGCTTTTGTTTTGAAGCCAATATCAAACAGTGAGCCAAGATATCTGCTGTATGGCGGTAGAAAGATACACTGTCACCTTTGCCACTCATTTGCTGCAAGCTTGACGAAAGCACGAGGACAATTGCTAGGTAATGGCTGTTGGAAGCGTTCCGGACAGTCGAGATTGTACGATAGCCGCTCCCGCTCGTTCGTCAATTCCATCCGTTCCTGAGCATACATGTCGGGGTGGGTGGGGCCTTGAACTTGTCTCTGCCAATTGTCGTTTTGCTGCTCTTTAGCTGCCGAGATTGTCGGTCCTGAGTATCGTGACCGTCCTGTTGACTCTGGTGCAGTATTTGGGTCTTCGGTCTTGTCGATGGCTCTACAGCTGCGGTTTCTCTGCACTATAACCTTTTCTGCAGCCGCTTTCTGAAGTGCTGGGGGCGTGCTCTTCATGGTTCCTGCTTGGTTGTATGTCCAGGCTTCCGTTCTGTTCTGTCCTCCATCCCTGTCAGCACGACTTCCCCTTCGGACCGATGTTGCATTCAATTACACCATGCTTAACGTCCTGCGGCATTCTGACAAATGAGGCGTCCCGAAATGACAAGATTGACAACCAACCATCAGCTCCCGACGCTGGTTAGGGCTGGGTTCGAAAACGTGACAATGTTTCGTGTTGTCGGAACGACTTAGCTTTGCCCGTCGTTTGATACTTATTGCACGGATTCCGTTTTGACCGGTGATTAAGTGAGTGCATTCAGTACTGACTTGTTGTCAGTACTATTTCGGCCTTAATCGGATTCTCTCAGCAGCCAAATCACCCACTTTTAGGATCGTGGATCGGCGCTACTTGGTGCAAGTTTTTCCCATTTCCGAAGCATTTGGGGACTACATAGGATCCCCTCCTCGAGAGATCCTGTTCCTTCTGAAAGAGAAGGGATGAGACTTGTAGATCCAGACCGGTTTTGGAATCTGAAAACGGCTGTGATGTTTCTGGACAACGAGCTTTGGAGCTCAAGTGCTCGATGAATCTGCCCGAGGCCCCTGTTCCTGAATCGAGTAAATCAAACTTGCGTGCAACCGTTTGTATCGTGGAGTAGTTTTTTGTTTCATAGACGCCGATGCGAATGCTTGAAGCCACGATTATCATAGACACGAAGTTGCATTTGGGACTAGCTTTCGCAGTCCCTCCCTTTTTTATGTCACAAGGTCGGGTTCTCATCTCTGGCGCTGAGACTGAGTCAGGCACCATCTCCACAGGACGTCACGGTTGCAAATATCTGCCGTTGCCAAAACCTGCTGCGTCATTTACTCCGCTGCCTCTTTCTCCCTGGAGTCGGGTAGCCGCTGGTCTTTGTCCACTTAAGAAACAGGATCCGCTCTCCTTCCCAGCATTGCCTTGCGGGTTCGTGTTGCATGTCCCTTAACATACAGATAACGTCCGCAGCTTTTCAGGACATGCTGAGCGTCAGCTATATGCTGCAACGTCCCCAAAAAAAGCCGTCACTTGAGCTTTGTAAGGCAAGCCCATCTTCCACGGCAGTTTCTTTGAAAGGTGTAGATTCACCTGTTGCGCCCGCCTAACATGACGTCATATCTGCCACCGAATGTTTCCAGCTAGAAGGACAGACAGAAAGGGCACGATGGTGGTTATCTTGAGAATTCAGGTTGAAGATGGTTCCCAAACTTGATGGGCATCTTGCAACTGGTCGAGTTGGCCTCGTAGCGGCAAGCCAGCCGTTCTTTCTTTTGCGTACGATGATCGTTCCGGCTGTCTGTTTCATATTGGTAATCAAACGAGTTAATCATCACACTCCGAAAGTTTAGAAGTCAACTACCGGGCGCTATGTCCTTTCTGCCTCTACGTTGGCTCTTACTGGCTCACTGCTGAGATGGATTGCTGAAAAGGCAACGATGCTCCTCGAACCTTGGAAGTTGTAGAACGAGGGAGGCTGAGCCATGCAGCTCAAGCTCATTGTGGAGACTCGTCCGTTGTCGCATAGTTACAAGGCTCTTCTGAGTCGCGAGTTCAAGATCACGACGCATTTCTGCCCACAGATGATTCCGACATCTGAGACGCCAAAGCGGAAAGCGGTGTGTCTTATTGGCACACCCCCAGCGAGGAAAGGCGACGAGATTGCTTTCCCAAGGATATCGCTCCGTTCACGCATCAATCTGGCGTGAGAGCTTTGCAACCGCATATCAGCGAAGCGGACTCAACGGATTTCGTGCGTGGACCAGCACGGAAGGTCCAGCGGCGCTTGCACACTCTGGCTCCTCAGCAAGCTGAAAGCAGCACTCGGGCGCGCACAGAGTCACTGCCCACGATGTTCTTTGCTTTCGCACCTAATTTGAGTTTCAAACCGGTGACTCACGTAAATTTAGTTCCCTGCAAACGCCGCTTCGCAGTAAGACGCACGGAAGTGAACAGTTCGAAGAGGTAGATTGTGATGTTCAAAGCATCTGCGAATCTTATTTCGATCTTAGTTCTTAGTCGTTGCTTTGGCGATTTTCCTCGTAGGGCTTCCAGTGCATCGTTGACGACTCGGGCGGATTTGCCGCCGTCGCGGCCGGGCTGCTCACCAGCCTTTCGGACGAGTACCCCCGCCTGCCACGTGTCCTTTTCGCCGTCCGGCCGCACACGTCACCCCGTCCGGCGTCCGCACTGAACGCGGCCGCAAGCGCGAATAACCCGCTGGCGCGCGCGCTGCACGAAGCGGTCTCGTTGGCGGCGCTGTCGAGGGCCAGTGACCTGTACATAAGCGACGGTAAGTCGGATACAGTTCGTGCCGTTCTAGAGTTGTGTTTCTGGAGGGATATAGCGGCTGTGAGATGCTTGCACGCTATGCGGACAGCTTCAGAATGATGCGCGATCGCAACAAAACGATGCAATGTACGGGAAGGCTTGTTGCGACTGTGCGTACAGAAGCATGACAAATCGCGGAAGTAGACCTCCGCCTCTGACTCACTCAAAGTCTCGGCACTTGTCCCGTCAGAGAGCTGCTTGTTCCGTCAAGTATCGTTCTCATCAACTCGAGTGATGTCCCCCATAGCGCGAAAGCATGTTTCCCCAACCACCAGCTGACACGGACTCCAAGAGTGGTTTGAGGTTGGTAGGTGCCCTCGTGCCCCGCTTCTGGCGCCCGCTTTGAGAGTGTTGCACATTCGGTTCCAAGACCCGAAGCTGACCTGTCGCGCCTCTCGCTTCTCGATATGCTCAAGCTCTCCGTGACCCATAGCTTATCCGCCCACAGGTGCGTGTCTCCACCCCGACCTCTTCCCCCACCTGGCCCTCCAACCCTCCAAACCCTTCCACACGAGCGCCGTCCACGCGGCCGCGTTCGACGCCTTCACCACGCCCTATCGGCTGCCGCCACGTGGCGCCTCATCCTACACCAAGAACGCCGAGCCCCTCGGCGCGCTCGACATGCGGGATCTCGTCCGGTTGCTCGCGCGAACGGACCGCCAGAAAGTCACGGAAGTGGCGCTCAGTTTTCCGGCACCAGGGATACCGAAAATGCCAGGACCCGATGCGCGGCTGGACAGGAGCGAGAGCGCGAAACTGGGAGAGGGTTTGGGGGGTTTGGTGCGCAGCCTCGTGGTGCTGACGGACGAGGGCGCGCAGCCGGCCGCGGGGCCGTCGTTCGCGGAGTCGCTGGTATTCCGGGGAGCCCGATATGCAGGTAAGAGGGGATGGACTGAGATTGGAAGTGGTCAAAATCTTCCCGCCCTCGTCTCAGGGCTCGTGCAGGAGGGTCCCATTAATCCAGAATGCTTGTAGCAAGAGCGCAACTGTCGGACTAGAACATGCTCCGGTTGACATGCTGGTCCGTAATTTTAGGACAGGTTTAGTACCTGCTTTCGTCGCACAATCTGCTGCTTTGCGATTCAGTTCGGGACTTTCTGTTGAGTCAAACGCCTGTGCCTCCAGCTGGGACTTCAGGAAACACATCTTGCAAGTTTACAGACTGATGTACGAAAATAGCTGTCCATCCTTGTCTCGTTCTTCGCCGTCGTTGTTGCTGTCATCCTTCGTTGTCTACCGGGCCCTTGCTGTCAAAGAACATATCTCAGATTGACCTGTATCGTCTCCATGCTTTTGAGTGGCCCCAGAACAGGCTGCTTAAAGGATTGTACCTCATCACCGCGCACTCTTTCCTGCCATGCACAGAACCAATTCTTGAAAGGCTACTAATTTTCTTTAAAAGGCACCGTGTGCTGTCTGTTCCCAAGCTTACATGTTCACTAGCTCGTTCATGGATTCTCATCGAGCAGGCCAGTCATTCTTCGCCACGTGTCTTTCTTGCAGACGGCTCCGGCCCCGTCCCTCCCCCTGCCGCCGAAAGCGCTTTGCACGCGTCGCTCGAAGCCTCCGGCAGCGGCCGGGCCGTCCGTCATTTCTCCGTCACTTCGACGCCTCTCCCCATTCCGCTGCCATTCCCCAAGATCTTCCGCCCGGAGGTCGGGCGTCATGGTGACGTCAGCACTGGCCGGACGTTGGAGACGGGTACCGTCAAGGGCGGGGTAGACGTAGAGTCGGTTCCGGTTATGAGTAGGTTAGCGGTAACCCCTCGGCTTGCTCCGATGCTGCGGAGCAAGCTGGAGGGTTTAGAGAGGTATGGAGGGTTTAGAAAGGGGACGGATGGGGCTAGAATCTTAGAGGAGTGGGGATTTGGCGAGGAGGAAGCGAGAGAGATGCGGGATGGCTTGAAGGACATGGTGAAGGCGTACGAAGGAGTCGATGAAGAGGACTCCTTCGACAGCGATTGAGCAGAGTGATCATGAACTTAGCGAACGTTGTGTGTTTAAACGTGCAAGTGCAATGGTGCTTTTGAGATGGTCGGGCAACGGCCTTCTCGCATTGCTGGCGACTTTCGTCTACTAAAGAATGGTCTCGAGATGTGCACAGTGCTGAGTGGTATCCCGAAATCAAATAGGGTCTTAATATATCGATGACGTCAAAGAAGAGCTTTGGGAAGGTTGCCGGGCTGCTGTGAAATTCATTGAGACCAGATGGATCTTGGGACTGCCAAAATCGGTTACGATAATTATGGTATTGACTTGGAAGTCTGCTGTGTGGGTCCCTTGTATTTCCATCAGCTTGGCATGATCAAAGCGTACCGGGGGCCGTAATGGCAGGTTAAATGAGATCTCAAAACACCGTGATATCATGGACGGTAATAACTTTGTTTAAGAAATGCAACATGCTCTTTTATTCGACTCAATCTGTCTCTGGACCGTACGGTCAGACCATCGCATCAACGTGGCCCACATGTGAAGTGCATGTACTCAAATCGCTGACTGAGCATGCAGATTCAAAGAGTTGGGAGTGCACGAAGCCCCAACTTGCATGAAGCTCCACAAGCTCGACCTGCTAGGTTAAATTCCCCTTGCTGATTAAGACGACCGGCTAGCTCAACTATTGTGTTTAGATTGCAACGAAGCTATATTGGCCGGGCAGCTCCGCGAGAACGTAGGTTATTGATTGAAGCTCCCAGCGAGCCCGGCCTGATATAAGTTCACCATAGTACTGAGTGACTGGCGCGGGCGCGGCAGCGCCTGGCTGCAATCGGACCGGCCTATGAGTACGCGGCCGCCCCCTGATCAAGCGCGGCCGCCATCGACGCGGGGGTCTAGAACTCCGGACAAGCAATCAACCGCACGATCAAATATAATCGGACGGTGTCGGTGCGTTCTCTGACTTGGCGCGCGCGAAAGGAGTTTCAAGTTTTCGGTAGATCTGTTGTAGGCCTGGCCCTCAGCATGTCTTCGTACCTACTCCTACTCCTAGTAGGTACCTACCTGGTACTGTGGCTCCGCCGTCCCGTCAATGGTCATAAGTTTGAGACCTGCATGCATGGGATGAAGCTGAGCAGCATGGTGGTGACGATTTGCTAGCTAGCTTCTTCTGAAGCCTCGGTTTTACTGCGCCGCCTCATCCGCATCGCTCTTTGCTTGCCCGCAGATGCCCCGTCCAGCTAGCAAGTCCTGCGCATTCTAACATCGTGCCTCTCTCTTGGTAAAATACCTAAGAACTTTGAACACCATGAAGAGAGAGTAGCGTACTTCATTGACGTTGGTCGCATACACTGCCCAGCTTGAGCTCCATGTGAAACCCAAACTTCTAAAAATGGCGTCTCCAAGGCCTCCGGGCGCGACAGGCCCGATCCCCTCTCCCAACACCAGACCCAAGTCCCCAGGCAAAGGCCCTCTTCCCAGCCCTGGAGCTGCCAGGTCGTCCGCCGCCGTCCGCTCCCCACCGTCCACCAGCAATGGACGTCCCAATCCTCAGCAGGGGGCAAGGTCCCCAGGCGAAGCAGGGGCAGCTCGGAGCCCCCCTCCGACAGCGCGCCGGCAGTCAGGGGGTCCGGGCTCTGCCGCAAACTCCCCCCCGGAATCGCCGGTGAGCACTTCGATCAAGCTGAACCTGGGGGCGAAGAAGGCTCCTGTTGGGGGAGGGGGGACTGGTGTTATCAACGGGACAAGCAGGAATGCGACGGCCAGAGTGAACACCAGGGCTGAGGGGATCGACTTTACTTTCGCCGGTAGCTCAACCAGCTCGTATGCTAGTTCCTCAACCAGAGCTTATGCTGAAAGCAGCACAGTTGAGGGTACTACTAGGAGGGTTGTGATGGAGGGCAGCGAGGGTGGAGCTCGGAAAGTCAGCCCGACCAAGCGGCCAATTGAAGCTGGACAGCTGTCGCCCTCCGGGCAGCCTGGCCCGAACAAGACTACGTTTGTCACCCGGCGGCCGCAGCAAGGGGGGCAAGGGCCAGCCCCTGCTGCTCCTGACACTTCTCCCCAAGTTCAAGCACGGGGCTCTGTGTCGCCAACTAGAGTCGGGACAAGAGTGACGACGAGCACGACAGAAACCACGACCCGAACTTCGACTTCTCCAACTAGAGTGGTGACCAAGGTGGTCACAAGCACGGAAGCGGGGGTAAGAGCAGCTGGGACAAAGTCCCCCCCACAAAGCACGACGACAAACATTACCCGCTCTCCTGGGGCAACTCCCCAACTCAACGGTTCAGGGTTTACTGTGCAATCGAGCAGGACCGTGGGCCAAAGCGGGCAGACTGGGGCTCAATCCGATGCGGCAAATCTTGCTGCAAAGCGGCGGACGGTCGTCTCGTTTGCCGACCCTCAGGAAGATGCTTCAGCGGAGGGCATTGATGATGACATCAGCGGAAAGAAGGTGACGTCAGCAAAGGTTTTGCGGGACCGGCGGCCTACCGGGTCCCCGCGCGGTAATGTCGCAGATGAGCAGGACGGAGAGGAGTACAATGACGTCAGTGTGGCGAGGTCAGCTGAGCGCACCGTAACAAGGTCAGCTGCTGACGTCAGCGGCGGAGCGGCGAGGCCGAAAGTGCAGCCCGCCGTGTCCCCAGCTGACGTCAGCAACGGTGCAGGGAGGGTGACACCAAAAGCGCAGCAAGCGGCGGCGCTAAAGCCGGCGGGCAAAAGTCCGGGGACGGAGACAGACGACCAGTTCCAGGCTCGAAAAAACGCGCTGCTGTCAAAGTTCAAGGAACGGGCGGGGTTGCCGTTTCCGAAGCCAATGGAAGCCGACACCGAAGCTGTGGAGGGCGACTTGGGAGGCCCGGAGCAGGGAGCCGAGGTCGCCAGAAGGCCGACGCCGGTGTCAAGTGCAATGCCAGCGATCAGTGAGGAGACGCCACGGTCGATGGCTGCGATGGTGACACCGAAGAAAGAGGAACTAGGAGTGGAGGGAGTTGAAGCGCGGGTGGAGCGGAAGAAGGCGGCGCTGGTGGCAGCTAGCGCGCGGCGGCCAGTAGTGACGAAGGCGGTCGTCAGGGAGGCGCAGATTGAAGCAGCTGAGGAACTAGAGGTGAGGGATTCGTAACTGTGGCGGGCATCGTGCTTCTCTGGCTCGATAAGGAGACAGCACACGTAGCTTTCACTTAGACATCTTCAGCGCAACGGAAAAGCACTCACTGTTGTAATCAGTGGTCAACGTGAGCAGTAAGTAAGGTCGTACCGAAGAGGCTCCTTTGAATAGACTATTCTCTTCACTGTGAATGCACCGCTCATCAGAGGGAGTGCTTTTCGGCTGCGTACCAAACTTGTGCTGAGGGTCGAAAGAAAGATGAAAAAGAATGAGGGGAGAATCACAATGCAGCTGCTTGAACTGCGGAAGTGAGAGTTTCCTGGTAAGGCTTTGAGATATCGGGCGGCGTGTCTGATGAGGGGCTCTCGTCCTTTAATCTCACCAGCTCAGGGCTTGACGGGCACGTCACGAGCATCGTAGGACTTGCGATAACTTGTATGGAACAGATAGACCTCCTGCATTGTCACCCTTCAGCCTGCGTCTTAAAATTATCAAAGCGCTCCTCGACCGCGTGAACGGTTCGGGCCTCATAGCATGGCTCCAGGAAACAAGGAGGGCGTATTGTGGTTCAAGCCCCCTACTATGGCACAAAGACGGTCAACCCAGATTGCCTTGCTATTCCAAGCCTGAATGCTCCTGACATTTGTTCAAACCCCAGCGGACTTCACGTCATCCTTAAAGATCGGCTCCTGTTGCATCTATTTCTCAGCATTCCCACTAAGAGAACAACCTTTTTTCCTTATGTAGGAGGAACCGGCTGACAGATATGAGACGATTAAGGCTCCTGCGAAGACTGCAGTCCCAATCATTGAGGAGCGAGTTGTTCGGGCAAGCCCGCTCAAGTCGGCTCTGAAGCACACGCAAGCGCTTTCCTCTGACGGAGAAGTGGAGTGAGTCGAGAAGAGTTTGGAAAGTTTGACAGTTTGCTGTTCTTGTCGACAGAAAATGTGGCTGGATAAAAGCGCGCGAGATCGATGAGCATCTCTTGTCTCTGATTGCATTGCTCACGAAGTCCCCTTTCCAAAAATACACACTTTGACCGTTAGTCCTCACTGATACGTACTGACAGAGTCTTGCTTTCGGTGTTTTCAGGGGGTTTCAAAGCCAGGCACCAGACGAGTACGAGGTTCATCAAGAAGGTAAGCGGAAGCTTTCCTTCTTGCGATGTCCGTGGTTACAGTGTTGTCTAATGACTTTCGCAGGTTCATAAGTATAGAAATCTAGGAGCAGGAACGTGAAACCCCTTTACAATGCTTTCCAATGTATGCTGTGCTCACATTTGGTTTCGAGACCTGAAAGGACCCTGTTGATAGTATTAGTGTCGTCATCCATAGCGAGGTCTATCTGAGGTCCTGCACTCGATCCTTGTTGCAGGCGTGATCGTGTGTTTTATTTTTACTACAAAGGCCTTTCAAAGAGCAAGCCAATCTGGATTGAGTGTTTTCCAAGCGGAAAATCTTGAATCCAAGCGGAAAATCTTGAACACAGCGGAACGGAGCGCCCACAGACAAATCACGAACTTCTCCGTCTTTGTGCAGCCAAAACGGTGCCACGTGGCAGCATCGAGGCGACCCGGCGGGCCGCCGCGCCGGCTCAACAAGCTGAGGAATCAGAACCGGCCCTCGACGACGAGGAGACTCCTGTGCAGAAGAGACCCGTTTCTAAAGCGGTCACTTCCGCCGCCGACAAATCCAAGTACAACCGTCTCAAGACCGTGCTCAAAGTCGAAGAAAGGGATCTTCACTTCAACCGGAGCGGAACGTTGGCAGCGGAAAAGTTCGAGTGGCTGGAGGTCAAGCGGAAGGCGGAAGAGGAGGAAGAACTAGAGGCGGGAGAAGCGGAGGAAGAACTCGAGGCGAGAGACGACGTGGAAGAACTAGAGGCGCGGGCGACGAAAGCGGTGGCGAGGAGTTCCAAGGGCAAGAGCGGGCGCTTCGTGTTTGACAACGAGGACGGCGACGAAGACGGAGACGAACTTTCCGGGGGGCTGGATTCCGGGGCTGCGGATTCCCCTGAAAAGGGTGAAACAAAAGGGGGCCCAGGCGTGCTGCGCCAATTGAAGGGGGTGCTTCGCACCGGCGCGCGCGCGATGGAGGTGCGCGAGCCCAGCGAGTGGGGGGATGATGACGACATGCACCTGCGCGACATGACGTCAGCGAGGGACATGGAGAGCGGGGCGGAGCCCGTCTCTGCGCGGGCTCCCGTTGAGCGAACCGGGCCTTTTGATGGGGAGGAAGCTCTAGACTCCCCCGTGGCGCGAAATGCCCGCCTGGGAACCCTAAAGGTCCGCACCGCCGCCGCGTTGGGCGCGGACCGCGGGGCCGGGCGAGCGAGTGACGTGAAGAAGACGCAGAATGTGACGTCAGAGAAGCAGGCCGAGAAAGAAGCGGTGAGAAGTGCTCCTCGGTCCGACAGTCCGTGTCGTAAGCAAACGCTGTTTTAACGTGCTTCGATTCTTTGCGTTTATCACTAAGATTACGTTAATGAAGAGGGCGGCTTCTTTAGACGATCGTATGCTGTCAAGCTCCTTCTTTCGCACATGCGAGTCGTTATTTTAACAGACAGTCGCCGATTTTCTGGGCAAAATGCTTCAGTCACGTTGCCGCAAAAACTTGGCGACTCCGACATTTTACAGGCCCCCCTTCAGGGGTCAAAAGAAGAGCCGTCCACCAAGCGCCTTTCGGAAGCTGCCGGGGGCAAACCGGGGGGTAAATTCTCAGCCGAGGATTCCGGCTCACGGGCGCTTCGGCCAAGCGACCCGGGGCAATCTACAGAGGAGGAAGAAGAGCAGCCTCTAACTGGAAAAGAAATGGTCCTCGCCGCGCGCGAGTACACAGGGACCGAGCTCGTGATTCATCCGGCCGCGGGAGACCTAGACGTTTCTCCCAGAGGGGCAGAAGGTACCGACGCGGAAAAACCGGTAGCGGGGTCGAAGTCCGTGGGGAAAAGCCGGTTTGCGGCTAAACCGGCTGAGATAACCGTGGCCGCCGCGGCTAACCAGGCGTACTCTGCGCCCGGGCAGAGGGGGACGGCCGCCGACGCCCAAGACGGTCAGGAAGGGTTTGCGGAGGGGGTTAAGGACGGGTTACCGAGACCCGCCGGCGCGGCCGCGAGCGCGCGCCGGCCGCGCACCTTCGCGGCGATGGGCAGCCTTAAGGACCGCGAGGGAAGGTTAAAGGGTATGGAGAGCATCGGCGTTTCGCGCCGGGGGGCGCAGGGAGAGTGGGCGCCCGGGTCGCCGCGGACCCCCCTCTCCGAGCAGAACGTGCGGATCGAGTTTCTGAGGAATGAGTCACGGCCGCTCAGCCCCAAGCTCAAGATGTGGAGCGATATAAAGGAGCGAGTGTCAAGTATGCTCATGTTCAAGTCGACGAAGCAAAAACCAGTGGACGAGTCCAAGAGTGAGTGCGGCTTTTTGAGTTTCCGTCTTTCTGTCTAGGATGATGTTGCATCTCTGTCTTCTTTCGGCGTCTCACGCTCGGTCGGAAGTTGCAATTTGACCCATTCACAGTTACTTTGAAAGCGTCTGTGTTCTCGGACGGAAGTTTGCAGCTGTAACTTACGCCCCAAACCCGTCGTTTTTCCTTGCCCAAAGTCGCAGAGCAGTTTCTGTCATATTTGGACTCGGGTAGAACGCTTTACAGAGGCCGACGTGACCCAAGTATTACAATCATTGGTATCCAATGAACTTCAGGATCCCTGGTGTCAGCTTTCTACTCAGGCCACGAGCATCTCAGCTTTGACACTTTTGCCCCGCAGAGCGGATCCTGGTGATCGGCGCCGAGTGCAGCGCGGGCGAGAGCACCTTACGTCATCTTCTGATACGCGGTGTGAATAGGTTCGCGGTCAGCTTCGCGGTGCCGTGCCTGGAGAGCCTGCAGCGCAGCATGACCGTCGATCTCGCGAGCTACCACAAAAAGTACTACGCGCAGCTGCAGGCCGCGGGCGCGGACCGCGTCGAGGTGCGCGCGCGCGGGGTTTTGTTTGCAAAGGTTTTCTATGACTAGTGGATTTGGGCGACTGATTTTTGGAAGCGTTGGCATGGATCTCGGCTTGGGCTGTCGCTCAGACATGCTTCCATTTGCTTTCTAGATAGAGATCCGAATGTTGGTAAGTAGCAAAGGGTTCATATACATGATGGATTTGGACGACTTGTTGCTTTGACGCGTTGGCATGAGAAGCGAATATGGGCTGTCGCTCAGACATACTTCCATTTGCTTCCTAATAGAGATCCGAAGGTTGGTAAGCAGCAAAGGGTGTACGTAACTACTGGTTTGTGACGACTTGTTGTTTTGACGCGTTGGCAAAAAGATCGACTTCGGGTTGTCGCTTGGACATGCTTCCGTTTACTCCCTTAATGAAGCTCTGAACGAATCAAACAGCCCTTCTCGTATGGACCCAAAGGTGCCGCTATTGCCAGATTGAAGTGTTGGGCCACACTGAATAAGCTTCTGAAGTAAGCGACTGAAGTCTTAATATTCAGAATGAAAGCAGTCATTCCCGAGGTTGATGACTGGAGTGTTAAACTCAAGATCAAAGCAGTCCTTCACGAGATTGATGCGCAAGGGCGGCCACTGTCCTTACACAAACAGGCGTCCGATTCTCAGACTTCCCAGACTTTCGCCTGCAGCCAGCGACTCACTTTTTCTTCCTCCAGGTAAACATGCTGGACGAGCGGTCTCTTCTTGCGCGGCGTTTGGGGCGTGGTTTACGCGGAACAGTGGACCTTGTGGGAGGACGAAAGATCTCCGTCGACCTAACTTCCCCAGTATCTTCTTCACTAATGGGACTTAATACTCCCTTGTTTTCCGGTAAATGTTGTCATCCCCGCTGATGAAAGTTACTGACTCCCTCTTCTCAGGTCAACATGCTGGACGAGCGCTCCCTTCTGAGTGCGATGCGCGGGGTTTGGGGCGTGGTTTACGCGGAGCAGTGGAACCTGTACGACCCCGAAGAGGAGATCCTGCGTGGCAAGATGGTCGCCAACGCCGCATTCAAGGCCGGCGTGCACCACGTGGTCTACAGCAGCGCCGAGAGCGTGCGGTGAGCGCGCGCGCGCGGCATCTTTTCCTTCAATCACATGATGGTGTATTTACAAGCAATCCGGTTAGGCAGTAAGCCAACGAGTTCGTTCATTGTCATCTTATGTTGCTCCAACGATGTCCTGGCCGCATTTAAGCAGCACTTCAAGTTTGAGTACTGACCAGCATGGAAAACATCCCGAACGTTTAGAGGTCTGTATTCTACAATTCAAATCCGAAGGTCTCTGATTTCCGTGCTTGATATATGTACTTCCATCGTAAGCGCACACAGCAGTGCTCAGAGCGTGCGCAGAACAAAACATATAGGGTTGGAGGGATGCTTCTGTCAACGCTTTGAAGCCTGAAGCTCCAAGAAGCTGGATTCGTGCTTCCTCGAAAGTGGTTCAGAACCATTTGGATGCTCCTTGACTTCAAGCGAAACCAGGCAGACATAAAACGACGGAGCCAAAGCATTGTACCAAAGTTCGATATTGTCAGAACCTGATCCTCCTTTCGCCTCTCAGATTCAATAAGTGTTAGAGAGAGCGGTAATTGAAGATACTGGTACTCTTTAGCACGTAATTTCAGGTCTGCCGGACTCCCGAGGCGTTTCATATCTACTTACCCGACATCGAAAGTGACGCTGCCGCGGTACTAAATTTGAAACTCCGGCAGGGACTTGCAACTGGCGGGCTTGTCGCGGCTGGAGCGCGACCCGCAGTGGGTTGTGCCGCACTTCGACAGCAAGGGCGACATCGAAGCGTACATGGTCGCCATCGGGCTGCCGGCGACGTACCTGCGGTAAGAGGGTGGAAACGGTCGCCTTTGCTGGAAAAATACATTCTCATCTTTGATGCGAGATGAGAAGTTCGTTGGTGAGGTTCTATTGAGACCCGGTATCGGAGAAGAACCACGTTTCACCTAGCTGTGTCGCATTCGAGAAGGAGATCGAGGGGATATCAGTCTTCTCAAGGCGAGACTTTCTACAAATTTTGCTTCCTCGCAAGAGTCTTTTTTTTCAGCGAAGACCCTCTCTCCGAAGGAGATTGGAGCGCAGAGCCACCCCCCGAAGGGGGTTGGAGCCCAGCAAAAAACCTTTGTGTTCAGCAATTTGTTAGCAGCAGGTATCAAAAGTCCCTTAATCCAGCACTTTTCAGAATGTGAAGAGGGGGGCAGGGCATATACAGATCCTAAAACGGGAGCCCTGATGTGCGGGACTTAGGAGTTCCGCTCAGCGTTGTGAAATCTCGTCCTACAATGAGGCGTCATAGTCTCCTACGCGTCCTGTCTTTGTCGAGATGACACCCCTTCCCACCTTTGCCAACAGTTAGCAATCCAGTAGTAGCCACATCAAGCAGTCACCTTTTAGCAACCCACCGGGACCCCACATGTCTCGCTTGACCTGCCACCACAAAACCTGACTTCTAATGCCGCCGCGCGCGCGCAGAGTCGCGCCTCACTACCACGAGCTGCTCGACTTCTGCCTCTTCCGGACCGTCGGATTGGGCACGCTCGACGTCTGCCTTCCGATGGGCTCCACTCCGTTCCCGTCCATCTCGGCTGCTGACGTCGGCGGTTGCGTCATGAAGATCTTTGAGGAGCCCGGCCAGTACAGCGGACTGTGCATCGACCTGGTTGGGTCTTACATACCGATGTCGGACTACTGCAAGGTGGGTTAAGCGGTGACCCGATTTGCGAGCGGTGACCCAATGTTCTAAGCCAATCAGACATACGTACGTCGATCTGCTGCAAGGTGGGTCATATATGAATCGACACAGAGTGACCGGAGTGATCGACACATTGGCAGGGATTCATATGCTTGATTTCTTGTGAGACACGGACAGCTTTTCTAGTAGCGCTTCGTTCAAATCCAAGCCCAGCTTCTTGGGCACGAAGAGGACCCGATCGTCCAGAAAGTTTCATTTTTGGCACTGCAAGTTTAGCTCTGACATCTTCCCCGGTCTTTCTGAAGCTCATCCGAGCAAGATTTGTTTGCTTAGTCGCTCAAAAAAGACAGTCAAGTCCTCAGATCCACGAAGCTGGCAAGGATCCTCCTGAAAAATCAGAGCAATTGTAATTCTCCATTAAACTTTTCAGCCGTCTTCTTTCTCCTTTCTTCGGCCGTTGTCGTTCTCTGTTGGTAATTTTAGTCTGGATCAAAACAAGCCAGGTTCATTACATCATTGAGAGTCCTGAATCCGATTTCAAATCTAGACCTCATGAATTCAATTCGAACGTCCGTCCTCGGTTGCTCCTTTCCGGCCAGATCTTGTCGGAGCACCTGGGCAAGACGGTCGCCTACCGGTCGGTCACCCCGGAGTGGTACAAGGAGAACGCGGGATACGGCCACGCGGCGTCGCTCGCGAACATGTACTCCTTCCTGCGCGAGTACCCTGAGTAGTAAGTGCCGTCACTTAGTCTTAAATGGCGAAAGGATCATCAGATCGAAGCACAACTTCTGGGCTGATTAGATCGGATGCCACGTCGGCTTCGGACGCCTTTTCATCTCAAAGGAACCTGTGTTTTAATCCGACTTCTAATAGCCTTAAAAGATTCAAAAAAGAATCTGATTCGAAGACATCTGGGAAGAGTCATGCACGCACGGCTATGTTCATCAGACTTTCAAAGCTTAATTGTGCATCTAATTGTCGACTGAAGCTTTGTAAAGATCAGGAGCCTTCTCGACAACCATCTCGCTTGAATGATTCTGCTGTGCACCCCTACTCCATCTCCAACGTCACTCATGAACAGCTCTCAAATGCATCATGGTCGTTCAGTACTGAAGGATCACATCGAGGATCAACTAGTAAACGAGAATGCAATCAGCTTCTTCTGATGTGGTTCCATTAGGGGCCCGTGCTGCTATGCTTTTCGCCTTTCGTCCGATCTCGTTTTTGCGATCACCAGATTCCTGAACGCTCGTGCTTGCTTTCTTCCGCACCGCAGTTCCATGAGCCACGTGGAAGAGGCGCAGGCGCTGTACCCGGAGCTGCAGACCTTCGAGGAGTGGATGAACGGAACGACGGACGTTCCGTCGGAGAACGCGGCGGAACGCGGCGGAGCGCAGCTCACGCTGGACATCGTGCGCGACGACGGGCTGCTGGCCGGGAGCCACGCCGGAAAGAAGGCGGCGTTCGCGGAACTGCTGGAGCTTTCCGACCGGAACCAGCGGAGAACGGCGAGTCGGCGGTGGAAAAATATCAAGGCGAGCGTTCAAACGATGCCGCTCATGGGCGGCCGCGCTCCGGCGCCTCCCAAGGCGCTGCCCACCAAATGGAAGAGCCCGGTTCCGGCCGGAAAGGCAGCGGAAAGGGCGGCGGAAAAGACGGCGGACGAAGACGACGGCGCGAAGCAGCTTTCCGTCGAGGTTCAAAAGCGGAACGGGGCCGGAACGGAACGGATCGGCCGGCCCGCCGCGGCGGAGCGGCCCGCACTGACGGCGGGAAGCGCCAAGCCTGAAATTCCGGGATCAAGGGACCGGCGGTCCGTACCGGAGCTGATGGACAAGCCCGGGTTGCCCGCGTTGAGGGACCGGCCAGCTGTCCCGGCGGTTCCCGAGCTGATGGATAAGCCGGGGTTGCCCGCTTTGATGAACCGGGCGGGGCCGCGGGAAGCGCCCGCTTTGGGCGGGAGGCTCGCGTTGGCGACAGGATCGGTGTGAAGTTGTCGCCTCGTTCTCGCGAAGCGCGCGTTGAATAGCTTTTCGTGCAAGCAGGATGATTTGAAATTAGGACCACTTGTTTTGAATTAACTTGTTTTAGGTATGCGTAAAACCCAGTTCAAATTCGACGTTCTTGTGAGTGAAGCGTTGCTAGTTCTACCAGGCCCTGCTGCTTGGCAAGATCTAAAATTTTCAATCACGAAACAAGCCGCCAGGGCATGCGTCAGCAGTTTGCGAAAAGCGGTGCTGATATTGGTGCTGGCATTCTTTGGCGTTTGAAGATTCGACTTACTTACGAACCTGTACATTGTTTTTCCAAAATTTCGAACTTAAGAGTGCAAATGCAGCAGACTGTAAACCCGGTTGATCTGTGACTCATAATTGTCACTGCGCCAATTGAACAGAATATGTGTATACGCAGATACATGCAGATTGAAGTGAGTCGACGCGGCTATGTGTAGCTAGAATTGTTCTATAATTCTAGCAGCTTATATACCGAAGATCGAAGCTTCTAAAGTCTCCCTTATCCAACGTTTCAATCCATACATTGCCAGTGGCGTAGGACAAGGATGCGCGCCCCGTCGAAAGTTCATTATACACCCATGTTTATGCACACATGATCATGTGTGCTTGAACACATGATCATGTGTGCTTGAACACATGAACACATGCCAGAATGCGGACTCGAGTTCGCATTCTTCTCTAGCTTACAATATGCAAGCACAATCAAAACACATCACTATAGATGCGAATTAACCCGGGATCCTTATAGCAATCACGCGCGATCAATGCATATCAATCTCTAGCCATGCATGCAGTTAACCGTATATATACTAGTTATATTAATTCGCTTGAGCGCGAAGCCTTCATATCTCATGCATCAGAACTACGTATCTCATTGCATCGATAGATATATAAGTCAGTGATTTTGATCCTGGGATGTGCGAGGCCTCGCGGCACGCGTATTGAGATTGGTACGCGTGGTTCATTCCTCGAGAATTATCCTCTCCAACATGCGGATTATTATCTGCAAAGATTCTTGTGCTGACGCGTTACTCTTACTTCTAAGGTGCTGAGAGTATAACAAAAAGTTTTAAGCGCCACGTATCTTCACACATTCCAGCGGTCCAAACAAATCCTGACTATAGCCCGACGAGTAGCAACATGCCATTTAACAAACACTTGAGTCCATTTAGGAGTACTTCGGCCTAAGCGTGGGCGATCCCGTTTGCTTTTGCCTTGCTCGGGCCTCCCGGACTCCGCGACTCAATTGCTTTTATGAATGCCGTCGAGTCGGCAATCGCCCCGAAGACGCCTCCCTGCATCTTGATCATGTTGTGAGCCGCCAAGTGGTTGGCAGGGTCGGTTGCCCCGGTGCAGTCCGTCAATAAAAGGCACTCGTAGCTGCACAGAAAGGGTGACTCGGTCGGTGAGGTCAAGCTTCTTACGAGGGCATAAGCAGCGTACTACTTTCCTCAGTGTACGCAAGCGTCCATCAAACGAAAACGAAATAACAAAGAAACGAGATTCCATGCGCCGAACGAGCCGCCGGAAAAAGGTTGCCGTGAATTCCGATGGGATGGCACGAGTCTGCCTCGTATCTCTGATTGGATGGTAAACCTCCAGGTCAGACGCTCACAGAAAGGGCAGTCCTCGCAAGTCGCTTGCAGCAAAACATCAACGAAACGCACGTGATTGATTGCGGTAGAAAGCAGGGCCGTCAATGCAGAAGATGTTACAAAAGTCATTCATATAGGAAAAAAGGGTTCATCCGCGAAAATTCACAAAGAAACCCAAATGCTGGCCGATATGTTTAAAAACCTTGACGCTACTTGACGCAATCTTCTGAGACACGGACCTTATACGCCTGATCTGGCCAAAACGCGTCTTTGGCAACGGACGCTTTGCTGCAGTCCACCGACTTAAGAGTGAACTTCCACGATCCAAGAAGCCGGTGCCTTCTATGGTTAGTTTCGGTAACGGTTCCTAAGACTGATGTGAACGGATCGAAGCAAAGTCCACTCACCCCCGGTCGTTGGCGTCGCGCATCGTGGTGTGGACGCAGACGTCGGTAGTGATTCCTGCCAGCACGATGTTCTGGATCTTGGCGAGCCGCATCAGCATGTCCAGATCGGTCGCGTAGAACGAGCCCTGCGGAGGACGCGCCCCTCGTTACGGTTTTGAACAAACGTGCATAGTCAGTTCCTCTGTTGGATCTCACAACTAGGCTGTGTTTGTTTGCCGCGCCTATTCAGATTTGCAAAGTGGCTACAATTCAAGATCTGGATCTTTTCAATAGTGTACCAGTCTGTGCGCTCTGTCGACTCGGCAGATTGTCTCCGCAGCGGCGACGTTGAAATGGCTAGATGGCGGTCCTCCGCTTTGACGTTTTTGATTGATTCATTCCAGAGGGTTACAGAATGTCGAATCGACTGGACTTGAACCTTCAACTTCACGTTGGTCACAAGGTGTCAGTTCACACCAGAGAGGCGTCATCTGGTATTCAGGACTTCGGCCAACCGCTTCCCGTCCGTGGCTTTCAGCGTTGCATCGACGCCGACTCAAGAGGCAGATGTCACGTTCTTTCTACAACGGGTAACAAAAGCACGCCAACTAGATGAAAGCAGAAGCCACCGCCGACCCTCCTCTCAGAAAACCCCACTCACCTTCCCCGGCTTCTCAATGATTGGCTCTCCTTCCAGGGGGTACAGCTCCGGGATGATGTCCCAGCCGGGCTCCCCCCTGGTAAGGATTCTGCCGCAAGGCCCCTTGGAACCAATCCCCGCTCCGATCTGCTCCGATCGCCAACGCTTGTTCTGGGGCAGGTCCGCGAGATCCGGCCGGTGGCCCTCCCGGGTGTGGAACACGTGGTACCCGAGTTTGCGACACGCGTCCAGCACCGATTTGATGGGCTTGATGGGCGCCTGGAGGGGAGATCCGGGCATTAGCAACACATCAAGCAAGCTGGGGGGTATTCATGCGAGGCCGACGTAACCGAGAAACGCAACCAGGGTGAGGCGCGCTTCCGGGAGTCGATCTGCGTGATCGAACTGAACCTTGTTTAGTGGATACACACAGACCCTAAGGCAACATGCGCACTTTTCGCCGAACGCCTGAAGGACAGAGCAGATGACTTGGACCTTGCCAAAGCAATGTACATTGAAAAGTCACACCTTGTTAGTGAGTAGGATCTTCGAGACAGCGTCTGAGGCTCATTGTCAAAGCGATGCAGCTTAACGGGCTTTCAAGGACAGACCTGGGTAAGCGAGAGATCGTAGCCCATCTGATCGACGTAGCCGCCCTTTCCGCAGAAGTCGACCTGCATGTCGATGATGATGAACACCTGCAAGGAGCGAGGGGGAACATATCAGCAGATGACACGTCAGATCTTGCTCTCTGCGCTGTCGAGGGCTGTCACAATCCTCTAAAGGCGGCCACTCGTTCCCTGTGAGTGTAATTAGTCAAACTTACAGGACTTCGAGGGTGCTTCTCAAGAAGGAGAGAACGCAGGGCTCTGTCTGACCAAGAAAACGAACACCGTTGAGAGCATCCTTAGAACGGTCGTTGCAACCGTTGAGACAACGAAGCTTCTGAGGAGGAGACCGATCTGTCTTGCACGTCTGATGATTAACTCGACAAGGGTGGAATGCGTAAAGATACCCGAAAATGCCTAAAGAAGACGACCAATCTTGCTCTTTGTGTTTCACCATTGTGATTGACCCCACTGGATCCGATTCCTATCCTTCTACTTGCGCTTTTTCCGAATACAGGTCAACCTCAGCGATTGAAAGCACAGGCATTGTACGTGAACTCATAAGCACGGAGGAGGCTGCCACAAGTCTGAAGAAATCTAAACACGAAGGCCGGCCCTTTTTGCTGAGAGCTTTTCCCTTCAGTTGCGACTTAGGGGTAAAGACTGACCGTATTATCGGGTCGCAGGTCTCCGTTCCAGGGCCACTTGTAAGGCTCTGCGTCCACTTGGAGAGGGGCCGGCAATGGCTTCCCAACCCCTCCAGCAGTGTATGCCCGCCATCCGCCATATGAGGTGATGTCTTTCTGGCCCTGCAAGAACACGTGGATGTAACAAACCGCTTTAAGATGCAAAGAGCAAGGTTCAGCATGGCATCAAGATACATCATATGGTCCTGGCAAACTTTGCAAGTGCCAGAGCTAAGCAGCATTTGAGAAAGGACTCACTGCACGCACCGGCCTGCAAATAAACTCATGATTGACACCCCAAGGCACTACCCCTTAACAGGCAACGTCTCTCAGGGGCCGCGCTTGGTCTATGGATTCTTCAGGGGCAGTTGAGCAAAGCATACCTCCGTCAAGAAAGGCTCTGCAAGAACCCCCAAGATCTCGTCCCCGCCAGCTAGCACCACTTTGCCAATGCTGAGGCCAGCAGGCTCCTTTGTGAGTATGGACACCAACCCCTCCGCAGGGACGTCCCACACCTGGAATGACTTCATCACTTTAGGGCTGAGCACCGGCGTGCTGGTAGCTGGGCCATTAATAGCGCAACCAGAAGCATGCTCTTTCTCCTGCATTAGTTTTGCTGGTGTGTGAGTTAGCAGGACCTTTTATGATCAAGTACTGCAGCATTGAATTACTGCGGGCTGCCAAAAGGACTATCGAGGAGCTAAGTTGTAGAGCGCTCTGAACAACTGGAGTCAGAAAACATTCTTCATTGCTTGTCCGAGCCCAAACAACCTACAGCACAGCAGCCCTTTGCTACACTGGGTACGAAACAGCATGTTTCTTTTTCTCATCGGAAGCGATATCCACAATTTCTGAGGGAGAGACAACAGAAGAGACAGCATACCTTACCTCCAAAGCAACTGAAGCTCCAGACTCATCTTTGCCAACTCTAACCATTCCTGGATGCTTGTCATTGATCGAGAAGATGCGGTACTGGGGAGCAGTGCTGTCTTCCCTGAAGGAGAAATATGCGGACTAACTGTGAGATGTGCCTTATCGATCAAGCATGGCAGTACCTGTGAGAAGATGTATCAAACACACAAGCCAGCTGTTCAACCCTGCAATTGCTGCTGACTTGGCAATTGGTAATGTGACAATGATCAAAGTTAAGCTTCAGTCACAAAGCATCTTTGTGATGCTGGGAAAGAAACTTTTGAACACTCGCAGGTTAGGCGGGCCGCTGACCTGAATATCCATGTCATTCGTCATGGAGTCATGCAAGAAAACTTGGTTCAAAGGAACTGTCCTTCACAGCTTGGAGGTGTAATGCATAGTTACCCTGTTACCAGAACTGCTGAGAAAGATAAGAGGGCAAGAGATGTAATAAAGCAGAGAAAAATAGACTCCAATCTAGGCGGCTGATCCTGAGAAGCTCTGCAGACAGTAGATGGCTGAGGCTCAATCTGTTTCTCTACAAGCTGGCAAATGACCTTTCTGGCATCAAAAGAGACCATTGCACAATCATCTTTTGTGATATTGGAGTCCCACTGATGAATCAAGGAGGAGAATCTGTGAACTTACCGCACAAATTGTGCTTTGGCAGCTACCATGTTTGGATTCAATTCTAGCCCCCTCATAAGGGTGCCATTGACAGCCAAGAGAACGCTCATCTTGCCAGGCTCCTTGCGGTGGAGAAGTAAGTATTGACCTGGGCAGGGAAAGGAAGTGCTTTCGTGAGTCGTCTGTACTCCTAAATGTAGGGTTGGCGTCATTGTGTGTCACGGGTAGGAGCTTTTAAGAGATATCTGTTGCGGGGCCAATGAGAGTCACCGATCTTTGCATGCTTCCCTTCCCGCCCTCCAAAGCACACATTCTGCAGAGTCCATAACAGGCAATGCAGGCCAGCATTGCTGGCATAGGCTCTGAGTAACACTGTTTTTCATTTGAGTTACATTAAGATTGAGAATTAGCAGTCATTCACCATAATCTAGCAGTCAATCAGCAGCATCCGACTCCTACCAAGACACGTGAGTTTCATGTTTGACTCCAGCAGTTCAAAAGATCTGGACTTGAAAGCTCTTGAACTAATCAAAGCCCATCTGACTGGAGACCAAAGGCAGTGTGTGAAGGTGGCTTACTGACTAGTGAGTTAGGCGTGTTGACTTATGAATTTAGTCTCTCGTTCAAGCCTGAAGTCAGCAAATCCCAAAGAGAAGCATTGACTCTGTCCAGTTCCTGACTTTTGGGGAGGTCAGCAGCATTGAAAACCTTGCAAGGCACCATAAATTCAGCTTGTGGCAGCTCTCAATGCCCAAACAAATGCTGATGCCTTCAGTTGCTGCTCCATCTTGGCCAGCAGCGTGGCAGATGACCCGAGGAGCATTGCTTGCACATTACACCCAGAGCACTAGTACAAGCGAAGGTTTGTCAGAAATGAATACATATCTACGCCTGCATTCTATTCACCAGCTTACCTGGCTCCAAGATTGTTGGTCACACTTTATGCCTCACAAAATACGATCTGCAGCATTGAGGCCAAGAATTGTAGTGCTCTGTGAGCTTGACCAGACAAGCCACGCCTGAGCTTTGCCCCTGTTGCAGTCAGAAGAACAGATCTCTGACTTGGCTTGCAAGCGCAAGAACTCTTTTGGATTCTAATTTCTACTGTCGTTACAACGGAATACTAATAGCTTCTAGTACAGTGCCTTGCGAGAAAGACCTGTGTAGTGTGCACCATGAGATTGTACCTAAATTCCTGCACCATGCTTCGGCCTTGCAAGTTGCAGCTTCCGCTCCACAAAGCTGAGTCGATTTTGCCATTGGGCAGGCCTGTGTAAAGCTCCCTTTGAGTAATCATTCCGGGATCCGGTGTCATGATTCCGGCCTTCGAGTAATCATTTCAGTTTTTGCAGATAATGTCGCGTCATGATGACGAGTTCAACCACCATGAGGTCCACGTGCACCATGTGGCACATAGGAGTTCTATGGGCTCGAGTCCATCAGGTTCCGGAGTCCATCAGTGCAGCGAGCGCGAGCGACTTGACTCGGATCGGACGGTTTTTTTGAACGTTGCTTCCAATCTATGCAACTTGCTAAAGTGCAGCAGTAGCTGAGGGACGTATGCATGCTGCGTGTCCTTTTTGAGTTTTGACTCACTGGCCTCACTGCAGAACAGAGGTGAAGAGGAAATTGTGTGGCAGCATTCGTAGCCACATACTCATTGGTCACGATATTTTATATGCAGCGGTCGACAAATGAGAAAATGACGCTTCTCAGCTTCCTAGAAATTTCAATTGACGTCTGGACTGGATACCTCGCCGCACAACACCATGCTGTAGGATGCTTGCAATCCAAATTTTTCAGCACATGGCTCGAACATTTGTGCCGGTCCTTCAATCATTCGTTGCAAATCTTCGAGCTTTCGGAAAGGCAAGGAAAAAAGCTGATCTATGTCTCGCTCGCAGCTCCTGATCAGCTTAACCACTGACGTTGAGGCGGCTGCTTTCTACTGTAGAAGAGTCATTGTAGAGATAGCCTTATTGCAAGATGCACTAAAATTAATCATGCATGCACTTTCTCGCAAGAACATGCCGACGGTAGGACCCGGTCAAGATACTGAGATAGTTGATGAGAGTCGGAGGGGTTACAATGTTGGCGCTTGCGCATGTTTCTGCATGAATGTCAGCTTGTCCTTTTTACCCAATCCGGATCACTATGGTTTGCTGACTATTGTGAGAAAAACGTACATCGATCAATTATCCACCGAGACTCATGCTGCACCTCGGAGTTATTCATCCGTTGTATTCTGATACCCGCCAGGTCGGACAGCAACTCAAAGCCGGTGGCTCAATTGACGTGGCTTAGGGTTTCATGCAAAAGATTCATCACAGAAGGACCCAACATGTTTAACGTATGCCGATGTCGCATGTGCTGTTTATGCAAAACATCTGAAAGGCCAGTCAGCCTGACTTACACCTTAGTTGACGTTGCCATGGCCAATGTCCAGCAAAACGGACAAATTCGACGCCACCCTGGAGGGTTGCTTGGCTTAACAATTTGCATCCATATGGAACGCTTCGAAGTACTTGCGAAGCAATTCAATTGTTAAATACTGTTAAAGCGGGGAATGTTCGACTTGTCATAGTACCATAGGTAGCAAGCCTGTCTTTGCCTACCATGTTTTCTCTTGAAGCCAAGGACTGGATGGCTTGCACGTTCTACTTATTATCTACTTACATAAGCTTCGCATACTTCAACCTCCTAACGTTCAATATACAGTCGCGCTCAGACTGACCTGTGAGTCGACGCCTTAGATAAATACCTCAGAAGTTCTTGCGTGACTTACAGGTTCGTTGTGTAGGAGAGGCTGAAGGAGTAACCACTGCGCGCGACTCGCTTCGCGCCTTGTCTCCCGATAAGGACAAGCGAAACCAAGCAAGTGACGGCTATTTCACCTGCCTAGCATGCAACACGGGGACTTTCCAAAGAGTTCTGCACATCGACCCTTGTACCAGCGCCCCCCCGACCATATTTGTACACCAGATCCCCCTTCTTTTTACTTAACCGAGCTAGTAGTCGAGGCGCATTCCTCTTGGGTCAATCGTCTCCGGCTTCAGACCTTCGGAGGAGGGGACGGGGGCTGCTTGGCGACATCGGACTCGGTGGTCGGCAGGGTGTCGTCGCCCATTTCCATCTTCATGGACCGCGATGCCTGCACGTGCAGGTAGTTGGTGGCCCAGCTGCCGCCTGCAAAGATCATCAAAGTAGAGCCAGGTCAGGATAAGAGTGTCATGAGGAACCGCACCAAGTCTTCACCGATCGTTGTCCGGACAGATATGGGCCCGCAGATATGGGCCCGCAGTAAGGATCACACATGAGAACGGGTGAAACGTGCCTTGACAGATACAAAGCACAAGCTATTCAAATTATTGCCCGGGTTGCCAGTCTATAAACAGTTCCCAAGTTGCAAACCTTTGAAGCGAGAGCCGTCGCAATAAGCCCGAGGCATTCACGCAGCTTCAGAAAGTTCCGCACCACAATGGAAAGTACAGGACAGAGCCACAGAAACAAGGGGCTCACCAGGCCACGTCTTCTGCCACGGGTGCAGCTGGAACGTCACCAACTTGATGATGATCCAAGCGCCAAACCCGGCGATGGCACCATACGCGATGTTGGACGTGAACGGCTGGACGATGATGGTGAGGAAGGCGGGGATGGCCTCCGTCAGATCCTTCCACTCAATCTCTGCGAGACGAAAGCGTTCGAGAGGTTCAGGTCTGCCGCGAGGCTCTGCGGATCACATGACGTCAGCAGCCAAACTCGAGCGCAGACAGGCCGTGTTTGAGCAACGAGATGCACATGCGCTACTTGTACGAGTTCAATAGAAGGCTTCGAATGTGCTTGGTGACCATTTATATTCCAACCAAGCGGGCAGCATGGCCCCTGCGATTGACCGTGGAATCGACAATCCGGAACACGAGCAATACCTGGTTGTCAGATCAGACCTCAGTTGCAAGAGCAGACCAGACGACCAAGGTAGTCAGCGGATCAATCAAATCAATCAATAGCAACAGTATCAGCGGACCTCGCCCTTCTCGGTCTTGGCAAGATCAAAGAAGCCCACTTATTGCCAAAAACAGAATCGCAATGATTCGCGGCTCACCAATGATCGACTCGTTGAAGATGAGCACGCCGATCAGCACCAGGATGGGGCCCGTCGCGATGTTCGGGATCGCCGTGAAGATGGGCGACAGGAAGCACATGAGGAAGAAGAGCACGGAGCAGAAGCACGCGCAGAGGCCCGTGCGGCCGCCTTCCTTGACGGCGGCCGCGGACTCGACGTATGTCGTCAGGCATGACGTCCCCAGGATGCCGCCCATGACGGTGCCGAGGCCGTCCGCCAGGAAACCCTTGTTGGAGTTGGGGATGTCGCCGTTCTCGTCGATGATGTCCATCATGGTGCCCATGGAGTAGAAGGTGATGCACGCGCCGATGAAGTCGAGGTACAGGAACGTGACGAAGGCTGCGAGGGGGCGGAAGAACTACCGTCGTTAGTCAAACCTGGTTAGCGACTGAACAGTTGCCCTTCTATCCACAAAACGTGGTTCGTGTCTGGTTGATCGCCCGCAACAGAGCGTGGTTGAGAGGTAAAACCGCCTGGGAGGGGCCGGCAGAAGATGCCATCAAGAGGCTGCTCGGAAAGACGGGCAGCACGGGGCCGCGAATCTTAGTGGACTGCAGAGAGATAAGCTGAATTGAGGTTATCGGAAGTTGTGAAGGAAAGCAAGCAACCTCCTAACGTGTGCCTCCCTAAGTTCGTAGAAACCGAGATGCAGCATGGGAAGGAAGATGCACTTTGTTCTGAACAAAAGGATCAAGGACTGTGAAAGTACGGCTTAAGTCCGTGGGGTTCCGAGAAACTATAAAAGCGAGGAATACGACTAGGGGCGTAGGAAGCAGCGCCAGTGAAGGACCAGAGGAGGCCCGCTGCGAGTTACAAGCACGGATTGTACAAAGTTCGGATTCAACAGGTTGTGAGGTAACCTAGTGATGGTGAGAATACTCTTTAGAGAGATAGTCGGGCCGAACTATCACTTGACGATAGAGACGGGTTTGGAACGTGACTAAGGCCACTGGGAAAGCACGGGGGAAGGTATTGCACAAACGAACGTGCGATGGGGCGCCGAAATGGCGAACAACACGGCTTGAGAAGAATCGTTTAACTGGAGTCAATGGCTCTCAATACAGATGATGGTCAGCTGCTCCATAGCAGTGGTACTGTTTGATTCGATGGCAGCCAAACAGTGGTGCACGCTTCCAGGTTTTCCAACTCTTTTGTCGAATTTCGAGGTTTTGTAGTTGCGGCTTAGATTATTCCCAGTCCCGCCCTGCACGGTTTAGGTTCTGTAACATTGCGGGTGACTGAGCGCCTCACCAGAGATCAGCTTCCCGGAGTCGCTTCCCCACGCGAAGCTGATGTTGCCAGCAGTCTCCTGGAAGGTCGGCGCATCAACTGCCTTCTGGGGGGCTGTGTCCGTCCACTTAATCCAGCTGATGAAAGTGGTAAAGAGGATACCTGCATGAGTTCAAAGTTAACATGGTGAGCACTCGGTTTCTTTTGCCGCTCGGTCTCTTGTTTCAACCAAAATCCCCACAATCTGTGAGATAGGGTTGTTGTGTTAGAGCAAGAGCCTCGTGAAGAACTACTTTTATTGCCATCCTGAAAAGAAGCCTATTGACTCCGTTCTTATGCATGGGCTACATCCAATCGGAAGGATGCGAGTTTTAAACGCCTACCGTTCAGAAGTATGAGAAACAAGAAGCAAGAGTATCATCATGTGTGACGTAGGCTAGGAGCTTGAATGTTACGGCAGGACGAATGTCCTTTTCAGCAGAAGTTATCACAGTGGAGTAACAAACACTACACTGAGAAGTGAGCGGGATCTTAGAAGCGTACCTATGAGGAGGGAACCGTTGAGGTGGTAGACTGTGAGGATAGCGGTCAGGGTCAGCCCCGCCATAGAGAGCCAGGGGCAGGTGGGGCCGTTGCTGGGGTCGTTGTAGCAGCGATTGAATTGCTTATTGAGCTGGACCAGATTCGGGGGGTCCGCCTGGACCACCACCCCCATCGACTTGATTCCCACGAAGGAGATGAAGACTCCAATACCTAAGGGCAAAGAGATGTGTGTTGCTTGTTTGTTTCGTGTAGGGTACTGGAGAACGTAAGGAGATAAGCATCGGCTTGGAAAAGAAGACGGACACAGTGAGAATACGACAAAGACAAGTGGGGTTGCTCAATCCGAAGGTAGCATATTGAGAGCTTTCAAGCGATGAGCATAAGGACGGACATTCTGATAGTCTTTCTCGTCTCCTTATTAACAGTGTCAATCGCTTGGTGCTTCAGCTCCTCTTTTTTAACTCTGATCAAAGCCTTAAAAGCATCAAAGAGCCCAGAATCATTCTGCAAGTTCTGCAAAAGTACAGACCTACACGACGTTGAGAATTGGGAGGGGAGATTGGGCCCCAGAAATGAAAGAGGCTGTCAAAGATTGAAGCAGGGCGTCGGACTGCAGGCGGTGGAAAGCCACGACGGCATGCAGAGTTTGGCGGATGCAAGCAGATACTTTTTGGATGGCAGTCCTTACCTGCGGCTCCAGCCATCAGCACTGTCTTGGGGAACAACTTCATCAGAGAAGACCGGAAGCCGCCGAGTGCAATCGCGGTAAACACAATTCCCTCGAGGACTGTGGCAGCTAGGGCCTGCAGGAGTATCAGGAAAGAGCGTTTCAAAGGCAAGCATGCTGAATGATGCGAGAAGAATTGTCAAACGAGTTTAGGGTTCCCTGAGCACCTGAAGCGGTGGATTTAATGAAACCGTGACAGGATGCGGGAAGCAAGCGCAAGCAGGAGTGCGAGCATTGGGAAGGGTTTAAGTTGCAAAACTTGAAACATAGCCTTAAGTCACTTGTTGTGAGCCATTCAGATGATGCAGGGGGCAACAAACATTGCAATTCTGTGAAAACAAAGAGGACTGAGCCTCTCAACTTTGGAGCTTAGAAGTTGAGGCACAGAGCCAGTGAAGAACTCCAGCCTGCAAGCGGCTGACCTTATTGTAGTGAATCTCGAAGCCGTCACAGCCGCCATCTGGGATAACGGACCCCTCCGGGCAGTATTCGGGCTTGGTCCCTGGCTTGATGACTTGGTACACAAAGTAGACATTGGTTCCCAGCTGAACACTGCAAACCCAGGGGTAGTTTGCAACCAACCCCATGATGCCAGTGGCAAAGCCAGTGGAGATGGCAGTGGCGAGCAGCACATCGCCCTGACACAAAAAGAAGTTAGGAGCGGGTCAGAACAGGATTCTGGTCATACTTGGCTGCATATGATCCTGCTTGATAACCGGAATTTCACCGTGCTGCTTCCAAATGAATGTTGGCACCAAGATGATTGAGGGAGAGTCCAAGTCAATTGAAATAGGTTGCTTTTAGAGACCGTCAACTGATCAATCTTCGAAAGATCTTCATATATCCACTCATGTTGTGAAGTTGTTAAGTTCACGCGTGACCTCAATAGGTGTTCTCTGGTAGTGACGTTCAAGAAGAACGGAGTTGAGATTGGCACAGAGGATGGCACCAGACAGAAAGCAAGCACATTGGTTGCATTGTCCAAGGGTGCCGGCAAAGTCTAAGGAATGGCCAAATTTTCTACCTTAGGAAGACCTCCGGCGCTTAGGATGAGGGGGTTCAAGAAGAGGATGTACGCGGATGTCATGAAAAGTGTAAGCCCGGCACTGCAAGGCAACAAGAGGCATCATTAGATGGTCAGAGTCATTGGAAGAGCGTACTCTTGATACTTCTTGATAGATTCCAGTCAGAAGTTAGGGAGTGTGCTTTGAATCCTCCAGGATGAGCTCTTGACTTGCAGGTTACAGAATGCAGCTTGCCTTGAGTGAACTCCGTAATTTGTAAGTGGCTTACAGACTGTCAGATTACTAGATCTTACACCTGGTTTGAAAGGGGACAACCATTTGCCATCCTTATCCGCCGACGGTCCATTGGATGATAGTAGCAATGGAGGGGTTGTAAGGGAAGAACAAAAATGTTTGCAAAGACTGCAATGAATTCTATCAACAATGACCCAAAAAGAAGCTAGCTATGGCACGCTGGGGCAGACAACTAGATTCTCAGGTGATTGTCATAGATTGTTTTGCAAATCTTACCTCGAAAGCAGTTGCAGCAGAAAGTGCTCTTGGCCCTTTTCGAAACAAGTTTTTATCCACACAACACATCACCTCAAAAGCTTCTAAGCCGAAAAGATTTGGCACATTGATCAACACAAAAGGTGTATAATATTCTCAGAGATGTGTTTCGATTCTGCAAAATGTGAAGTAGATCAAAGAATCTGTATAATGCAAGAGAGATCTGCTGTGGCTACGATTTATTTAGCGGTGTTTTGAGCATACAAAGTCCAGATAGCGAAACTGAATCCTGGGAAGAGCCAGTCAACAGGCACATAATGTACCCTCCAAGAACCCAACAAAATCGACTGCATAAGTTCCCAGCCAGCCTAGGGATGACAGATGCAGCATTTTGCCATTTCTTTTAGCTACAATGCACGATGTACCGTACCCCCTGTTGGCTAACCAAGAAATAAAGCAAGCAATCATGAAAATCATGCCTCACCGTAGCTCTGCCATAATGCTTGACTTCCGCCGGGAAATGTGGAAGAACTTGTCCAGCTGCTTAGAGACGGGGTTCGCCACAACGGCGTTCTCAAATGCTGAGAGGCCCATGTTTGCTGGTGGAAGGTCCTCTCGACAAAGATCTATTCAGGCCGACGGGAGATGCGCGGAGCGCGATGCGGTGCGGTTGCTCTGAAACAGGAGATTCTCACTGCCAGATGTTTTATGCTCAATTGCGGGGAGAATCGACGTCCAGACAATGTTTCAAGAAAAGTGCAAAAGCAGCTCTGAAGGTTCTGGTTCTTATGTATTGCCGGAGCGTCAATGGAGAAATGATGGAAAATCACTTCTCTGCCATCATTACGTAAAAGGAGAATGATGCTGCAAGTACATATGTTCTGCAGATACCTACATTTTCTCATCAGTGTTCTCTACAGGCTGCTGACTCCCTGCAGTGTTTTTCACTTCAATGAGCAGTCTGCATACCGTATGTGACCAGCCAGCTCCTTTTCTCAGCCTTAAGCCTGCGAGGGATGTCTTAATCAGGCTCACGGGGATATTCTGACTACTGACATAACCCTAAGGTTAACGCAGAACGCCACAAGCGTGCTAGTTGCAAATTCTGGTTAAACCGTTAAACCGCTAGCCTGAGCGGCCGGTAGGGATAGCTGCTAGCACGATTCCGTGGCTGGGAGATCGGCTCACGAGTCACGAGTCACGAGTCGCTTGAACTTGAAGTTTTCTCGGCCTCAAACCGGACTTCGGCCAAAAGCTCGGCGACGAAGTCTCATTCTCCACGTGGCAAAACAAAATTGCGTTCGACCAATCAAGATGGCGGAAATGTCGTACCGGTTACGAACAAGTGGCGAAAGTGAGCGCCGACTCAGGATTGGTTGAACGGCCTGACAAGCAATCATCACACTGCGATGCGGCGCCATTTTGTAATGATCACACGACTCCTTGAGTTTATTCTGCTTCAAGTAGGGTCTACAAATGTTGGGAAAATACCCCCCTAAAGAGATTGATTCTTTCATCCAATGATGAGCTTGTGCAGCGGCGAAATGATGGCCCGGATCCTTGCAACAGGTTCCTATTTGGAAGGGGGGAAGCCCACCACTCCACGATCGAGCGCCAAAGAGCCAAGCAGTCCCCTGGCAAGAGAGAGGACCTTCCACCAATGATGAGCAGGGTAAGGGTACAAGCGGCCAGCCTGTCGAACGGATGGTACGGAGGCGGTCAGCTCGGAAGATAAGGTTGCAGAACCGCCACACTTCCAGACTGGGGGCGTTTTTCAAATCAGATTCATGCCCCCTGTTGACCCTCCTTCTGCGGATGATAAGCTTGTGCTGCGGCGCAATGATGGTACGGACGGCTCTCCATTTTTGAATCAAGTGGGGGCATGGCCAGTGCAGCTCTTGGGCCCCCTTGCTAGAGTTCTGGTTGGCTGCCAATGATAAGCTTGTGCTGCGGCGAAATGATGGTACGGATGCAGCATTTTACCGGTAGCAAGAAGCTTGTGACCCTACCGGTCGAAGCAACGCCCCCACTTGGCCAGATTAGGCCCGGGCTTTGCAGCGCATCTGGAGGCCCTGAATGCCCTCCGACCCTTGCATCGAAACTCGAAGGTTCTCGCCGGTCACAAAACTTGCTTATTCATCAGGAATGTTTCATGCAGATTGCATGGGAGCTATGAATCAAGTGAACAGTGGCCGTGTAAACCATATAGGATTAGCTATACTAAAGAAGTGTTGGCGTTTCTCTTCTTCATCAATCATGGCATGGTTAGAACTTTTGATGACCAACTTACCAAGCGGTTCGAGCAATGAATCTCCCAGCACATATTGCTTGCCCATGTCCTATATCGGCTACTCCCGCGGCACACATAGCTTGCTGACAAATTGTGTTTCAAGGAGAAGCAATCATGTTCACACATATGCGATCTTCAGCACGTTATTCAAGCCTAGCAATCTGGACTCAGTGACGTCGACCACTTCGCACGTCGAGTTCGTGCATGAACAGTACATTTGTATAAGCTGTGTGAATGCATGTGTTGCCGGACATCATATCAAAATACAAGCCTACAATTGGGCGTGGCCTGTGTATAGAAATGATACGAAGAAGTTCGCACGAATTGCTGCTTGCTTAGTGCAGTCTTGACAAGATGTTGCTATATACGTGTGGTCAATCGGTTATTCTGCTTAATTACCGTCCTCAAGAAATGTCATGATATATAAATGTTCTACCAATCAACTCCTTGACCTTAGTCTACCTTAGTTCAACCCTCGTTCAAAACGTAACAAGCACTGACGGCGTGACGCAACTGCTCCGAATAAATGAGGTACAACAACCGTGATAGTCTTCACTGCTGAGATCAATTGGCGATAATTTGCAGTATCCAAGCAGTTGTTGTTACCCACAAACGTATTCCATGATAATTGCCTTGGTGGTGGGCCCTCTATCCACACTCCACTAGAGGTTGCATAACATATATACACTATCGTTCTTCTATCCGAAGCTGGACTCTCGATCCTTCATACTATCAAGTATACGGTAGCAAAGGCCCAGGCCAGCGGTTCGAGGCAGCCAGGCTTTTGCTAACCGTTCCTAGATGCCAGCCCTTCCTAACGAATAAATCAATGTAAAGCTGAACGGCCCGGCTAGGCCCCGCCTTTAGGAAGTTGTGCCGTTGGCGTGAGTCTCCTTGCTAGCCAGCAGCGCATCTCGGACTTCTTGGGCAGACGCAGTCCAGCCCACAATCGCCCCCTGACTCGCGAGGATCTCCAGCGTGGAGCTCTTGAACCTGCGGGACGGCGAACAACTTTGACTCAGTGAATAAAGAAAAACGGTTTAGGATGGCGGACAGGTCTCAAGGTCCGAAAGGCTGGCCGGCCTTGAAAAGCGTCAATCTGTACCGGAAAAACCTTAACTTAATGTAAGCTTGTCTCGGCAATCGCACTTTGTCAGCCCCCAATATGAGTCGATCATGTTCACCCAATCTGAATGATCATGCAGAAGGAGGGAAACTTGAAAAAGTCGTTGAAACCTCACTCAGGAAAGTAGCTCTCCGTTGCGTCTGTCACCATGAGGCACTCGAAGCCCCGGTCGCAGGCCTCGCGCATCGTGGTCTGGACGCACACCTCGGTTGTCACCCCCCCGAACAGCAGGTGGGTCACGCCCTTGGACCTGCAAAGAGACACGAACGGAGAGTACTGAATGCTGAGCCGATTTGTGATTTTCTCCCAACTCGAGTCGGATCGAGCAGTTGATATGGGTTCGGAAGTGTTTAGGGACCAGAAGATACGCGTCGAAGATTGGCCAATCGAAGAGAACGGCAAGCTTATAGTTGGATACGCCCGCCCGAACTCGCGAGTGCACGACAATTGGATGCTCCGTAACGCGCCTGACCATTCGTACTGCTGATCGTAGTCTCCGTTGTTGACGCTCTTAACCATGCGCCAGCTTACAAGCCAACAGCTGAACGGCGTGAAGGGTGGACAGCCATGCAATAAAGTGTGACGAAAAACGCGGACGCTCCACTCTGAGCGACGACACATGTGAATACCTTTTAGTAAGTTTCAGATTCGACATGGAGGAAGGAAGCCAGATTGAGTGCTCGAGGCTCGACAAGAGGTGAAGCACAACTTACAGAAGAAACTCGTAGATGTCGGTCTGGTAGAAAGCGCCTTTTCCGGGCTTGTGGATAGCCTACAGGTAAGGAGACTCCGAGTCAGCCTCCGGGCACGAGCGGCAGATAAAGCATTGAGGCTCGCTGTGGGCGCTTTGGAATGAATGCCGAAGCAAGTTGCAAAGAAACAGCAGTGATCGCAGATGTGACAGAGAGCTAGCAAGGGACTTAGAGCTTTTATACGAGTCCCACGTGTTTCAACTCCGACGAGGCCGACAGGTTTGAAAGGCACGTCACTTCCCTGGATGTCTGCATCTGCCCGGCCCGGTAGAGAATCACGACTGATCTTTTCAATCCTTTGGGTCAGCTGTCCATATGATCGAATCACGAGCATTTGCTCCCCAGATTCACGGAGTCAAGTACCATGATTGAGACGCAAACTGCGAAGCCATACCTTCTCGTTAGGGGCCGGCGCGTTCTCGTCGACGATGCCGTTCCCTTCCTCATTTCGGACGAGGATGCGGCCGCCAATCTCGCCCTGCGTTGCCAAGAGCAGGCACGACTCAGGTCCCGGTTCCAAGCAAGATTTCGTAACATTCCCTCAAGGCAAATTGAGTGTTGCTGAAAGAAGGAAGCACACGCAGCTGAGTTCCCAGATCCAAAAGCTCTTTTTTTCCTAAACAAGACGACAGTGGTCTGAAATCGAGAAGCAGGACTCAACGCAGATCAACCGCCGGAACATCCCCGCGCTGGTTGACAAAGAGAGGTAGCATTGCCGCAGACACGTGCCGCTCCCAATCACGTCACGCTTACGACCGCTTCCAGACACACCACACCTTCGCGTATGAACCTCCCAATGTAGAGATTGCAACCACTCCATAAGGAGAGACAGACGCTTTGTGATTGCGCCAAAAGAGTCTACAAAGAGCGGACGGGTCACCTCATCTCCGATCCGGAGCCCGACCGGCAGCTGCCCTCGGGTGAGCTTGGCCAGCGGGGCGTCGCTCAGGTCCGGATAATGCGCCTCCAGAGTGTGGACGATGGGCATGCCGAACTCGCGAAACGTATCCTGCAGGCAAAGATATTGAAGTGAGAGTTGGATCTTGACGCGGAAAGCAACATAGAAAGTCCGAAAAACCTAGTCTGGGAGCGGAGTACTTAGGTCCCGGGTGGTGCGCCTCTAGAGTGTGGGACGATCGGCATGCCGAACTCGCAAAACGTATCCTGTGAGCAAAGAATTTGTGGATCCTTTACCTCTGAGGCAAGAACCAAACCTAGAGGTCAGCAAAAGTCTACTCTACCGCAGCTGTATATGCTTGATGGCGGCTTCAGGATCGAGTACCCAATCCGCTGTCAAGCGGACCGCCGAAGAGATTAGGAACAGGAACGAGAGTGCGTCTGAAGAGGGTTGTGGTGCGCTATTGCGGTCCTGGCAAAGGCAAGACACCCCGTCGCTTGAAAAGACGTCAGACGAGAATGGGAACAGAGCTGAGACTTGCGCTCTCCTCGCAAGGCCCATCTGAATGTATCGAAGTGCAACATCTGGTTAGCGGTGCATTAGCGAAGCGAACACGACAAGATTCGAGCAGGAGAAGACTTCAGCCTTCGATTAGGTAAAGCGAAGCGGGTGTTTGATAGTAGCACACCGAAGATCCTTCGGAGGGTCGAGCAACTGACGCACGAGCAGCAAGGACGATGGAGCCTCAATTCAGGTTAAGAATGGCGGGTACAGATCAACAGCGAACCGGCCCGCATGGAGGGTCCACTCACCAGGAGTCGGCAAGCATACCTTTAGCGTCAGAAGATGTAGACGAAAGCGGAAGGATGTCCGCAAAAAAGTAACTAGCATGGGCGTCCGCTCACCAGGATCATTCGTACGGTAGGCACGATGGCTTGCAGCAGCTTGACGTTGTTGCCCAGCGTAGACCCAAAGCCGCCCTCCTCCACAAAGTCCCTTTGCATGTCGATCATCACCAGCGCGGTCGCCTCAACCTAGAAAGACACACCGATGATGATCAGTGAGCGACTTGTGAATCGGTGCGATTGTCGCTGGCGTTTTCGCCTCCACCTGAAGAGACACACCTATGGTTAGCAGTCCGCATCTTCGATAGTCGGTGAGAGTAAGACTGTGGCAAAGTCTTCGCTCGAACAAGCCACAAGCATACAGCGCGGTCAGTACCTGGAGGTGAAGAGACTTACGCAACGTTCAAGGCTGCAGGCTTTCGTGCGACTAGGGCAGGGGCCTTAAGAGCGCAGTTGTCAGTCTGGTCATGTATATTCAATCGAGACGAGACTAGCAAGAGGTCAGCGTTTCAGCAGGGCAAACAAACATCATAAGCGGACGTCAGACTCTTGGACGAATTTCATCGTGACTCGAAGCTCATTGCGCATGTTTCAAGCTCAAAGAAGCGCTTGGTACACAATGACTTGACGCATCCAGCTACGCTGCTCCAGCTATACTTACTGGGAACGTGAACGGCCAAGGCTTGGCTCCCTCCACGGTCGCTCTCTTCATGTTTTCGTAGTTGGCCGGCAGCGGCACAACGGCCGGAACCAGAGGGTCCGGCTTTCCGATCCAGGGGACCTTCGCCCACGCCTCGTCGACCGGTTCCGGCGGGCCAGCGGATTCCGGGCTGGAGAGGCCGGAAAGAACGGCATCCAAGCTGGCGACCCAGCCGATGATCCCGCCCTGGGCCGTGATCTGAGTCAGCGACGCCGCCTTGAAGCTGCAAGAGGAACTCCAGAAGAAGCGGAAGTTAGACGCGGCATCCATCCGTTTCCGCTGAAGTAGAGTCGTTCCGCCAAAACTGCTGCTTCTGGACGTGAAAGGTGATGTGCAGCTTGAACCTGATGAAAGCGCGAGGGGTTCAACGGAAGCCGGTCCGAAGGGTCCGCCTTCGGTGAAGAGTAGGAAGCGGGCAGTTGCAGCAGGAACAAAACAAAAGGTGCATGAAGCAGCTCTGTCTTGGTCTTTGTACATTTGAGATCCCTGCTGAATCGAGATGCCTTGAGTTGCCAGCTTTTATAGGCAAGAAACCAGGTGACAAGACGACAGACAGTATCACAAGCCGACCAGGAAGAGGATGTCGCATGCATAGTCGAGGTTTCGAAGCTACTAGCGCCCCAAATCGCACCGCAGACCTCAGCAGCCTGTTCATCTAGTTCGTTCACTTTTTCAGACTCAGCAAAGTCGTTCGGTAAGAGCTGTATAAAATAATGGAGAACGCTGCTGCTTACTCGGGGTTGTAGCTAGCGGTGCACTCGTCAACTAGGAGCGGGTCGAAGCCGCGGTCGTTGAGCTCGCGCATGACGATCTGGACCGTGATGTCGGTCTCCAGTCCGGCGACCAGCACATAGCGGATTTCCTCCTTGACCAGGAATTCGTGAACGTCTGTGGCGTGGCCGATGCCCTTGCCGGGAGTGTAGACAATCTGCCATAGGAGATGGGAAACTTAAGGGGGGGAAGGAGAAATACGTATGGATGTTGGGTTGGATGAGAAGAAAGACCTGTGGCTGTCAGATATGGCTGATGCCATTGCCGAAAGTGAAAAGACACCTCTGAAAAGACATGGAAAGAATGGGAGGAGAAGAAAGACAGTTCTGGATTTCTGCTTTGCAAGCGGAGTGCTATTTGAAGAAGAATGATTGGCAAGGTGGATAAGTGAAGACAAAATGGGAGAGACTGACAACCAACCATGGTCGGTCTCCGATTTGAGGACAGCAGCCTTCCGTGATGCGATGAACTGATAGAATCTAGACTTACTCACTCACACAAGGCCTCAGCAGATTGTGTGTCCAAGTTTGAGAAGACGGATGAAATGAAGGGAATCCAGTCACATAAAAGAGGGATGGTGGGAAGCAAGAAGCAAACAAGTCGTTCAAAGGATAGACACACGAACGTTAGAAGAGTGGGGTCAGTAACAGGGTAATCGTGCAAGCCTTAAACACGTTGGGTTTTGAAAATCTGGAAATGGAAGCCAGGTTTTAACTCCCATGGTGCCTTTAGGACCAGCAGGGCAGTCTAAGAGAGCCTTCAAAGCTCTCCCCCAACTAAACCAGAAAAATGGTCCTTGCCAGAAAACCTCCGCGCACAGAGTAACATTTGACAAGGGGACCTACCTTCTCTCCATCTAGGGGGGCCGCATCATCGACGAACTGCGTGCCAATCTCCCCCTGAATCAGGATGCGCCCCCCTTGGGAGCCCTGCACAGAAGAGGCTGGTTTTAAAGAAAGATCCACCAACAAGCATTCGCTCAACCAGCAAGAAGAACGCTTACCAGTAGCTTCAAAGTTGATGGCACATTCTTTTCAGAAGCTCACACTGCTAGCAATTGCGGAGGCAGATCTGTACCACCCCTGAGCCCTCACTTAAGTAGGTGCGTTGTTTGCGTGACTGCAGAAGGATCATGGCAGCAGATGACTGTGCTCTCACCTCATCCCCAATGCCGACTCCGCCAGTCTGCTTCTTGGTCTTGCTGGCCTTGGAAGGGGCCAGGTCACTCAGGTCTGGCTTGTATGCTTCTGCCACATGGACCACGGTCAGCTTTGCCTCTCTGGCTGCTTCCTGCAGAAGATTCTGTGCAAATGGTTCTGACATTGATGCTGAGTGGTTTGGAGCTCTTGATTGCAATTGACCAGTCCCATTTGGCCGTCAAGAAGAGGGAAGTGGCTTGAGTTGATCATAAGAGATGGCTTCTTTTGTGGTCAAATAGAAGCCACTATCAACAAAGATAATGCAGCTGAACGGAACACAGGAGACTATTTGGCAGGTAAGATATAGCATAACAAATTATGAGCCAGGTTTCATGGCACACTCACCAGGAGTTTGGCGACTTCTGGCCTGATAGATTGCACTTTTGAAAGGTCGTTCCCAAGTAGTTCCGCATAGCCCCCGGGCTCCAAGAAGTCGTGCTGCAGCTTCAGCAGCAGAAGGGCAGTTTTGCCAACCTGCATTTGATCCCCCAGATCAGCTTGGAAGTCATTCTTAAGAAAAGGAAACCACCAGACAGAGGAGAGCTTTAGACGGATCCGCTGGCCTACTGGCAGCACCTTGTACTGCTCTCAAAGGTTGATACAGGTGCTTAGCTCAGGTCTTGCCTTGAATTCTACCTGCCTCCAAATGTTGATTGCACAAAGCGCAGTCCCCAAGCAGCTGGGGTCAACACAGATTCTTCTATAGTGGAGATGACACATCTGGGGCTGGGAGTGACTGATGATGCTTACTGGCGACTTGAAGTCTCGTGGCTGTGCTTTGATGACATACTCCATGCCTGTGAGAAAGTTCTGCAATGCAAAGCGACGGTTGAATCCCATAAGAGATACATTGGACAAAGAAAATAAAGAAGGGGCATTGGCTGGAATCGCTGCGATGACCAAAGAGTTTTGCTTCTATCTACTTAAGATTGGACTGTGTGACTTTACAGGGCACCTGCTGTGGGAAATTGTGCAGCCAGGTTGAAATGCAGAGCGTACCTGCACTTCTCATACATTTCTGTTCAAACCCCTGGACTCCTTACTACATTGCACCTTACATTTGACAGAGTCTGTCATGAGCAGTCCTACTTTTCTTATTTCATAACTCACCAGATTGAATGTTGTGATCTTGTGGCACTTGAGCTCGTAGTACTGGGCACCCCGTCCAGGCAAGAAGCCGCAATCCTGGAGCAGAACCTCACACAAGGACTGAAGGCGTTTGTGCAATCAGTGGTCCCTACAATGTTGCAACGGCCGCCGTTATGGGAAGACCAAGCACAGCTGAAGGCAGCACGGCAGGTGGTAGACGTGGCTAAAGAGAAGAAAGGGACTTCTCAACTATGGAGTTGAAAGAAAATGCAGGTGGGCCAAGCCGTTGTAGTCTGCTTGCAGAGATACAGCAGCTCGCAAATGGCTCCGTCTTGCAGAAGGCCGGAAAGATCAAGCTCGGAGTGGATGAAGAGTTGCATTCAGGTAAAATGCGTCCAGTGCACATCTGGCTAGAGAAGCATATATGTGCTCGCATTGCCCTGCAGCCTGCATGCCTGACTGCAGTGCCCAATGCCGCTACATCATGGCTCTGATTCTTGGCATGAGGCGCACAGAGTCAGACTCAGACTCAGAGCTGTACGTATTAACAGTACCAGGTACCTGAATTCTGATCAAGAGGCAGAGACTAGACTCTGGAGTCCATGTGAGGCGTGCTGCCGTGCATCATGATTTACGGTCGCCCAAAAATGGCCACAATTGCACTGTTTTGCACATGCTCATTGCTATTCACGGCAGGGCACGACCGTACACAAAGTGAGTACCCACGGTAGGTACGCCGAAGCGGCGACTTGTTCCCCTTGTTCTGCACATGCCGCACTACCTATGCCGCAATCATTCCGGATACAATCCGCCGAAGCCCTGCGGAACGCAAGAGCACACACGACGGGTGGCCGGAAAACGGAACGCCGTTAGGCGGCGATCATATATCTTTTGTCCTCTTTTTCTAAATCTTGACACTTTAATCATTCAAGCGCTCTTCCTTTCACTCATACGATTCCTTGGGGTATCATATTTGAGTGTCAAGATATAGATGCGCAAATACAAGATAAAAGGCAATGGGGGACTCGAGAGGCTCAAGATTCCGGTTCCAGGCACAATTTCCGTTCAATTGATACAAGGCGCTTTCACGCCTGCAATTCGCCCTTCTGTCGTGCATGGGACTGCAGCTGGGTTTCTGCCAAATTCTGGTGGTCCTTTTGCTGAGGAGCACCCTTTCTGGCTGAAGATCACCTTAGCCTGCATGAGACCGTCTTCAACAAGATTTGCGGAGCGCTTAGTGGGTTGCTTCAAGCGCCCACTCGAATTAGGATTAGGGTTTGCAGCAACTTATTGTTTAGAAAGCTTGCAGAAAATTTGATTGCCCACATTGGGCTACAGCTGCTATTTTGGATTTGCCCTCCTAGCTGGCAGTTATATTGAGAAAGGGTTGAGAACTACAAAATGATTTGACCAACCGCTGAGCTGGCGGAACTGAACGGTCAGGAGATCATCAACCAAGCGCATGCAGCTGATTAAACTAACAGAATGCTGAGCAACCCTGATTTCTCATCAGCGTGCTCCTAGCCGTGTTGACGCTCACACCAATTCTTTACATGATTGCTGAAACCTTGTTGAGCAGCGCTTAGCCAGGCATACTTACAGTCAAGACCACATTCCCAGATTGTAAGTCTACATAAGGGCACGGCCAACCAGAAATTACTTACCCAGCAAACCAGAATGGTACTCAAGGTTGACCAGCCCTCGGTCGTGAGCTGCTCGGGCAGGTTGCACAGCCCCGGGTTACGGCAGCGGTTATCAGATGGGTGAGCTTTCTCCACACCGGAAGCAGTCTTGAGTGCTCCAAGCTCAGAACTTCTAGATTCTCAAGATTCTCATGTCGAAAGCTTCCCTTCAATGAAACCCACAAGACGCAATTTCTCTTTGCTGTTAGTCTTTCCAAGGTGGAACATAGCTTTGCGTCTTGTTGCCCTACAAGTACAAAGGGCTCAGCCCCAAGATTGAAGGATCGCACGAAGCACATTGCGAGCCATACTCGGGCGTTCATGTTGTGCCCTTTTAAATCTTATTAAAGCTCTGTTGTGTAGGTCGGCCTCCCTCCAGAAGCAAGTGCGACTTTTCTGCTACCATGAGCTGCCGGACTGGTGCAAAGGCAACGAGTACATCCTGCGCCACTACCGGGCAGACTGGCCGCTGACTCGAACTATACTCAGCGTGTTTGAGGTCCACAACGAAACGCTCAACATCTGGACGTAAGGGATAACTCATCTGCCCCCGAGTGATGGACTTTTCCCCTGTCGTTCTGCTGTTCGTCATCCTCCGGCCTGTAATGTCTTTCAACAACTTCCTCCTCAGTATGTCTTGGGATTGGTTGGTGACAATATGTAGTCAGTGGTATTGGACATGAAAATTCTCTTGGACGCACTCATGGGATCATGCTACACTTGCATTTGAAGTATGTGTTACAGCGTCCTGCGGAGTCGAACACTTTTCTTCACGCTTTCACCAGAAGCAGGACCCCCCCCTCTTCCCCTACTTGTTTCTTACTCAGCCTTGATTGCAGTCCTCGCCTCTTCTGTGTTCTGATACTGTGCCCAACAGCGCGCCCCCTCCCTGCAGGCACTTGCTGGGCTTCATCCTCTTTGCCTGGCTGACCTATATTGCAGTGCTTGAGCATCCGGGCTTCGCTTCCACAAGCTCTGGCGCTCAAAGCATCGTCACTACTCAGCAGGTGAGACAGGTTCCAGCAGTCGGCGAGAGAAGCCTGGGTTCACTGCTCCGGTTCTTATCCCCGTTTGTCTTGGCTTTCCGTATTCATCTTGAGCATGGGGCAGTGACGAATCTCGCTCAAGCAAGCCCTTTAAGCATCCTGCCACAATAAACTTACAGAAGGAGAGAACTCAACCCGTTCTTCAGAGGCCGTTTTCTGCCCCGCATCTGTTCAGCTTTCAGGAGACTCTCCCGTTCCGCCCGCTCCGATGTTGCATTCAATCCGCGCACAATGTATCTCCGCAATGAGGCGTTCTGAGCATCTGACACCATACTTCCTACCTTTCGAGTTTGTACGCGTTTCCCCAAGCCACCTGTTTTTCCTTGCAGTCTCTCGTGGTTCGTCCTTCTCTTGCCCCCTCTCCAGTTGGCACGGCCCGCTTGTATTCAATCCGTCCTGTTCCAATCAGCAACGTTCTCTTCACCTCTTATTCAACCTGGATCACTCTCTTGCGCTGCATCGGATTGATCACCAAACCAAAGCTCACAATGTTCCCTCGGACGCAGCACCTTCCCTCGACCTCTCCACCGGCTTCCCGTCTTGGTGTCTCCAAACTACTCGTTTCACTCATAACGAATGTTCTTACTCACTAAACCGACTGATCACTAACCCGAAGCTCACCTTGACCCCCAGCCCCCACGACCTCTCCATCCGTTTCCTTCTCACTGTCAGCACAATCCCTTATTCTACATGATAGATCATCAACCCAAAACTTACTCTCGTCTCCGAGGCGCGGCACTTTCCCCCCGACCTCTCCACCAGTCTCCTTCTCACCTCTCAGCCCAATCCCTTTTTTGACAGGTTAACCACTGCCCAAGGAACTCTCGTTTCCCAGGCGCAGCACTCCCCCATCGACCTCTCCATCAGGGGGGAAATGTTTGCGCTCCTCTTCAGCTCTTCAAAGCACTCGTTTTGCCGATTGCTTATAATAATTTTGCTTATAGCTAACCCGAAATTCACCCTGACCCTCCAGGCGTATAACCTCCCCCCCGACCTCTCCACCGACCTCCCGGGCCCATTCCCCGGGCTCTTTTCCCACTCATCCGTCCCCCGGTGGCCGCTCTTTGTGTTCCTCTGGGGGGCCATGGTCTGCCTGCTGACCAGCGCTTCCTGCCACTGGTTCTGCTGCCACTGCCAAACAACAAATTCCATCGTCTGGAAGCTGGACTACCTAGCGATCGCGGGCCTCGTGTGCACGTCGTTCTTCCCGCCTGTGTATTACGTGAGTGGTCTCCATCGTCTTCACTTACCTGCATCCCTTCTTTTCCCGCCTGTATGTTACGTGAGTGGTCTTCATAGTTTGTTACATTGATACATTGTTGCTTCCTTGTTAGACCGCGTGTGAGGAGCAGGGTTGTAAAAAGTCGTTCTGTAAATTTGGTCCCGCCCTGAAGGCGATCAGCTCCAACCATGGAACGTGAGCCGTTTGATCAGCGAGGTGCATGCGTCGAACGGGCCGAGTGCTGAAAACGGCCTAAATCGAAGTTGGTTAAGCCGGCCAGGTTGACAGAACCAGTCGTAAGTCAGTTCTTTGTACTCTGAGAAGGAGAGAAGACAAGGCAAACTGACGTATAGCAAATGATCAGCACCTTGTCACGGATTTGACATGGTGACGAGTCGTGGAACTCATACCACTTCTGATGCTGATTGCGCTTTCAACTCCGCGACCCACGTATCGGGCGCGGCACCCCAAGCGATGTAGTGAACAATTACAGCCAGTGAACAGGAACAGCCAGTGGACAGTAACGGAGACGGGTAGGATTAGTTCGGGGTTTAGGGTGGGTACGGGTGCGGAGCGGGTGCGGAGCGGGTGATCTTTTGGGTTAGGATTTTTGGTAAACCCAACATGCTTACTCTACACTAGATCGTGCATTACGTGGGCTGCCACACCTGTGCTCGAGGCGCTGGGCTGCATCACACGGAAGGTGGATGACAACGGCTTTGTGAAACGGTGAAGCGCACATGTTTTATCTTTGTCACCGGACCTCGTTTGCGGTCACCGTGGGTCCATCTTCATCATGTCGCTGAGGAATGCGTTTCGTTTCTGACAGGCCTTCATGTGCGAGCCCGTTTGGCGGAACATGTACCTATCCGCGATCGTCATCCTGAGCCTAGCAACCGGGGTCATCTCACTATTCCCAAAATTCAACCACCCGACCTACCAGCCGTTGCGCGCCGGCGTCTTTTCGGGGATGGCCCTTTCCGGAATCGTGCCCTGCCTGCATAAGGCGGCGTTCCTGCACCCGGAGCCGATAGCTTATTTCACCACGGCGGCCGAGCTGGCCATGGGGTTTGTATACCTTATCGGCGCGGTCGTATATGCGACGAAAGTGCCCGAGAAGTGGCTCCCCGGGCGGTTTGATATCATCGGGCACAGCCATCAGATATTGCACGTGCTTGTGGTTGTCGGCGCGTGTATTCATTACAACACGGCGTGGGCTTACGTCACTTGGCGGGAGCAGTCGTCGTGTGTTCCCAAGTAAGACAGGTACTGCAGCTGGCGGTCAAAACATGATCGTAACAGCTCGAGGTTCGGGGTAGATTTTTAATGGATGCATTGTCCACAGCATTTATGCTTGATAATAGCAGGTGATTCTTTCATGCAGACACCAGCGAGAGGCATTGACCAGATATTGGCCTGCACGGTCATCATCAGGTAGCGGGTTGTGTAAACTAACGTTCCTTAGATCTAAGATGAGCATCAGCGGACTTTCCTGAGATCAGTGGAAAGCTAGAAATCCTCAGCCCAGCAAGCTGGACAGTACTTGTTCATTCGTTTAATCCGGGTTGAAAGTAGAAATAAGGTAGTGCGGCCACTCTTGTGATGCACTACTTTGCAATCGTGTACTTGATGTCAAAAAGTTATGAGAAACATGATTGCAGGCGAATCACAATCAAGTGCAACCAACTCAACGGACCGTTTCCGACATGCAAGTGTGTGCATGGGCGCCGGTCACCCATGCAAAATCCGATTACTTGAGTCGCAGGCTTATCGTTAAGCAGATGTACACGCGATTGTTGCATGATCACGGCGGTGCATGGCATGTCAGCGACTTGAATTATGTCCAAATGCATGATAAGTGACTATGTTTCATACAAACGTAGCACGTTGCGCGTACTGATGGCCGGTTTGAGAGCAAGGGACGTATTGCGCATTCGATATCACTCTAGTGACCATGCGACAACAAGACCATCAAGTGAAAGGCCCGCCGACATATGCATGACATGAGTTCAACCGTAATGATGCGGCAGGACGCGTACTCAGTGCGTCATTACTCAGCCGTATCTCGATCCGCGGGAGCAACTCAACACGTTATAGTAACGCCAATGGGCGCATATGCTGGCGTTATCTACTGAGCGTTGACACATATGCATGGCTGGCCGCACGAGCTAGTGCCTCGGCGCCCTATAGATCCGTGCATGTGCAGCTAGTACTAGAATCACCGAGGGCCGATATCTACCGCCAATTGTGAGCTCGATCTCCCAGAGCTCAACCACTCAGTCTGGCATTGTGGAGGAATGAGTGTTATCGAACTAAGCGCGCATGCACCCAGCCATCTGTCTTAAGCTTGCCGGCTGAAGCTAAAGCAGGCGCCACACGGTGCAGACAATCTGAAGCAGCGAGTCAGCCAGTCAACAATTAATGAAAGAGCGTACAAGGCGTACAATCAGTCTGTGGCTTTGTAAGTAGATGAGTTCGATCCTGGATGTGCTCGAAATAAATGATCAATACTAAGTCGGAGAATAATCAATACCCTTCGTCCGAGGTCGTTATCGTATCGTACAAGGGGAACCATCGTTGCAAAATCGCTGCCGTCAACTCGTGCTTTGCCTGCCCAAACGCGTATGAAAAGCCGTATACGTGTATCAACTTGCTTTCCGCCAGGTGCTCTATCCGGCCACCTCCGAGAACCTCCAGTTGCAAACCTAGCGGTCGAACTTCTCTCGCCGTCCGCTCATACACGTCGTTATGATAGGACGCATGCACGCTTCCTCTGACCAACTGCAGGTGCAAAAGGGACAAAAAGGAGCGGCTCATCTCGACCGTATGCAACTCAGGTACTTTCAACGCATATACCTCTAACAACAGATCCAGAAGGAGAAGTCCAAGGGTTTGATTGCATGCCATTTGGACCAACAAGGAGCCCATACCAAAGCATGGTTGGAACAGACGTTTCTTCCCAACCCAGTTTGAGAGACGAAGGCAGTGAAACAATCTCTGGAAACATCCTGATAGGAGACGGAGAGGTTGAAACGGACTCCAAAAACACTTTTGACTAGAGACGGAGACGGCGAAATGATCTCCGGAACAACTTTCTGTAACCCATCTGGATTCTGAGCTAGCCCTGAACCTCAAGAAGCAGTGCAACCTGGCCAGTCATGTGCATTCCTGGGGAGCTGGTACGGTCACTTATGGCGCTCTCTCACGACGGCGGAGCGAGAAAGAGCGGGCTACATACCAGCTTGCGACCGCAAGTTTCGGGAGACTTACCAGTTTACTTCTGCCGAAAGCGTCGCGAAGCCGCAGCAAAACGTACTTGAAGGTTCCTGATCAGCAGGTGACCAAAGCTTAAACAAGCGCTGAATGGCGAGCAAGATGAGGAAGGGGAAAGCAAAAGATAGAACTAAAGGCACAGGAGCGTCTCGTATGACCGTGAACTTGTGCCAGGGGGCCGAAACTTCGTGACGATCAGGGCCCGCAAACGCAGTCGGCCCAGATTTCGCCTCCGGCTAAATCAGACTGCGCCCGTCGGCAGAAGGGACGTCCGTGATTATCGGCGTGTTTCCGTCAGGAAGGCAAGCTGGTGTGCTTCTTTCAGCTTCCGCAAATCTTGGGATAAAAAAGTCGTTTCAACGTGCCAGTCTCCAGGCCCGGAGAGTCTTGAAGGCGCATGTCTCGGCAAAAGCAGCTGCGATACGTACCGTTCTCAATCTCGACTTGCTTGATGGCGTCACCCGCCCACGGCCTTTCCCTCCGTTGTTCCAACCAGTCGCCAATTAACCGCCGGGCGATAGCGTATTTCCCGGGCAGACCGAACACTGTGCCAAAGAGCTCCGGAGCGCCCGGTTGGAGGGACAGGGCGGAGCGCAGCCAGTCCCGGTGGAACCACCGGGCGTCCTGCGGTTTGCAAGGCCGGTTAGTCTGCGTTCTTATAAACCCCTCGTACAGTAGTACGACCCGGTGCTTTGAGAGTATTAAGCAGTGTACGAAGCAGGGTTTCTAGCAGGATTTTGCCCCGGGGAGCTTCTGCGCCCCAGGGCTCCGCCCTGGGGCGCCAAGCTGCTTCCTCGGGGCGCAAGTCCCAGGACCGGCAGCCGGGCCCCTAAGGACCGAAGCTGCCCCTTTGACTTGCGCGTCAATTTTGCCAAATCATAAGCTCGGGGGTCTGCTCTCTTTTAGCAAACCCCTTTCCGGGTTCATCGCTTGGTTCCCTGAGACCCCAGGAGCCAGTAGCTTCAGAACGCGCCGTAGCCGGTCGAACTCAATTGGAGAGCCGGTTGATCACTCTGTTTATCATGCAAGCAAAATTGAACACCCGGGCCCGAGCTTTTGACACCGACAATTTAAAAGCGTCCTATATGTACCGTTAGAGACAGCCTGGTGTCAACCAAACAGCTTCGACCTGGCACTGGCCCTCGACCGCAAATAACACAGCGCAAAGCGATTTCAGACACTCAACATATCTTGGAACCAGACCGTCGAGAAACGATTCGGCTGGTTCAGCATCGACGAGCAACTTCGGACTCAGGCATTTGTTCCTGCAGTACCAACTCTACACTAAAGCTCCTCACCTCTAATTCTTTTTGGTCGCACTCAGCCTCCGGCAGCCGCATCCCCGTCAGCGACTCCAAGTCGCCCGGTACAAGTCCCCGGGCCACCGTCGCCCTTACCATCCGCCCGTCCCCCCGGTCGACTTCCGTCGAACCGGACGTGCTTGCGGACGAGTCGCCAGCTCGACCGTCCGATTCGGACGCTGAGGAGCTTGCGAGCGTTTCGAGTTCGGGGGGGAAGGGCTTTGCGGCGGCTTCGGCGGTGAAGCCGATCATGAGGGAGCTGGGGAAGGGCCACGGCTGGCTGGCTGCGTACCTGAAGCGAGGAGCGGAAGAGGTGGAGTCAAGATACAATTCGCCTATCATTAGTGGCTGGTGAAGAGCTCGAGTAGGAGTTCAGAGTTCGGATCAAGTATCGGAGCACGACCAAGTACCTATCTCATGCCTTTTAAACCTTTGCCTTCCGTCCTTTGCTTGGAAGGAGAGTGAGAAAGGAAGAGAGTGAGGAGAAGGGGTTAGCCAACTTCGTATTTTGGGAATGAGGTGAGCGGGTTATAGAACAAGTGCAATATGCCAAGTATTGCTTTCAACTTACCGAAGCTCCGAGGGTGGAAAGGAAGAAGCAGCGTTGAAGAGATGGCTGATGTAATACTGCTGAACCCAGCAGCCTTGCATAGGTTACTTATGTAATCTCAGAACATGTTCCAAAAGGCCCTCAACGAGTGTCAAGGTAGCCCAAAATAAAGAACAGGAGAGACGGAAGAGCGTGGAGGTGAAGGACCCTCGACAAGCACAGATCAGGAGGCAGTTAGATTCAAGTGAACTCAGAAATAGCATGAGGAGACAAATCAATCAAGTGACCCAAATATAACATGCGATACGAGGGACGATTGAACAAAAAGCATCAGCGCGCGGGCGACGAGTCGGTGCAGAGAGAAGGAATGTAGCGTGACGGGGATACTGGCGATGCATTCAGAAACTTGCTAAGCGCGACAATGCCTTCCTGACCTGACGCTGCTCGGCAGGACCCTAATCCCCGCTTCCTCGAGCACTTCCCGTCCCACCGCCATTTCCATCGTCTCGCCCAGTTCGGCAAACCCGGCGAGGCACGAGTAGCGGCCTTTGGCCCACCGCTTCTGGCGGCCGAGGAGGACGTAATCACCGCACGTCACTAGCATTATGACGGCGGGGTCCTGAATCGAGGTTTGAGGATCTCAGTATCTTAGGATCTTCATATCTTCGAAATTCTGGGGCGACCAACGTTTTGATATAATAACCTGGTTTATGACCCAGCGAAAGGACGTAGTCACCACACGTCACCAACATGATGACGGCGGGGTCCTGTATCGAGGTTATATGGTTTTAAAGATTTGTAATTCTCAGATTTTCCAAGATTCTGGGGCGTTCGGCGTTTAACTAGTCGAATAGTCTGGATTGTGATCCAGCGGAAAGGACGTAGTCACCGCTCGTCATTAAAATGATGACGGCGGGGTCCTGTATCGACGTTTTAGGGTGTTTGAATTTCAGATATCTTCATATCTTCAAAATTCTGGGGAGAATAGTTCAGCAATCTGGTTTTCGCAGACGCCGCGCGTCACCAGCACAACGACAGCGGGGTCCTGTGTGTAAAGCTAGGGTGTTAGGGCTTTTTAAAATTTATGTTTAGAAGCTACAGGTTTAGAGTTCTGGGGCTCTTGACGTTTGAGAACCCATTCCCGGCTTCTGACGGCGCAGGACGTAGTCGCCGCACGTCACCAGAATGCTAATGGCGGGATCTTGGGAGGGGGAACAAAACTGCAAAGCTCAGTATTCCTCTCAGTCCAACTTCAATTCCCTAATATCCCGCAGGCTCGAGATTCGTGAAAGTCTGGTCGAAACGAATGGAACGTCGAGACGGTAAGGATGCGCAAATTCCCTCGTCGAGCTCTCAAGTATGCTGCAGAGGCCCGTATCTTATCAATTTCTATCTTCAGGCGCACACCAATTCTGGATACGAACACTTGAACTTAGGAGCAGGAAGCGGTCAGAATACAACCATACAGCCACACAACTTTGACACAGAGTAGCCGTGATGGCTGGCTTCTCGGCCGTATCGAAGGAGAAACGGAGGCAAGCCGGGTTGGCATCCAGCAGTTTGCGATGCAGCCAGTCTTTCGGACCGAAGCAGCTCCAAGTTCAACCGACCGTGACGACAGGAGAGCCAATATTGTAATCCGACTGAAGAGGACTCAGGGTCTCTGAAGATAACCGTTGACATTATTTTAGACAGCACGACGCCGATCGCATGCCTGCTTGGCATTAAGCGCTCACCAATCGGGGGTACACCGAAGAACCGCACGAGCTGCATTTCATGGCGTGGCCCGCTTCGGTGACCAGCATGGGAGCGCCGTCCTTGCCGCAGAATCGCTGCAGATACGACAGGACGAGAGGAGGTCAGAGACGTCCTTTCTGCACGTTGGCTTCAGCTCACTCTGAGCTCTTCTTACCCTCGGGAGGGTATCTCGACGTCTTTTCGTTTGCCCGAGCGTTTCATTCTGCCGGTATACGCCGAAGACTAAAACGGACTCAGCAAATCGGTCCAGTCTCAACTTTCTCTTCATGAAATTAAAAGTGATTGCAGAACGAGCTTGGACTTTCTTGATTGCTGCAAACGCCCTGCTGGCTTGCTGCGGTAGTCATCAAGTTTCTGCCTCCAAGGTGACAACGACAAGAACATCACGGGAACAAATCTGCTTGGAGGGCCAAAGCAGTATTCTGGACGTCTCGCGGCACAGAGCCTCACCGTCCGGGTCTGCCAGTCTACCAAGCCCCGTCCGTAGGCCAGTAGGGCAGCTTCGCTGGCTGACAGGTTTGGGCCCTCCCTCCGCAGGTCGACGAACTCCGCCCCTTCTGCTCCAGAAAAGACGGGGGGAGACTCTTCCGCTGAACTGCGAACATTTATAAAGGGAGCACTCGTCAGTCGTTAAGGACAAGGAGAGCGGTTTTCCGCAGATTGGAGCACGTTTCTTGGCCGCGCTTTCAACTGGAAAAGCAGGGATAAGAGCCGAGTCTGAAGTCATAAGAACGGTTGGTAGCTGAGAACAGAGCAGCAGTCTTGCTTCTGCCAACTTCGACAAGCCAGACTGCCAGAAGACGTTTCATGACTCTTGGCAGAACGCTCACAGATAGTCGCTCTCGCAATGACGGCTTCCAAGACCCAAGGAAAGTGTCAACGATCTGGGCCGGTAGCTCCAACAATAGAGATTGAGACAGGTTTGAAGTCTTACTTGGAAGCTTTCCAGGGGATCATGACAAACATACATCTTCCACACCTGTCAGTGTAGAGATGCAGCAAGGCAAGTAACTCTTCGAAAACGCCAGCACACCATTTTGATCGGGGCTCACCTTTCCTTCCTACTATCAGTGACGTCCAGTGCGAATACTGCTTCCTGATGGTCGCCCTCCTTCAGAAGGCCAAGGAATATCGGTTCTGGGGTCCAGCCTTCTTGACTGAATTCGCTGAGTACTTGGGTGTATGGCAAAATGACTGCCCTCCCGTCTTTGACCAGGCTCTTCCTGTCCCAAACTGGCAGCACTTTCGTGGCTGGATCTGAAAGCGCATTGCTCAGCCATTCGGTGTCCGTGCGCCTTTCGGCGGCGCGGTCGAACCCCCTGTCAGAGTAAAACAGCTCCTGCAAAACGAAAGGATCTTCAGGAAAACGAAGCAAGTCAGAGAGCCTCCTACCTGAGAGCAGTGACTGGTGACTACTGCAAAGTTGTTGTAGATGGGGGAAGATTTAGAGGGGACTGAGGGCTTCCATTGTTAAGATCTGGGGGATGGTTGCAGTCAAGATTGAAAGGGCGATTGCTGAAAGTGTTTGACAAACTAGCAGAGGCAGGGAGAGGCCTTGAGGGAGGAGTTGTTGGGAAGCTTGCCAAACTGTATCCTTCCCAAAGGTACCTGGCTAAACCTGAGGAACGTTCACGTCTCAGGGGTCAGCTTGCAGCACTTCCACCTTGTACAATGAGAGACTAAGGAAAGGGCGCCAGTACTCTGATGACAGAATCACATAAGCAACCACATATAAGTTTGATTAATCTCAGAAGATAAACCATGGGAACAGCTGGAGGCACATACGAAAACATGTGGAAGAATGTGAGGTAGTTGCATACCTCTGAATCAAGAGCCGGGATGCTATCAGCAATGGGGACTATGGTGACTGCCGTCCCTCCAGCTCTGGTGGTCAGTTTATCACCTGTGATTGCTTTCAATGAGATAAAGCACAAGGTCCAAAAAGCAGACTAAGAGATGATTGCCACCAGATCATTCAGGCAACAGTCGCGATTTCAGTGAAAGAGACTGTGCCACACTAGCAATGACTCAAAGCAAGGTGCTTTTACTAGCAGGGAAGAGGAGCTGAGCGTCTCTGCTACCAAGCTAACCATCGAAGCTGCAAGAGAGGATGCACCTTACCTCGAGTATTTTCCCAACGCGGCAGCATACAACCCGTGGTGGCAGGCGCCAAAGTGTTTGCTAGCATTGAGCTCCTTGTTCTGCTCTGCTGTTTCCTGAACCTTGCTTGGCCACTTATGCATGCACCACCATACAGATCTTCCTTGGCATTGCCTGTTAGTGGCTCGGATCTCTCCATTTGGAGACCAAGGAGATGCCCCCATGATCTACCACCAACATTCTTGTGCAAATGTTTGCAGCGAGCTGTTTGACAAAGAGGACCGCCACTGGATGTCAGAACTTTGGAGGAAGATCTCAGGAGCCCTGAGCTGACAAGCGACATTCTGCCCAACTTTTCTCAGGCTTCGATCCAGCTGCAGACCGAAGCGTTGAAGCGCCTGCAAAACGTGCTGTTGAACTAAGTTCGAGGTAAATGCTCAGATCTTCAGGACCAGATTTTGGACTTTAGGGTTTACGTATCGCTGCAAAGATCATTACCGTTCTGGCGGCCGGCCCGGCCTTCAATGTCAAGATCGTTACCGTGATCACCGGCAGCTCAGGCCCGCCAATCAAGGGGGGCGGCCGGCAAATCTACCGTCTCCTGGGGTTATATTTCGACACCAAGCGTTCCCCATGACCTGGTTCACGAAATTTGTGCGCCGATCTAGTCAGGCAACTCTGTGCACATTGACATAAGTAGCTATGCTGGCCCGCCTGCCATGATGCTCCATCTTCAAGCGCACTTGTCACACTCGGCGCATTTCGTCCTCTCGATTCCTTGGCTCGCTGCTACAGGGACTGAACCGCCGCCGAGAAAGCCTCCATTCATCCTGATTGCTCTTTGTCTTTGAAGGTTCACGTCAAATATCTGCCCTATATCTGCTCGCTTCAACTGTTCTGTCTCTTCTATACTCAAGGTCCTTCGAGGCAAAACGTACCTGGTGGCTCTGCACGTTCCGCTGCATTAAAGTAAAAACAAGTGGCACTTCTAAAGTTCCGCCATGACGCTGCTCGAAGAGGCGGATGGGATCTTGGAAGATGTTGAGGCACTGGAAAAGGTGAGTACTTCCTGCACTATAAATGATAGCCCCGTTTGAGATCGTTGTGAGGCCACTTCGATCTTAAACGTACTCAGGTTTTCAGGCTATTTTGATCTTAAACGTTGTGTCAGACCATTTTGATCTTAAAAGCTGAATTTCTGAGATCAAAACGGCCTCAGCAAACGATCTTAAACCGGGTATTGATTTATAGTGCTGGTTCTTCGCGAAGATACGGAGTGAACTTCGAAGCTGTACGTACCTGTAGAAAAGCTCTGTCTGCAAGCTACACATGATCGGTTTGAATTTGCAGCATAAAGAGAATTACCAACTGCACTGATCTGGTGGAAGCATACTGCGGTCTTTGCATTCTCGAGTGTATTCCCTGGACCTCTGGAATAAGGAATCAATATTTCTATCCCGCATATCGAGATGCTCACCAACTGACCGTGGGAAGGTTTTTATTTAAGGAGTACAACGGGATCGTCTCTACGAACGCCGATCTGAGAGGACTACTTACAGAGTACGAGATGAAGAACAGGGTTTTGGAGGAGAGATGCTCGGATCTTGAAAAAGGTGTGTCTGCAGACAGCTACATGCAAGGAACCGATTGACGTGGACACTGAAAAATGCGATGAGATATCCGCAAGAAGACTTGATGTTAGTGAGGCAGGTGGCATTGTCATTGATCATGTGTGCCGAAGGCCAGGTGTGAGACACTCACGCCCGAGTGCTGAGTGAGCAGCGCAATCATCCAAGAAAGGGAGACAATCCGGCGAAGGCTTTGCAAGAAGTTGTTGTGCGAAAAGTCTCATCATCATTGGTGTCGCAGAGGAGACGAGTCGATGCTGTCTTTTAACTCATCGTCTCCTGGAAGAAAGCGGGTATTATGGCAACATCTTATGCGCAGAAACTCTCACTTTTTGATCTGCAGAGAGGACACGACTTTTGGAACTACAGGAGGAGTCAATCAAGACTGCTTCGGCTCAGGTACGCTCCTACTTCATCGCTGATAAGCTCCACAAGCACGTTGGGAATACTTCTCGATAAGATTTATCCTCTCACCGAAGACAGGAGCCTCGAGTTGGATGGGGTCCATCCTGTACCTTTGGCAGTTTCGAAAGACTTCGACCGGGATAAACAGATGAAATCTCCTCCAACTTTCTGGGAATTGCCACCAACACAATCGTACCTATGACGCAGTACAACTTCCGGGAAAAGTACGAAGCACTCTTGCTTTCATCGTCCAACGAAATCAAGGAGCTTCGGAATGAGTCTCGAAAAACCGCTCAGGTGAGGACCTTCGCGTGCGCTTCGGCACAAGCTGAAACACTCACCTTGACAAATACATGAGCCGGTGGCGTTGGATGGCGTTGCAGGGTGCTTGAGGTAGCCGTTGGATTTCAATGTCGTCCCACAGATCCTGCTGACATTGACGCCTGTTGACTCTGGCAGGCTTACGAGATCCAGCTCCAAGTGCAGCGTGACAGTGAGACCGCCGAGAGGGCACTCAGAAACGCTGAGATCGAGTAAGAACGAGTGATAGCTGCTTTAAGCTCTCCACTCAGAGTTTTGCGAACGTTCGGATCCATAATCACTGAAGCTAGGATCTTGCTCAACAGAATAATAGAGATAACTTTCCTGCACTGACTCTATACTGGAGCATCGAATCTTTGACCCATTTTCATGATCCAACTTACAAGTGGAGGTTAAAGGAGTACTTGATTTGCTCCACTCTCTTGCAAAAGCATGCAGAAAAAGTGCTCCGAACAGGATGACATCATCAAAATTTTGAGGAAGAATCTGAATGGCGCTCAAAGAGACATGCTCGAGGCCAAGCGAGAGAAAGAGGAAGCCCAGTCAAAAGAGCGCTTAAAATGTGAGCATTCACACACGGACTGCAAAAGTACAAGGCTTCGAAAATCAAAGAATCCATGCGAAGGGACGTACATTGCCTTACTGCGAGACCTGAGTGTGAGGATTGCACGTTCTGGAAATGCGGCTAATGATATACCATTGCACATGCCCTCTCAAATCGAAACGAAGGAGAATAGCGCAAGATGGACATCCCAGCCTTGCACAAGACTACTTCTGCACGTAGATCTGAAGAGCGCGTATTACATGTTGCAGATCAAGCAGAAGTGGGACGGTTGCAGAGCAACGTGAAGTCTCTCGAGGAGTCGAAGGCGGAGTTGCACGAGAAGCTCAAGAACGCTGAGCACGAAGGTAAGACGTGTCGCTTATCCAGTTTCAGGTCGACAAAGCCCGCTTTACAAGCTTGAAAGAAAAAGGAACAGAGCATCTCTAGCCACGGCCAGTGAAAAGATGGTTGTGAAGGTTGTGCTCTGATCCTCAGGTCAGTCAGACCTACGCCACGTCTGTTCAAGAGGAGAGCTGGCTCACGCTCGTCGGAAAGGACGACAGTGAAAGTCTTGAGCAGGAGGGAAAGTGTAGCACACCGCCTGATATTGACTTTTGTTGCTTATGCAGCGATGACAGCGCGGATGAAGGTAAGCACAAGCCTTGTCTCGTTCTTGTCGTTAGCTATACACGAGCTTGGATCTCCTCCCGTAGGCAGCAGTACTCCCATCGTGATGCGCGTTTTCGAATTTCTGTAACTTTCCTGCTTCCTGATGTCCTTCTCCTCAACAGTTCGAAGAGCAGCTTCGAGATTCAGGATCAAGCAGACTCGTCGAAATCTTCAAGCAGAAGGTCATGCAGCTCCGGGTAAGGCTCTCAACCGTGCAATTCTGTTCGTCGCAAAGGATGAATGAAGAGAAAAGAAAATGTCGATCCTGAACAAAGACACTTTCTTGCGGAAGATGCAAATATCGTGCGTGAGACGGGACATGAGCCGTCTTTTTCCAGATGCTGCCCAAATCAAATCTGCTTCTGATGCGCTGTACGCGGACAACCTGGCAAGCAAGCAGTAAACATCGATTGTAAAGGTTAGGCTTGTCACTTGGTCCTACTGACGAGGGTGTTAACTGGCCGTTCTTGACAGCGAGAAAACGAGGATCTGAAAAGGCGGCTCCAAAATGCCGTTATACGGCCTACATGAGGACACTTAGGCAGTGAAGCATGCTGCCTAGGACTTCTTTCTTGAAGTGCAGTTAGACGCGTGTTTAGATGAAGAATCCCAAAGGCGCTAGCTCATACAATTGATCGAGTATCAGGTAATTGTAGGTAGCTAGCGCAACATATGATCGGGACGCAATTCAATGACTGCAGTTCATGGGCATGGCCATGACTGCGCGCGCGCTCAGATTGTCGGATCGAACATTCACATGCTGTTAAGCGAATGCCATGCAGGGGCCGCGGCGGTCACACTAGGACTTTCTCGTATAAGGTTTATTTTCATTATGCAATCTGACTGGTATACTCCATGGCCGAATTCGAAGGAGAAACCACATGATTGATTATCTCTCATACTATAACATTCAATTATCCGGCCACTGTGGTCTGGCACTTGTGCTTGCAGACGCCGGGTGCCAGTGCGCATGGCACGTACGGGCCAAGCAGATCAGTGTTCATCACATGCGGCACAACGGTCAGCCTGCGCAAGGACTGAATGCGCGCAGGGTCGCCGCAGCTGCCATCCTGGTGCGACGGTGATATGCAACGACCCCGGCCGTGCAGCATCCGTGAGATAGTAGAACACGCATTCCAAGCGTGGGGGAATCATCGCTGAGCCCGGATCGAGTGACTAGGAAATGATGGCTTGTTACAAAACCCGTCGAAGATCAAAAGACGGATCCTTTGCTGAGTGCCGTGACAACACGTGGTCGACTCTGCTAATGCTCGCCCGGATAATAGTTACTTGGTTGATAGTTACTTGGTTGATATAGTCTGTACAGCTTTGCTGACGTACGAAGTGTTTCCTAGCAGTTAAACAGAAAGTTACTTTCCAATCCATGATACAATGTGCAATCTCAAATAAAAACCGGTTTGCAGGCCCTATCGGCTGGGCTTTTTGCTATGCCCCCCGCCACCTTTCAACCGCTTCAACTCCTGCACAACCTCCTCCCGGTGCGCCTCCACCTCCGCGCACTTCAAACTGAGGCTCGTGTACCGCTGCTGTAAATCTTGCAGATCGCTCTCCAGCCTCCTCGCGAGCTGCTTTTTCATTTTGAGCTCCTCTAGGATGACGTCCACGTCGCCGCCCATGTTCCCGAACGCGGCCTGCGCGACATTCTGGTGCGTCGACAGCGCAGCCTTGAGCTGTTCCTTGTACATCATGTTGGCTTCCGCCGCCTCCTGCAGCTCCATCTCCAGAGTGTGAAGCCGCTCGATGGTCTTGGCGCGCTCGCCGTACTGGCGGTACAGGCTGATCTTTTGGAAGAGGTCGTCGTTGGCCTGCAAAAGCATGGGAGACATGATATGAGGTTCATAGGCACCTTAACCCGGCTTTTTGGAGCACCTTAACCTGACTTCTTTGAGAGTCGGACGTGGACCCATTGATGACATCGCCAACTTCTCGATGACCCTCGGCTCGCCACGCACACTGACAGCTCATGAGCAACGTGTGAGAGATCTGCGGCGCAGACCTCAACATGTCGCCCGTGCACGTGGCCGTGGCCGTGCTCGTGCACACGACACGTGGCATCTCCATGCGCTTCCCGAACATGATGAGGGTGGGAGCCACGTCCTTCCTCTATTAATCTGACGTCGCGCATTTTCTGATAGAGGTGATTCCTTGAAGACCTCTAAGAGTCACACTAACCTAATGCGAATCTTGGTTAAGCTAGGACGACCGGATCCCTCACCTCCTGCAGGCGCAGCACCTCTTCCTCGAGCACCTCTTGGAGGCCCAGTTGCGACTGCAGCTTGCATGGGCTGCGCTTCTCATAAGCTATAATACCCTTCAATACGCTATAAGCCATAACCCCTCACCTCCTGCAGGCGCAGCACCTCTTCCTCGAGCACCTCTTGCACCCCGAGTCGCAACTGCAGCTCGCATGGGCTGCGCTTCTCATAAGCTATAATACCCTTCAATACGCCATGAGCCATAACCCCTCACCTCCTGCAGGCGCAGCACCTCTTCCTCGAGCACCTCTTGCAGGCCCAGTTGCGACTGCAGCTCGCGCTCGCTGCGCATGAGCGCCGCGTTCTGGTTCTGCAGCCGTAGCAGCTCCGACCGCAGCTGGTCCATGCCCAGGTCGAAGCCGCCACGTGCCAGCTGCTCGTTGGCCGCCTGCAAAAGAGCGCAGACAATTGCAGATTTTGAAGGGTCGACTCGACGGATGTAAGTTGGCAAAATGTTAGCGGAAGCGGTTCTTAGGTGGAGCGTATGAAGTGCCAGGTCAACCCGGGGAGCGCTAGCTGCTCAACAACGGCCTACGGGGAACAAACGCATGTTGTAGGGGGATGGTTACCCACCAGGGTTTGCGAATAAAAGATGAAGTTTCTGGACCGGTGTATGTCACAATATCATGTCCGAACTCTGTGCGAGCAAAACCAGGTCCACGAGCGAGTCGATTAACAATGTTTGTCTTCGAGATAAACTTAGACAAAGATTATCACATTTCTAGTACCTAAGCTAGCACAATTAGAAGGCGTGCTAACGACCGTGTCACAGCAATCCTAGTCTGCCGGTCTAGCCACCCCTGTCCACACTCTCAAACAATCATTCCGATTGCAGCAGTCCGACGTAGTACCGATAAAAGCACGTTCGACGGTCTTCAAGCTTCCAGGCTCGGCGCCACCTCACCTGCAACCGGTCCACTTCCGCCAGGAGGCCTCGTTCCCGCTCAACCGCCTCCTTTTTGGCCTTTTCCAGCAGCCCAATCACCTTCTTCAGGTCGCCCTCCAGGGCCTTCACCCTGTGCTGCAGATCCGCGCGCTTCGCCTCCATCGCGGCCGGCGACCCGGGGCTCTCGGGGGGATCCCCCGGGGACTCCGCCCGGCCGTTCCGGCTCTGCGCGAACGTCCTCCGAGTGCCCGGGGAAAGTAACGACCGGCCGCTAGGGCTGACTAGCAGCGCGGGCTCCGCCGAGGTGACGCCGCGGGTAATCAGAGAGACACTGCGCGAAACCCCGGGTCGATTCGCCGGGGAGATGACCCCCTCTTCCCGGGCTTCTTGCAACCGACGTTCGGCGCCCGCCAGCTGTTCGGTCTTGTTCTGGAGCTCCGTCTCGAGCATCGTGACTTTCATGCGCAGCTCCGAGAGAGCGTTCCCGTCGTCGGGGGGTGCGCCCGAGCTGAACCGCCGCCCGCCGACGGATTTGAGCTCCGTCTCTAGTTCGATCAGCCGGTGCTTCAGCTCGAAGTTCTCGTCCCGCAACTCGTCCGACTCTACGGAAGCGCTGTTCGCTGCCTGCATCGCCAACCGCTTTGCGCTCGCCTTCTCGTTCTCAACCGTCGCTTTCAACTCCTCGATCTCGCGCTCCAGCTCCGCCGTCGATGCCGCAATCGACGCTTGCATCCCCTCTATAAGGCTTTTGATCTCCGCCTCTAGTTCCTTGACCGCCGTTTCCTTCTCCGCTGCCGCAGCCGCCAGCACCGCAGCCATCTGAGATTTCAACTCAGCCGTCGATTCTGCCAGTTGGCGCTCCGTGGCTGCGCGGCCTTCCAACGCTTTCTCTAGCTCAGCCCGCGCCCCCGCCAGCTCAGCGCTCACCCGCGCCACGTCAGCGCCCAACCGGTCCACGTCCGCACTCTTTTCCGCCAGATCCGCGCGCAGCTTCTCCGTCTCGCACGCCGCCTGCGTCCGGTGCTCAGTCAACTCGCGCCCGACGGACGTGGACGCCTTTCGCTCCGCCTCTAGTTCCTCCTGGTGCCGCGCCAGCTCAGCGGCGGTAGTGCTGAGGTCAGCGTGCTTGGTTTCGAGCTCGGACCGCAGGGCGTGGTGCTCTTTTTGCAGTGCCGCAAACTGTGACGCTGCGGCAGCTGCCGCTGTCGCGGCGGCGACCTCGAGGGCCCTCGCTTTATCACTGTACCCAGAGTCGGCTTCTTTTCTTAACTGCTCGGCGCCATGAATCCCCTGCACGAATTTTGCAGTCCAAGTAAGACCAGATCAAGCAAAGAAAGAATACTGGCCAGAAACAAATTCTGCTCCGGCAACGCGTCAGTTGTGACACCTCCAAGTGCTTCCTCGCTGCACTCATAGCGCTGCACGCACAGGGCGTTCTGCAGAAAGTTGACGCCGTCCCTTATAGCTCTGATTTCAGCAGTCAGGAGGTTGCAGCCGATTCCAAGTACAAAATCAATCCACCACTACTGGGCTGCTTGTCAATGTATGAAAACGGGCCTGTCCTTCTGCACTAGTGTCACACGAAGCAACCAGGAAGGGAAAAGTCGAAGAAGAGCCCGCATTGAAGAAGCATTGGCGGACGTCCGCGATTCATCAATTGCCGGCGTCCCAAGCTCGCTTCCCTTCAAGTGAAAATTTCAGAACGAATAAATAACACAAATAACCAAAGGTCACAAGAAGTTGCTCTGAGTGCGTCAAGAACCGTTCCTTGCTGCGAAAGCGTGCACTGATCAGTCTCTCTGACGACGTGAAATGCGGAAGGCACATAAGTGCAGGATGTTTACCTGCTGGAGCTCCTCCCTCTCCCGCTGCAGTCCCTCCACGGCACTCCGCGCTTCCGCCAGCTGTGACGTCAGCTCCCCGACCCGCGTTTCCAGCCCCGCCACCTGTTCGTTTAGCGCCGCCCTCTCTTTGTCCGCCTCGACCGCTCTCGCCTCCAACCCCCTCTTCTCCCTTACAAGCTCAAGAAGTTCTTTCCCGGAATCTTGATGATCCGCCTCGACCTTCCGCTTCTCCGCTTCCATAGCCGCAAACTCCTGCTGCACCTTTGCCAGCGCCCCGCCCGTCTCTTTCAGCGACATTTGCGCCGCCCCTAGTTCGGTCTCCACCCCTGTCCGTGCCTTGCTTTCCTTTTCCAGAGACGCTTTGAGCACGTCTACCTCCGACTCTAGTTCTTGTTTCGCGCTGCTTAGTTCGTCAATCGAGCGCTGCAGCTCGATTGACGCCTTCGCAACGTTCGCAAGCTCCGCACTTTTCTTTTCCAACTCAGCTTCCAGCACTTTGATCCTCTCCCCCTGGGCTTTGCTTTCCTTTTCGAGGGTATCAGTAAGGCTCCCAACCTGCCCCCCCAGAGCTCGCTTCTCTTCCAACAACTCGTCAACCTGTTTCTGCAACGCCGCCCCCTGCCCCCCGAGCTCTTTTCCCCGAACCTCTAGAGCTTCCTTGGCCGCAGTCAGCGCCAACACCACGGCAGCAGACTCCTCTAGCCTTCCTTCGAGCGCACTCCTCTCTGCACCCCACGCTTCCCCTTTGTTCATCAGCTCAGACTTCCAAGCCTTCTCCTTTTCGTCAGTGTCAGCCTCTGCTTTTGCTATCACTTCCCCCAACTTCCTTTCAAGTTCTTCCCTCTCGGCACCCGTTTTCTTCATTGTTTCTGCCCCCTCTAGCTTCAAAGTGGTAATCTGCCCCTCCAACCGTTCCCGTTCCACTCGCCAGCCGTCTCCTTTTTCCGCCGCCTCTCGTTCCGCCTTCCTGACCGCCTCCTCCAGGCTCCTGTTCAAATCTTCCCTCTCCCCTCGCCACTTTTCCCTACTCTCCGCCGCGACTAGTTCCGCTCCATTCAGCTGCTCGTTCGCTTCTTTGAGGTCAGCTTCCAGTCCCCTAACCCTCTCCTCTAACCCTTCCTCCCTCTCCTTGGCCGCACTCAGATCCGCCCCAAGCGACTTAACCGACTTTTCCAACTCGCTAACCACCCCCTGCAACTCCTTCTCGTCATCAGCGTACTTCCTGAGCCGCTCCTCTAGTTCCGCTTTCTCGGCCCGCACCGTCGTTGCTGACATCAGCGCTTCCGAGACCGTCTTCTCCTTGTCGCTCGCCCCCGCCTGGAACTTCTCGTGCAACGTGCGCATCTCCTCTTCCAGCCGCTCGACCGCCGCTGTCTTATCCGCGTGCGAGCGCGACAGCTCCGTTTTCAGATGCTCGACCTCGGCACTCAGGCTCTCTTTCTGAGCACCTAAGCTTTCCTTCTCTTCCATGAGCTCCTTGACCTTTTCATTTAACCCCGCCTCCGCTTTCTGGCTCTCCCTCTCCAGAACTGCAAATGAGGCCTGGAGTGCGCTCAATTGAGCGGCCACAGCCGCCTTGCTTTCCGACACCCCCACATGAGCAGCCTCCGCACCTGCTAACCGCTCCCTTAACCCGCTGACGTCACTCTCGAGCTCCGCAACGTGCGCCCGAACGCTCTCGAGCTCTGCAGCCAGCGCACTTCTCTCTCCCTCTAGTTCGTTTACTTTCTCCCTCAACTTTGTCTCGGCCTCTGCACCCTTCTTCGTTGCCGCCGCAGCTGCCAACTGTGCCGCGGCTAACTCCGCGGTTAGCGAAGCAACCCTGTCCAGCGCCCCCTTGTGCGCCTCTTCCGACTGGCCCAGCCTCTCTTGCAACTCGCTCATCTCCGTGTCGAGGTCCAATGCGCGCGCCTCCACCTCCTGCTTGCTGCTCGCGTGCTGATGCAACTGTGATGTCAGCAGCCCCAGCTGCGCCGTCAGCCCCTTGTGGTCGCCCGTAAGAGCGCCTAGCCGTGTCTCCAAATCCGACTTGGCGGCCGAGTGCTCGCTGGACTCCTTTCGGACCGTGTCCAAGTCGCCAGTCAACGTCTGAACCTCCGACTCTAGTTGCTGAATCTTGGTCAAGGATTGGGTCAACTCCGCAGCCACAGCAGCCTTCTCCTCGTTCGTTTCCTCGACAAGCACTGTTAATTCGCTAACCCGGCCTTTCAGCTCCTTAACCAAACTCTCCTTCTCCGCAACCTCCCCTTCAAACGCCTTGCACCGTTCGGTTTGGGCGCTCAGCTCCGCAGTTATGCTATTAACCTCCTTTTCCAACCCGCCGACCACACCTTCCTGCTCCGTAACCCACTTTCTTAACCCCTCGCTGACCACCGCCTCTTCCTCGTGCCGCTTCACCGCAGCATCTTTCGAAACGGTCAACTCCTCGTGCTTACCCCTTAAGTCCTGGTGCTCCTCCTCTAACCGCGTCTTAACCTCCGATAACCCGTCATGGGTCTCCCTCAACTCCCGCAGCATGCTTTCCAACTCTGACTTGGCGGTCTCAGCGCTCGCCAGCTGTCCTTTCAGCTCCTCTTTCTCCTTGACGTGTTCTTCCGTTTCCTTGGTTAACCGCTCGATCTCTTCCTCTAACCCCTGAACCTTAACCCCTGCCAGCGCACCCTCCTGCATCGCAAAGCTCATCCGACGGTGCACGGCTTCCTTCGCGGCAGCCTGCTCCTCAATCTGGGTCGTCAGCTTCGCCACCTGTCAAAAAATGAAGCTTTTGTCAGAAGAAAAGCGATGCAAGTCATCGAAGAGTCCCCCTTTTCTTACTTGTGCTTGAAGCCAGCAAGGGCCATCCGACTCAAACCTTTTCCAACTGCAAACACCAAGACGGATGCGCTCGATTGCAACATCACTTTGGCCTCCTGTCCTCCTATCCATTCACCACCCTTCAGGTATTGCCACAAAAGCTGTTTCCCCCTTGTCTCATGAACACTTCCACGTCCTTGAAAAGATACCAAACAAAAACTTGAACTCTTCTTGTGCCTTCGGCTTTGCAGGTTTTTGGCATCAACTCTTTACGTCCATGCCACTATACGTGGGTGTTGTTTCCCCGCAACCTACCTGCAACTCAAGCTTCTTGATCTTCTGCTGGCTCTCTTTCGGTGTAGTGGCCCGGTCCCCTGCCCCAATGGCCCCTGTTACTGCGCCCATTGCCGCCGTGCTTGCTGCCAGGTCGCGGCTCGTTGTGCCAGCCTTGCCCTCGTTGCCTGCCAGCTGTTGCTTGTGTTCCTCCAGGAGCGCAGCCAGCTCCAAACCCTGAAAAGATTGGGCAAGAAACGACATCATTACGATGCAAACGACTTTGATTGCTTGTTGGATCTCCTGTGGCAACTGGTCAAATCTGGCAACTCCCTGAAACGCTTTTTAGGAAAGCTATCTCACTGATCGACAAGAAGGGAGACCAGAAACACGGCTCGAAAAGAAGTCAGGACTTGCAAAGACTTTGAACTCCATTGCAATTAAGGTGATCAAAAAGGTCAATGATCTCAGTAAACGAGATTTGCATCATGCAAGTTGACCAAGAGCTTTTGAACAAGTTTCCAAAAGTATACTTGGCAGGTTGATTACTGATAAGAACACACAGGACCAATGCTTGTGAAATAATCCGGAACAGCATGGTAATTGACACGAGCAGAAATCCAATTGACTCAAACGAATCAGCATGAGATTGATTTGATGAAAGCAGAATGAATCCGACGTAAGGCAAGATAAATTCTCAATACAGGGTCTCCGGCGCTCAACTCTTCAGACCTAAACCGTCTTCTTCACAAACGAAGTCCCCAACACCAAGTCAACCCGCCAAGAAACGCCCTCACCTTGCTCTTATGCATCTCCACCTCCTTCAGCAGACTCCCGGCCTTCTCCTCATGGCTCGCCCGCTCTGTCACCGCCTTCTCTAGTCGCCCGCTAACCTCGGCTATGCGTGCCTCGTGACCTGCTACCTCGGCGGCGAGGTCCTCCGCCCGTCGCCGGAACTCGTCCGCTTGCGCCTGCGCGTCCTCTACTAGCGAGTGCAACTCCTCGATGCGCGCGTTCAGCTCCTCGTTTTCCTCCACCTTGTACCGCATCTCCGCCGTAACTTCGTCCAGCTGCGACTGCAGTACCCGCACCTTCTCTGCTCCTTCCTTTCCAGACGCATCGGACTCGTCCGAGCCCTTGGTTAGCTCCTTAACCCGCTCCTCCAATGTCTTAACCTCGTCCTTAAGTGCATTCTCCTTGCCCGCGTACTCTTTGGCCATCTGACTCTCCACGCGCAGCGACTCGTTCAACTGCGCCGTAACCGACGCCATCGCCGCCTCTAACCCCTCGATCTTCTCCTCGTACTGCTGCTTCTCGGCGCTAACCTGGTCCGCTAACCCCGCCCTCTGCGCCGCTAACTCCGCCTCGAGCGCCTCCTTCTCCTTCTCCAGCTGACCCACCCGCTGTTCCAGTTCCTTCTCGAGCTCGCTAACCCGCTCCTCTAACCCGCTTCTCAACCCGGTCACCTCCTCGTGCTTCGCTTCCAACTCTTGCTTCGCGGAGTGCAGCTCTCCCCACTCGGCGAGGTGTTTCCGCTGCAGTTCCTGCTCTTTCTCGCCGTGCCGCATCTCAAGGGCGCGCAGGGTCAACACGTGTTTAGACTCTAACCCCTTCTTTTCGGACTGCGCCTGCTCGAGCGCGTCTTCAAGAGCCGCCAGCTCCTCAACCATCTCCCGCGACTTCTCAGTGAACTCGAGCTGTGCGAGTTTGAGCCGCTCGTCCGCCTCGAAAGCAGTACCCTGCAGAGAGACGAGACGCTTTGTAACGGACAGACAGATGGTGCTATAGAGATTCTCCTTCCAGAGGCTTCAAATTGTAGCACCCTACAGAGAGACAAGATGTTTTGTTACGACCGACAGATGTGCTTTTACGAGTCGCCTTGCAAACGTTTCAGCGAAAAGCGACTCACAAAGCGAAGCAAGAATGGACCAGATTGCAGCATCAAACCATACAGTAGAGGGAAAAGTGCTCCCGAAAGGAAACTGAGGAGTGAGCACAGCTGAGTAAAACGGACACCCTGGAGCAAACGCCCTTGCCGACTCCTGTCTTTGAAAACAGACGCTCGACCTAGACCGACGAAGTGGACCATCGGGAAAACCCTCCGCCTTGCTCATTCTAAGCCTGCCCTCACCCTGCAACGAGCTCCGCACAACGCATGCCCTTCAGCCAGGAGCGCAAACTCATAGAAATGGGAACCTAGATTTCTGTAACCCTTGCTGCCTTACCTCCGCTTTGCTGACGAGGGAGCTCTGGTGGTTCAGCTGCTCCTCCAGCTGGTGCACGGGCTCAAGGTCAGGCACACAAACTCAAAGAGATCTAAACCGTAATCTCTCTAATCCTAAACTTCACAACCCTCTAAACCCTTAACTGCCTCACCTCCGCTTTGCTGACGAGGAAGCTCTGCCGATTCAGCTGCTCCTCCAGCTGGTGCACGCGCTCCAGGGTGGCGTCCAGCCGCTGCTGGGAGTGGTCCGCCGCCTCCTGCAGCCGCCCCTTGAACTCGGCCACCGCGTCCTGCTCCTGAAAAGTGCGTGGAAAAACGCTGACGTCAGCAGTGGACTAACGAGAAACGACGGGCCGAAAACAATGTGATGACGTCAGCGTTAGCAACAATATCAACGGCCCAACACTGCTGTGAGTGGTCCGCCGCCTCCTGCAGCCGCCCCTTGAACTCGGCCACCGCGTCCTGCTTCTGAGGAGTGAGCCAAAAAGTGCTGACGTCAGTGCTGACATAAGCGGCAGATAAAGAAGAACCAACGGGCCGCCCCTGGAACTTGGCCTGTTCCTGAAGCCTGAGCGGAGAGATGCTGACGTCAACAGTGGACCAACACAAACTGACGGTGTGCGGAATGGTGCTGACGCAAGCAGTGCACCCAACGAAATTGGGCAGGCCGAGACTGTCGTTTGGAGAAGGGATTCAGTGCTAATATATAGTGCTAATATGCTAATATACTTGCAATATAAGCCCTCAATGATTCGGGGTTAAGGGACGATGCTCAAGTCAGCGGGTGAAACAAGCTTAAACCCGAAGGGTTGATGCTGACAGGAGCACCAGATGCTGAATTAGCGGTTTCCTCATTCATGCTGTTCGTGAATGCTCGTGAAGGACGAAACGATTGTGTTGAGTGCAAGTCTGCCCTCCAAAGAGATCCACCAATGTTGCGACAACCCATGGCAGAGGATTCTTTTGACGATCTAATGAAGGAAGGATGGATTGCACTATGCAGTCCATGGAGGGGTATCATATTGAATTGAGACGCAGCAGACCTTTGAAACGAGTGGTAACCTTAAAATCGATCGAAGCCTTCATTCCGTAGAGAACCCACCAAACCCAGTTCCGGATTCAGCCTCATTCCTTCGGCCTTCACCCACCCCTTCCAATCCAGAGTTCGAAGGATCGCAATATTCTCACCTTGTCCGCGCTCCCCGAGCCCTCAAGCAGCTGCATCTCCGCTTGGAGGCTCTTCAGCTTCTCTTCCGCTTCCGTCCTCTCCAGCTCCGCCTTCTCCAACCGGGTCTCGAGCTCCAACCGGGCGGAACGTGCCTCCTGCGTCTGGTCGGCCAACTGCCCGGTGAGACTCTCTCGAGCGGCTTCCAGGAGCTTGATCTGCGCCAGAAGTTCGGTCGGGGGCGTCCCCGGGGGCTTGGCGGGAGGATTTGCGAGCCGCGCATGCAGCTCTTGGTTCTCTTTCTGCAGGGAAGAGGGGCGGAGGATCGATCGAAAAAGTTTTGCACAGCGAGCGTGTCTATTGACACTTTTGCCAAGGGCGGTTCCTTGAGCGAAGATCGTGTCAAAACCTCTTACCTCGCACTTCGTTCTGCAAAACAAAGCGTTGTGCATCCATTGTCAGTTGCAGCGAAGCAGGAAAGACGGCTTTGGACGGACCCAGCCGTGCAATGAAGTTGATGGGCGAGAGGCAGGTATACGAATTTACAGTCAGGCCAAAAGGTGCCCATCAGGCGGTCCCTGCTAATACCAAGAAAACAGTACACGAAGGAGTAGTGCAACTCCAGGAGCCTTACCTCCAGTTCCTCAATCCTCTCCTCCGAGTTGTCCTCGTCCAACAGCTGCTTCAGCCGGTCGTACTGCCGCGTGACGTTATCCCGGCCCTCCCGCGCGCTCGCCAAGTCAGCCTCCAGCGTCGCCACCCGTTCCTGCAGCGCCGTAATTTGATCCTCGCCCACAGCCCTCGGCGTCTCCACCCGGGACTCCAACTGGTGAATCGTCTCGTGGGCGCTCTCGAGCTCGCCCTCGAGCGCGTGGACCGTCGCGCGCGCCGCCTCTAGTTCTTCCGCCAGGTCCCGGGGGCTCCCCCACTCGGACGGCGTCTCCTTTTCGGACGCCAACTCGGCCTGCAACACGGCGACCTCCTCCTCCAGCCTCAGGATCGTCTCCGCCGCCTCCTCCATACGTTTACCGGCGGCGCCCAGCAAGAGTCCCCGCTCTAGTTCCGTAACGCGCGCCTCGTGCCGCCGCGCCTCCGCCTGCGCGCTCGTCAGATCGCCCGCAAGCCTCATGCTCTCCTCCGTCAGTTCGGACGCCTCCGCCTCCAACTCCGCGACGCGCCGCCGGAGCGTCCGAGCATCGTCCGAACCTTCCTGTCCGGCGTCCGAAAGGCCCTTTCCAGCGACCAGGGTGGCCATTCCCCCCGCCAGAGCACTCCGTTCAGCGTCCACGAAAACCTTACGGGCGTCCGAACCGCCCTTTACGGCGTCCGAAGCGTCCGAGAAACTCGCCGCCTGGGCTGCAAAGGCCCTGTTTTCGGCCTCCAGAGCAGCAATCCTGGCGAGGAGTTCGGACGGCGTCGATTCGGACCGAAGCGAGAGGTCCGCTTCCACAGACTGTAGCTGCTTCTTGAGCGCCTGGACCTCGGCTTCCTTGGCGTCGGTTTGCTCCTCGTAGTCCTTCACCGCTTCCACCAGCATCTGATTGGACTCGGTCAGTTTGTCCAGCTGGGGAGAGGGAGGATGAGAGCGTCAGGACACAGTTTCCAGTTGACCAGAAGGGGAGGGAAATAAGTGTTCTCCAAGAAACTTTTGGTAGAAGGCAGCAAAGGGATATCCAGACCGCTTCAAGAATTGCGGGGGAGAAGAGGCTAATGGATGGAGACACTGGTCGTTAGTACGGTTGCTAGCAAATCCCAGCTGTAGCACAGCTTCAGTACGTCGAGATCAAAAATGTGTCCGGCCAAGCGGGGAATCCAAAGGCGCATCATGGGATAGAGCAGCACGGAGAACTTTCCAGAAGCGACCAAAAAGTCAAGCCCGATGAAACGCCGTTCTGATCTGGACATTGAAGTGCTTGATCGACTCATTCACACCACGATGTTTACATCAACTTGCCATCAAAGAATGTGCACAGCGCAGACTCCTAGGAGGAATGGCTTGATTCTTTAGTAGCTTCCGCCTCACCCGCATTGTTAAGGTACACGGGCTGCCTTATTGCTCAATGTTAGAAGAGTTTTATCAGAGCACGGTGGCCGTTAATGTAACGAGCTCAGACTCAGAGAGTAAGAGCACTACAGACAAACGCCTTTCACCTGCACTTTGAGGTACTCGGTCTGCTCCTTCTGCTGCTCCATCTCCTCCTCGAGCTCCTCCACGTGGCGCCGCGCGTCGTCCACCTCCCACTGCGCCGTCGCCTGCCGGTCCTCCTGCTCCTGCGTGTGCGCCACCATCTCGCGCAGCTTCTCAAGCTCCGCCTGCAAAGACCGAGGGTATTCGCAGTTGAAGAAGCTCATTCACACTCTATTTGCTCCTGCGTGTGTGCCATCAGCTCGCGTAGCCTCCCCAGCTTCGCCTGCAGCAACGGGAAGCATTCACACTCTTGAGACAGAAAGTTGCGACCACAGACGGCTCCCATTGCCTCCTACGCATCCAGAGCCTGTCACAAAAAACCTCTGCCAAAAAGTCCACAACCAAAACCTTTCACTATCTAAACTCAAAATTTCAGAAAGTATCAGAATGCTTAGGATTACGGGGGATCTAGGCCCAGAATCTCACCCGCGCCTCGTCCCGTTCGCGCGCGGCCTCGTCCGCCTCGGCGCCCGCCTCGTCCGTGTACTGGATCTGCACCTTCATCTCCGTGCGCAGCTGCTCGTTCTCCGCCGCGTAGTTCTTGGCGCTGCGCTGCCAGCTCTCGCTCTGCGCGCGCAGCCCCTCGACCTCCACCTCCCTCCGCTCTAGTTCCGCCAGCAGCTCCGGCTCGCTCCGGAACGTCCGCAGCTTCGTCGCCGAAAAGCTGCGGAACTCGTCTGCGGCCACCCCCCTCTGGGACGGCCCGAAGTCGCCCCCCCGCTGCGAAGACGCCTCTCCGGGCCCCCTCTGCGACGAGGCGTCACCGAACCCCCGCTGAGAGTACGAACCCTGGTCGCTTTTCAGGGACGAGCTCGAGGCCGAATGGTCTAAGCTCGGCCGCCCGGTGTAAGGAACCTCGCGCCGGTCAAGCCCCCTGCCGACGTACCGTTCGGTGTTTACCTGGTAGCGTGCCTGGGGCTTGTCCCCTTGGGGGCCTGCGCCGGGGGATCCCCCGGACGAGGTCGGGCTCTCGAGCTCCTTCTCCCGGAACTGCGCCGCGAGCTCCTTGACTTTGCTGGCCCGCTGCTGTGATCCCGCGGTAGGGGGGGTGACTGAGAGGGGATCTGCCGCCCCCCCAAGGCTGCGGCGCCTGTTCGGGGGGGGTTCCTCGCGCTCGTTTTGGAGCACCCCGGTGAAGCTACCCCCGGAGCGGGATGGTCGGTCGCCGGACCCGGACCAGGACGGTCTATCAGGGTCGTTCTCCAGACCGTGTGCAAAACCCTCGTCCTCATCGTAGGATCTGCAAAATGGAAAAGGTTGTCAAAATTGAGTTCACTACTCTTGGTACTGATAAGCTTCACAAGTGTGCGAGCAAGCATGGAGTCCACGAAGAAGACCAATTATAGTGATGTTACAATCTCCGGCTGTCAGAAGGTAAAAGCCTGGACATATCTATCAAGTCCACAGATACAAAGAAAAGCCAGAGCAATTGCCGGGCACCAACTCTGGCAATGGCCGGACGTTGCTAGGACGAGTCCATCAAGGGGCACTTGAGACACTTTGCATATCTTTCGATGCACCAAGACTGCGGATGCTAGAGAGTGCACCAGAAAAGGACGAAAGAAGCAAGCACATTTCAAACCACCAGTGGGCCAGCAAGTAGGAACGGGAGTGTTACAAGAAAGCAAATGCAAAAGGGATGGGCAACTCAGAAGGGACTCACCCCCTGGGAGGCCCTGTCTGAGCATAGGGGTTGGAGCTGGCGGGCCCCGAGCGCTCTGATGCATGCGGCACTCCCAGCGATCGGCCCACACTACGAATAACGTCCGGCTGATTGGCAATGAGGATTGGCGCCAGCGTCGGCTGCGAGTCAAGGGTTAAGATAACTGTGAGTTTCGTGGAATGCAGAAACTTAAACAACTGCAAGACTCGTCCAGCAGCGGACGAGATTCTCCAATCAGGCGCCTGTTTTACCTCGCTTACCGGACCAATTTTCGAAAGGCAACCCACTCTTTCAAGATGTGCATCGAGCAAGTCGTCGACTTTCTGCCTGAGTACAACCTCACCTCAATTTCCTGGTTTCGGTCGACGCATGCACGCAGTTACCCCTGACGTCCATCCGAGATCAGTGCAGAGGGACAACTTACGAACAAAATGCTACCCCTGCCAAAAATGAAATAAACCGCATCCTTTGTTTTCTGGTGAGGTGGACCGTAGACTCACCGCACTGTTGCGCAACTCCCCGTTCAATGCGTACGCGTCATAGCGAGCCATGCGTGGGTCCCTCCCGGTGGGCCTCGTGGGTTGCAGAACCGTTCTTGGCTGCACGGGAGCATCGGGCAACTCCCGTGACTCCTGCGAGAGCCGGCTGCCCCGCGCATCGTCTGAAACTCCCACCGGGACCTGGTACGTCGGGAAATGGGGCAGAGCTTCGTTGCGGGTTTTGCAGGCTTGAGTGACACTTCGGATGGATCCAAAGAGAGCATGGAAACTTCTACGCTGGCACGTTGGCTACAAGGAGGCTCCTTAAAATCAGATCGAATCTGGAGTGCTCGACCTCTTTTGCAGCTGGTCGAATAGGTAAAGCCTTTCTCCTCTGATTGGCGCTTTCTAGCAGTTCCTCCAAACGGGGTAAACATCGGATTGGTTCTATGGACCCTGCATTTTTGTTTGCAGAGACTACTATAATGCAGCAATTTTCCAGCTTTTACAGAAACAGGTCGCGCCTGGGCAAATTGCGGAACAATGATGAAGATTCACCTTAACTCCGTAAGGAGGAACCATGCCTTCCCGCCCTCGACCGGACATCTCCACGCTGGCCTCCGACACGCTCTCGCTGTAGTCCATGGACTGATCTTCCTCGCTAGCTCCATCGTCATCGACGCTGCTTGCGGAGTCGTTGGGGTCTCTGTTGCACAAAACAAGGCAAAGTTTGAGCTCCCTAGAGGTGGAAGGAGGACAGCGCACGATGGCTAAGATCTCCCAAGATCCAAGTCCACAGATACTCGCAGGTGGGAGAATCGCTGAGGGACAAGACAAGGTTTGTTTATTCGAATTTGGGCCTGCCTTTCGTATCACCCCACCTACTAAGCATGAAGAAAAGTAGAGTAAAAGCATGGGCAATATTGATTCTGCATTGTACCCTCTGTAATACGGCTGGCCCGTCATAAGATCTTACTCAACCTACTTTTCATAACCCATGTCACCGAATCTTCAGAATGAGCGGGGAGGCGCTAACAGCGCAAAACAATGGACAGAGAATGTGCGACTCTGTTTGGCCTCGTTTCTTCTTAATGCAAACTAGGGCTGGCTCAGATGGAAAATAGCAGAATGCATGATCATTCACATCTACGTTAACAAGATGATGTAGCGCACTCGTACCTGGGACCCAAGTTGGCGCAAGTGATTGTAATCTGCGACCATAGAAGCGCACGGTCAAACAGCGGGAGTTACAAGGTTCAAAGTCACCACTCTGTAGACACTGCCGAAAACTACTTTGCGTCTCCGTGTCAGGGCAACAAAAATCACTTAGCTTATCCAAGTTGGCACGAAAGGTGGAGAAGTCCAGATTGCAAATCCAGGGGCGACGCTTAGTGCGGCATGTGGCACGCTTCACATTTAGAAGCGGGCTAACACACCTAGTAAAGACTCAAAGGGTTGTTCTCTTGGGCAAAGAATGGATTCCAGAGATGTGGCTTTGCTGGAGGCTATCTCCATTCAGGGCAACAGGCTACTGGTTGTTGCATGAGATGTTGCAGGTAATCTCCCCTGCTATCTTAGAAAGAGAGAGAGCCTTCCGTCCTAATGACTCAGACCCCTATAGCTGCGCCGTTGACGCCCTTCCCAATACAGGCACCCAATTTGCACTGACATCTCTCTAGACATTTCCAAAACTGCCCAGATACACAGTGCTTGTTGGGGTGTTGGTTGGCAGAGCAAACAGCCACCGTCAGCTTGACCGAGGCTACTGATGTCACCCTCGGCCTTTATCTTGAGCTCCACAACTTCTCCAAAAGCGAGACTCAATATGCCCATTATAAAATTGCAGAATCGCTGCGATCACTCACATGTAGAGCAGTCCCCCCAGCTACGGAGCCATTCATCAGCAGCAGCGACTTCTCCTTTTGCACATAGTCGATGCAGTCCGCCAGGTTGAGGCTCGCCTCTCCCAATACGCCGTTGCGACTGGAGCTCTGTTCACAGGATACGAAAGATCAGGTCAGAACACAGGATGGGCGGCACCATCTATTAGCGTCTCCGCAGCACCGAGTCTGCTTGAGATTGGGGCGATCCCGGGTGCAATTCAACCAGTTGAATTTCTGACTCTGACTGCTTGCGAAGGGTGGTAGTACGAAAATGGAGGACACCCCCATGTGTTCTGCCAGAATCTACTGACTTCATTCTGGAGCTCAACCGCATTGCTTTTACCCTGAGTGCCTCCTGACAATTTGACATGGATCTAACAGCATAGTCATCATTCTTCACCAGCTATGATACAATCTTCGCAGGGAAGGCCATGCCCCAGGATGATCCCTCTTCTGTGCATCTCCTGGTGCCACAGTCTCTTCGGCATTCCGGAACAAGTGCCCAATGCTGCATCAGGTGTCTCGTCTCAGCATGAGATGAGAATGTCGCTTGCTTTTCCCTGGACTAGCTTGCGACGCTTGCGCCAGCTTTGATCATAGGTCTGAGGTCAACTAGCCCTACATCTGCCTTGCTTCTCAACCGACCACCTAAAAGTTGCAACGTTGGCCTGATCAGCACTCGGGGATCATCCAGAGTTCCGCCCTCTGTAATGCGCATAGATGAGAGGAAATATTGAGATGTTTGAGGGGATCACAGGACGCAATGATCAACCAGTGCCAACATTCTGCGATTGGAAACGCTGGCAATACTGTTCCACCTTGTAAAGTCCGTAATTGGCTCTTCATATGTCCAAGGTTTTCTGACTGTAAACCGTTGAGCGGAACGCGCACACGTCGAGCTTAAGATCAAGCTACAGGGTTTCAAAAAAACGTGCAAAACTGCCAGCGCAAGTACTCACGCTTGAGACCACGAAGCGGTACGGTGCGGCGTCGTACCACCCCCCCTTTCTGTCCCTGCTGAGTTTCACTCGAAGCCCCACAGTCTCCTGCCACGCCACACTTCCATTCCGCACTGGCGCCTTCTGCGTCTTGGCGGCGGACTTGCCCTTCCCAGAGGCCACCACGCAAACCAGCAGCCTGTCATAGCCGCTGACGGGGACCTGTTTGGAGAAGGACGCCGAGCAATGCTGAGAGGGAAACCTTTTGGACGGCTTGGCAATCTGCGTCTTGATGCTTGAATCTTTAGCCAGTGCGGCGATGAGCCCATTTGTTTGAGATCGCCAAAAGCAGCATCGTTAAGATGGACCTGGGGCGGAGCATTCGTCATTGAGAAGCTTGCTATCTTCAGATCGTGCTTTCAATGACCAGAACACACAGAAAGGCTGGAATGTCGCTGATGCAATTGAGATCTGATTGCGTAAAGGCAGTCTGTTAGCGGACGTCACTGGCATTCACAACGAAGGTTAGCGTCAACAGCGCTTGGGGTCATTTGTTTGCTTCTGGGCAGGAACGGAGCTGACCAGTTTAGGCGCTCAGCTGATGCAAGGAGCTCTGCTTTGTACTGATTATCTGTTTCTAAGCGGCGAATCCAGACAACAAGGCTTGAGCAGACAATATAAGAATCATAATAGGTTCTAAACCTGACTACCGAGATGTGCCCTACCCAGGCTGACTAAATTGCTAAGGAGCAATCTGCCGCTCTCAAAGATAAGTGAATGCCAGGGCATAGAAAGTAGCCGTAGCCAATTCCTATCAGCAGAATAAGATTGCAGGGTTTGGTTTTCCTGCCTCAACATTATAGGGCATCCGCAACAACTTGTGCATTCAGAGCACTTACCCCTGATGCTTGGAACTGGAAGCGGAACTCAAATTTTTCAGGGGCCTTAGACCCCTGCTTCCTCTTGAAACGGCTGAACATTGTTCCTCCACCTCTTCTCTGTTCAGTTTCTCAAAAGCCTTCAAACCACCTAATGATCTGGGGCCTTCTGAAAGGTTGCAAACATGGGGCTCGTCTCCCCAGTAGTGCTTAGACGTAAACTTTGCAAGGACATTGTGACAACCAAAACGCTCGAGAAAGGCCCCGTCCCCCAGACAACTTTCAACCTCTGATCCCTCTGTCTCCCAAACTGTGGGAAGTAAGTCGTGGATTTCAAGCTCTTCCTTTCACTTACACATCTAGCTTCAGATCAAAGTGTTTTGAGGAGAGCGGCACAGCTTGCCTGTGCGTCCTCAACCTCTGCAAAATGCAAGCAGTGACTTGAAACGTCCAAGGAGCAAGGTGAATGATGCATCACGATTTGCATGAACTGTGCAGGAGATGCCCTTCCGCAACAAGCGTTGCCAGGCAACAAATCTAGGGTTTGCATCATCATGTTTTCCAGCTTTCCAGGGTTCCGCCCTTACAAAACATGTCGGCGGCATGGTCGCCAATATTTTGACACCATTGTTCACCTCAAGTCGATGTACCTAAAAGGTATCAGGCTGTGTCCAATTGAGCCCTCCATATTGCTTTTCCAATTGAGTTCGGTCAACTTTTTGGAGAGTTCCGGCGGATGTCATGCACCTACACTTTACCGAGATTACCGGCCTGATGTCAGAAATGACATCAACAATGGGGCCGATTCAGGGCGAACGTAAACGAAGGTACTCTATGCAGCAGGGAAGCTGAATATGGTGCTCCAAACGGAGTCTGAAAGGTTGCCAGTGATTGCCATGGTCGACCTTTCTTTAAAGTTTTGAAATCGAGGGATCTTTCCAGATGCGTCGGTAAATGAGGTGAGCGCTCCACAGCTGCTTAGAGGTATTGTAGGTAGCATCAGCAGATTACAAGCTGGTTCGTTCTGCTGGTTATGCAGTCGCTTCCAGTGCTTGCTTGGTCATATCATGGAACGTTTTCCTGTGTAAGTGATGCATATGAGGGTCACTGAGGCTAGCTGGTCACTTTTATAACAAGCTGTTGCAATGATGCCCTCACTCTCTCGATTGCTGTCTCTTTTGAAGAAGCAGTTCGTCCAATTCCTTGTTAAGTGTACCATAAAGCTACAATAGCTTCATGAAGAAGGCTGACAAATGAAACTTCCATGCAGACGCTTTGACTTAAGAAACTCTGAAAGTCTGTTCGAATTACAATGCTGACACACGGCATCTTTTCGCAGGACAATGGTGTTATCCTGACCGCACTGAAGATATATTATTTGGTCCTCTAGAATAAGATCTACAATGCCGAGCCACATGTCAGCTTCTGCTATCTCAGATTTCAAAGCCACTCAGAAGATCCATCAGCGCACTGCGATCTCTCGCTGTTTAACCCGACCCGCTTGCATCACTCCACTACTACCACATCGAAGCTCGGTTTCCCGTCTGCCAAAGCAGTTGCGCAAGCTCCGAAGCTCCCTGCGATCCATCACGCCAAGTTTGTCTCTTATCAATCAAAGCAACGCCGTCGCTAGCGCTACAGAAGAGAAGAGGCCAATTGCAGCAAGAGCCCCTTTTTCAGACGGGGACCGAGATCTAGGCGTAGGAAAAAGTTTGCCAGGGGTCCTAAGGGCGAGCCCGCGGAAAAGCCGGCGAGCCAAGCAGGGGCGAATCCTCCTATTGCAGTCCGCGCTTTACTCGAAACAAGTGATTACGCGCACTTCGGGCCGGAACCTGGGCGTGGTGTGCCAGTTATGGGTGGACACTGTGAAGGTGAGGATTTCTGGTTGCATACTGGATGGATAACAGGCACTCTGGTAGAAATCTCCTAGTTTCCCCCTTGGCTATAGCCCCTGATTGTAAGTCCAGGCAGGTTTAACTTGGCAACACGACCGTGGGGGCTTTATGTGAGGCTGTTTACCAAGGCTTGGTTGAAAGCCCTCGTTCTCCCTCCATCCGTCCAGACGGACGCCCCGTAGAGTCTGTTCATGCCAGCAGAGACCAGCACAGAGCTTCAGTTTGATCGGGGGCTGTTCTTCTTTTCTATGCTTTGCTTCAGATAATCAAAGTTGCTCAGGTGGTCGACAAGAGCGGCTCGTTTTCTTGCTTCGTTTGGCGACCGTGATCTGCTCTACTTTGCTTCTCTCGGGAGTCATATTGGTAGCCTCCAGATGCATCTCGCAGCTTAGATGGAAAGCTCCCAGTTATAAAGCTGCAAGTTCAAAGGTTTGCAATATGTGTCGTATTTGAAAGTAAAGCGGATGCTGATTGCCCCCATCTTTGTGCAGTGGGATGTTGTGGCCCTCAGTGTGAAGCCAAGCATCCTGTTTGGGGAGGAAGACACCATCCTACTGAGCAGCCTGAGACAGGTAAGGGCCCGGACAGTGTCATTGATGAACCAAATGGTTTGCCCTGATGAATGCCTCAGCAAGCGTTCCCTGCTACACAAACTGCGTGCTATCCAACGATAGTCGTGAGGAGTTCTTGGTTTTTCTTCATCCGTTATGTGCCATCCTGCAATCTCAATCGAAGTCGACTTCGAGAACGAGTTAAAGCCCTCATGATTTCTTCCGGTCTTGACCCACTGTTCGATCTGACACATTCGCCTCCTCATTTTCCGTGTTGTTTCTTGTTCGCCTGTCTTCATACTCGACAAGCCAGTCATTTCCAATTCCGCATTTGTTTGAAAAGCTAAAGCAACCAATCGCTTCCCTTCAGGTTGGCGACGTGTTGCTAGTTCATGACGAGACAGCCGTCGAAGAGAACGTCAGCTTGGAACAGCTGGGCTATTGCAACATCGTTGGAAGCGAAGTTGTTTCCGAGAATGGCGTCTATCTTGGGAAGGTGAGCCTTCAGTTGATTAGCTGTGTTTTTTCGGGCCACAGATTTTGCAAGAACTGTGGATATCCTCGAGCAAATTATTCGATAAATATGTCGTTTCACTCTGATAAGTCGGACAAACAATCAGCTCGTTAAAAAGTTGGGCCCAAAATGGTTGTACTCCACAGGCGGCGATTTAGTCAGTATCGTCACAAATTAAAAAATTGGTGCTTCTAAAATCATCGCCCTCGTCTACCTGTTTCTTAGTCTCAAAGCATTCAAGAGAAGACGGCTGCGGTCTATGCTTCGCTCTCCCTCTTTGTGAGCAACGTACCCTTAGCTCAAATCCTCGCACAATTTTGCTGCGTCGCACAGTATTTTCTTGCTACAAGTCATCGAGCTTTTCCGTTCCAATGTTGACAAACCGCTTGTTTGGAGATTGATTGGGATATTTTTTGCGAAGACTGACTCGATAGATTATGTCCTTGTTGGCAGATTCGGGACTTCAAGTTCGATCCAGAGGACGGCGCCATTGCGTCGCTCGTGTTTGACGGGTTGGGCCTTTCCATTGTCCCGAGCACAGTAGTGAGTCACTTCTACTCTTCCTTAACTTACCTTTCCTTAACTGCTTGCATTAAACTGCCTTCGGGTGCCAAATGCTCGGAGCATGGTTCCTAATCGTAAGTCGTCAGAGTGATGACTTAAGCAAAATCCAAAGGTTCAAGATCTTGAACCGTCAGATCGACCACTTAAAGAACAATGGACGGCTCAGGATCTTGAATCGTCAAATCGACGACTTCAGAGCGTCGGACGGCTCAGCATGAGGCATTATACTCAGAGGTTACGGTACCCGTTGGCAACTTCGATAGAAACAGCTGTGCCACAGAAAGCCTTAGGATTGACCTTGCCCCTTTGCGGACGCACAGTCTGCTTCTGTTTCTCGAGTTGCTTCTGCTTGGGCGTGGGAGGACTCTGTTGTATGTAACTCGGGGGTGTCGCTGCTTTCCAGAAGGTGTGAACCAACTTATCTCTTATGCAGGTCAGTACATACGAGATGGGCATTGCGGAGGTCCTCAGCGCGGGGCCGGACCGGATCATCGTCCGCGACAGCACTGCTTCCCGCGTCAAACGGCTCTCTATGGTGAGAATGCGCGCACTTACACCCGGCCGCTACCTCCTTTGTCCGGTCATGACGTCTTTTTTAAATGTCGATATGCCACGTCTCGTGGAGAAAATTGTTTGCAAATGATGTCACAGGCGGCTTTCTTTTAGGAGGCCAGCTTCTCTTATGAATCATTGCGACTGCTAATTGCAACCACAATCCGAGCATATCCTCAGCAGAGCTGTTGATCTGCTTGTTTTCAATGAGCATTTCGCGGCCACACCTTGCAGAGCTTTTCTGGAAGCCCTTTGTGGCCACTCCCCCTGACAACCCTTGGTCCAATAGCCTTCAGCTTCCATAGCTTATAATCTGGGCTTTCCATAAGCTGGCTCTCCTTCTGCGGAGCATCTTTGAAAAATGTCCTTGTGATCGAGCCGGAGAGCCCCCCTCGGATGACGATTCCCTCAAATTTGTATACCGTTATTCACTGGGTTCCGTAGTCTGGCGTCACTCGTGCAGAGCAGCCTCAAAACTATTTCCTCGGTTGAGCCCTCCTGGAACATCTGGGTGTATTAACTCGAGGCTCCACACCGTCTCTTACCAACCATAACCTGGCCCCATTCTCGCAGGGCATCCTCGAAAAACTCTCTTTGGCTGAGCCCCCCTGGAAGCAGGACGACGTTCTCTACAGCACATACGCTCCCCCCCCAGTACCCCGCCCGCAACGGCGACCTCCAAGCTACGAAACCGCTCCACGTGGTCGCCCCGAAACGTCTGGACGGGTCCCCAGCAATAGTTACTCGCGCGCGCCCGCCTACGATTACCCAAAAGCCTCCGGTGGAACCGAGCCGCGCGCTGCGCCCGCTTATGTGGAGCTGAGGACGCCCGCTTATGAGCCGCCCAGGACGCCCGCTTATGAGCCGCCCAGGACGCCCGTTTATGGGGTCCCTTCTGAGCGGCCCAGAGGGCGGGGGGATACCTTATATCAAGACCCCCGGCGACAGAATGAGCCCCAGTATAGCGGAGACAGAGGAGCGCCCTATTCTGGGATGGCACAATCCCAGCAAAGTTCGCCACAAGAGGTCTCGGAACGGGGGGGTCAAATACAGGGTAGATATGGGGAGGGGGCCAGCACTTTTGGCAGGGAAGCATCATCAAGGGAAGAAACCACCGGTCAGAGGCCGGTAGAAAGGGAGTCTTCTCCGGGGCGCTTCAGGGGGGCAGCTTTTGGGGCTCGGGGGAAAGCTTTGAACAGAGTCTCCGAGGGGTCAAATTCTGAAAGGGCGTCTGATTGGAACGCCGCAGTGGAACGGTATCCGGAACAACGGTGGGAAGTTCCGGAGCCGGTGTATCTCGAAAGGGGGGTGGTCCAAGCGAGGGAAAGAGGAGGGGTGCCGGTGGCACGGCGGGGCGTTGAACGGACGAGAACTAGGGGTGCGGTGCAGTCTGGCGAGCCAGTTTTCGTCGAACGGGATTCTATTCGGGAGGACGTTTGGAAGGCTGACGAGCCAGTTGCAAACGGGGGCGCGCAAACAGCAGGACCTTTTTTTGAAGGCAGGTCTGTCAGGGGGCTCGGAGATGCAGCTTTCGAAGGCCCCCGAATTGGTGCAAGAAGCGACGAGAGTTCAGGGGGGTCAGCTCGGCCTGGCTACGGAGAAGAGTTGCGAGGAAGTCCGCCCGTCAGGGGGGCTGGGGAAGTACGTGGCAGCTTCGAAAGCGGAACTGGGTATAATGCAAGTGAGGCGAGCTTTTCGGAGGAGAAACGAATGCCTGGTTCGCCGAGAAATCGAGAACCGGAACCTCAGAGGAGGGTGATGGAGGAAAGATGGGCGTCGACTGGACGGCCTGGAATTGTGGAGAACCGTTCCGGCGCTGGGAGCCCGGAAGGCGAACGGAACGAACGGAATGACGGTCAAAGGGAAAGTGCGATGAACAGCCGCTTGACTAATGGAACCGCCTTCTCGGAACGGGCTGCGAGCGGCATTCCGGCTTTGGGCAGCGGAACAGCGGATCGACGTGTTGACGGAGTTGCAGCAAGTGTTGCGACAGAAGGAAGGGGCCGTTTCCAGCCGGATGCGCCTCGGTACAGTCAACCGACAAGAACGGCTGGTAGGGTCGAGGGTCAGAGTGGGGACGGTTGGAGCGTTCCCCGGGCACCAACAAGCAGACCAGGTCTAGAAGGGGGGGTCCAATTGTACGGCGCTAGTACTCCCTCCGACCGCTCTGTTTCTAGGAACGGTGTTGAGAAGTATGCCGGTCGGGAGAAGCCGCCTGGTGCTTCCGGGCAGCCTTACACTTCTGTCAGTGAGGCGACTGCAAGCCCAAGCGGGCGGCGGCCGGGCTGGCAAGGGGATACTCGGTCGGCGAATCGCGCTTTGGGAGTTGGGCCGCCACAACGAGACTTGAAACTTGGAACGGCGGGAGATTTGGACGCGACAGTTGCAGAGCGCTCAAATCCGAATGCAGTCCAGGAGCGAGCGGGGGAAAGACGGCCCGTTGATGGGCGCGACGAGGAGGGTAACCGGGAGGCGCGTTGGCCAAGGGGCCCGGGAGAGGGTCTCAAGCAGTTCTTGAGAAGAGATCCGAGCGGGACTGCTTCGGTGACGTCAGCACGTGTGACGCCATCGGTGAACGCAACGGGGGTTGAAGAGGCGAACGGAGCAGCGAGGCCTTTTCGGGAGTGGGTCGACAGGAGTCCTCGCCCGTGACAATGCGCTGGCGCTGGGTTTTGTGATTACGTATGCGTGTTGTGCTGTTAGTAGACTTCAAGGACTGTGAGCGTAGGAGGATGCTACAGCCGTCAGCATGTAGATCAGCAAAGATGTCTGCATCGAGAAGAGACCGTTCTGGAACAGAGATCACGAACACAATGTGGCGGCATTCACTGAAGTTGACCTGCCAATGCTCTTGCCCGAAACATTCACAAACATCAGTTAGTTATAGAAAGAAAAATGGGTGAAACAGCTATGACAATTAGAAGAGCATGGACGTCTCGCTGAAAGACTGCATGCTCAAGCATGTGAACTTTAAAGCGAGTCGTACCAGCAGGCCTGTTGTCACGGTATACCAACGTCCAATTCCACCGCGGTATACGTTTGTCACAAAATTCATATTCTATACGTCACATCCAGCCGCCCCAGAGAATCTACCAAGGCGCGCTCCGGAGTGTCCGCAGAATGGCACCAATCCAAAGTCGACTAGGGGGACAAATCAGGCCCCCTGTGGATCCTTGCAAGTCCTTGACAAACCCTTTGATGAGGTGGGCGCAGCAGCAAGGATAGGAAAGCATGTTAGGGCAGAGAAGGGGCTAGGTATCCGACATCCCCAACAAGGTGAGTGGCGCTGGAAGCAAGCTCTGACACCGCCAAAAAGAAAGGGGCACAGGAGTGGGCTATAAAAACCCCCGGCGATAAGAGTGGGAAATTTCGAGAACGATGATAGACCCTTAAGTTGAGGGGAGTGTATTAGCAGGAGAAGTCTGAACGAAACCTCGAAGATCTAGCAATTAAGAGTTTATGCCAGAAATTCGAGCTTGCCGAAGATGCAGATATTGGACCATGCCATGAACGGTGTGCGCTTTGCGTGCACATTCATCAAACAGAACCTTTCGAAGCAACAGGCTAGCGCCACTGTCAGCGGCAGGGATGCGACAGTCACTGAGTGGTGTTGAGCAACTCAGCAGGACGGACTGCATTTTGGGTAGTCGTGACTGGCCCAGTGGAGATCTCTTAAAGCATGGACCACAGGACATGAGCAGAGCAAGCACTTCGGTAGATATGCGCAAGTCAACTGGCAAAATCTTCGAAAAAAAGCAGTCTCTCGTATGAGGACGCGCTCACCTCGGGTCCTAGCTTACTGGAGGCCCTTTTATGACCAGCCCTTCTCCAAAAGATGAAAAGAAATGCGGATGCCAGATTTGGCCACATTTGGAAAATTGGACACAACCTAAGTCGACTCTACAAGCAACCGTCAGATAGAGAAACTGCCTGCTATCCAACGGCTTGTAAGTTTCGCCTGTTCTGCATTGGAAGCTTGCGCACCGTTGGTTGCACATGATCATATCGAACGGCGCTCGTATATGACAAAGAGGCCACGTGAAGAGGGATCACGCTCACCTCTCTTGCATGTCTCTGCCACCTTCACTCCGTGAAGCATAACACTTGGACCTCCGCACACCCTGCGGGATGGATGCGAAGCCCGAAAGGGTGTCACAGGTCCCGGGCAGAATCAGCTCCTCTGGTGTGCTTCTTCTCTACAGCTAGTGTCAGCCACGTACAGAGCGATGATCACACCAGCAGGCGCCATGCAGACGCCTGATCGATTAAATGCTGCATGAAGATTTTGAACCCTCTTTCCAAGTTGCAGCCTCAAGCAGCCAGCCTTCACCTGCGCTGGTTTGCTCTCCTCTACTGACGTTCTGCTGAGAAATGCTGTTGTCCCAGTTGTCCAGGCGGTTTGCTCTCGCTGCACTCCCTGCACTTGTTGGTTTCGGCGCCATGGCTTCCTCCCACCCGTCCAAAGCTGCGTCCGATGCAGAGTCTGTCCCTGGGGACTCCATGTCCGTCAAAACCACTCTGCTGGACAAGGGCGCCGGCGTCATACAGGGCGTCATGCAGAACCTGCAACCCGTCAAGAAGATCCACATGCACCTCTGCGCTTTCGTGAGTCAACGTTGTCAATGTGCTCTGGAATGTTAGCAATTTCTGTGGGAAGCATGAAGAGCTCAGGGGGTGCTGAAGGGGTTGGCACTCTTAGGATTGGTCTAGTAGCTGCTGGTTCTACTGCCTGCAAGCTCAGGCCGCCGTACGAGCTGTTTGAAAAGCTGCGGCGTTTGGCAGTGGGAGGCAAGGTTGAGCTGGGTGTGAAAGCATGCTGCCAATATGAAGCTGGGCTTGCTTGCTGGGGTGGTCTGTAACTGTGCATGTTACTGCATGCATGTTACTGTTGCTGAGAGCATCAATCTCATAGCTGCAATTTGAAGGGTGACTATAGGTCAAGGTGTAGTGTGTGCTTTCACTAACCACCACCCTTTTGGGCAACAACAATCACAGGGCAATTTGACAGCAAATATGGATCTACCAGAGATATGGAAGGCGGACTGTGCCAAGCTGGAGGAAGCAGAAGCCTTTAGCTCAGTTATGATTCTGATGCCGCTAGCAAAGAATTCAGAGGATCATTTTTGTGGATACGCTAAACCTTTCATTTGACCTGGGTTTACTGAAAACCAGCCACCGCCGCCTATTTGCTCTGCCATCGTTTTCTATACTGTCATTGTTTCTGAGGTCAGTAATGTCGGTGTGCCATTGAGGATCTTTCAACACGGGCGGTGAAGTCACATGTGGGCGACACTGTCGTGACCATTGATGCAGAGGAAGCTTATATTAGGGTATAAGAGAAGAGAAAGACCAGAGGCGTTTCGTTTGTAGTTAAACAACTCCAATCAGAGCTTATTTGACCAGGATCCAACTGGCCAAGGCGCCTTTCAGGATGGACAAGCTGGGGTTGCCAGTAATGTGATAAACAACCTGTATCCTCAAAAACATGCGTTTGTCTTTTGTGCAGCACCTGTACGCCCACGACTTGACTCGCCAGGTGGAGGCGCACCACTTCTGTTCGCATCTCAATGAGGACATCCAGCAGGTGAGCATGCCTCGTCGATGAGTAGTAATAAGCTGGTGATTGGGTACTGCAACTAGGTGGGATCCTATGGTTTTGTTACGCCTGTGTGTGCCGTGCCATCGTCAAACCAAAATTGAACTTTCCACAGAGGTCAAATGTTACAACTGCCAGATGAAGAAGTAGCAGAGGAGTGGGCGCTGTATGCAACTTAGACGACATCCGCATCTGAACACAGTTGGCTGTGGTCACCTCCTGGGCAAGAGTCTTGGTGCGTTTCTAACCTAATCATGGGCATCCCTTTTCTTTAGCACATCAAGACTAGAGACTCTTTAGCTGGGCAATTTTTGAGATATCGCCTGTAGTCTGTCTCTTCAAGATCGATGAGATGGACTTCAGTTTTCCGGCTCTATGCTGGACTGCCCAAGATTTGCAGCGCTTCAAATGAAGTTCCGCAAACGAAGTACTGGGTATTCAAATCAGTTTGGGCACTGCGGTGCTGTATCGAGACCCTCAATACGCCCTTCTCTTTAACAGCGTCCTTTTTTCGTCAGGAGCGGGCAATTTTGAAATTACGCGCCTGTTTTCTGGCCTTCAAGATCGACGAGGGGGACTTCAGCTTGTCGGGTCAATGCTGAACTTTCCTGACCAATGTTCGCAGCGCTTCAAATGAAGTTCCGCAAACGAAGTATCCCACTTCAATCTGGGCACTTGCGGTGCTGTATCGAGACCCTTCACACGCCTCTCTCTTTAACAGCATCGTTTTTTCGTCCTCTTGCCTCTTTTCTTTTTGCGTTTTTGCGTTTCTCTCTTAGGTAGGCCGGAAGGAAGAAATACATTAGAGGAGGGAATAAGAATGTTTTTGCAGTACTTTGAAATCGTTCGTCGGCCGTTGCAGTGCGTCATCTATGACACAGACGAGTCGAACGCGCGGCTCATTGGCGTTGAGTACGTCATCAAGGAGGAGATTTTCGCGACACTGCCCCCTGAAGAGAAGAAGTTATGGCACTCACACGAATACGAGGTAAAGTTGTGGTCGCACCTTCTCTAGACCTACAGCTCTGTATCTTCGTCACTTGGCTTGGCCGCTCTGCAAAATCGAAATGCGAAACCCATTGACATGGCATTTTCAGTCTTCTAAAAGTTCGATACCGATTCTGGCCCCAGCCAATGCACGATATGTGAATCATGCTTCTCGTGACTCAACATAAACGCGCAGTGGGTGATTGAAAGCCTTGCTTCAACAGAGGTGAGTCACCACTTCTTTTCGCAGAAGATGGAAGCGATTGCCCAAACCGTGGACGCTACTATTGGCATTTGGCCTCTTTCTTGACCGCGCTTTCTGTTACAGGTCAAGAGCGGCGAACTGGTGTTGCCGGGCCTCCCCAAGGTGGCCGAGCAGGCCGTGCTGCGCAAGCTGGCCAAGACGTACGGGAAGACGTGGCACTTCTGGCAGTATGATAGGGGCGACCAGCTACCCCTGGGTAAGGCCGCTGTGTCGCCTGATATTCGACGAGTGTTCTGAATGCTTTTGTATGATTTCTGGAAGTAAGGAAAAGTCAGTTCTAGTCCAAGCGGAAGTGAAAGAGTCAGCTGTGCCTTTCTGGGTTTTCGTGATCATTAGTGCAAGATTTTGAGTTTTGAACACACGAGAACGCTTAGGACCTCTCTCCGAAGCTGCGATGAAAACCTAGCCTGTTTCAGGATAAAGTGGGCCTGTCCTTGTGAGAGAGCGGATCTGGGAACATCTGGTGTGTGCTCAACAAACTTCCAAGCGTTCGGACGGAGCCCGGATGCAAAGTAAACCCTTGGCCGAAGTACTCTCATTCTGTCGTTCTTCGTAACGCGCACTGTTCATCAAAGTTTGGAGGGTGCTTGCCGGCGGCGAACTTGTCACCGCTCCCAAGCCGTGAAGCCGGGACTTTTAAGACACCAGTATATGCATGTTCTATAGGTCGAAGAGTTTTGGAGGAACTAGGAATAGAGCCCGGAACCAGCTGGTTCCTTCACCCAACGTAAGGCTTTCCAAAGCAGCCCAAATTATTGACGGATGTCATTGACTTGGTTAGAGCGTACTCGGATAAGCTGCTGATCATCGAGTCGTCCTTGACCAAGGTCAGTTGACACCTTGTCCGAATATTTTGCACGACTTCGTTTATCCTGGAGAACAAAGGCCGACACTAAACTACCTGGCAGAGGCTGTATCTCATCATCTGTAGACGAAGACCAAAACGCTGCCCGTTCCCCACAGGTCTGCCGCAGCTGATGGCCGCCGTAACGCACGACGGTCAGCTAGACCTGAAGGTCGTGGAGGAGCGTGACCGGCGTTACGGCGTCAGCACTGCCGACCGGAAGAAGGAACGGCAAGATATCGAGGGGCCGGCGAAGATCGACCCCGACGCCGACTATCCTCACCGGACGGGAAAGGGGCTGCAGGTCGTGCTGATGCCAGAGGAGGAGCTGCAGCTGCCACGTCATCTCTAGGTGCCACGTGGCACTCGATAGAGACACTGTAGCGAGGAGGTCGGAGCCACGTCATTGAGCGGATCATAACTGAGAGTTTTCATTGTTGGAACGCTTTGCGGTCCGAGCTGTTTTGAAGATCTGGGACAGTTCGAACCGAAACTGGAAGCTAACCGCGGAACCATTCTGTTCAACGTTGAAGAGAGGCAGTAGAGAATAGCAATAGCATAGGCCTCCGCAACTAATGTACCATAAGGGCGATCCGCAAGGAGTTGCCGCAATTATACAGATATAGAGACCTGCAGCTAGCTAGAAAAGTCGTGCATGCTTGCGCGACCAAAGCAAGCGACGTTTTGGTGCATTTGAAGTCGCAATGATAAGCTTTTCCAGGGGCGTCTTTGTACGGGAAGTGTCTAGCAAGTGTGCGGATAGTGACTGGTTGTACAGCAGTCAGAACACAAACAATCCGTCGCGCCCTTATGGGCTGGCCAAAGCCGTCTCCTGTCTCTGAGATGATGCTGCAAAACGTGCAGGTAGCCGTATACGACCTCGACTCGAAGTCGACATTTGACGTGCCTAGTTAGCAAATTTGCATGTCCAAGCTTGGCTTCTATCAGGATTCGATTTGAACGCTTCAATGAACCGAGGAAATATCTCATGCTTTCTTGTTGGACAACCTCCTGCATTTTTCTGTACAAGGTAAAGCGTCCTTTGGTCAATAGTAGCTGCTTATCGGCAATGAACTGTGCACGATCAAAGGGACATGTGTGTGTTCAATTCTGATTGCGTCGTACTTTTTCAGGGCTAAGATCTGGGCTTTTGCAATAAACACTTGCAAACAGCCAGCAGCTTGTTGACGATTCAAGAAAGAAAGTCTCCCGCAATCGCTCGCGCACATATATGAGTTTTGATTGAAGTCCTACTCATGTCAGTCTCATACTCAACAATGTGTCAGCCGTTCACGAGGTTATCCAAAAGCCGGGCCAAACCTTTGGTTCGTACATATCTGATGAAGCCCCTGCAACGGTGCGCAGAGTTGCTGCGCCAACGCGCCAATGGTCTGGCCCGTGTTAGGTGCATTTTGAAGACCGAAGGTGCTGTTCAAGAGAATACAAAGTTCAAAAAAGAAACGGACTCCTGACGATCGCCCTCCTGCCACGATCAGCCTTAACCTACAAACAAAGACGTCAACATGTCAAGACTGGCTCTCTTCACGTGACAATTTGATCCCTTCCTACTGAATTCCGCCACGTGGCAATGCAAGCTGCTTGATATTCCACTGATTACCGGCGGGAAAATTTACTGATTATGGCCGATCATTTTGCTGAGTCACCGGCCCTACTCACCGTCCTCGAACAAGGTAAGACTGCAGCTACTCGATTCTTCTTTGAGCAGAGAGGGGTTGGATTGAAGCGCTCTCATGCAGCCTTCGTCCAGGAACTATTCTCTTCGAGTGCGCGTTCAAATGTTACATGGTGGCAAGCAACAGGGCGCATGAGACAGAGCTCGTCGAGAATTGTGGACTGAGGTTGCACGGACGGTTTGTCTCCTGTTAAATTCATGAAGTATTTCTCTGCAAGATAGAAAAAGACTAGGTTCTGAAACCTGGTAGCTTTGGAGAAGAAGAAAGGGATGGCTAGAGGTGGGAAGGCGAGATCCAGCAGGAGCGCAAATTCTGTGGCAATGCCTCTGCGAAGAGGCGATGCCCGTACCATGCAGGCTCTTCCGGTAGATGTTCTCTCTTGTATCCTCGATAAGGCTGCGCTGACATTGAAGGATCTGATCAGAGTGATGACTGTAAGCAAAGCGTTCTACGAAGCCGCGAAGGGCGTGAAAGAGGTGGAATTCTTCTTCAAATGCTTCAATTGTGCGGAGCCTGAAAGACCCTGCTTCCAAGGTTCAGTCACAAGGATATTGAGGGAGGCTAAGAGCGTCAAAGCACTGAGAATGGAGTCGAGAGAGCGCACGTGCCATGAATGTGTGGATTCCATTGAGGAGTCAGCATCGCACAAGTTTCAGGACTGGGAAGAGATGGTTGCAAGCTGGATTGGGATTCTTAAGGAGGACCTGGAGGATTTTGTCTACTGGGAGGAGTTTTACAGCCGGTTTGAGCATCCAAGGTTTGGTAGTCTTCTTTTTGGGGCTATCTCGCACTGCAGACTTCTGAAACGGATCGAGCTACGAACAGCAGTACCCGAGAACATCATGGATCAACTCTCAAGCAGCTGGTTGCCACATGGCCTCCTTGAGCTGTCATTCTCAGGCTTTGAAGAAGGACATCAGAAGCTGATGAACACTCTGACGAAAGCTTGCCCCTTCTTGAGAAAGCTGTCGTTCCTGGGTCTGTGGAAGGGAGATCTGTCCATTGAACTCAACTTCCTGGAGTCTCTCAAGGTTGCATACGTCTACATGTACCATGGTGTTCCAATGAACCTCAACATCAAATCTGCTCCAAACCTAAGAGATCTGGCAATCGAGTACCAGGGATCAATTGGGGAAGTTGACGGAGCCAAAATCTTGATCCATAAGCAGCCGCTTGCCGTGAAGACCCTTTCAGTGAAGAGTGTGTCCTGGAAACAGACAAGTGTCCTGCTGAGTAGCTGCCCTGACGTGCAAGATCTCACCATTGAGCACCCGCGCGAGAATGGTGTATTCTTTCCGAATGCGCGGACAAGATTGGCGACCGTTCTTGGGCAAGTCACGCAGACCAACAGAGAAGTGAAGAAGCTGCGGCTTGCAAAAGTTTCCGATCCCAGCAATGATTCGATTGACAAGCACGGTCTGGGTTTGGCGAGGCTGAGCGAAGTCACCTTCGTAAGATCTGAAAAGGTCGACTTCCTTAACATCCGTGAATGTCTTGAGAGCTTCCTGCCAAAGTGCCCGTCGCTGAAGTTGGTCAAGTTCGCTGGCCACGGCCTGCGCGATTACGGTAGCGACTCAGAAGGGGAGCAGGAAGGCAAGATAGAGACGTTTATGAGCGACCTCAATTCTCTGCAAGCAAGCTTTCCAGGGGTCAAGTTCGATTTCTAGAGCCTCGGAGGTCAGATCGTCTCAACAGCTGCAACCTGCTATGTTCCTTGTCGAGTAAAAGTCGAGACATAAGCGTTGAAATCCTGTAACTTTGCGGAGCAAGTGTCATGTTGAAGGCCTCTCAGCAATATGCACGCAATATGCTGTGACGTCTGCCGGCGGCCTGCATACCGCATCAGATTTTTCTCAACATGCCTTGTCGTGTAGTGGAGAAGCAGTGTTCGGAGAGCCGGCCCACATGAGTTTCATGAGTGACACGCGCCATGAATTGGAACAGAGCACAACCTGGTGATTGAAGGTGCATCAGTCTGGAAGATTGTCCAGTCAGACGCAGAAGATGGTCCAGAGCGGATGTGGATATTATCCAGCACGCAATTAATTGCATGGTCCTTGAAGGCCGTGCTTGCCTGCCTTCAAGAAGGGCGCAGCTGCAGTGTGACATGCCACTGCAGATCTCGTGGCGAAATCAAACACCAATTGAACATTGCATAAGCATCAGTGGTCATATGATGCAGCCTGGCGCGAGCTGCAGTGCACGCTAGCGCTATGTACACACAAAGATCCACGTGAAACGTGCATTTCGGCATATGATTCACCGCAAACTGAACTTGTTTCAGATCAGTGCCTAGAGCTAGCTTTGCATGCATGAACCACTTAAGACCATCATGCATTCGAATATGCATATTCGAAAAACGGTCGAACTGCATATAGACATCAAGCAGAACGCGATTATGATGCTACTTCCCCAGGACATTGACCGAGTATCACAACTCTTGTGTGTCATGACAAGCTTATCTGGAGCTCATGTGGCTACGTAGCTCAATCGTATGATCATCATGCTTTCAAATGAGAGAAGTGTCCATGCTTTCACTTAATTAGTTGCATTAGAAAAAATTGTCCGGTTGCCGCATGTTCCAAAACGGGCTGCCAAATCCCTAACGGTCATACTTGACTAGCTACCATTTATGTATTCGTACCTCGTATAAGTGGGCCAAGAGCTCTTGCAAGCTCAAGCGACCGCCAAACTCGGAGTAGTAGTCAGCCAGCAACGGCCTGACCTTCGTGAAACAAGCTCAGGATTGGATGGGCGCATCAAGTGTTTGACACAAACTTAGCAGAACGGGCACTCCGCATGACCCATAGGTTTGTAGGCCAACAATCAATCTGCAACACATTCCGCAGCTGCCAACGAGTGCCCTTCGCATGGTCGCATGAGGTTTCGAAACGTGAGGACGGAGTCAACAAATCATCACGTACTCCCGTCACCGCAGGCATGAATGTCGACTAAGTCTGAAGTTAAGCCAGGTGACAACTGCGCCCGAATTTTGATCAAGCTTCGTCGCCCATTTCGGCATCCTCCTGCTCCACCGCCCGCGCATTCGCCGCCGCAAAGTCCCTGTAGTTCTTCTCGTTCAGCGTCTTGAGCCACGTGGCCATGATCCCGTCGTCCTTTTCCGTCTGTGCAATGTGCTTGTAAACGTACTTCTCCTTGAACTCTGCCACCTGGAAAGCAGACGCACACGGAATATTCGCATAGAGTATCAGGCACACACGCATGCGACTCGCCAGACCAGTACCGTTGTGGGCAAGCGCCTAAGAAGCGGGATTGATACAGACTTGCATTTACTCCAAAGAAACGGCTTCAAATCGCTGGAAAGATATCTGCTGCTCCGTTCGATAGCCCAGAACGAGAGTACCAATGAAGCTTCCACGTGACGATCTGAAAGCTCGTGATCCATCCAAAGGGGAAGACGCCGGGTTGCGTTTCCTCCACGGTTCCTGTCCCACCTTTGAGTTTCAAACTGGCTCTTCGCAACCGGATAATCTCGATCCATTTCCACAAACATCACAGGGGCCGAACGGGTGTTACAAACGTGGTAGAGAGTTTTCCTTCATCAATAATGGTCACATCTGCTCGTCAAACCGAGTACGAGAAGGTGAAGAGTATAGAAGGAAACAATCCAAATCAGAAAAAACGGAGGATTGACGACCAGAAGGTACAAGCGCTGACCTAGGGACCTAGGAAGGTTCCGAGAGGGAGTGTTCGAGTGGGAAAAGGCGACACGCACAAAGATGCAATCCGGAGAGACATGTACGAAAAAATGGAGGAAGAGGCTTACGAACAGAACGAACTCTGAAACGAAACGGATCGCAAGAAAAAGGCAGGAAGATGCGCAGGCCCTGCTACTTGAACGGCGTCTACGTGTCCGCCGCATGAAGCCAATGCTCCACACTTCTCTGGTAAGAGAAAAGAATCAAGGGGCGGCCACGTACCTGCTGTTTAAAGTCGCGCATGGAGAGCTCCTGGTGGTCGTACCCGAAGCGCTTGTTGTACGCCCCAAACATGCACTCGTCCAGAAACAGGCCAAGCTCGGGGGCGACCGGCACCAGGAACTCCGTGTCTCTGCGGTCGCCACAAGCGTGGTCAGTAACCTCGATCAACAGGGAAATTTGGAGAACAAATGTCTGGAGACAAGACTTTGGTAGGAAAGATCTGGCACGTGGAAACTACTACTCTAATTCAACGGGATTCATGACGCAAGCACCAGAACTTGGAAAAGAGGCATAGCTGTCGGCTGGTAAGAGTTATACTAGAGCGGGCCGCCGTTCCTCCAACAAGAGAACTGTCGTCAGCAGTTCCACTCAAGAGTCGTAGTCCCAATCAAACGTTCTTTCAGACCTGCAAGCGATCCCAAAACCAGCTGTGCTTTTTCTCTCTCACTCGCGGAGCGCGTAGTTGGTGACGTCCTCGGAGATGACGTTGCGCACAACCGCTTTGCTTTGGTTCCTAGAAACACGTAGAACGCGTTTCTCAACTTTCCAGTAACAACAAAGGCAACAAAAAGAAGGAAGATGAAAACAGAAGAAAAGCAGGGCTCACTTGCGAAGCGCGTAGTCGATGACGTCCTCCGAGATGACGTTGCGCGCGACCGCGAGCACGAGGCCGACCATCTTGCGGATCTGGTGCAGCATGAAGCTCTGCCCCACTACTGTCAGCCGCACGTGCTCTGCGCCGTCGATCATAAAGGGGGGACCCGCGGTGAACGAGATCATGTAACGCTGCGCCTGCGGGTGCGGGAGTATGAGAATTTTAGAGGACCGGAATGGAGTGATTGAGCGTGGTTCGGAGGGTTACGGCCTGATGCAGGGTGGACATCTGCTGAGTCTTGCCTTCGATTAGGAAGAGGGGCCCCGCAGTAAATGAGATGATGTACCGCTGCGCCTGCGGATGCGGCGAAAAAAGGACGTTTGACCGAGGGTAAAAGAGTGGTTAAAACGTGGTTTACAGGTCTAGAGGCAGAATGTGCGGTGGCAATCTACTGATTTATGCAGCCGATTGAAAAGAAGGGGCCCACGCTAGAGGCGATGATGTAACGCTGCGCCTGCAAATGAGGGGATAGGAGGAGAGTAACGAAGGTTAGGCGGATGATTGAAGCGTGATCGGCGAGGTGAGAAGCCTACTACAGAGGTGGATTTCGGTGCTTGGCGTTCGACCACCAAGGGGGGACCCGCGTTAGATGAGATGATGTACCGCTGCGCCTGCAATACAGAGAGGGAAGGACATCAACGCAGAGTAAAGGAGAACGACGGAGTGGTTGATGGGGGGTTTGAGGGCCGGTAGCGGTTTCAAGTCTTATTGATGCCGTCAGTTGAGAATGAAGGACCTGCGCTGAAGGAGATGATATAACGCTGTGCTTGCAGAACCTTGTGAGGAGGCGGTCAACGGTGAGTAGAGGACTTGTTTGAAAGGCCTAGAGGCCGGATTCGCTGTCGCGATCTCCTGAGTTATGCCGTCCTTGAAAAGGGGGCCCTGCGCTGAAGGAGATGACGTAACGCTGCATTTGCAGATGCGGGAATAAGGCAAAAATAGAGGTTAGGCGAATGGTTAGAGCGTAGTTAGCGAGGTCAGAAGCCTATTACGAGAATGTCGGTGCTTTGCGCTCAACCACTAAGGGGGGGCCCACGGTGAAGGCAATGACATGATGCTGCGCCGGCCAATGTGACCAAAGAGAAGATTACCGTCTCCAGTCTGACGGCAAATCTGCGGTACTTTCCCCCAATGTCTGCGATTAAAGGAGCTGAAACAACCTCACGAACATGTTGATCAACCGTTGAGCAAAGCAAATAGTTCCTTTCATCGTTCCACTTAAGCGCACCGACAACGGCTGCATCAATCTAACCATCGCCCAAATCGTGATCTTCAACGTCACCGGTTTCAGCGGGTCAAATCTAACCCACCTGCCCATCGTTGGCCTTGACCCGTGTTGTGAAGTTGTGGAAGTTGTGCGTCCCAGTATACTTCGCAAGCAACGCGTTGAGCCGTTTCTGCACAGCGGGGGTGTATTTGAAGGGCTTCCTCTCTTGGTCTTGGTCCCCCCCATCTGTCGCATCCGTTTTTGGAATCAAGAACCGTTCTACCCCTGCTAATCCTGCTTCTACTTCGCCGCCAGGTTTTCGATCGCTCTGCTCCGAAACAGCTCCACTTACGGCGAGTCCTTGAGATGCAACCCCCGGTTTTGTATCCGAACCCTTTTTAAAACCTGGCTCGAACTTGACCCGTTCTGAAGGCGGCTTCTCCTCCGAACCCTCATCAGAACCAGGCTCCGATTTGACCCTGTCTAGCAATGCTTTTCCTCCGACCACTGCTCCCAAGCCCCCCTCCAAACCATGTTCAAGCTTAACCCGTTTCGCACACGGCTCCCCGGTGCCCCCCTTGAACTCTCTCTTCTCCAGACCCCCCTCAGAAGTGCCCGGTTCTTCTTCCCCTGGTCTTCCAAAGTCCATGGACTCCCCTTGCATCGTGCCCGCTTTGCTTTCTCCAAGTTCCGTCTTAACCACCGAAGGTCCAACACTAGTAGCGTCTTCCGATGCAGCCTCTCTTTTGACCTCCCCATTCGCTGCCTCTGTCTTTACACCCCCGTTCGCAGCTTCCACTTTGACCCCCCCGTCTGCGGACTCTGGTTTGACCCCCCCGTTTGCGGCCGCCAGCCTGGCATCTTCAATCTCCTTCCTGGCCGAGCGCAGGTTGTAGTAGTCCCGTTCTCGGTACGCTTCAGGGTCCAGCGCAAAACTCGGAATAACATACTCGTACTTCCTGTTATGAGAGAGGTTTGCATTAGACCATCGTTCTTACTTGCCCTTAAACCTCGTGTAAACCGACTGAAACTCCCTTCCTAAAACCTGGGGGCCAGGGCACTCTATAAAAAAGGGTCTGCCCACTTTGGGCTGGCCCTTGGTGCACCGACCGCACTTGCTCTCCAAATACACACAGCTGTTGAACACTATCAGAAGCTCACAAATCGACTCTGCCATTTGCTTCCAGAAGCCGCCCTAGTTGTTCAAGTGAATCCTGGGCTCAGAACCCCCGATCTAAAAGGCAAGGAGAGTAACGCTGCATCATAGACAGCACAGCTCTGACTCCTAACACAGCGCAAACATGCACCACCACCCAAAGATAGAGCCAACCAAACCGTGGCATCTAAGCAAGCTCACCGTGCTGACTGTTTAAAACCTCAAAGACAGATCGCCCTCCCGACCAGGAACAAGACCCTCTTGAAAGAAAGGTTGAAATGGTTAAAGCCACTCCCACGCACCTTCTATCGCAGTGCGTGCGGGCGTCGAAGCCCGCCGTGACGCGTCGGAAACCGAAGCACCGAATCTTCTCGGGGAGGGCGGCGTTGATGCGCTCCACCAGACCGGGGGGTTCGAGGATGAACTTGCCAGACACAACCTGACCCACGGCGCTCACGCCCTTGTCCGTACGCGCAGACCTCATCCAGTGCACCTGCGAAAATTAGGGTTTTGAGGTGAGAACTGGTTTAGGGTCTGACCGGAATGACGCCGTTGACACCAAGGATCGCTTTCTGCCTCTTGGTCGACACACCAGTGGGGGCTTTCATTTTTGGTGCAGCAAAGGAGAGCGGTGGTGGCATTGGCCATGAAGCCGTTTTGTGCCAACAGAATCGGCATGTGAGCACGCGGCTGAGCATCGCCCCGCAAGACCATGCGACGAAAGCCCACATTGCAACACGAATCCAGCCTTCCCACAAAATGCGTCTGATCCTTGCTGATTGGACAAAGGGGGGCATCTTGAAAGATGAACCAGGCCTTTCCAATCCGCATTTCTGATGTAGAAACATTTTGTGAAAGCACCCACCTTCTTAGGGTCCCCAAAATTGTCCTTGGTGATTGCCCCCGCCTTGTAGAGCGCCAACTCCAGCTCCGCCTCAATCGTCTTCGCTCCAGGGTTCCGCTGCATGCCCTGATACCCCGCGCCAATGTAAGCAAAGAAGAGCGCCACTTTGCGCTTCTTGAATTTTGATCTTTCCGACTTATCTGCAGACTCAACAACCTCTTTTGGTACTCCGTCTTTTGCTTCTTCGTCCGCTCCATTCTGCCCATCTTCCCTGACCCCTTCTGCGAATTCACCCGCGCCAGGCGCCCCTTCTACAGCGCCTCCAGGTTCTGAGCAGCCCATTCCAGTTGCGACTATACCACCTTCTCCATCAGTACCATTACCAACTCGTTGCTGACTTGCCGCATCCGCTGTAGAGCAGCTCTGGACGTGGATTACCGGCGGAGTCTCTGCATTTCCAGCAATAGGAGATGATTGATCTTCCATTGCTGAACAGGAGCCCATACCTCGGCGGAGCCCCACCACCCTCAATGGAAATCAAATGACGCGAAGACGCGGATCTACCTACTGTACTGCACT